AGCATCAGGCAAAGAGCACATCCAAGGTGTGGCATACTTAGGATGGGTGATGAGGTTGTGTGCCAAACATGCCTTCCCCCAGAAGCAAGCACTCCTCTGTAAAAGCTTTCAGCTAAGGTTTTCTGCTTGCAGATCATCTCCAAGAGCCACAGAACTGATTTCCCGAGCCTCATATCAGATTAATCAGCAGGCTCAAAAAGTGCCGGAAGGGAAATAAATGCACCAAGACACACACATCATTTCTGCATTGCTGATTTCCTCTTGTTTTTCACCCTTAGCTCCATCTTCTCCTGTATTTGGGGCTGCAGCCCACCTCCACCTTCTATATAACATCAGATTTTGGATGAGGGCTCAGAGCCCTCTGTGCATTGCAGGAAAGAGTTTCCCTTTGCCACCTCCTATTTAGGAGTATCCTAAGTGTCCTATAATCCCCTCCCCCAGGTCAGCAAGGATTCAGGCTAAGAGCAAGGGATGAAAGGAGCTGCTGGGTTAGCAAATGGAGGAGATCGCATCATGACCCATCCCAGGCAGCCACGCAGCAGGAAGATGCTGTGGTGGTTCCGCTCAAGTGAGCAGCCAAGCTCCACCACAACCGCTCTCTCACTCCCCCTCCTACAGATGCCTGCAGCTATCACAGAGCCTCAGACCTCAGATAAACCAGAAAATTCTCTTTGGGAGCAGAGGAACCAGCATATCCTCTTTGAAGCTGAGGAGGAACCAGAATATTTTGTTATTCCTGAAAGCTCTTGAGCCTGGGGATTTCCTGTGGTGCCGGAAACCTCATGCACTGCAGGAAGTGCTTTGCACACATCCTCATGCCTGCCACTGGGGCAGTAAAAATGCACAGCCAAAAGTGATGCATTAACACCTAGGTGACACTTTTGCAGAGGATAATGCTGGGATGCATATGCACATGTGCTTCTATGAGTGCCTGGGTGCACCCATGTGTATGTGCACAACCCAGGAGCTACAAATATTAGGGATGCAGCCAATTTGGGTCTCCTGCACACGCCAAAACCTCACACTCCTGCTGTCCCCAAAAACACCTTCCTGTTCTTTTGGGGATGCTACTCATGGCGGGCATCAGGGGTGGTGCACTGGGATCCAGCTGGGGTGGAGTTAATTATCTTCCAGCAGCCCCATGGTGCTGTGCTGGGGTAATTCAGTGCTGATAATGCGTGGATAGGCTGTTTGCACTGTGTCAAGGTCTCCTTTGATTCTCATTTAAACAAGGGGATGCAAGCAGGCTTGAGCTAACCACAGAAATATCATTCTCAGCTTTTAAACAGAGAGGAGGAGGTTTAGAGGGGCAAAGTTTGCTTGAGAGCTGCCCAGGCACACATCTACCCATGGGAAGCGGTGAGTGGCCTTTGCAACAGTTTTCTTCTGCCTTTTTTTTTTTTTTTCCTAGTTTCTTTAATTTCTTTCTTCTGCTTCTCCTTTCCTTATGGAGCTATTTTTATCTTGGCCCCGGGTGGGATGCGGTCAATCTGCTGTGGGGGGAGGAGGGGTAGTGGAGGAGGAGGAGGAAGGAAGAGAAAGAGGAGGAGTGGGACAGAGTGGAGGTGGGGGAGGAGGAGAAGAGGAGGAGGAAGAGGAGGAGAAAAGGGGGATGGAGGTGTAGGAGGAGGAGCCGCCTGGGAGGTGGGCAGCAGAGAGCCCCCACTGAGCACCCCAGGACCCCCAGAGCCCAGACCCAGCTCCCTGCAGCCCACAAATCCCCTGAAGCTGAAGGTGGGAGCCCAGCAGCACGCATGCTTCCTCCCATAAGGTCTTCTCTCCCAGATGGGGAGGAAGAGGAGGCACTGGCTAGAAGCCCCTCGGGCAGATGGATAGTGGGGGGGGGGGGGACGGGGATGATGGAGCCTCAACCCCAAGGCACTGCCCATCGTTGTCACTGCTCCTTGCTGCGGTGGCACCACCCGGGGCTGAAGGGCAGTCTGGATTTGGGAGCAGGAGTCCTAAAGGTGCTCGGGATGACTCACGGAAATCTGACTCCACAATCAGTAAGATTATAAAGTAGGTATATTTATTCAGCGCTGGGTGGCATGGAGGGTAGTCCCACCAAAGTCATGTGCCCCTAACACTGGCAACTTGCTTTGGTTATAAGCAGTAAGTATTTACATATGCATGAGGTTTCCCAGGATGCCTATACATATTCATAACCTGTCCCCGCTTAGTATTAAAATTAGCTCCAAGAAGTCATTTCCATAAACTCCTACCCTCTGCGCTTGTTCGGTGCCTTCTGGTGGTGGGTGCTGAGGGTCATGAGGATGAAGTAAGATGTCTTCATCAGGGTTGAACTTTTCACCTCATCTTGCACACGCTCTCTGAGCCCTTGGTCACAATCTGGGCCATAAGGTTGGTTTGGTCCAGTACTCCAGATCTGAGGGGCTCCTGTTATCTCGAGGCCTTGCATGTTTGACGTCCTTTTTTAAGAACAGTCCTCCTTATCTCTGAGCCCTTGGTCACAGTCTGAACCATAAGGCTGGTTTGATCAGGTTCTTGGGGTCCCAGGAGCTCCTGTTATCTGGAGGCCTAAGCGCAGCACAGGCACATGTAGCACATATTAAGCAATGAGTGTTGCCTACATATCCATTCTTAATCAATCGCTCTCTAATTTCTAATCCCATGTTTCAGGGATCTGCAGCTAAACTTTGTGGGATGGGGTTCTTGCATCTCTGTCTTTGTTCCTACAGCTGACGACAGCCCGGAGGATGAGAAGGGGGAAAAAACAGAGACACCGAACGGAGCTGAGATACATTCGGGATGATCCAAGGGGAACTCAGCCCAGAAGGCAAACCCAACACTACACTGTCAACCACAGGAAAGCTCCAAGGAACCACATGGAGAAGTGAGGCCGGAGCCCCATGGCCACTGGTTGCTGAGGACAGGTGGAAGCCCTGAAAGGCTGCTGAGGGGATCCCACAGTGGGGAGAACCTACAGCAGCAGTGAGGCCAGAAGGCCAGGAGGCCAGGAGGCACGGCATACAGAGCCTCCTATGGGTGTGCAGACTGTGGGAAGACCTTCAGCATGAGATCGTTCCTCGTCCCCCACCAGAGAATCTACACTGGGGAGAAGACCTTCACGTGACACAAGTGCAGCCACTACTTTCGGCCTACTGTGAGGCCGCTAGAATCCACTAGATTCCAGGAAGAGTCCTTATTTTGCCTCGAGGGTGCAAGAGGAGGCTCATACGATATCCTAGAGTGTCCTCGGAGGACTCTAGGGCATCCTAGAATACACTGGGGGTCACTTGGAGGCTTTCCGGGGAAGCTAGAGGGCACTGGGGGGCACTGGTAGACCTGCAGATGTTCTAAAGTGCAGGGGAGGACCACAGGCGCCCTCCAGTGTGCGCAAGAGTGCACTAGAGAGCCCTGCGAGGCCTCCAGAGGCCATTAGATTCCTGGAAGTGTCTTTATTTTGCCTCGAAGGTGCAAGAGGAGGCTCTGTAGGACATCCTAGAGTGCCTTGGAAGGCCTCTAGGGCATCCACTGCTCTTCGTCTGGGGTTGGTGTTGGGTGAGGTTTTGAACGACCATAAGTAACTACATGATTCCCAGAACTACAGTGGGAGAAAGGCAACTATATATATATATACATGCATATATATATATATATATATAACCAGCTAAAGCATGACATGGTTCTTGCCTCCTCTCACAGTGGACTAGGAGGTGTGAAGGAGGCCGGGGAACATGTGAGCAGGGTACAGCCACTGTCCAGCTCTGGCCACCAGCTGTACCTGGCATGAGGGCCTCCAGTCTTTCCCCTGCAGACACTTGGAACCAGCAGGAGGGCTGGCCACCAGCTGCTTAGATTCACTTCGCTTTTCTTTGTTTTTCCTTGCTCTGCTTTGCTTTGTTCTTCCCAGCACAGTTTTGCTTTTCCTTCTCTGCTTTCCTTTGCTGTTCTTGCCCCTGCTTTGCTCTTCTTTGCCTCGAATTGCTTTGCTTTGATTTGTGTGCTTTGTCTTTCCTGGCAATGCTTTGCTTTTCCTTGTGCTACTTTCCTTTGCTTTGCCTTGCTCTGCTTTGTCTTCCCTGGCCCTGCTTTGTTTTGCTTTTCCTGGCTCCGATTTGCCTTTCCTGGCCCTGCTTTCCTTGGTTTTCTTGGCTCGGCTTTGCTTTGTTTTCCTTTGCTTTTCCTGTGACACACAGAAACAAATTTTACAACTCGAGGAGAGTTATAAAGCAGGTATGTTTATTGCAGCACTGGGTGCAAGGGGGATCACTCCTCCTAACTTGCACACCAAGGGTTACTACCAGGGTGCTTATATTGATGAGATATATACATATTCATTTCATTTCCCCCCCGCCCCACCCCACCCCACACACATGTAAGTCTCTTGTATGTTCATTACGTATCCAAAGAATTATTAACATAGGTTCCCGCCCCTATTTGCATGCACGCTAGAGTCCTCGGGTGGTCATCCAGCATACTCTGGTGGTCTTTTGATAAAGGCCAGAAGTCTTCCTCGCTGCTAAACTTTTGACCCTTCCTGTCATTTACAGACTTCAGCAGTCCAGGTCAGTTCTTGCTGGTTACCTTTAGGGTCATCCTGTCCTTGTGGTCAGTATACAACATACTTCCTCTTTCAATCCTGTCCTTGTGGTTGATTTACAAAATACATCTGTGTTAGTTTGTGGTGGTTTTACTCGGGTGGGCAGCTGAGTTCCACCAAGGCCGCTCTCTCACTCCCATTCCTCAAAGAGGAAGGGGGAGAAAATAGGACACAAAGAGCTCAAAGTTTGAGATAAGGATGATTTAATTAAAGGGAAAAGGGAGTGGTAAAAAAAAAAGGGGAGGGAAAAAAAAAAAAAAAAAGCAAAGGCAGCACAGAAGCACAAAGAAAGAAAAGTAATTACTCTCTACTTCCCATCAGTGAGTGATGTGCAGCCACGTCCTGGGAAGCTGGGCCTCAATATGCATAGCGGTTGTTCAGGAGAACAGACGCTTCCACAACAAGAGCCCCCCCCCTCCCCTTCCCCTTTCCCACTTTTTATTGCTGTGTGACATTATATGGCATGGAATACCCCTGTGGTAGGTTTAGGTCAGCTGCCCTGGTGATGTCCTCTCCCCATCATCTTTGAAGTCTCTTTTACTGCACATCTGCAAGGGTAGGGCGTCCTGCAAACCCCCCTGCTCCAGGTAGAACCCAGCTGTCCAGTGCCCCACATCTCTCCACAGTTCTTCTCGCACTTTTCTCATGTTCCTCATTCCCAGCGTCCATCTACCTGGGGTCCCCTGTACCAGGCATGCCATTCCCACTGTCCATTGTGGCAGTATCCCTGACACCCCCATGCCTGGCAGGTCAGGAGGAAAGTGAGGATGCACCAGAGAGCAGCTTGAGGAGAGGGCCTGAGCCTCCAATTATTTCAGGGTGCTCCGTGGCAGAAGTCTTTGCCAGGGGGACCCTTCCTCTTCCAGCTCTCTCATCCTCTCTTCACAGGAGAGATGAGGAGGTTAAAGATTTAAAGGTATGACTAGATGATCTTATAGGTCTTTTTCAACCTGAATGATTCTGGGATTCTGTGTTCCAGTCCCAGCATTTTGCTCCAGCATTGCTGGCTCCTCTTTCACTTGGTTTCCACCAGGACCCCCAGGGCCTTTGCAGAGCTCCTTTCCATCTGGGTGGCCCCCAGCATATCCTGGTGCCTGGGGTTGTTCCTCCCAGCACAACCAAGCACAACCTAAGACCTCCCCAGCTATCCCAAGATCTCCCTGTGACCCCCCCCAAGAGCCCATTTTGGGGTATTTGACCCCTGCCAGCACTCCCCACAAGCACACACACAGTGCCCCCCCCCCTCCACACACACACTGTATCTCCACCCATGTCACTTGTCTACACCTACGCAGGTTCCCCTGCCCTGGATGCCTGGGTCCCTTCCTGGATGCTAGCACAGATGGATGGATGGATGGACGGACACAGACGCATGGCATGCATTGGCAAATTTTGCATCATCCCAGAGGCCCCCTTGAACATCCCAAATTGTTTTCTTTCTTGTTCATCCCTCTTTTATTGGTTACAGTCCTGCCCAGGCCTCACCAGGACCATGGGGTGAGGGGAGTGATGAAGACATGGAAGGAGGGAGGGAGCAATGGTTGGAAAGAGAGAAGGAGAGAGGCATGAACAGAGGGAGGGGTTTGTGTTAGGGCCACCACAAAATCCATCTCCTCTCCACAGCCTTCTCCACCATCATGCCCTTCCTATCCCACTGTCCCCTGTCTCTGTGTCCTCCACTACTGTCCCCACATCCCCCATCCCCATGATTTCCACTGCTGCTCCCCCATCCCCTGTCCCTGTGTCCTCCACTGTCACATCCTGGCACCCCTTTTCCTTGTCTTTCTGTGTGGTCCTTGCCTGGTGGGTGGCCCTGGCCGTGGTCTTACGGGAGCTGTGGAAAACCGTGGAGCCCTCCAGAAGCCGGGGCAGGAGAGCAGTCCCAGCAGTGTGGCACAGCCCCCGGCCAGCACAGGCGTAGAGCAGGGGGTTTAAGGCACTGCTGAGGAAGGCCAAGGCAGTGGCTGGTGGGCGGATGGCCCTGGCGACCCTGTTCAGGGGCTCATTGCCCTTCTGCAGCTTTGCCACCACCTCCAGCAGGCTGGCGATGTGGTAGGGTCCCCAGGTGACAGCGAAGGCGACCACCACAGCGGCCACAAGCCCCAGCGTGCGGCCCCGCCGTGCCAGTCGTGTGCGCCGCAGCCGCTGCAGCAACAGCCCATAGCCAGCAGCCACAGCAGTCAGTGGCAGGGCCCAGCCCAGCCCTGTCTCCAGCAGGTTGTGAGTCACCAGCCAAGCAGTGGAGCTGTGTTTCCGCTTGCAGTGCCCATCCTCCACATGCCGGAAGGCGATAGAGGGAGTAGCCAGTATCAACGCCACCAGCCAGGTGACTGCCGCGGCCCCATGGGCCAGTTGGGCAGCGCGGTCACCCACCACTACTGCCGCCGATGGCCGGGACACCACCAGGCAGCGGTGCAGGCCAAGCAGGGCGATGAGGAAGACGCTGGCATACATGGCGGCAGCACAGATGTAGTTGCAGCCACGGCAAGCAGCCAGGCCCAGGTCCCAGCGACCGGTGCTCAGGAAGCGGATATAGACAGGGCCGGTTAGGAGGGTGGCCACATCGGCCAGAGCCAGGTGGAACACCAGCAGCATGGGGATGCCACGGCGACGGGTGGCTGCGCAGCTCCACAACACAAGGGCATTCCCTGGCAGCCCTATGACCATCGCTGCGGACAGGAGGGTCAGTCCCACTGCTGCGCTGGGGATGGGGGTGGCTGTCCCATTGGAGGAGGGTGTGGACATTGCAGTGGGAGCTGTGGGGATGGAGTTAACCGGTGTCACCCAGAGCAAACTCAGCCATCCCTGCATCTCCCCATCTCTCCATCCCCCTCCTCCAATACTGCCATTCCCTAGAGCCCCTCCCTTCCTCATCTGTCCTTCTTTCCTTCTCCCCACCCTCTGAGACCTCCTCTTCTTTCCGTTCTACTCTCATCTCCTCCCCTATATCTTGGCATCACACAGACCTCCAAGCTGACTCCCAGACCTCCCAGTGGCCAGCCACACCACCAAAGTTATTCCCCCAAACCTCCCAGTTGACCCCTTAGACGTCCCAGTTTTCCACCCGACCCTTCCAGTTCCCATAAACCTCCCAGTCACATTCCAAACCTGCTAGTACCCCCACCTCACAGATATTCCATGTGATCCTCAAGAACTTTATTTGTCCACCCATACCTCCCAGTCATCTCAAGAGCGCTCAGTGGCCCCCCAGACCTCCCACCCCACCAGCCTTCCCCCCAGTACCTCAGGGCCTCACATGTCCCTTCCCAGTCCCTGGCAGGGGTGGTGGGTCCTCGGTGCCCCTGTAGCCAGCAGTGGCCACGACCGTTGGGTGCTACTTCCCCTCCACTCAGCCCCAGTCAGGAAACACTCACGCAAGAGGAAGAAGGCAGGGAAACCACAGACAGGAAAGGGGCACGTGAGGAAGAGTGACACTGGGCCTTAGTTTTCCCCTGCCTGGACAGGGGCAGGAGGGGATGACACCACCAGCAGCATTGCCAACAGGTAGAAAGACCCTTCCAAAGGCCCTCCAGAAGAGGCTGTCTGATTGTTCCATGGCTGTAGGGTTGCGTGTATGCAAGGTTGCATGGCTGCAGGTATGGTTAATGCACCTTCTCATCCTTTCCTTCTAAAAGCAGCAGAGAGCAAAAATGGCTGGCATTGCCTACTTCTAATCTTGATAGCCCTTGGTCAGTCAACAGCATGATGGGAATTTGATGGGAAAAATGAAGGGAGAAACTGTATGCTGTTGTCAGACATCTCTAGTCTTACCTCTCTGGGGCTGGACAATGGTATGACAAGAACCTGGGGGGTAAAAAGTCCTTTAGTGTGCTGGATAACAGAGGGTCAACACTGCCAATGGGTCTTTGTCTGGCTTGGGATTGTACCCCATCACACAATCATCTTGGTGGTTCCCGAATTTCAGGCTTGGACACAAATGTTGGGACAGGCATGTGAAGGGCTGGACAGAGGAAGGGTGTGATGGATGAAGGGACAGATAAAGGGTGAAAGAATGGAGGCAGGGAGAGAGGCATGGAGGGAAGGATAAGAAGGTGCATTAACCATACCTGTCAGTAAGCACATAGGAGAAGACCTTCCCTGTGGCTTCCATGCTATCTCAACATGCTCCCAGTCAGCCACCCTCTCCTAGAGGGCCTTTGGGAGGGTCTTGTTGCCTCTTGGCAATACTACTCGTGGTGTCACCCCCTCCTGCCCCTGTCCAGGTAGGGGAAAAATTAAGGCCCAGCATCACTCCTGTGTTCCTTTCCTGCCTTTGGTTTCCCTGTCTTCTTCCTCTTCCTTACGTGTTTCCTGACCTGGGCTGGGAGCAGGGGTTAGCCAATTTCAGGTTTACATGAGTGACATTCTTGCAGTTGCACCCAATCAGGAAGTCACTAAGACCTTCTACATACAGATGAAAGTAGGCTCATGATCACAAGCCCTAGTTCTCATGGGGGACTTCAACTGCCCTGGTATCTGCTGGAAAGATCATACAGCTAGGCACAAACCATCCAGCAGGTTCCTGGAGAGCAGCAATGCTTACCTTGACATGGGTGATAGATGAGCCAAAGAAGAGAAGTGTGCTCTGGACCTTGTGCTAACAAAGAAGGAGACATAAAGGTTGAGGGCAGCCTTGGCTGCAGTGACCATGAGATGGTGGAGTTCAGAATCTTGCAAGGACAAAGAAGGGCAACGAGTTGCATTGCACCTCTGGACATCAGGAGGGCAAACATTGGCCTCTTCAGGGACCTATTTGGAGGAATCCCATGAGTTAGGGCCTTAGAAGGAAAGGGGGACCAAAAGATCATTCGAGCATCACTTCCTCCAAGATCAAGATCGATGTATCTGTATGAGTAAGAAGGCAAGCAAAGGGGGCAGGAAAAGACCTCTAAAATCATCTAGTCCAACCTTTAAACCTTTAAGCTCCTCATCTCTCCTGTGAAGAGAGGATGAGAGAGCTGGAAGAGGAAGGGTCCCCCTTGCAGAGGCTTCTGCAATAATCGGAGGTGCAGGCCCTCTCCTCAAGCTGCTCTCTGGTGCATCCTCACTTTCCTCCTGACCTGCCAGGCATGGGGGTGTCAGGGACACCACCACAATGTGGGAATAGCATGCCTGGTACAGGGGACCACAAGGAAGATGTACGCTGGGAATGAGGAACATGAGGAAAGTGCGAGAACTGTGGAGAGATGTGGGGTACTGGACAGCTGGGTTCTACCTGGAGCAGGGGGGTTGCAGGATGCCCGGATCCCATCCAAGGTCTCTGGGTGCCCTGGGGAGGGGGATGAGACCCGTGCCACTTCCAGCGGTCCTTCCCCACAACCTAATGGACCAGGTCCTGCCCAGCACCCGGTGATGTCAGGTGCTACTCAGGCCCCCATTTTGGGCCTGAGTTGGGGGCAGTGGCACCAATTACAGTGAGGAACCTCTCGAGGGAGAGGATGAAGTAGGAGCGCTGGGCTGAGGAAGGGGCAGGGAAAAGACTGGGGCCGCAGGTGGGACAGGGGAGGAGGAGAGGGGCACTTGGTGATGAGGAAGGGAGACAGGGGCTGGGCTGGGGCCACAAGATGGGCAGGGACATGTAGGGGCAAGCAGAAGTGGAGGCTCCAGGTGCTCAGCACAGAGGTGGGCAAGTCTACCAGCACAGCCACCCCAGCCACCTCCTGGAACAGCTGTGATTCTGCTGGGAGAGGGGGAAGGGGTGATAGGAAATGAGGGATGCCACACACCACGGTGACCCCTGTGCTCAGGTGACGCCCCTGGTCCCACCCGGGTTCCCTCTAGCAGAGCAAATTAAACTTTGATCAAAGGTTGGTCTCTTCCACATGCCTTCTCCAATGGCTAATCAAAGGGTGAATTGACTGGCTGTTAGCTCAGGGAAAGCTTGTATGTAGAGTTTTCTTTTCTGCTTGAAGGGAATTTTCAGTAAGCCTCCAAGAGCCGCACTACTGCTCTGACTCTTGCATCAGATAGATCAGTGGGCTCAGAAATTACTGAGAAAGGAACGCATGCATGTGCACACGAAATTTTCCTACAGTTTCCTTAGGAAATAGGTGAAGAAAGCTGCTTACAACAAGAAGGGCAAACCAAACATGGTGATAGATTTTATGTACTTTTTAAGGTACTTTCAGTACTTAAAATGGGCTTTAAAAAAAAAAATGGAATGAGTTTTTACAGGGGCAGATAGTGATAGAAGAAGGCAGAATGGTTTAAAACTGTGGTTTTAATGGTTTTAAACAGGATGAGAGAATTAGATTATATGTTACGAGGAAATTGATATTATATCATTCTATCAAAAATATATATGTTATAGTGGATAACACACTAACGTCTTCTTAATGTCTTCAGGCAGCAGTGCACCTCCTGCAACCAAGACACTGCCTGGGTGGCTTCCAGCCAGGCTCTCACTTGCCTTACAGGGTGCCCCTCTGAGGTCTGCTGGTGGGCAGGGAGCTGTGAGCTGCACCAAAGGCTTTTCCCCCCACTGAGCCCAATATCTAATATCTAATATCCCAATATCTAATCTGAACCTAACCTCTTTGAGTTTAAAGTCGTTCCTCCTTGTCTTACCAATACACTCCCTAATAAAGTGTCTCTCTCCTGCTTTCTTGTAGGCCCACTTTTGGTACTGGAGGGCTGCAACAAGGTCTCCCTGGAGCCTTCTCTTCTCCAGGCTGAACATCACCAACTCCCTCCGCTTGTTGTCTTCATAGGCACATAGGTTTCCTAAACACTTGTAGCAGCACATTTAGGAAGGGTGGTGGGGTTGTGTGCCGAACATGTCTCCCCCCAGAAGCAAGCACTGGGCTGGAACTGACACCAGAAACAAAGCCCCCTTGCACCTTTCCTGTCCTTCCGTTTTTCATTTTAAGAAAGCAGGCCCCAGTGAAAACATAAGCTCTGGGACAAATCAGGTATTTTATTCTTCCCCTTCCTTTTCCCCTTTCACACCCCCGAGAAAAGGCATTTCCCAGACAAGGGATGAAATGGTCAGTTTTATCAGAGGGTAGTCTCTTCCACAGGCCTTCTCAGAAATTTCTGAGAGAGGAACTCATGCACGCACACACACAATGTTTTTGCAGTTTCCTCAGGAAATGGGTTTTAAAAGCTGGTTGCTGCAAGAGTGGAAAGAGAAAACTAAGCATGGTGAGAGATTTTCTTTTGTCAGCAAGGAAAGAGCATCCAAAGCCCATTGGTGTAAGACCCTTATCTGGGTGGTGCCATGGATGCCTTCTCCTTTGGAAGCTCTCCCTTTGTCATGAGAAGCCTCTGGGGACTCCTCCATTCTCAAGGTCTCTCCCAGTGTGCAAGGTCTGAAAAAATCTCTTCCTGCAGGCAAGACACTTGTAGGGTCTTTCTCCCACATGGATTCGCTGATATTTAATGAGTTCATGCTGTGGCTGAAGCTCTTCCTGCACTTGGGGCATTTGTAGCCCTTCTCCCCAGCATGCAGTCTGTCATGGGTGAGGATCTCCTAGCTCTGGATGTACCTCTTCCTGAAATCAAGGCGCTCTCCCCTATGGGGGGTTGCTGTTATCTTCTAGGCAATGAGCTCCAGCTGAAGTTTTTCCCGTAATCCCTGCAGACATGCTTTCTTCCTTTCTGTGCAGCCGAGGTTTCTTTTGGATCTTCATGCATTCACCCACAGCAGATGGGTTTATCCAGAGGTGACTTTCCTGGGCTCTCTGAGTGAAGAGTCACTTTCCCGGGTGATTTTCCTCATACACATCCCTGGGAGAAATGTGCTTCTGATCCACCTACCAACATCCCAAATGCTTCCAGTAGCTTCGCTACAGCCAGCTCTGCACTTTCCTTTGTGTGGTCACTTGGCACCCCATCTCCAGTTGAAAAGGGGAGCAATATGGGTAATTCCCACACCGGGGACAAAGCAAGAACAGGATATATTTGTCCCAGAACACCCACCACAACCTAAGGCCAGGAAGGGTGATATGCTCCAGCCAAAGGATGGGAAAACTCCAAGGCATGCCGGTCACAAGCCAAAATGGGGTCTGCCTTGTCCAAGTGAGCCAAAGTGAAACTGGGAGCATTTCCTTATGCAGAGGTGTGGGAATTGTGACTTTCTTCTGTGCCTTGATGTGTCATTTGTGAACCTTGGCAGGATGTTGCTTACTCAGGTGGAGATTGGAAGTGTTGCCTGCCTTGCTTTGGGATGAGCATCACCAAAACTCTGGACTCCTTACCCAGCACTGCTCTGACTTCTTAGCTCTCCTGCATGACATCTCCCAAAGGCTCACTTGCAGCTGGCCAGCTGGTCCCCATGGGCTCTTGTGGTAGGAGCAGTGAGCTGGCCACTGCCAAAACATGAGCCTGGCTACAAGCGTAGAGGATAGCACAGAGCATCAGCTGGCTTTTCCTGTTTCCCTTTTCCTTTCCAGACTCTTCTATCAGCATCCCTACACCCTTTGCATCCCAGAGGGGGTGAAGCCACTGGGGAATCTGCTAAGCTGCTCAAAGAAGATGGAGCAAATGCATCATTCCCTGATGGACTCACAGCAAAATTTCTCCCAAGAAACGTACCAGCAAATATCTTGACACCCAGAGCTCTCTTTTGTCTGCACCAGGATAAACCATGGCTTCAAGGATCAAGGATGGGAGTTTGCTCTTTGTGGGGTTTTTATGCTGGGTTTCATGGTAGGAATTTAAATCTTTCTGTCACAGCTTCTGGGACTTGGTATTTACTGCTGTTAACAAACCATTGGGCAGCAAGTCCCCTAAAGGTGAGGGGAAAAAAGGTGACGTGAAAATCAGGAATCCCAGAGAATATTTTACGCAGTGATAAACAGAACAAGGAAGGGAAGAGGGGACTGGATCTGTCCAACAGCCATCGTCGGATGCCCACACTAGGGACAGGGTTTCTCTCTCTGCTCTCAGCCATATACACCATTCCCTGATGGGCTCTCAGTGATATCTCCCAGGGAACACAGCCTGGGAAAACATCTTATTCTTACACCTAGTGCTCCCTGCTGTCTGCATCGGGCTAAACCTCGGCTTCAGGTTTCGGGGGAGGGAGTCTGATCTGCAGGTGGGTTTGAAGATGAGTTTGCCATAAGGCTCTTCCTCTGCTCAAGGTGTTTGTAAGTTATTTTGAAGATAAGTTTGCCACAAGGCTCTTCCTCTGCTCAAGGTATTTGTAAGAAATATATTTCTGTGTGCATTTAGAATTAGGTGACCATGTTCGAGCTCTGGCGGAAGCACATCCCACACACAGGGCACTGCTACAACTTGACTCCTTTGTGGACACACTTGTGTGATCTAAGGTCAGAACTGCTCTCAAAGGCCTTTGCACAGTCAGGACACTTGTAGGGTCTCTCTCCTGTGTGGATCCGTTTGTGCAATTTGAGTCTATATCTCGACTGGAAGCCCTTCTCACACTCAGGGCACTTGTAGGGCATCTCTCCTGTGTGGATCCATTTGTGCGCATTGAGTCTATATCTCGACTGGAAGCCCTTCCCACACTCAGGACACTTGTAGGGTCTCTCTCCTGTGTGGATCCGCTTGTGCAAGTTGAGTCCATGATGCGACTGGAAGGTCTTCTCACACTCAGGGCACTTGTAGGGTCTCTCTCCTTTGTGAAAATACTTATGGGAGGCGAGTGCAGAGCTCCTTCTGAAGCTCTTCTCACACTCCAAGCACTTGTAGGGTCTCTCTCCTGTGTGAATCCGCTGGTGTATAACAAGACTGGAACTTGTTAGGTAGCTCTTCCCACACTCAGTGCACTTGTAGGGTTTGTATCCTGTGTGGATGCGCCGGTGCTTAAGAAGATAGGAATGACTTTTAAAGATTCTTCCACACTCGTCACATTGGTTCTCCAATTTCTTCTGGCAGCCTTGCTTCATTGTCAGTTCTTTAGCCTCCTTTTGACCTTTGCTGCCATCTAGGGGCTTCCGAGCTCCATTTCCTCGATGGGTTTTCAGTGGCTTCTTGAGATGCTTTCCATGCTCCAGGCCCTTTTGCACGCCCCTTCTGGTTTTTCCCACAGAGACAGCATTCAGCTGCCTTTGGGCCACGCCACCTTTCTGAAGAGGCTCCGCTGCTTTTGTGATCCTGTCACCTGCTGGATGACAGAGGAAATCCACAACCAGCCCATAGTGCCCACAATATTGCCCAGACAGAGCTCTCTGATCCTCTGATCTTGGCATTTGCCAACCCCAATCTCCTCCCTTCCTCCACCACCTCACCTGGGCTGAGGTCTCCTGTCACATCCTCCACGCCATGCAGATCTGGGATCCAGGGATCTTCCCCTTCTTCAAGCTGGGAGATCACCACGGGTTTGGGGGATGGAAGGAGTCCTTAAATGACATAAACAGAGGAGATGAGAGCATTTGGAGGGCTACTAAGATGATCAGAGGGCTGGAAAACCTCCCTGTGCATAAAGCTTGAGGAAATTGAGCTTGTTTAGCTTGGAGAAGAGAAGGCTTCAGGGAGACCTCACTGCGGCCTTCCAGTGTTTGAAGGGAGCGTATCAACAGGAGGGGGAACGCCTGCTTACATGTGTTGGTAGTGATAGGACAAGGGGGGATGGTTTTAAACTAAGAGGGGAGATTTAGGTTGGAAATGAGGAGAAAGTTTTTCACTCAGAGGGTGGTGAGGCACTGGAACAGTTTGCCCAGGGAGGTTGTGGATGCCCCAGCCCTGGAGGCATTCAAGGCCAGGCTTGATGCAACTCTGGGAAGCCTCCTCTACTGGTTGGCAACCTTGCCCAGAGCAGGGGGGTTGAAACTCGAAGATCTTTAAGGTTCTTTTCAATCCAGGCCGTTCTATGACTCTATGATTTCCATGGTTTTGACACAGCTGCTAAGTGTCCACGTGTACTATGTAATCACTCCTTTCCTGTAAAGCCACTTTTAAGGCCCAGTATCATTCAGGTCAGCAACATAGACTAGCTTTGTTTGAAGACAGCAAGGCTCTTCTATCTCTGAAAATACTGCAGGGACTTATTTATTTGCCTTACCTTTTACCTACTTATTCAATGCAGTTGACTTCAAGAAGGTTTAGGGGAAAACTGAGGAAGGCAATGCTGAGAAGGAAGATTTACATGCCACCACCAAGAAAAGCTCTTTTGGACGCATGTCTATATAACTATAATATATACATATATATACAAGTATATGTCTATATAGCTATAGTTTGTATATTATTATATTATTAAATATTCTAATATACACTATTATTTTTCATATTATATTATGATTGTATCATTATATCATAATATATATATGTTACAGTGGATAACACACTACTGTCTTCTTAACTCATCCTTATCTTTTTTACTGTGTGGTTTTAGTTTGCTGTTTTTTTTTTTTTTTTTTTTAATTTTTTTTCCTTCTGTATGCAGTAAATAATTGCATTGTGTTTATTACATGTCTTGCTCACAGAGGCTTCTTCTACACCACGAAAGCTCCCCTACTGAGGAGAAAAGGAAGCAAAGCCCTCACTCACCCAGCGAAGTTATGGACTCATACGTCTCCAGCATCACGTCCCGGTAGAGCACTCGCTGTGCAGGATGCAGCAGCTCCCACTCCTCCCTGCTGAAATACACTGCCACCTCCACGAAGGTCACGGGTTCCTGCAAGCAAAGAGGCTCCATGTAGAAGCAGCCTGTTGATGACAGAAGCTCCAGTCCCAGTGGCTTCTCTGTGCCCAGCACACAAATGCTGGCTGACGGCACCTCATCTTCCCCCTGCATTCACATCCCTTCCCCCTTGGCCTCTCCTGGCTGCTTCTCCAAGCCCCTACCTCAGCTGGATGTGCCGTGGCCATTTCCTGCCCTCCTGCAGGCTGGGACAATCACAGCTGAAAGGTAGATGTCAAACTGGAACCTGCTGGGACAAGAGAAATGGCAGGGTAGGTTTGGGGGAATGCAGCAGTCCCTGTCCCTGTCCCTCCCCAGCGCCAGCCCAGCTGCAGGCCATTGATTGGGGGTAAAAGCCAGCTGGGACACAGGTTTAAGAAAGGAAAAAGCTGCTGCACATCAGCAATCGTCAGAGAGGAGTGAGAAAATGAGATGAAAACAACCCTGCAGACACTAAGGTCAGTGACAAAGGAGGAAGGAGGTGCTCCAGGCACCAGGACAGAATTTCCCCTGAAGCCTGTGGCCAGGACCACGGGGAAGCAGGCTGTCCTGCTGCAGCCCCCGGTGTGGCAGAGTGGATCAGATCTCTAAACTGCAGCCCACTGAGGAGCTCATGTTGGGGCAGGTGGATATGGCCTAAAAGGGGGTGCAACCCACAGAGAGCTGCCCTTTGCCCCGTCTCGTTTTGAGCTCTTTGCCCAGCTCCAACCCCGTCCTGTGCCCCCTCAGAAACCTCAGCAACAGAGTCTAATCCACGGCTCAGGAAACAACACTGCAGATCCAGAGCCTTCCTGCTGAGGACTTGCATCCTCTTTCACAGAGCCCAGCTCATTTCTTGGCTGCAGCCAAGAGAGGAGCAGTGAGCAACAAGCTGCATGCTTTGCATCCTGACAGCTATCTCCCACCCTCGAACAGCAACATGGGTCAGATCCTGCTTTTCCTTTCCCCTTTTGCATGACCTCCCAAGTCTGGTGCTGAGCTTTAGATGCTCAGGCCCTGTCTCAAAGGGGGGAATCATGTGGAAAAGGAAAAATCCTGCCTCTTGTCTGCATAAACAATGGAGAGTACCTACCTTGTTATAAATGAAGTCTCAACTCAATCTGAATTTAGTAATATTCAGAAAATAATATTTACAAAAGGTATAAAAGGTATAAAAGGCAAGTAAACAGCGCTGGGTGTGCGGGGAGTCTACGCTCCACCAACATGCACACACGAACATCAAACATTCTAACTATATAGAACATTGCTTTTACATACTAACCCGAGTATGCCTATACATACGTACAATCAGGAAAGGTAACAAACAATCCTTGAAGTTCCGTGACTTAACAGTCTCCATTTTCCATTCCTTTTGAACAATAGATCTTGCTTTAAGTTGTCAAGCAACTTGGTCTTTGGGCCTTATGTCTCCCGTTCTTCCCAGATCGAAGAAAAACATACCCATCTCCTTTTCAAGCCAATGAGGCCTGGCTCAAAAGGCACGTTCAGGTCAACAGGGGGCGGAACAGCAAAAGCCTTCCATGGCTGTAGCGGCAGAAGGACCGATGCCCTAGCAGTCGGATCAGTAAAGGAGCCCACAGCTCCCTCACTATCTGACAAACCACACGTTTCTGACTGTGGCCCCACATGGCTCTTTAAGGCCTCAGAGATTGCTCGCCAGGTGCCCAGCAATCCCACTGCAACCTTGTCATTTGTAGTTGCAGAGTCCCACACCTTGACCTCAATTTGGTCCCATGTTTCGGGATCATAAACTGTCTGATTGTTAAATAGAAGAATAAGCTGTAAGGTTACCAGGACTTTGTTCCTAAGGACATATGATTCCCCATAATGTGCAGCTGCTTACCAGCGAGGGGCAGTTGTGTGCACAGGTCCGCTTCTCTCAGCTTGAGCTTCTTCCCAGCTCCGGTGCGCCTAATTCCCGCAACTTTCAGTTTGAGATTCTCTGAGTGGTTTGCTGAGTTTGGCCGAACCTATCTTAATGGGGCAATCAATGTGCCTGTTCCCGTACTGGTCTCTGTTCCGCTAGCCTGTTCCTGTTCATTCCTTCTTTCTGCTTCTTTATTGATGACATAACTTCATCACATCGTGTTGCCTTTTTCTTATCTTTTTTAATCTTGAGGGCAGGCTCCCCTCTTATACCTTTCTCTCCACAGCAGTTCTTTTCAAAACAACTTTTCATTGGTCAAGCAACTTTGCATATAACAACAGCAAACACTCAGAAACTTCCATGCCTTAATGGCTGGAGAACAAAAGACCAGCTGGAGAACAAGAAACCTGAGACTGCATGGAGTCTCCTGAATCACCCTTCTTTGTTCCCGCTAAACTCTTTTATATTCCCGATGGCCTCATCGTTAAGAGTCTAATGTTATCTCAAACACGGGGCTGTCCGACCTCCATGGGCACACTCCCACATCTCCCCCTTCTTTATGAATATCAACCATTTTCTCGACACGAATTACCACTCCATTTATAACATACCTCGAGTCCACAGTAGGCTGCTCCCACCCTCCTTGCAGGCAGCCTGGCTCCTCTGAGTCGTGTAGGCTGGAGGACGCCAAGTATCCTGAGCCTGGACGCAGCTGCAGGATGGACGCGGTTCACCTCCTGCAACCAAGACACTGCCTGGGTGGCTTCCAGCCAGGCTCTACTTGCCTTACAGGGTGCACCTCTGAGGTCTGCTGGTGGGCAGGGAGCTGTGAGCTGCACCAAAGGCTTTTCCCCCCACTGCACACCCTGGCAGAGCCCAGACTCTCAGGCTCTTCTTCTGTAGGGGCATTTCCATGCCCTGGGGCTCTGTTCAGGCCCAGCCCAAGGTACTTAACCCCTCATCAGCTTTGTAGGAGGAGCTCTGGGCTGCAGCTCAGCCTTGGCCATAGCTCCTCCTGATGTGCAGCATGTCTTCCTGGCCCCAAACCAGAATGTGTTGTGAAGCTGCAGCACAGAAAATCAGAGGTTGGTTAGGGCTTGACCTCAGCCTTCTCTGTTGGCTCCCCCAGAGCATGCCACTGTGTGAGGAAAGGGTTCAGCGCTCCGCCCTGCTCAGCCTTCCCTGCTCTGCAAGGAAAGAGTTAACTCTCCTAGCAGCAGGCCACTGATGGCTTTGTCTCTGCCCAGAGCTGCAAGCAAAGGCCTGAGCACTTAGCTGGGATGTAGTAGGGGCAACAACCCACTAGGTGACACGAGCCCCGAGTCCTGTTCTGAGATAACTTCAGCCCTGGAGAAGAGTAAGATCTCAGGGCACATCAACATATGACTGCGGGCAACCCAAGGCCCTGCTGCTGTCCTGCTGTGCATGGCAATGAGGGAAGGCATTGCCAGGGTCAGGATGGGTTTAATGGTGTGACTGGAGGTGTTTGCACCACCCTGCTTTGCAAGCTCTAAATAAGCTGCTGCTAATTGCTCTCTTCCTGTCCTTTCCCTAGTGGAGGAGGGGTCTCAGGGTCGTGACTAAACTTCAGAAAAGCTTTGTAAGTCTGTCCTTGGGTGCTGTTTCATCCTTTGTCGAAAAACATCCTGAGACCCTACCTGTGCAAACAATTGCTTTGTTTTAAGCTTGCTTTTTGCAATGATGGCACTTCTCCTGGGAGCCATCAGCAACCAAACACAAAGCTGCATCACTGTGGGTGCAAGGGCTAGGGCACCCGGCCTGTATCTGCTGTGAAGACTGGCTCTAGAAAGTAGTCTCAAAAGATGGGCTTAAGCCTGCTGAGAGGAAAGCACACCAGTGTATGTATGCTGCTGTGAGATGAAGAAGCTAGCAGAAATCTCTGCAAATGATGATCAGAAGTTCAGAACCTTCAGCAGTAGCCCTTCTTGGGTGATGCCTTCACTGTGGGCCAGCAGGGTGAGAACATGCAGGCCTTTTATAGAACTGGTCTATATTGCCAGTCAGCTTAGCAGCACCACTTTGCAAAGATGGGTCTGGTCTCTTCTCCTCTGTACCTTCTGCCTTTCCACCCCACATGGCGAGAGCAACCCCCGCTCATGGGTGGTGGCAGGATTCCTCAAAGGAATGAGGAGTGAGGCTGGTAGCACTGGTGACTACTTATTATGTCAGCAGCATTTTGCAGTACATATTACCAGGAAGTCGATGCTGCAAGGGAGGGAGCAGCGTGAGAAAACCAACACGGTCACAACCAGCTTCACTGGGGAGAGATCATAATCATACAACAGCTTGGGTTGCCGTAAAGAGTATCGAATTCCAAGCCTCCTGCTATGGGAAGGGACAATTTCCACTAGGTCAGATTCCTCAGAGCCCCATGCAACCTGGCCTTGAACACCTCCAGGGATAGGGCATCCACAACTTCTCTGGGCAACGCGTGTCAGTGCCTCACCACCCTCACAGGAAAGATTTTTTTCCCAATATCTAATCTGAACCTACCCTCTTTGAGTTTAAAGTCGTTCCTCCTTGTCTTACCAATACACTCCCTAATAAAGTGTCTCTCTCCTGCTTTCTTGTAGGCCCACTTTTGGTACTGGAGGGCTGCAACAAGGTCTCCCTGGAGCCTTCTCTTCTCCAGGCTGAACACCACCAACTCCCTCCGCTTGTTGTCTTCATAGGCACATAGGTTTCCTAAACACGTGTAGCAGCACATTTAGGAAGGGTGGTGGGGTTGTGTGCTGAACATGTCTCCCCCCAGAAGCAAGCACTGGGCTGGAACTGACACCAGAAACAAAGCCCCCTTGCACCTTTCCTGTCCTTCCGTTTTTCATTTTAAGAAAGCAGGCCCCAATGAAAACACAAGCTCTGGGACAAATCAGGTATTTTATTCTTCCCCTTCCCTTTCCCCTTTCACACCCCTGAGAAAAGGCATTTCCCAGACAAGGGATGAAATGGTCACCTTTATCAGAGGGCAGTCTCTTCCACGGGCCTTCTCAGAAATTTCTGAGAGAGGAACTCATGCACACGCACACACAATGTTTTTACAGTTTCTGCACTGCTACAGCTTGTCTCCTTTGTGGACACACTTGTGTGATCTAAGGTCAGAACAGCTCTCGAAGGCCTTTGCACAGTCAGGACACTTGTAGGGTCTCTCTCCTGTGTGGATCCGTTTGTGCAATTTGAGTCTATATCTCGACTGGAAGCCCTTCCCACACTCAGGACACTTGTAGGGCATCTCTCCTGTGTGGATCCATTTGTGCGCATTGAGTCTATAACTCGAAGGGAAGCTCTTCCCACACTCAGGACACTTGTAGTGTCTCTCTCCTGTGTGGATCCGTTTGTGCAAGTTGAGTCCATGATTCGACTGGAAGGTCTTCTCACAATCAGGGCACTTGTAGGGTCTCTCTCCTGCGTGGATCCGTTTATGCAGATTGAATAAAAAACTCCTTATGAAGCCCTTCCCACACTCAGGACACTTGTAGGGTCTCTCTTCTTTATGGGTCCATTTGTGCAAATTGAGTACAGAAATCTTTATGAAGCCCTTCCCACACTCAGGGCACTTGTAGGGCATCTCTCCTGTGTGGATCCATTTGTGCGCATTGAGTCTATAACTCGAAGGGAAGCTCTTCCCACACTCAGGACACTTGTAGGGCATCTCTCCTGTGTGCATCCATTTGTGCGCATTCAGTCTATAACTCGAACGGAAGCTCTTCCCACACTCAGGACACTTGTAGTGTCTCTCTCCTGTGTGGATCCGTTTGTGCAAGTTGAGTCTATGATTCGACTGGAAGGTCTTCTCACAATCAGGGCACTTGTAGGGTCTCTCTCCTGCGTGGATCCGCTTATGCAGATTGAATAAAAAACTCCTTATGAAGCCTTTCCCACACTCAGGGCATTTGTAGGGCTTCTCTCCGGTGTGAAAGCCCTGGTGGGAGATGAGATCTACTCTTCTTCTGTAGCTCTTCTCACACTGTGAGCACTTGTGACGTCTCTCTCCTGTGTGAAAATACTTATGGGAGGTGAGTGCAGAGTTGCTTCTGAAGCTCTTCTCACACTCCAAGCACTTGTAGGGTCTCTCTCCTGTGTGAATCCGCTGGTGTATAACAAGACTGGAACTTGTTAGGTAGCTCTTCCCACACTCAGTGCACTTGTAAGGTTTGTCTCCTGTGTGGATGCGTTGATGCATAAGAAGATAGGAATGACTTTTAAAGATTCCTCCACACTTGTCACATTGGTTCTCCAACTTCTTCTGGCAGCCTTGCTTCATTGTCAGTTCTTTAGCCTCCTTTTGACCTTTGCTGCCATCTAGGGGCTTCCGAGATCCATTTCCTCGATGGGTTTTCAGTGGCTTCTTGAGATGCTTTCCATGCTCCAGGCCCTTTTGCACTCCCCTTCTGGTTTTTCCCACAGAGACAGCATTCAGCTGCCTTTGGGCCACGCCACCTTTCTGAAGAGGCTCCGCTGCTTTTGTGATCCTGTCACCTGCTGGATGACAGAGGAAATCCACAACCAGCCCATAGTGCCCACAATATTGCCCAGACAGAGCTCTCTGATCCTCTGATTTTGCCTTCTGCCAACCCCAATCTCCTCCCTTCCTCCACCACCTCACCTGGGCTGAGGTCTCCTGTCACATCCTCCACGCCATGCAGATCTGGGATCCAGGGATCTTCCCCTTCTTCAAGCTGGGAGATCACCACGGGTTTGGGGGATGGAAGGAGTCCTTAAATGACATAAACAGAGGAGATGAGAGCATTTGGAGGGCTACTAAGATGATCAGAGGGCTGGAAAACCTCCCTGTGCATAAAGCTTGAGGAAATTGAGCTTGTTTAGCTTGGAGAAGAGAAGGCTCCAGGGAGACCTCACTGTGGCCTTCCAGTGTTTGAAGGGAGCGTATCAACAGGAGGGGGAACGCCTGCTTACATGTGTTGGTAGTGATAGGACAAGGGGGGATGGTTTTAAACTAAGAGGGGAGATTTAGGTTGGAAATGAGGAGAAAGTTTTTCACTCAGAGGGTGGTGAGGCACTGGAACAGTTTGCCCAGGGAGGTTGTGGATGCCCCAGCCCTGGAGGCATTCAAGGCCAGGCTTGATGCAACTCTGGGAAGCCTCCTCTACTGGTTGGCAACCTTGCCCAGAGCAGGGGGGTTGAAACTCGAAGATCTTTAAGGTCCTTTTCAATCCAGGCCGTTCTATGACTCTATGATTTCCATGGTTTTGACACAGCTGCTAAGTGTCCACGTGTACTATGTAATCACTCCCTTCCTGTAAAGTCACTTTTAAGGCCCAGTATCATTCAGGTCAGCAACATAGACTAGCTTTGTTAGAAGACAGCAAGGCTCTTCTATCTCTGAAAATACTGCAGGGGCTTACTTATTTGCCTTACCTTTTACCTACTTATTCAATGCAGTTGACTTCAAGAAGGTTTAGGGGAAAACTGAGGAAGGCAATGCTGAGAAGGAAGATTTACATGCAACCACCAAGAAAAGCTCTTTTGGACGCATGTCTATATAACTATAATATATACATATATATACAAGTATATGTCTATATAGCTATAGTTGTATATTATATTATTAAATATTCTAATATACACTATTATTTTTCATATTATATTATGATTGTATCATTATATCATAATATATATATGTTACAGTGGATAACACACTACTGTCTTCTTAACTCATCCTTATCTTTTTTTCTGTGTGGTTTTAGGATGCTGGTTTTTGTTTTTTTTTTTTTTATTTTTTTTCCTTCTGTATGCAGTAAATAATTGCATTGTGTTTATTATATGTCTTGCTCACAGAGGCTTCTTCTACACCACGAAAGCTCCCCTACTGAGGAGAAAAGGAAGCAAAGCCCTCACTCACCCAGCGAAGTTATGGACTCATACGTCTCCAGCATCACGTCCCGGTAGAGCACTCGCTGTGCAGGATGCAGCAGCTCCCACTCCTCCCTGCTGAAATACACCTGCCACCTCCACGAAGGTCACGGGTTCCTGCAAGCAAAGAGGCTCCATGTAGAAGCAGCCTGTTGATGACAGAAGCTCCAGTCCCAGTGGCTTCTCTGTGCCCAGCACACAAATGCTGGCTGACGGCACCTCATCTTCCCCCTGCATTCACATCCCTTCCCCCTTGGCCTCTCCTGGCTGCTTCTCCAAGCCCCTACCTCAGCTGGATGTGCCGTGGCCATTTCCTGCCCTCCTGCAGGCTGGGACAATCACAGCTGAAAGGTAGATGTCAAACTGGAACCTGCTGGGACAAGAGAAAATGGCAGGGTAGGTTTGGGGGAATGCAGCAGTCCCTGTCCCTGTCCCTCCCCAGCGCCAGCCCAGCTGCAGGCCATTGATTGGGGGTAAAAGCCAGCTGGGACACAGGTTTAAGAAAGGAAAAAGCTGCTGCACATCAGCAATCGTCAGAGAGGAGTGAGAAAATGAGATGAAAACAACCCTGCAGACACTAAGGTCAGTGACAAAGGAGGAAGGAGGTGCTCCAGGCACCAGGACAGAATTTCCCCTGAAGCCTGTGGCCAGGACCACGGGGAAGCAGGCTGTCCTGCTGCAGCCCCCGGTGTGGCAGAGTGGATCAGATCTCTAAACTGCAGCCCACTGAGGAGCTCATGTTGGGGCAGGTGGATATGGCCTAAAAGGGGGTGCAACCCACAGAGAGCTGCCCTTTGCCCCGTCTCGTTTTGAGCTCTTTGCCCAGCTCCAACCCCGTCCTGTGCCCCCTCAGAAACCTCAGCAACAGAGTCTAAGGCACGGCTCAGGAAACAACACTGCAGATCCAGAGCCTTCCTGCTGAGGACTTGCATCCTCTTTCACAGAGCCCAGCTCATTTCTTGGCTGCAGCCAAGAGAGGAGCAGTGAGCAACAAGCTGCATGCTTTGCGTCCTGACAGCTATCTCCCACCCTTGAACAGCAACATGGGTCAGATCCTGCTTTTCCTTTCCCCTTTTGCATGACCTCCCAAGTCTGGTGCTGAGCTTTAGATGCTCAGGCCCTGTCTCAAAGGGGGGAATCATGTGGAAAAGGAAAAATCCTGCCTCTTGTCTGCATAAACAATGGAGAGTACCTACCTTGTTATAAATGAAGTCTCAACTCAATCTGAATTTAGTAATATTCAGAAAATAATATTTACAAAAGGTATAAAAGGTATAAAAGGCAAGTAAACAGCGCTGGGTGAGCGGGGAGTCTACGCTCCACCAACATGCACACACGAACATCAAACATTCTAACTATATAGAACATCGCTTTTACATACTAAACCCGAGTATGCCTATACATACGTACAATCAGGAAAGGTAACAAACAATCCTTGAAGTTCCGTGACTTAACAGTCTCCATTTTCCATTCCTTTTGAACAATAGATCTTGCTTTAAGTTGTCAAGCAACTTGGTCTTTGGGCCTTATGTCTCCCGTTCTTCCCAGATCGAAGAAAAACATACCCATCTCCTTTTCAAGCCAATGAGGCCTGGGCTCAAAAGGCACGTTCAGGTCAACAGGGGGCGGAACAGCAAAAGCCTTCCATGGCTGTAGCGGCAGAAGGACCGATGCCCTAGCAGTCGGATCAGTAAAGGAGCCCACAGCTCCCTCACTATCTGACAAACCACACGTTTCTGACTGTGGCCCCACATGGCTCTTTAAGGCCTCAGAGATTGCTCGCCAGGTGCCCAGCAATCCCACTGCAACCTTGTCATTTGTAGTTGCAGAGTCCCACACCTTGACCTCAATTTGGTCCCATGTTTCAGGATCATAAACTGTCTGATTGTTAAGTAGAAGAATAAGCTGTAAGGTTACCAGGACTTTGTTCCTAAGGACATATGATTCCCCATAATGTGCAGCTGCTTACCAGCGAGGGGCAGTTGTGTGCACAGGTCCGCTTCTCTCAGCTTGAGCTTCTTCCCAGCTCCGGTGCGCCTAATTCCCGCAACTTTCAGTTTGAGATTCTCTGAGTGGTTTGCTGAGTTTGGCCGAACCTATCTTAATGGGGCAATCAATGTGCCTGTTCCCGTACTGGTCTCCGTTCCGCTAGCCTGTTCCTGTTCATTCCTTCTTTCTGCTTCTTTATTGATGACATAACTTCATCACATCGTGTTGCCTTTTTCTTATCTTTTTTAATCTTGAGGGCAGGCTCCCCTCTTATACCTTTCTCTCCACAGCAGTTCTTTTCAAAACAGCTTTTCATTGGTCAAGCAACTTTGCATATAACAACAGCAAACACTCAGAAACTTCCATGCCTTAATGGCTGGAGAACAAAAGACCAGCTGGAGAACAAGAAACCTGAGACTGCATGGAGTCTCCTGAATCACCCTTCTTTGTTCCCGCTAAACTCTTTTATATTCCCGATGGCCTCATCGTTAAGAGTCTAATGTTATCTCAAACACGGGGCTGTCCGACCTCCATGGGCACACTCCCACATCTCCCCCTTCTTTATGAATATCAACCATTTTCTCGACACGAATTACCACTCCATTTATAACATACCTCGAGTCCACAGTAGGCTGCTCCCACCCTCCTTGCAGGCAGCCTGGCTCCTCTGAGTCGTGTAGGCTGGAGGACGCCAAGTATCCTGAGCCTGGACGCAGCTGCAGGATGGCCGCGGTTCACCTCCTGCAACCAAGACACTGCCTGGGTGGCTTCCAGCCAGGCTCTACTTGCCTTACAGGGTGCACCTCTGAGGTCTGCTGGTGGGCAGGGAGCTGTGAGCTGCACCAAAGGCTTTTCCCCCCACTGAGCACCCTGGCAGAGCCCAGACTCTCAGGCTCTCCTCTGTAGGGGCATTTCCATGCCCTGGGGCTCTGTTCAGGCCCAGCCCAAGGTACTTAACCCCTCATCAGCTTTGTAGGAGGAGCTCTGGGCTGCAGCTCAGCCTTGGCCATAGCTCCTCCTGATGTGCAGCATGTCTTCCTGGCCCCAAACCAGAATGTGTTGTGAAGCTGCAGCACAGAAAATCAGAGGTTGGTTAGGGCTTGACCTCGGCCTTCTCTGTTGGCTCCCCCAGAGCATGCCACTGTGTGAGGAAAGGGTTCAGCGCTCCGCCCTGCTCAGCCTTCCCTGCTCTGCAAGGAAAGAGTTAACTCTCCTAGCAGCAGGCCACTGATGGCTTTGTCTCTGCCCAGAGCTGCAAGCAAAGGCCTGAGCACTTAGCTGGGATGTAGTAGGGGCAACAACCCACTAGGTGACACGAGCCCCCGAGTCCTGTTCTGAGATAACTTCAGCTCTGGAGAAGAGCAAGATCTCAGGGCACATCAACATATGACTGCGGGCAACCCAAGGCCCTGCTGCTGTCCTGCTGTGCATGGCAATGAGGGAAGGCATTGCCAGGGTCAGGATGGGTTTAATGGTGTGACTGGAGGTGTTTGCACCACCCTGCTTTGCAAGCTCTATATAAGCTGCTGCTAATTGCTCTCTTCCTGTCCTTTCCCTAGTGGAGGAGGGGTCTCAGGGTCGTGACTAAACTTCAGAAAAGCTTTGTAAGTCTGTCCTTGGGTGCTGTTTCATCCTTTGTCGAAAAACATCCTGAGACCCTACCTGTGCAAACAATTGCTTTGTTTTAAGCTTGCTTTTTGCAATGATGGCGCTTCTCCTGGGAGCCATCAGCAACCAAACACAAAGCTGCATCACTGTGGGTGCAAGGGCTAGGGCACCCGGCATGTATCTGCTGTGAAGACTGGCTCTAGAAAGTAGTCTCAAAAGATGGGCTTAAGCCTGCTGAGAGGAAAGCACACCAGTGTATGTATGCTGCTGTGAGATGAAGAAGCTAGCAGAAATCTCTGCAAATGATGATCAGAAGTTCAGAACCTTCTGCAGTAGCCCTTCTTGGGTGATGCCTTCACTGTGGGCCAGCAGGGTGAGAACATGCAGGCCTTTTATAGAACTGGTCTATATTGCCAGTCAGCTTAGCAGCACCACTTTGCAAAGATGGGTCTGGTCTCTTCTCCTCTGTACCTTCTGCCTTTCCACCCCACATGGCGAGAGCAACCCCCGCTCATGGGTGGTGGCAGATTCCTCAAAGGAATGAGGAGTGAGGCTGGTAGCACTGGTGACTACTTATTATGTCAGCAGCATTTTGCAGTACATATTACCAGGAAGTCGATGCTGCAAGGGAGGGAGCAGCGTGAGAAAACCAACACGGTCACAACCAGCTTCACTGGGGAGAGATCATAATCATACAACAGCTTGGGTTGCCGTAAAGAGTATCGAATTCCAAGCCTCCTGCTATGGGAAGGGACAATTTCCACTAGGTCAGATTCCTCAGAGCCCCATGCAACCTGGCCTTGAACACCTCCAGGGATAGGGCATCCACAACTTCTCTGGGCAACGCGTGTCAGTGCCTCACCACCCTCACAGGAAAGATTTTTTTCCCAATATCTAATCTGAACCTACCCTCTTTGAGTTTAAAGTCGTTCCTCCTTGTCTTACCAATACACTCCCTAATAAAGTGTCTCTCTCCTGCTTTCTTGTAGGCCCACTTTTGGTACTGGAGGGCTGCAACAAGGTCTCCCTGGAGCCTTCTCTTCTCCAGGCTGAACACCACCAACTCCCTCCGCTTGTTGTCTTCATAGGCACATAGGTTTCCTAAACACGTGTAGCAGCACATTTAGGAAGGGTGGTGGGGTTGTGTGCCGAACATGTCTCCCCCCAGAAGCAAGCACTGGGCTGGAACTGACACCAGAAACAAAGCCCCCTTGCACCTTTCCTGTCCTTCCGTTTTTCATTTTAAGAAAGCAGGCCCCAATGAAAACACAAGCTCTGGGACAAATCAGGTATTTTATTCTTCCCCTTCCCTTTCCCCTTTCACACCCCCGAGAAAAGGCATTTCCCAGACAAGGGATGAAATGGTCACCTTTATCAGAGGGCAGTCTCTTCCACGGGCCTTCTCAGAAATTTCTGAGAGAGGAACTCATGCACGCACACACACAATGTTTTTACAGTTTCTGCACTGCTACAGCTTGTCTCCTTTGTGGACACACTTGTGTGATCTAAGGTCAGAACAGCTCTCGAAGGCCTTTGCACAGTCAGGACACTTGTAGGGTCTCTCTCCTGTGTGGATCCGTTTGTGCAATTTGAGTCTATATCTCGACTGGAAGCCCTTCCCACACTCAGGGCACTTGTAGGGCATCTCTCCTGTGTGGATCCATTTGTGCTCATTGAGTCTATAACTCGAAGGGAAGCTCTTCCCACACTCAGGACACTTGTAGGGTCTCTCTCCTGTGTGGATCCGTTTGTGCAAGTTGAGTCTATGATTCGACTGGAAGGTCTTCTCACAATCAGGGCACTTGTACAGTCTCTCTCCTGTGTGGATCCGTTTATGCAGATTGAATAAAAATCTCCTTATGAAGCCCTTCCCACACTCAGGACACTTGTAGGGTCTCTCTTGTTTATGGATCCATTTGTGCAAATTGAGTACAGAAATCCTTATGAAGCCCTTCCCACACTCAGCGCACTTGTAGGGTTTGTCTCCTGTGTGGATCCATTTGTGCGCATTGAGTCTATAACTCGAAGGGAAGCTCATCCCACACTCAGGACACTTGTAGGGCATCTCTCCTGTGTGGATCCATTTGTGCGCATTGAGTCTATAACTCGAAGGGAAGCTCTTCCCACACTCAGGACACTTGTAGTGTCTCTCTCCTGTGTGGATCCGTTTGTGCAAGTTGAGTCCCTGATTCGACTGGAAGGTCTTCTCACAATCAGGGCACTTGTAGGGTCTCTCTCCTGCGTGGATCCGTTTATGCAGATTGAATGAAAAACTCCTTATGAAGCCCTTCCCACACTCAGGACACTTGTAGGGTCTCTCTTCTTTATGGGTCCATTTGTGCAAATTGAGTACAGAAATCTTTATGAAGCCCTTCCCACACTCAGGGCACTTGTAGGGCTTCTCTCCTGTGTGAAAGCCCTGGTGGGAGATGAGATCTGCTCTTCTTCTGTAGCTCTTCTCACACTGTGAGCACTTGTGAGGTCTCTCTCCTGTGTGAAAATACTTATGGGAGGCGAGTGAAGAGCTCCTTCTGAAGCTCTTCTCACACTCCAAGCACTTGTAGGGTCTCTCTCCTGTGTGAATCCGCTGGTGTATAACAAGATTGTATCTTTTTATGTAGCTCTTCCCACACTCAGTGCACTTGTAGGGTTTGTCTCCTGTGTGGATGCGCCGGTGCTTAAGAAGATAGGAATGACTTTTAAAGATTCTTCCACACTCGTCACATTGGTTCTCCAATTTCTTCTGGCAGCCTTGCTTCATTGTCAGTTCTTTAGCCTCCTTTTGACCTTTGCTGCCATCTAGGGGCTTCCGAGCTCCATTTCCTCGATGGGTTTTCAGTGGCTTCTTGAGATGCTTTCCATGCTCCAGGCCCTTTTGCACGCCCCTTCTGGTTTTTCCCACAGAGACAGCATTCAGCTGCCTTTGGGCCACGCCACCTTTCTGAAGAGGCTCCGCTGCTTTTGTGATCCTGTCACCTGCTGGATGACAGAGGAAATCCACAACCAGCCCATAGTGCCCACAATATTGCCCAGACAGAGCTCTCTGATCCTCTGATTTTGCCTTCTGCCAACCCCAATCTCCTCCCTTCCTCCACCACCTCACCTGGGCTGAGGTCTCCTGTCACATCCTCCACGCCATGCAGATCTGGGATCCAGGGATCTTCCCCTTCTTCAAGCTGGGAGATCACCACGGGTTTGGGGGATGGAAGGAGTCCTTAAATGACATAAACAGAGGAGATGAGAGCATTTGGAGGGCTACTAAGATGATCAGAGGGCTGGAAAACCTCCCTATGCATAAAGCTTGAGGAAATTGAGCTTGTTTAGCTTGGAGAAGAGAAGGCTCCAGGGAGACCTCACTGCGGCCTTCCAGTGTTTGAAGGGAGCGTATCAACAGGAGGGGGAACGCATGCTTGGGGGATGGTTTTAAACTTAGAGGGGAGATTTAGGTTGGAAATGAGGAGAAAGTTTTTCACTCAGAGGGTGGTGAGGCACTGGAACAGTTTGCCCAGGGAGGTTGTGGATGCCCCAGCCCTGGAGGCATTCAAGGCCAGGCTTGATGCAACTCTGGGCAGCCTCCTCTACTGGTTGGCAACCTTGCCCAGAGCAGGGGGGTTGAAACTCGAAGATCTTTAAGGTCCTTTTCAATCCAGGCCGTTCTATGACTCTATGATTTCCATGGTTTTGACACAGCTGCTAAGCGTCCACGTGTACTATGTAATCACTCCCTTCCTGTAAAGCCACTTTTAAGGCCCAGTATCATTCAGGTCAGCAACATAGACTAGCTTTGTTTGAAGACAGCAAGGCTCTTCTATCTCTGAAAATACTGCAGGGACTTATTTATTTGCCTTACCTTTTACCTACTTATTCAATGCAGTTGACTTCAAGAAGGTTTAGGGGAAAACTGAGGAAGGCAATGCTGAGAAGGAAGATTTACATGCAACCACCAAGAAAAGCTCTTTTGGACGCATGTCTATATAACTATAATATCTACATATATATACAAGTATATGTCTATATAGCTATATGTAATTATATTATTAAATATTCTAATATACAGTATTATTTTTCATATTATATTATGATTGTATCATTATATCATAATATATATATGTTACAGTGGATAACACACTACTGTCTTCTTAACTCATCCTTATCTTTTTTTCTGTGTGGTTTTAGGTTGCTGGGTTTTTTATTTTTTTTTAATTTTTTTTCCTTCTGTATGCAGTAAATAATTGCATTGTGTTTATTATATGTCTTGCTCACAGAGGCTTCTTCTACACCACGAAAGCTCCCCTACTGAGGAGAAAAGGAAGCAAAGCCCTCACTCACCCAGCGAAGTTATGGACTCATACGTCTCCAGCATCACGTCCCGGTAGAGCACTCGCTGTGCAGGATGCAGCAGCTCCCACTCCTCCCTGCTGAAATACACCGCCACCTCCACGAAGGTCACGGGTTCCTGCAAGCAAAGAGGCTCCATGTAGAAGCAGCCTGTTGATGACAGAAGCTCCAGTCCCAGTGGCTTCTCTGTGCCCAGCACACAAATGCTGGCTGACGGCACCTCATCTTCCCCCTGCATTCACATCCCTTCCCCCTTGGCCTCTCCTGGCTGCTTCTCCAAGCCCCTACCTCAGCTGGATGTGCCGTGGCCATTTCCTGCCCTCCTGCAGGCTGGGACAATCACAGCTGAAAGGTAGATGTCAAACTGGAACCTGCTGGGACAAGAGAAATGGCAGGGTAGGTTTGGGGGAATGCAGCAGTCCCTGTCCCTGTCCCTCCCCAGCACCAGCCCAGCTGCAGGCCATTGATTGGGGGTAAAAGCCAGCTGGGACACAGGTTTAAGAAAGGAAAAAGCTGCTGCACATCAGCAATCAGTCAGAGAGGAGTGAGAAAATGAGATGAAAACAACCCTGCAGACACTAAGGTCAGTGACAAAGGAGGAAGGAGGTGCTCCAGGCACCAGGACAGAATTTCCCCTGAAGCCTGTGGCCAGGACCACGGGGAAGCAGGCTGTCCTGCTGCAGCCCCCGGTGTGGCAGAGTGGATCAGATCTCTAAACTGCAGCCCACTGAGGAGCTCATGTTGGGGCAGGTGGATATGGCCTAAAAGGGGGTGCAACCCACAGAGAGCTGCCCTTTGCCCCGTCTCGTTTTGAGCTCTTTGCCCAGCTCCAACCCCGTCCTGTGCCCCCTCAGAAACCTCAGCAACAGAGTCTAAGGCACGGCTCAGGAAACAACACTGCAGATCCAGAGCCTTCCTGCTGAGGACTTGCATCCTTTTTCACGGAGCCCAGCTCATTTCTTGGCTGCAGCCAAGAGAGGAGCAGTGAGCAACAAGCTGCATGCTTTGCGTCCTGACAGCTATCTCCCACCCTTGAACAGCAACATGGGTCAGATCCTGCTTTTCCTTTCCCCTTTTGCATGACCTCCCAAGTCTGGTGCTGAGCTTTAGATGCTCAGGCCCTGTCTCAAAGGGGGGAATCATGTGGAAAAGGAAAAATCCTGCCTCTTGTCTGCATAAACAATGGAGAGTACCTACCTTGTTATAAATGAAGTCTCAACTCAATCTGAATTTAGTAATATTCAGAAAATAATATTTACAAAAGGTATAAAAGGTATAAAAGGCAAGTAAACAGCGCTGGGTGAGCGGGGAGTCTACGCTCCACCAACACGCGCACACGAACATCAAACATTCTAAATATATAGAACATCGCTTTTACATACTAAACCCGAGTATGCCAATACATACGTACAATCAGGAAAGGTAACAAACAATCCTTGAAGTTCCGTGACTTACAGTCTCCATTTTCCATTCCTTTTGAACAATAGATCTTGCTTTAAGTTGTCAAGCAACTTGGTCTTTGGGCCTTATGTCTCCCGTTCTTCCCAGATCAAAGAAAAACATACCCATCTCCTTTTCAAGCCAATGAGGCCTGGCTCAAAAGGCACGTTCAGGTCAACAGGGGGCGGAACAGCAAAAGCCTTCCATGGCTGTAGCGGCAGAAGGACCGATGCCCTAGCAGTCGGATCAGTAAAGGAGCCCACAGCTCCCTCACTATCTGACAAACCACACGTTTCTGACTGTGGCCCCACATGGCTCTTTAAGGCCTCAGAGATTGCTCGCCAGGTGCCCAGCAATCCCACTGCAACCTTGTCATTTGTAGTTGCAGAGTCCCACACCTTGACCTCAATTTGGTCCCATGTTTCGGGATCATAAACTGTCTGATTGTTAAATAGAAGAATAAGCTGTAAGGTTACCAGGACTTTGTTCCTAAGGACATATGATTCCCCATAATGTGCAGCTGCTTACCAGCGAGGGGCAGTTGTGTGCACAGGTCCGCTTCTCTCAGCTTGAGCTTCTTCCCAGCTCCGGTGCGCCTAATTCCCGCAACTTTCAGTTTGAGATTCTCTGAGTGGTTTGCTGAGTTTGGCCGAACCTATCTTAATGGGGCAATCAATGTGCCTGTTCCCGTACTGGTCTCCGTTCCGCTAGCCTGTTCCTGTTCATTCCTTCTTTCTGCTTCTTTATTGATGACATAACTTCATCACATCGTGTTGCCTTTTTCTTATCTTTTTTAATCTTGAGGGCAGGCTCCCCTCTTATACCTTTCTCTCCACAGCAGTTCTTTTCAAAACAACTTTTCATTGGTCAAGCAACTTTGCATATAACAACAGCAAACACTCAGAAACTTCCATGCCTTAATGGCTGGAGAACAAAAGACCAGCTGGAGAACAAGAAACCTGAGACTGCATGGAGTCTCCTGAATCACCCTTCTTTGTTCCCGCTAAACTCTTTTATATTCCCGATGGCCTCATCGTTAAGAGTCTAATGTTATCTCAAACACGGGGCTGTCCGACCTCCATGGGCACACTCCCACATCTCCCCCTTCTTTATGAATATCAACCATTTTCTCGACACGAATTACCACTCCATTTATAACATACCTCGAGTCCACAGTAGGCTGCTCCCACCCTCCTTGCAGGCAGCCTGGCTCCTCTGAGTCGTGTAGGCTGGAGGACGCCAAGTATCCTGAGCCTGGACGCAGCTGCAGGATGGACGCGGTTCACCTCCTGCAACCAAGACACTGCCTGGGTGGCTTCCAGCCAGGCTCTACTTGCCTTACAGGGTGCACCTCTGAGGTCTGCTGGTGGGCAGGGAGCTGTGAGCTGCACCAAAGGCTTTTCCCCCCACTGAGCACCCTGGCAGAGCCCAGACTCTCAGGCTCTTCCTCTGTAGGGGCATTTCCATGCCCTGGGGCTCTGTTCAGGCCCAGCCCAAGGTACTTAACCCCTCATCAGCTTTGTAGGAGGAGCTCTGGGCTGCAGCTCAGCCTTGGCCATAGCTCCTCCTGATGTGCAGCATGTCTTCCTGGCCCCAAACCAGAATGTGTTGTGAAGCTGCAGCACAGAAAATCAGAGGTTGGTTAGGGCTTGACCTCGGCCTTCTCTGTTGGCTCCCCCAGAGCATGCCACTGTGTGAGGAAAGGGTTCAGCGCTCCGCCCTGCTCAGCCTTCCCTGCTCTGCAAGGAAAGAGTTAACTCTCCTAGCAGCAGGTCACTGATGGCTTTGTCTCTGCCCAGAGCTGCAAGCAAAGGCCTGAGCACTTAGCTGGGATGTAGTAGGGGCAACAACCCACTAGGTGACACGAGCCCCCGAGTCCTGTTCTGAGATAACTTCAGCCCTGGAGAAGAGCAAGATCTCAGGGCACATCAACATATGACTGCGGGCAACCCAAGGCCCTGCTGCTGTCCTGCTGTGCATGGCAATGAGGGAAGGCATTGCCAGGGTCAGGATGGGTTTAATGGTGTGACTGGAGGTGTTTGCACCACCCTGCTTTGCAAGCTCTAAATAAGCTGCTGCTAATTGCTCTCTTCCTGTCCTTTCCCTAGTGGAGGAGGGGTCTCAGGGTCGTGACTAAACTTCAGAAAAGCTTTGTAAGTCTGTCCTTGGGTGCTGTTTCATCCTTTGTCGAAAAACATCCTGAGACCCTACCTGTGCAAACAATTGCTTTGTTTTAAGCTTGCTTTTTTGCAATGATGGCGCTTCTCCTGGGAGCCATCAGCAACCAAACACAAAGCTGCATCACTGTGGGTGCAAGGGCTAGGGCACCCGGCATGTATCTGCTGTGAAGACTGGCTCTAGAAAGTAGTCTCAAAAGATGGGCTTAAGCCTGCTGAGAGGAAAGCACACCAGTGTATGTATGCTGCTGTGAGATGAAGAAGCTAGCAGAAATCTCTGCAAATGATGATCAGAAGTTCAGAACCTTCTGCAGTAGCCCTTCTTGGGTGATGCCTTCACTGTGGGCCAGCAGGGTGAGAACATGCAGGCCTTTTATAGAACTGGTCTATATTGCCAGTCAGCTTAGCAGCACCACTTTGCAAAGATGGGTCTGGTCTCTTCTCCTCTGTACCTTCTGCCTTTCCACCCCACATGGCGAGAGCAACCCCCGCTCATGGGTGGTGGCAGGTTCCTCAAAGGAATGAGGAGTGAGGCTGGTAGCACTGGTGACTACTTATTATGTCAGCAGCATTTTGCAGTACATATTACCAGGAAGTCGATGCTGCAAGGGAGGGAGCAGCGTGAGAAAACCAACACGGTCACAACCAGCTTCACTGGGGAGAGATCATAATCATACAACAGCTTGGGTTGCCGTAAAGAGTATCGAATTCCAAGCCTCCTGCTATGGGAAGGGACAATTTCCACTAGGTCAGATTCCTCAGAGCCCCATGCAACCTGGCCTTGAACACCTCCAGGGATAGGGCATCCACAACTTCTCTGGGCAACGCGTGTCAGTGCCTCACCACCCTCACAGGAAAGATTTTTTTCCCAATATCTAATCTGAACCTACCCTCTTTGAGTTTAAAGTCGTTCCTCCTTGTCTTACCAATACACTCCCTAATAAAGTGTCTCTCTCCTGCTTTCTTGTAGGCCCACTTTTGGTACTGGAGGGCTGCAACAAGGTCTCCCTGGAGCCTTCTCTTCTCCAGGCTGAACACCACCAACTCCCTCCGCTTGTTGTCTTCATAGGCACATAGGTTTCCTAAACACGTGTAGCAGCACATTTAGGAAGGGTGGTGGGGTTGTGTGCCGAACATGTCTCCCCCCAGAAGCAAGCACTGGGCTGGAACTGACACCAGAAACAAAGCCCCCTTGCACCTTTCCTGTCCTTCCGTTTTTCATTTTAAGAAAGCAGGCCCCAATGAAAACACAAGCTCTGGGACAAATCAGGTATTTTATTCTTCCCCTTCCCTTTCCCCTTTCACACCCCCGAGAAAAGGCATTTCCCAGACAAGGGATGAAATGGTCACCTTTATCAGAGGGCAGTCTCTTCCACGGGCCTTCTCAGAAATTTCTGAGAGAGGAACTCATGCACGCACACACACAATGTTTTTACAGTTTCTGCACTGCTACAGCTTGTCTCCTTTGTGGACACACTTGTGTGATCTAAGGTCAGAACAGCTCTCGAAGGCCTTTGCACAGTCAGGACACTTGTAGGGTCTCTCTCCTGTGTGGATCCGTTTGTGCAATTTGAGTCTATATCTCGACTGGAAGCCCTTCCCACACTCAGGGCACTTGTAGGGCATCTCTCCTGTGTGGATCCATTTGTGCGCATTGAATCTATAACTCGAAGGGAAGCTCTTCCCACACTCAGGGCACTTGTAGGGTCTCTCTCCTGCGTGGATCCGTTTATGCAGATTGAATGAAAAACTCCTTATGAAGCCCTTCCCACACTCAGGACACTTGTAGGGTCTCTCTTCTTTATGAATCCATTTGTGCAAATTGAGTACAGAAATCTTTATGAAGCCCTTCCCACACTCAGGGCACTTGTAGGGTTTCTCTCCTTTGTGAACATATTGATGGTAGATGAGTGAAGAGCTGTCGCTGAAGCTCTGCTCACACTCCAAGCAGTTGTAGGGTCTCTCTCCTGTGTGAATCCGCTGGTGTATAACAAGACTGGAACTTTTTATGTAGCTCTTCCCACACTCAGCGCACTTGTAGGGTTTGTCTCCTGTGTGGATGCGCCGGTGCTTAAGAAGATAGGAATGACTTTTAAAGATTCTTCCACACTCGTCACATTGGTTCTCCAATTTCTTCTGGCAGCCTTGCTTCATTGTCAGTTCTTTAGCCTCCTTTTGACCTTTGCTGCCATCTAGGGGCTTCCGAGCTCCATTTCCTCGATGGGTTTTCAGTGGCTTCTTGAGATGCTTTCCATGCTCCAGGCCCTTTTGCACGCCCCTTCTGGTTTTTCCCACAGAGACAGCATTCAGCTGCCTTTGGGCCACGCCACCTTTCTGAAGAGGCTCCGCTGCTTTTGTGATCCTGTCACCTGCTGGATGACAGAGGAAATCCACAACCAGCCCATAGTGCCCACAATATTGCCCAGACAGAGCTCTCTGATCCTCTGATCTTGGCTTTTGCCAACCCCAATCTCCTCCCTTCCTCCACCACCTCACCTGGGCTGAGGTCTCCTGTCACATCCTCCACGCCATGCAGATCTGGGATCCAGGGATCTTCCCCTTCTTCAAGCTGGGAGATCACCACGGGTTTGGGGGATGGAAGGAGTCCTTAAATGACATAAACAGAGGAGATGAGAGCATTTGGAGGGCTACTAAGATGATCAGAGGGCTGGAAAACCTTCCTATGCATAAAGCTTGAGGAAATTGAGCTTGTTTAGCTTGGAGAGGAGAAGGCTCCAGGGAGACCTCACTGCGGCCTTCCAGTGTTTGAAGGGAGCGTATCAACAGGAGGGGGAACGCATGCTTACATGTGTTGGTAGTGATAGGACAAGGGGGGATGGTTTTAAACTAAGAGGGGAGATTTAGGTTGGAAATGAGGAGAAAGTTTTTCACTCAGAGGGTGGTGAGACACTGGAACAGTTTGCCCAGGGAGGTTGTGGATGCCCCAGCCCTGGAGGCATTCAAGGCCAGGCTTGATGCAACTCTGGGAAGCCTCCTCTACTGGTTGGCAACCTTGCCCAGAGCAGGGGGGTTGAAACTCGAAGATCTTTAAGGTCCTTTTCAATCCAGGCCGTTCTATGACTCTATGATTTCCATGGTTTTGACACAGCTGCTAAGCGTCCACGTGTACTATGTAATCACTCCCTTCCTGTAAAGCCACTTTTAAGGCCCAGTATCATTCAGGTCAGCAACATAGACTAGCTTTGTTAGAAGACACCAAGGCTCTTCTATCTCTGAAAATACTGCAGGGGCTTACTTATTTGCCTTACCTTTTACCTACTTATTCAATGCAGTTGACTTCAAGAAGGTTTAGGGGAAAACTGAGGAAGGCAATGCTGAGAAGGAAGATTTACATGCAACCACCAAGAAAAGCTCTTTTGGACGCATGTCTATATAACTATAATATATACATATATGTACAAGTATATGTCTATATAGCTATATAGTTTGTATATTATTATATTATTAAATATTCTAATATACAGTATTATTTTTCATATTATATTATGATTGTATCATTATATCATAATATATATATGTTACAGTGGATAACACACTACTGTCTTCTTAACTCATCCTTATCTTTTTTTCTGTGTGGTTTTAGGATGCTGGTTTTTTGTTTTTTTTTTTTTTTTTTTTTTTCTTTTTCCTTCTGTATGCAGTAAATAATTGCATTGTGTTTATTATATGTCTTGCTCACAGAGGCTTCTTCTACACCACGAAAGCTCCCCTACTGAGGAGAAAAGGAAGCAAAGCCCTCACTCACCCAGTGAAGTTATGGACTCATACGTCTCCAGCATCACGTCCCGGTAGAGCACTCGCTGTGCAGGATGCAGCAGCTCCCACTCCTCCCTGCTGAAATACACTGCCACCTCCACGAAGGTCACGGGTTCCTGCAAGCAAAGAGGCTCCATGTAGAAGCAGCCTGTTGATGACAGAAGCTCCAGTCCCAGTGGCTTCTCTGTGCCCAGCACACAAATGCTGGCTGACGGCACCTCATCTTCCCCCTGCATTCACATCCCTTCCCCCTTGGCCTCTCCTGGCTGCTTCTCCAAGCCCCTACCTCAGCTGGATGTGCCGTGGCCATTTCCTGCCCTCCTGCAGGCTGGGACAATCACAGCTGAAAGGTAGATGTCAAACTGGAACCTGCTGGGACAAGAGAAATGGCAGGGTAGGTTTGGGGGAATGCAGCAGTCCCTGTCCCTGTCCCTCCCCAGCGCCAGCCCAGCTGCAGGCCATTGATTGGGGGTAAAAGCCAGCTGGGACACAGGTTTAAGAAAGGAAAAAGCTGCTGCACATCAGCAATCGTCAGAGAGGAGTGAGAAAATGAGATGAAAACAACCCTTGCAGACACTAAGGTCAGTGACAAAGGAAGAAGGAGGTCCTCCAGGCACCAGGACAGAATTTCCCCTGAAGCCTGTGGCCAGGACCACGGGGAAGCAGGCTGTCCTGCTGCAGCCCCCGGTGTGGCAGAGTGGATCAGATCTCTAAACTGCAGCCCACTGAGGAGCTCATGTTGGGGCAGGTGGATATGGCCTAAAAGGGGGTGCAACCCACAGAGAGCTGCCCTTTGCCCCGTCTCGTTTTGAGCTCTTTGCCCAGCTCCAACCCCGTCCTGTGCCCCCTCAGAAACCTCAGCAACAGAGTCTAAGGCACGGCTCAGGAAACAACACTGCAGATCCAGAGCCTTCCTGCTGAGGACTTGCATCCTTTTTCACAGAGCCCAGCTCATTTCTTGGCTGCAGCCAAGAGAGGAGCAGTGAGCAACAAGCTGCATGCTTTGCAGTCCTGACAGCTATCTCCCACCCTCGAACAGCAACATGGGTCAGATCCTGCTTTTCCTTTCCCCTTTTGCATGACCTCCCAAGTCTGGTGCTGAGCTTTAGATGCTCAGGCCCTGTCTCAAAGGGGGGAATCATGTGGAAAAGGAAAAATCCTGCCTCTTGTCTGCATAAACAATGGAGAGTACCTACCTTGTTATAAATGAAGTCTCAACTCAATCTGAATTTAGTAATATTCAGAAAATAATATTTACAAAAGGTATAAAAGGTATAAAAGGCAAGTAAACAGCGCTGGGTGTGCGGGGAGTCTACGCTCCACCAACACTGCACACACGAACATCAAACATTCTAAATATATAGAACATCGCTTTTACATACTAAACCCGAGTATGCCAATACATACGTACAATCAGGAAAGGTAACAAACAATCCTTGAAGTTCCGTGACTTAACAGTCTCCATTTTCCATTCCTTTTGAACAATAGATCTTGCTTTAAGTTGTCAAGCAACTTGGTCTTTGGGCCTTATGTCTCCCGTTCTTCCCAGATCAAAGAAAAACATACCCATCTCCTTTTCAAGCCAATGAGGCCTGGCTCAAAAGGCACGTTCAGGTCAACAGGGGGCGGAACAGCAAAAGCCTTCCATGGCTGTAGCGGCAGAAGGACCGATGCCCTAGCAGTCGGATCAGTAAAGGAGCCCACAGCTCCCTCACTATCTGACAAACCACACGTTTCTGACTGTGGCCCCACATGGCTCTTTAAGGCCTCAGAGATTGCTCACCAGGTGCCGAGCAATCCCACTGCAACCTTGTCATTTGTAGTTGCAGAGTCCCACATCTCAACCTCAATTTGGTCCCATGTTTCGGGATCATAAACTGTCCGATTGTTAAGTAGAAGAATAAGCTGTAAGGTTACCAGGACTTTGTTCCTAAGGACATATGATTCCCCATAATGTGCAGCTGCTTACCAGCGAGGGGCAGTTGTGTGCACAGGTCTGCTTCTCTCAGCTTGAGCTTCTTCCCAGCTCCGGTGCACCTATTTCCAGCAACTTTCAGTTCGAGATTGTCTGAGAGGTTTGCTGAGTTTGGCCGAACCTATCTTAATGGGGCAATCAATGTGCCTGTTCCCGTACTGGTTCTTAATGTCTTCTGACCACGGTTCGCCTCCTGCAACCAAGACACTGCCTGGGTGGCTTCCAGCCAGGCTCTACTTGCCTTACAGGGTGCACCTCTGAGGTCTGCTGGTGGGCAGGGAGCTGTGAGCTGCACCAAAGGCTTTTCCCCCCACTGAGCACCCTGGCAGAGCCCAGACTCTCAGGCTCTTCCTCTGTAGGGGCATTTCCATGCCCTGAGGCTCTGTTCAGGCCCAGCCCAAGGTACTTAACCCCTCATCAGCTTTGTAGGAGGAGCTCTGGGCTGCAGCTCAGCCTTGGCCATAGCTCCTCCTGATGTGCAGCATGTCTTCCTGGCCCCAAACCAGAATGTGTTGTGAAGCTGCAGCACAGAAAATCAGAGGTTGGTTAGGGCTTGACCTCGGCCTTCTCTGTTGGCTCCCCCAGAGCATGCCACTGTGTGAGGAAAGGGTTCAGCGCTCCGCCCTGCTCAGCCTTCCCTGCTCTGCAAGGAAAGAGTTAACTCTCCTAGCAGCAGGCCACTGATATGCTCAGGCCTTTGATTGCAGCTCTGGGCAGAGACAAAGGAAAGGCCCCCACAGAGGAGGAGCCTGAGAGTCTGGGCCCTGCCAGGGTGCTCAGTGGGGGGAAAAGCCTTTGGTGCAGCTCACAGCTCCCTGCCCACCAGCAGGCCTCAGAGGTGCACCCTGTAAGGCAAGTAGAGACCTGGTTGCCTGCAACGAGGGTGGGAGCAGCCTACTGTGGACTCGAGGTAGGTACTCTTCATTGCTTATGCAGACAAGAGGCAGGATTTTCCTTTTTCACATGATTCCCCCCTTTGAGACAGGGCCTGAGCATCTAAAGCTCAGCACCAGACTTGGGAGGTCATGCAAAAGGGGAAAGGAAAAGCAGGATCTGACCCATGTTGCTGTTCAAGGGTGGGAGATAGCTGTCAGGATGCAAAGCATGCATCTTGTTGCTCACTGCTCCTCTCTTGGCTGCAGCCAAGAAATGAGCTGGGCTCTGTGACAGAGTATCCAAGTCCTCAGCAGGAAGGCTCTGGATCTGCAGTGTTGTTTTCCTGAGCCGTGCCTTAGACTCTGTTGCTGAGGTTTCTGAGGGGGCACAGGACGGGATTGGTGCTGGGAAAATCAAGAAGTGAGCAGAGACGATCAGCATGCTTTGCTGACCTGTTGAAGCTCTGTAATAATATATGTGGGACTACATTTCTAAGATGCGCACACACCTGACATCAAATAACCATTGTCCATACCTCTGCGTGTATCAATTCCTGCATGCTACAAAAATTTGCCTGCCTCCTGTTGTGTTTATTCTGCCAGCACTTGGTTTCCTTGCTTGCTTGTTCTGGGTCTTGTGCTACCTCCTTACCTACTGGACTTGGCTTTCTTTGTTCTGCAAATGCTTCCTAAGTCTGTTGTTCAGCATCTGCCTGTAACTGAAGACCCATTTTACAGGCAGCTGCTGGTCCTCCCTCAGGCGTAGTCAGCATTTCCACCAGCATTCCATACGCGCAGAAAAGAGTCCACAACCATAGGGTTGTAAAGTAGGTTTTCTTTATTGTGGTGCACCGGGCGCACTGGGAATAGCTTCCCTCAAAAAGTGCGGTTGTCTCTCACAATTTTATACACGAATACTGTTACATATTACATGAGCTCTAATACATATTCATTAATTTCCCTGAAAAGGCGGACCTCTTCCAAGTACTCATTTGCATACTCACTGCTCCTTCCGGTTGCGCCTGTGCAGTGTAGCCTGTTGTTCATGGGCAGCGGTCTTTCAGGATGAAGGCAATGAGGAAGAGGAGGTTAAACATGTAGTAAACAATTGTTTTAACCATGTCAAATTTGGTAACCAACTGGTTAGTTTTTCCCATAATTCAGTAAACCCAAGCGAGGTGTCATCCCGTGACACCTCATGCAATTGGTGAGTATGTTTCTGTATCTCCTCTAAATCGGTTTCTACTCTTTGGTATATTTGATCAATATACGTACAGCAACTCTGGTTTCTTACAGTGCACACTCCTTCCTTCGCTGTTAATAAATCTAAAGCCATTCAATTTTGTAAAACTACCCTACTGAGAGATGATACTTCTACCTCTGGTGCTTTTATCACATCTGTGGTGGAATTCTCTACCTGTTCTAATTCGGCTGAAATATTAACTATTGCCTTTTCCAAATCGCTCACTCCCAAGCTAGGAATTCACCATCTAACAAAACTATGGTATCCTGTAGGCCTTTCTATCAAAGGATTCAGTGGGATTGCTCGAGTTACTGCATTTCCATGGGGACCTTAAGATCCCCATAGGTACTGTAGGCCCATTATAAAAAAAATTGTGAAGTGCCAAGTATCCCCCTATACAATGACCCTTCCAATTAGGTGGTAAATTCTTCCTTGCTCCTTCCGGTTGCGCCTGCGCAATGTAGCCTGGTGGTCGTGGGCAGAGGCCTTTCAGGATGAAGGCAACAAGGAAGAGGAGGTTAAACTCTCTTTACCTTTGTGGACTTTGACCTTCTGTTGAACAGTTTAGGTCTTTTTTGCTTACCTTTGCCTTGTTTCCTGCCAACAAGTTGTTCATTCTTTCTTAACGAGGTGTTCCTTCTTCCCTTATCCGTTAGCCTTGAACGATATCTTCTTTTTACATCTACTTCTCATCTACATCCCTATAATTAGGATATTTTTAGGTTCCCATCCACACCAATAAATAAGATATTTTACCATATATGTAGCTAAATACTAATCAAGATAGGTTTCAGCATCTTCCCCATCTCAATGGACTAACTCAGAGCTCCTCTTGAATGGGTCAGGGGAAGAAAATACTCTGAAACAAGAACAACTTCACAGCTCACAGATTAAGACAGGGAGATCGCTTTCCAATAAACATCACAATCAAACGAGATGGGGGCAAAGGGCAGCTCCTCATGGTCCTGGCCACAGGCTTCAGGGGAAATTCTGTCCTGGTGCCTGGAGCACCTCCTTCCTCCTTTGTCACTGACCTTAGTGTCTGCAGGGTTGTTTTCATCTCATTTTCTCACTCCTCTCTGACGATTGCTGATGTGCAGCAGCTTTTTCCTTTCTTAAACCTGTGTCCCAGCTGGCTTTTACCCCCAATCAATGGCCTGCAGCTGGGCTGGTGCTGGGGGGTGACAGGGACAGGGACTGCTACATTCCCCCAAACCTACCCTGCCATTTCTCTTGTCCCAGCAGGTTCCAGTTTGACATCTACCTTTCAGCTGTGATTGTCCCAGCCTGCAGGAGGGCAGGAAATGGCCACGGCACATCCAGCTGAGGTAGGGGCTTGGAGAAGCAGCCAGGAGAGGCCAAGGGGGAAGGGATGTGAATGCAGGGGGAAGATGAGGTGCCGTCAGCCAGCATTTGTGTGCTGGGCACAGAGAAGCCACTGGGACTGGAGCTTCTGTCATCAACAGGCTGCTTCTACATGGAGCCTCTTTGCTTGCAGGAACCCGTGACCTTCGTGGAGGTGGCAGTGTATTTCAGCAGGGAGGAGTGGGAGCTGCTGCATCCTGCACAGCGAGTGCTCTACCGGGACGTGATGCTGGAGACGTATGAGTCCATAACTTCGCTGGGTGAGTGAGGGCTTTGCTTCCTTTTCTCCTCAGTAGGGGAGCTTTCGTGGTGTAGAAGAAGCCTCTGTGAGCAGGACATATGGACATAAACACAATGCAATTATTTACTGCATACAGAAGGAAAAAAATAAATAATAAAAAAAAACAGCAACGTAACACCACATACAAAAAAGATAAGGATGAGTTAAGAAGACAGTAGTGTGTTATCCACTGTAACATATATATATTATGATATAATGATACAATCATAATATAATATGAAAAATAATACTGTATATTAGAATATTTAATAATATAATAATATACAAACTATATAGCTATGTAGACATATACTTGTATATATATGTATATATTATAGTTATATAGACATGCGTCCAAAAGAGCTTTTCTTGGTGGTTGCATGTAAATCTTCCTTCTCAGCATTGCCTTCCTCAGTTTTCCCCTAAACCTTCTTGAAGTCAACTGCATTGAATAAGTAGGTAAAAGGTAAGGCAAATAAATAAGTCCCTGCAGTATTTTCAGAGATAGAAGAGCCTTGCTGTCTTCAAACAAAGCTAGTCTATGTTGCTGACCTGAATGATACTGGGCCGTAAAAGTGACTTTACAGGAAGGGAGTGATTACATAGTACACGTGGACACTTAGCAGCTGTGTCAAAACCATGGAAATCATAGAGTCATAGAACGGCCTGGATTGAAAAGGACCTTAAAGATCTTCGAGTTTCAACCCCCCTGCTCTGGGCAAGGTTGCCAACCAGTAGAGGAGGCTGCCCAGAGTTGCATCAAGCCTGGCCTTGAATGCCTCCAGGGCTGGGGCATCCACAACCTCCCTGGGCAAACTGTTCCAGTGCCTCACCACCCTCTGAGTGAAAAACTTTCTCCTCATTTCCAACCTAAATCTCCCCTCTAAGTTTAAAACCATCCCCCAAGCATGCGTTCCCCCTCCGGTTGATACGCTCCCTTCAAACACTGGAAGGCCGCAGTGAGGTCTCCCTGAAGCCTTCTCTTCTCCAAGCTAAACAAGCTCAATTTCCTCAAGCTTTATGCATAGGGAGGTTTTCCAGCCCTCTGATCATCTTAGTAGCCCTCCAAATGCTCTCATCTCCTCTGTTTATGTCATTTAAGGACTCCTTCCATCCCCCAAACCCGTGGTGATCTCCCAGCTTGAAGAAGGGGAAGATCCCTGGATCCCAGATCTGCATGGCGTGGAGGATGTGACAGGAGACCTCAGCCCAGGTGAGGTGGTGGAGGAAGGGAGGAGATTGGGGTTGGCAAAAGCCAAGATCAGAGGATCAGAGAGCTCTGTCTGGGCAATATTGTGGGCACTATGGGCTGGTTGTGGATTTCCTCTGTCATCCAGCAGGTGACAGGATCACAAAAGCAGCGGAGCCTCTTCAGAAAGGTGGCGTGGCCCAAAGGCAGCTGAATGCTGTCTCTGTGGGAAAAACCAGAAGGGGCGTGCAAAAGGGCCTGGAGCATGGAAAGCATCTCAAGAAGCCACTGAAAACCCATCGAGGAAATGGAGCTCGGAAGCCCCTAGATGGCAGCAAAGGTCAAAAGGAGGCTAAAGAACTGACAATGAAGCAAGGCTGCCAGAAGAAATTGGAGAACCAATGTGACGAGTGTGGAAGAATCTTTAAAAGTCATTCCTATCTTCTTAAGCACCGGCGCATCCACACAGGATACAAACCCTACAAGTGCACTGAGTGTGGGAAGAGCTACATAGAAAGATACAATCTTGTTATACACCAGCGGATTCACACAGGAGAGAGACCCTACAAGTGCTTGGAGTGTGAGGAGAGCTTCAGAAGCAGCTCTGCACTCGCCTCTCATAAGTATTTTCACACAGGAGAGAGACCCTACAAGTGCCCTGATTGTGAGAAGAGCTTCAAAACGAGTTCTGAACTCAAATTGCACAAACGGATCCACACAGGAGAGAGACCCTACAAGTGCCCTGATTGTGAGAAGAGCTTCAACACGAGTTCTGGGCTCAATGTGCACAAATGGATCCACACAGGAGAGAGACCGTACAAGTGCCCTGATTGTGGGAAGGGCTTCATAAGGATTTCTTTACTCAATTTGCACAAATGGATCCACACGGAAGAGAGACCCTACAAGTGCCCTGAGTGTGAGAAGAGCTTCCACTCAAGATCTGGACTCAAATGGCACAAACAGATCCACACAGGAGAGAGACCCTACAAGTGCCCTGATTGTGAGAAGAGCTTCAAAACGAGTTCTGAACTCAAATTGCACAAACGGATCCACACAGGAGAGAGACCCTACAAGTGCCCTGATTGTGAGAAGAGCTTCAACACGAGTTCTGGGCTCAATGTGCACAAATGGATCCACACAGGAGAGAGACCGTACAAGTGCCCTGATTGTGGGAAGGGCTTCATAAGGATTTCTTTACTCAATTTGCACAAATGGATCCACACGGAAGAGAGACCCTACAAGTGCCCTGAGTGTGAGAAGAGCTTCCACTCAAGATCTGGACTCAAATGGCACAAACAGATCCACACAGGAGAGAGACCCTACAAGTGCCCTGATTGTGAGAAGAGCTTCAAAACGAGTTCTGAACTCAAATTGCACAAACAGACCCACACAGGAGAGAGACCCTACAAGTGCCCTGATTGTGAGAAGAGCTTCCAGTCGAATTATGGACTCAGTTTGCACAAATGGATCCACACAGGAGAGAGACCGTACAAGTGCCCTGATTGCGGGAAGGGCTTCATAAGGATTTCTGTACTCAATTTGCACAAACGAATCCACACGGAAGAGAGACCCTACAAGTGCCCTGAGTGTGAGAAGAGCTTCCACTCGAGTTCTGGACTCAAATTGCACAAACGGATCCACACAGGAGAGAGACCCTACAAGTGCCCTGATTGTGAGAAGAGCTTCAACACGAGTTCTGGGCTCAATGTGCACAAACGGATCCACACAGGAGAGAGACCGTACAAGTGCCCTGATTGTGGGAAGGGCTTCATAAATATTTCTGAACTCAATTTGCACAAATGGATCCACACGGAAGAGAGACCCTACAAGTGCCCTGAGTGTGGGAAGGGCTTCATAAGGAGTTCTGCACTCAATTTGCACAAACGGATCCACACAGGAGAGAGACCCTACAAGTGCCCTGAGTGTGAGAAGAGCTTCCAGTCGAATTATGGACTCAGTTTGCACAAACGGATCCACACAGGAGAGAGACCCTACAAGTGCCCTGATTGTGAGAAGAGCTTCAAAACGAGTTCTGAACTCAAAGTGCACAAACAGACCCACACGGGAGAGAGACCCTACAAGTGCCCTGAGTGTGGGAAAGGCTTCATAAGGAGTTCTGGGCTCAATGTGCACAAATGGATCCACACAGGAGAGAGACCCTACAAGTGTCCTGATTGTGGGAAGGGCTTCATAAGGATTTCTGTACTCAAATTGCACAAACAAATCCACACGGAAGAGAGACCCTACAAGTGTCCTGAGTGTGAGAAGAGCTTCTACTCGAGTTCTGGACTCAAATGGCACAAATGGATCCACACAGGAGAGAGACCCTACAAGTGCCCTGATTGTGAGAAGAGCTTCAGCACGAGTTCTGGGCTCAAATGGCACAAATGGATCCACACAGGAGAGAGACCCTACAAGTGCCCTGAGTGTGGGAAGGGCTTCGTAAGGAGTTCTGAACTCAATCTGCACAAACGGATCCACACAGGAGAGAGACCCTACAAGTGCCCTGAGTGTGAGAAGAGCTTCAGCACGAGTTCTGGACTCAAATGGCACAAACGGATCCACACAGGAGAGATGCCCTACAAGTGCCCTGAGTGTGGGAAGGGCTTCCAGTCGAGATATAGTCTCAAATTGCACAAACGGACCCACACAGGAGAGAGACCATACAAGTGTCCTGACTGTGCAAAGGCCTTCAAAAGCAGTTCTGAACTTAGATCACACAAGCGTGTCCACAAAGGAGAGAAGCTGTAGCAGTGCCCTGAGTGTGGGAGGAGATTCCGCCAGAGCTCGAACATGGTCACCTAATTCTAAATGCACACAGAAATATATTTATATTTCTTACAAATACCGTGAGCAGAGGAAGAGCCTTGTGGCAAACTCATCTTCAAAACCTCCTGCAGATCAGACTCCCTCCCCCGAAACTTGAAGCCGATGTTTAGCCCCATGCAGACAGCAGGGAGCACTAGGTGTAAGAATAAGATGTTTTCCCAGGCTGTGTTCCCTGGGAGATATCATTGAGAGCCCATCAGGGAATGGTGCATATGGCTGAGAGCAGAGAGAGAAACCCTGTCCCTAGTGTGGGCATCCGACGATGGCTGTTGGACAGATCCAGTCCCCTCTTCCCTTCCTTGTTCTGTTTATCACTGCGTAAAATATTCTCTGGGATTCCTGATTTTCACGTCACCTTTTTTCCCCTCACCTTTAGGGGACTTGCTGCCCAATGGTTTGTTAACAGCGGTAAATACCGAGTCCCAGAAGCCGTGACAGAGAGATTTAAATTCCTACCATGAAACCCAGCATAAAAACCCCACAAAGAGCAAACTCCCATCCTTGATCCTTGAAGCTGTGGTTTATCCTGGTGCAGACAAAAGAGAGCTCTGGGTGTCAAGATATTTGCTGGTGCCTTTCTTGGGAGATATTGCTGTGAGTCCAGCAAGGAATGATGCATTTGCTCCATCTTCTTTGAGCAGCTTAGCAGATTCCCCAGTGGCTTCACCCCCTCTGGGATGCAAAGGGTGTAGGGATGCTGATAGAAGAGTCTGGAAAGGAAAAGGGAAACAGGAAAAGCCAGCTGATGCTCTGTGCTATCCTCTACGCCTGTAGCCAGGCTCATATTTTGGCAGTGGCCAGCTCGCTGCTCCTACCACAAGAGCCCATGGGGACCAGCTGGCCAGCTGCAAGTGAACCTTTGGGAGATGTCATGCAGGAGAGCTAAGAAGTCAGAGCAGTGCTGGGTAAGGAGTCCAGAGTTTTGGTGATGCTCATCCCAAAGCAAGGCAGGCAACACTTCCAATCTCCACCTGAGTAAGCAACATCCTGCCAAGATTCACAAATGACACATCAAGGCACAGAAGAAAGTCACAATTCCCACACCTCTGCATAAGGAAATGCTCCCAGTTTCACTTTGGCTCACTTGGACAAGGCAGACCCCATTTTGGCTTGTGACCGGCATGCCTTGGAGTTTTCCCATCCTTTGGCTGGAGCATATCACCCTTCCTGGCCTTAGGTTGTGGTGGGTGTTCTGGGACAAATATATCCTGTTCCTGCTTTGTCCCCAGTGTGGGAATTACCCATATTGCTCTCCTTTTCAACTGGAGATGGGGTGCCAAGTGACCACACAAAGGAAAGTGCAGAGCTGGCTGTGGCGAAGCCACTGGAAGCCCTTGGGATGTTGGTAGGTGGATCAGAAGCACATTTCTCCCAGGGATGTGTATGAGGAAAGTCACCCGGGAAAGTGACTCTTCACTCAGAGAGCCCAGGAAAGTCACCTCTGGATAAACCCCTGGATAAACCCATCTGCTGTGGGTGAGTGCATGAAGATCCAAAAGAAAACTTGGCTGGAAAGTGTCCTGGTTTCAGTTAGGACAGAGTTAATTTTCTTCCTAGTAGCTGGTAGAATGCTATGTTTTGGCTTAGGATGAGAAGAGTGCTGGTAACACCCCGATGTTTTAATTGTTGCAGAGCAGTTCTTACACCAAACCAAGGACCTCTCAGCTTCTTGCTCTGTCCTGCCAATGGGCAAGAGCTGTGAGGGGACAGACCCAGGGGAGGTGACCCAAACTAGCCAAAGGGGTATTCCATCCCATCTGGGGTCATGCTAAACAATACATAGGGGTGGCTAGCCAGGGAAGGGTGGCCTGACTGCTCGGGGTTAGGCTGGGCATTGGCCAGCGGGTGGTGAGCAATTGCATTGTGCATCACTTGTTTTTACACAGTAGTAGTAGTAGTACTATTATCATCATCATTGTTATTATTTTTATTGTTATTATTATTTTCCTGTCTTAATAAACTGTCTTTATCACAACTCACGGGTTTTATTTCCCTTTTCTCTCCCCCATCCCAGAGAGGGAAGTGGGCGGGTGAGTGAACGGCTGTGTGGTGTTTAGCTACCGGCCGGGTTAAACCACTACAGAAAGAAAGGAAGAAAGCATGTCTGCAGGGATTACAGGAAGAACTTCAGCTGGAGCTCATGGAACTGACACCAGAAACAAAGCCCCCTTGCACCTTTCCTGTCCTTCCGTTTTTCATTTTAAGAAAGCAGGCCCCAATGAAAACACAAGCTCTGGGACAAATCAGGCTCACACCCTCCTTGCAGGCAGCCTGGCTCCTCTGAGTCGTGTAGGCTGGAGGACGCCAAGTATCCTGAGGCTGGACGCAGCTGCAGGATGGACGCGGTTCACCTCCTGCAACCAGGACACTGCCTGGGTGGCTTCCAGCCAGGCTCTCACTTGCCTTACAGGGTGCACCTCTGAGGTCTGCTTGTGGGCAAGGAGCTGTGAGCTGCACCAAAGGCTTTTCCCCCCACTGAGCACCCTGGCAGAGCCCAGACTCTCAGGCTCCTCCTCTGTGGGGGCCTTTCCTTTGTCTCTGCCCAGAGCTGCAAGCAAAGGCCTGAGCACATCAGTGGCCTGCTGCTAGGAGAGTTAACTCTTTCCTTGCAGAGCAGGGAAGGCTGAGCAGGGCGGAGCACTGAACCCTTTCCTCACACAGTGGCATGCTCTGGGGGAGCCAACAGAGAAGGCCAAGGTCAAACCCTAACCAACCTCTTTGATTTTCTGTGCTGCAGCTTCACAACACATTCTGGTTTGGGGCCAGGGAGCCATGCTGTGTGAAATAAATGACTGAGTCCCAAATAGGATTGCAATTAAAGTTTACAATTTATTAAATGCATAGAGGCAAGCAAACAGCACAGGGTGCGCTGGGAGTCTCAGCTCCACCAAGACGCACCCCTATTGCGTCAGGCGGCTGGTTTTTATGCTCCTAGGCTAATACATATTCATCACTACTTCCAGAAAAGGCAGGGTTATTATAATTAGTTTCCCGGGATCCAAACCTTCCACAGATGCATGCGTATTGGTCTCCGGTGGTCCCTCTGGGGGGTCGCTCATACTGAAAGCTTGCTCGTACTGAAGGCTCGTAGTCTTCCTTCCAGGCTTTGTCCTTCGGTCGTCCTTCAGCTTCCCCGTTCTCCTTGTTTGTGAATCTCTTATCCCAGATCTCAGAGACGTCCGTCCGCAACGGCCCATGCAAAAATCAGCAGTTTTTGAAAACTCCTTTGTTCCCTTATCCCCTAGACCTGAGTCTCAAGGTTTACCCTTAAAACCCTCTATTGACGCGAATTGCTAGACCGTTCCTCTGCAAGATACAGGAACTATATACATTAACCACACTGTTTTTCTTAGACTTGTGTTTATACAGTGGTATGTAAGACAGAAGGTCACATTTCATCATGCAACCCTAGCATTGTTCCATATTGACACGAATCAGATGAACACATTTCACACTGCATGTAAGGAATGGTCCAGCAATTCGTGTCAATAGAGGATCTGAAGGGTTAACATTGAGGCCAGGTCTGGGGGATAAGAGAACAAAGGGGTTTTCAGAGAACTGCTGACTATTGCACTGGAGGCTGTGCAAGTCTCTGACATCCGGCCCAGCCACTACCAAATACAGAGAGAGAGGAAGCGGAAGGACAAAGCCTGGGAGGAAGACTATGAGCCTTCAGCAATAACGACCCCGACCCCCGAGGAACCACTGGAGACTGGTATGCAGGTGCCCTTGTGCCCTTGGGACGGTTCGGCTTCTAGGAACTAACTATAATAACCCTGCCTTTTCTAGAAGTAGTGATGAATATGTATTAGCCTAGCAACATAAAACCGAGCTGCATGATGTAAGACGTATGCGTGTGGGAGGAGCCTGGACTCCCCAGCACACCCAGCACTGTTTACTTCCCTTTTATTAACCCTATAAATAAATCTTATAAAGCTAAATAGACTGGGAATTTATAACACTGCACATAAGGAGGAGCCATGGCCAAGGCTGAGCTGCAGCCCAGAGCACCTCCTACAGAGCTGATAAGGGGTTAAGTATCTTGGGCTGGGCCTGAACAGAGCCCCAGGGCATGGAAATGCCCCCACAGAGGAGGAGCCTGAGAGTCTGGGCTCTGCCGGGGTGCTCGGGGAGGCTGGGGTGGGGGGGTAAAGCCTTAGGTGCAGCTCACAGCTCCCTGCCCACTAGCAGACCTCAGAGGGGCACCCCGTAAGGCAAGTGAGAGCCTGGCTGGAAGCCACCCAGGCAGTGTCTTGGTTGCAGGAGGTGCACCGCGGTCATCCTGCAGCTGGGTCCAGCCTCAGGACACTTGGCATCGACTCAGACGACCTGGCTGCCTGCAAGGAGGGTGGGAGCAGCCTACTGTGGACTCGAGGTAGGTACTCTTCATTGTTTATGCAGACAAGAGGCAGAATTTTCCTTTTTCACATGATTCCCCTCTTTGAGACAGGGCCTGAGCATCTAAAGCTCAGCACCAGGCTTGGGAGGTCATGCAAAAGGGGAAAGGAAAAGCAGGATCTGACCCATGTTGCTGTTCAAGGACCCAAAGCATGCAGCTTGTTGCTCACTGCTCCTCTCTTGGCTGCAGCCAAGAAATGAGCTGGGCTCTGTGAAAAAGGATGCAAGTCCTCAGCAGGAAGGCTCTGGATCTGCAGTGTTGTTTCCTGAGCCGTGGATTAGACTCTGTTGCTGAGGTTTCTGAGGGGACACAGGATGGGGTTGGAGCTGGGAAAATCAAGAAGTGAGCAGAGACGATCAGCATGCTTTGCTGACCTGTTGAAGCTCTGTAATAATATATGTGGGACTACATTTCTAAGATGCGCACACACCTGACATCAAATGACCAGTGTCCTTACCTCTGCGTGTATCAGTTCCTGCATGCTATAAATATTTGCCTGCCTCCTGTTGTGTCTCTCAAGCTAAAACCTCCAGGTAAGGAATTTTCATCTCCTGCCCCTACATTTCTTTAGGGGATCCAGCACGCAAGATCTTCCTCTAGTGGCTCTTCGGATGTTACCTTTTGTTCTGCCAGCACTTGGTTTCCTTGCTTGCATGTTCTGGGGCTTGTGCTACCTCCTTACCTACAGGACTTGCCTTTCTTTGTTCTGCAAATGCTTCCTAAGTCTGTTGTTCAGCATCTGCCTGTAACTGAAGACCCATTTTACAGGCAGCTGCTGGTCCTCCCTCAGGCGTAGTCAGCATTTCCACCAGCACTGGACTCATTCAGGGCTCCTCTTGAATGGGTCAGGGGAAGAAAATCCTCTGAAACAGTAACAACTTCACTGCTCACAGGTTGAGACAGGGCCGGCTCACGGGTTGAGACAGGGTCAGGGGTGATCACATTCCAATAAACATCACAGTCAAACAAGAGGGGGCAGAGGGCAGCTCTCTGTGGGTTGCACCCCCTTTTAGGCCATATCCACCTGCCCCAACATGAGCTCCTCAGTGGGCTGCAGTTTAGAGATCTGATCCACTCTGCCACACCGGGGGCTGCAGCAGGACAGCCTGCTTCCCCATGGTCCTGGCCACAGGCTTAAGGGGAAATTCTGTCCTGGTGCCTGGAGCACCTCCTTCCTCCTTTGTCACTGACCTTAGTGTCTGCAGGGTTGTTTTCATCTCATTTTCTCACTCCTCTCTGACGATTGCTGATGTGCAGCAGCTTTTTCCTTTCTTAAACCTGTGTCCCAGCTGGCTTTTACCCCCAATCAATGGCCTGCAGCTGGGCTGGTGCTGGGGAGGGACAGGGACAGGGACTGCTGCATTCCCCCAAACCTACCCTGCCATTTCTCTTGTCCCAGCAGGTTCCAGTTTGACATCTACCTTTCAGCTGTGATTGTCCCAGCCTACAGGAGGGCAGGAAATGGCCACGGCACATCCAGCTGAGGTAGGGGCTTGGAGAAGCAGCCAGGAGAGGCCAAGGGGGAAGGGATGTGAATGCAGGGGGAAGATGAGGTGCCGTCAGCCAGCATTTGTGTGCTGGGCACAGAGAAGCCACTGGGACTGGAGCTTCTGTCATCAACAGGCTGCTTCTACATGGAGCCTCTTTGCTTGCAGGAACCCGTGACCTTCGTGGAGGTGGCAGTGTATTTCAGCAGGGAGGAGTGGGAGCTGCTGCATCCTGCACAGCGAGTGCTCTACCGGGACGTGATGCTGGAGACGTATGAGTCCATAACTTCACTGGGTGAGTGAGGGCTTTGCTTCCTTTTCTCCTCAGTAGGGGAGCTTTCGTGGTGTAGAAGAAGACTCTGTGAGCAGGACATATAAGAAAAAAAATGCAATTATTTACTGCATACAGAAGGAAAGAAATAAAAAAAAATAAAAAACCCAGCAACCTAAAACCACACACAAAAAAGATAAGGATGAGTTAAGAAGACAGTAGTGTGTTATCCACTGTAACATATATATATTATGATATAATGACACAATCATAATATGAAAAATAATACTGTATATTAGAATATTTAATAATATAATTATATATATCTATATATACATACATATGTATATATATGTATATATTATAGTTATATAGACATGCGTCCAAAAGAGCTTTTCTTGGTGGTTGCATGTAAATCTTCCTTCTCAGCATTGCCTTCCTCAGTTTTCCCCTAAACCTTCTTGAAGTCAACTGCATTGAATAAGTAGGAAAAAGGTAAGGCAAATAAATAAGTCCCTGCAGTATTTTCAGAGATAGAAAAGCCTTGCTGTCTTCAAACAAAGCTAGTCTATGTTGCTGACCTGAATGATACTGGGCCTTAAAAGTGGCTTTACAGGAAGGGAGTGATTACATAGTACATGTGGACGCTTAGCAGCTGTGTCAAAACCATGGAAATCATAGAGTCATAGAACGGCCTGGATTGAAAAGGACCTTAAAGATCTTTGAGTTTCAACCCCCCTGCTCTGGGCAAGGTTGCCAACCAGTAGAGGAGGCTGCCCAGAGTTGCATCAAGCCTGGCCTTGAATGCCTCCAGGGCTGGGGCATCCACAACCTCCCTGGGCAAACTGTTCCAGTGCCTCACCACCCTCTGAGTGAAAAACTTTCTCCTCATTTCCAACCTAAATCTCCCCTCTAAGTTTAAAACCATCCCCCAAGCGTGCGTTCCCCCTCCTGTTGATACGCTCCCTTCAAACACTGGAAGGCCGCAGTGAGGTCTCCCTGGAGCCTTCTCCTCTCCAAGCTAAACAAGCTCAATTTCCTCAAGCTTTATGCATAGGAAGGTTTTCCAGCCCTCTGATCATCTTAGTAGCCCTCCAAATGCTCTCATCTCCTCTGTTTATGTCATTTAAGGACTCCTTCCATCCCCCAAACCCGTGGTGATCTCCCAGCTTGAAGAAGGGGAAGATCCCTGGATCCCAGATCTGCATGGCGTGGAGGATGTGACAGGAGACCTCAGCCCAGGTGAGGTGGTGGAGGAAGGGAAGAGATTGGGGTTGGCAAAAGGCAAAATTAGAGGATCAGAGATCTCTGTCTGGGCAATATTGTGGGCACTATGGGCTGGTTGTGGATTTCCTCTTGTCATCCAGCAGGTGACAGGATCACAAAAGCAGTGGAGCCTCTTCAGAAAGGTGGCGTGGCCCAAAGGCAGCTGAATGCTGTCTCTGTGGGAAAAACCAGAAGGGGCGTGCAAAAGGGCCTGGAGCATGGAAAGCATCTCAAGAAGCCACTGAAAACCCATCCAGTAAATGGAGCTCGGAAGCCCCTAGATGGCAGCAAAGGTCAAAAGGAGGCTAAAGAACTGACAATGAAGCAAGGCTGCCAGAAGAAATTGGAGAACCAATGTGACGAGTGTGGAAGAATCTTTAAAAGTCATTCCTATCTTCTTAAGCACCGGCGCATCCACACAGGAGACAAACCCTACAAGTGCACTGAGTGTGGGAAGAGCTACCTAACAAGTTCCAGTCTTGTTATACACCAGCGGATTCACACAGGAGAGAGACCCTACAAGTGCTTGGAGTGTGAGAAGAGCTTCAGAAGCAACTCTGAACTCGCCTCCCATAAGTATTTTCACACAGGAGAGAGACCTCACAAGTGCTCACAGTGTGAGAAGAGCTACAGAAGAAGAGTAGATCTCATCTCCCACCAGGGCTTTCACACAGGAGAGAAGCCCTACAAGTGCCCTGAGTGTGGGAAAGGCTTCATAAGGAGTTTTCTACTCAATGTGCACAAACGGATCCACACAGGAGAGAGACCATACAAGTGCCCTGATTGTGAGAAGAGCTTCATAAAGAGTTCTGACTTCAACTTGCACAAACGGATCCACACAGGAGAGAGACCCTACAAGTGCCCTGAGTGTGGGAAGAGCTACCACTCGAGATCTGGACTCAAATGGCACAAACGGACCCACACAGGAGAGAGACCCTACAAGTGCTCTGACTGTGGGAAGGGCTTCATAAAGATTTCTATACTCAATTTGCACAAAGGGACCCACACGGGAGAGAGACCCTACAAGTGTCCAGAGTGTGGGAAGGCCTTCATAACGAGTTTTCTACTCAGTATACACAAACGGATCCACACAAGAGAGAGACCTCACAAGTGCCCTGAGTGTGAGAAGAGCTACAAAAGAAGGGTAAATCTCATCTACCACCAGCACTTTCACACAGGAGAGAAGAGCTACAAATGCCCTGAGTGTGGGAAAGGCTTCATAAGTAGTTTTCTACTCAATTTGCACAAACGGATCCACACAGGAGAGAGACCCTACAAGTGCTCACAGTGTGAGAAGAGCTTCCTCTCGATTTCTGGACTCAAATGGCACAAATGGATCCACACAGGAGAGAGACCCTACAAGTGCTCACAGTGTGAGAAGAGCTTCCTCTCAAGTTCTAGACTCAAATTGCATAAACGGATCCACACAGGAGAGAGACCCTACAAGTGCCCTGATTGTGGGAAGGTCTTCAGCAGGACTTCTTCACTCAAGTTGCACAAACGAATCCACACGGAAGAGAGACCGTACAAGTGCCCTGAGTGTGAGAAGAGCTTCAAAACGAGTTCTGACTTCAAATTGCACAAACGGACCCACACAGGAGAGAGACCCTACAAGTGTCCTGAGTGTGGGAAGGACTTCATAAGGAGTTTTCTACTCAAATTGCACAAACGGATCCACACAGGAGAGAGACCATACAAGTGCTCACAGTGTGAGAAGAGCTACAGAAGAAGAGAAGGTCTCATCTACCACCAGCGCTTTCACACAGGAGAGAAGCCCTACAAATGCCCTGAGTGTGGGGAGAGCTTCAAAGCGAGTTCTGGACTCAATTTGCACAAACGGATCCACACAGGAGAGAGACCCTACAAGTGCCCTGATTGTGAGAAGAGCTTCCTCTCGAGTTCTGGACTTAAATTGCACAGACGGATCCACACAGGAGAGAGACCATACAAGTGTCCTGACTGTGCAAAGGCCTTCAAAAGCAGTTCTGAACTTAGATCACACAAGCGTGTCCACAAAGGAGAGAAGCTGTAGTAGTGCCCTAAGTGTGGGAGGAGCTTCAGCCAGAGCTCGAAGCTGGTCACCCAATTCTAGATTCACACAGAAGAGAACCTTACAAATACCTTGAGCAGAGGAAGAGCCTTGTGGCAAACTCATCTTCAAACCCTCCTGCATATCAGACTCCCTCCCCCGAAACTTGAAGCCGAGGTTTAGCCCCATGCAGACAGCAGGGAGCACTAGGTGTAAGAATAAGATGTTTTCCCAGGCTGTGTTCCCTGGGAGATATCACTGAGAGCCCATCAGGGAATGGTGCATATGTCTGAGAGCAGAGAGAGAAACCCTGTCCCTAGTGTGGGCATCCGACGATGGCTGTTGGACAGATCCAATCCCCTCTTCACTTCCTTATTCTGATTATCACTATGTAAAATATTCTCTAGGATTCCTGACTTTCATGTCACCTTTTTTCTAAACTGCAGCGCACTGAGGAGCTCATGTTGGTAAGTGATTTCCCTGTCTCTGTCTCAACCCATGTGCTGTGAGTTTTTTCTTGTTAAGGAGGAAGCACAAGCCCCAGAACAAGCAAGCAAGGATACCAAGTGCTGATAGAACAAAAGGTAACATCAGAAGAGCCACTAGAGGAAGATCTTGCCTGCTGGATCCCCTAAAGAAATGTAGGGGCAGGAGATGAAAATTCCTTACCTGGAAGTTTTAGCTTGAGAGACACAACAGGAGGCAGGCGAATTTTTATAGCATGCAGGAACTGATACACGCAGAGGTAAGGACTCTGGTCATTTGATGTCAGGTGGGGAGAGGAGGAAGGTCTTAGAAATATAGTCCCAGATATATTATTACAGATCTGTTCTACATAATACCTTGAAACAGCTGCTTCCTTGTACCTGATCTGCCCGGACAAACCTGCTTTGCTGTGCAAGAGATGGAACCAGGACCTGGATCCTGCCTGGGGTAAAGCTTTCCTGGTTCTGAAACACTTTGCTGCTCTTGTCTGTCCTCCTGGTCCTGCTGGCAGGGGGCAGAAGAGCCTCCTTTAGGACTGGGTCAGCCTCACAAAGTATCAGAAAATGTCTAAAAGCAGACAGCAAAGAGAAAAGGGGAGGGGAACATAAATAGAAACTAAATAGAAACAATGCAGCGTGATGAGAATAAATCTGTCCCCTCCATTAAAAAGAAAATAAAATATAGAGAAGCAATGCCATGAGTGGTGGCTTGGAGGAATCAAGTGCTGCTGCAAGAACTGTTTTGTGCCCGCACACCAGGCATCTGACCTTTTTCCTTTAAAAAACAGCAACAAAACAAACAAACAAAAAACAAAAACAAAAAAACAGAGTCACAGAGTCTAATCCAAGGCTCACAAAAGAACACTGCAAATCCAGAGCCTTCCAACTTGAGGACTTGCATACTCTTTTACAGAGCCCGTATCATTCATTTCTTGGCTGCAGCCAAGAGAGGAACAGTGAGCAATAAGCTGCATGCTTTGGGTCCTGACAGCTATCTCCCATACTTTAATAGCATGATGGGTCAGATCCTGCTTTTCCTTTTCCCTTTTGCATGACCTTCCAAGTCTGGTGCTGAACTTTAGATGCTCAGGTGGTGCTAAGCACCATGCCAGTCCTTGTCTCAAAGGGGGGAATCATGTGGAAAAGGAAAAGGTGGGCAGGGAGCTGTGAGCTGCACCAAAGGCTTTTCCCCCCACTGAGCACCCTGGCAGAGCCCAGACTCTCAGGCTCTTCCTCTGTGGGGGCATTTCCATGCCCTGGGGCTCTGTTCAGGCCCAGCCCAAGGTACTTAACCCCTTATCAGCTCTGTAGGAGGAGCTCTGGGCTGCAGCTCAGCCTTGGCCATAGCTCCTCCTGATGTGCAGCATGGTTTCCTGGCATGCCCCGGGGACTTGTCTCATGATCTGGATCCCGTCTCCCTTGTGCAGGTCTCCCTTGACCTGCTGGAAACACTCTTCCAAATGCAGTCCAGGATACTGTTGGCCTTCTTGGCCATGAGGGCACATTGCTGGCTCTTGGTCAGCCTGCTGTCCACCAGGACTCCCAGGTTCCTCTCTGCAGAGCTGCTCTGCAGCACATTAGCCCCCAGCCTGTACTGTTGCTTGGGGTTATTCCTCCCTACATGCAGGGCCCTGAACTTGCCTTTGTTGAACTTCAGGAGGTTCCTCCCAGCCCATCTCTCCAGCCTGTCAAGGTTCCTCTGAAGGGCAGCACAGCCCTCTGGGGTATCAGCCACTACTCCCAGCTTAATGTGGTCAGCAAACTTGCTGAGGGTGCACTCCGTTCCATCGTCCAGGTTGTTGATGAATACTTTGAACAAGACTGAACTCAGTACTTACCCTTGGCGGACACTGCTAGGTCTCCAACTGGACTCAGCACCACTAAGCACAACTCTCTGAGCTCTGCCATTCATCCAATTTTCAATCCACCTCACTGTCCACTCCGTCTAGCCCACACTTCCTGAGGATGTTATGGGAGACAGTGTCAAAAGCCTTGCTGAAGTCAAGGCAAGCCACCCATTAGCTGACAGAACACCACAAGTCCTGTTCTGAGATAACTTTTCCTTATCCACTAGGTGGGTGACCTGGTCATAGAAGGAGATGAGGCTGGTCAGGCAGGACTTGCCTTTCATGAACCCATTGCAAGACTTGCAGGAGCCGTGGACACCAGAAACTGAGCCCTGCAAATCTCACTGCTGCAGGTGCAGCTTCTTGTCAGGAAGTGCACAACAGTCACCAGCACCCACTCAACATGCCACGTTTCACAGGAAGAGGGTGGAGGTGCACAGCTCCTTCCCAGCCTCACAACCTGCCATTGGCACAGTGGGTTTTCCTTGCCTCAGTCATGTCCTGTTCTCTGTTGTGCATGGGGTCCCTGTCAGGAGGCTCTGCAGGGGGGAGCATGAAGGGAGCTGAGGGTTCTCAGTGTTGGACATGTGTGAGGGCTAAAAAGCAGGTCTTGGCTGTCAACACTGAGAAAGGCTATTTTCTGTCCCTCAAAGCCCAAGAAAACCCTAATCTTCTGTGTCATCTAGGTGAGGATGAAGGCTGTATGGTCAGGAGAGGTCAGACCTTAGTATGTGGCCCTGCTGGGAAAAAAGACAAGATCCCATCCTGCAGAGCCAGTTTGATTTACACCCTCCTCTTCGTGGATTGCCTGACCACCCTCATTGCTCAGACTTCCTCCTTTCATAGTCCCTGCAGCAGGGAGTTTGCAACATGGATGTGGGCTGCTGTGTGCCAATGCAGAGAACAGAGCCAAACACATTTAGGGGGTGCCTTAAGAAGTGACTCTGTTTCTCTTGGGATAAGAACCAAGAGCACCAACAAATGAGTCTAGGTGGAGATGGCAATGAGCTTCTCAGCCTGCAGGCCTCTTTCTAGTGCTGAGGTTTGGCTCCGCAACAGCTTGCCTTAAGCCATACAATGTGTCCCAGGTGGCCAAGAAGGCCAAGAGTATCCTGGCTTGTATCAGGAATAGTGTAACCAGCAGGAACAAGGAGGTGATCGTCCCCCTGTACTCCGCTCTGGTGAGGCCATACTGTGTTGGGTTTTGGGCCCCTCACTACAAGAAGGACATTGAGGCACTGAAATGCATCCAGAGAAGGGCTACAAAGCTGGTGAAGGGCTTGGAACACAAGTCCTATGAGGAGCATCCGAGATAACTGGGGTTGTTTAATCTGGAGAAAAGAAGGCTCAGGGGAGACCATATGGCTCTCTACAACTACCTGAAAGGAAGGTTTGGGGAGCTGGCAGTCAGCCTCTTCTCACAGATAACTAGTGATAGGACTAGAGGGAATGGCCTCAAGTTGTGCCAGGGGAGGTTCAGGTTGGAAATTAGAAGAAATTTCTTCTCAGAAAGAGCAGTCAGGCATTGGAATGGATTGCCCAGGAAGGTGGTGGAGTCACTGTCCCTGGGGGTGTTTAAGGAAAGGTTGGACATGGTGCTTAGGGACATAGTTTAGTGTGTGATTTTTTCTTTGTACTGGTGGAGTTAGCTAGCCAATTCATCCACCATGGCTTCCTCTGGGTCTTTCCAGGTCATTACTGACAAAGATTTGGCATATAATGATGGTGAGCTCCATACAAACTTCTGTCACATGGGTTGCATGCATTTGACTTGATCTGGATCTTTGGATATCTGTTCATTGTCTAGGTTACTATAAATCACCTCCATCACAGCTAATTGCCTCAGGTACTGGATACCTCTCTCCATGGTAGTCCACTTGCCTGGCTGACATACATCCTACTTGAAGGGATAGCTTTCCTTCATGCCTGACAGGAGTTGCCTTCAGAGGCTCTTTCTGTCTGTTTTTCCTCCTGTTTTTGTGATGGCCCTGTTTTAGAGCAGTCTGCCCCTTCCACTTTTCCCTCCCAGAGCCTTTTAGGACAAGCTTCTTCCCTTACTAAATAAACTGACTTCCTCTTCCATTGTTTCATCTTGACTATAGGGGTGACTAATACCATCCATTGGTCTCTTGGTTTTGCTACTCTGTTATCTAGACATCAGATTCAGACTTCCTCCTCCCCCTGAGGGTGCTGAATAGTGTTTGCTATTGTTAGGTAGGCACAGACCAGCTCCCAGCACAGTGCAGCAAGCTGTAACTCTGGCATTGCTGAAGTCAGGGAATACTTTCTTTTAAACATTCTTTCATTTGGGGGGGATTCCACACTTGTTCACTTGTGAAGCTCAAAACCAACGGAATAGATAGCCATGACAGAAGTTGTGGATGTCCCATCCCTGAAAGTGTTTAAGGCTAGATTGGATAGGGCTTTGAGTAACCTTGTCTAGTGGAAGTTGTCCATGCCAATGGCAGAGGGTTTGGAATTAGATGATCTTTAAGGTCCTTTCCAGCCCAAAGCATTCTATGATCCTATGACAGGTACCTGCACATATCCTTCTTGCCACCCACCATCACACTGCCTTGGGGTAGACTCCTGGGTGTTGTTCTTAAATATTTGTTTAACCTCAGGAAATAATAGAAACGTATTCTGGAGACTTAGATATAGGAGTATGTTGGTTACGCAAGGACACTCAAAATATTCAAAAGCTATTGTGATTAGCCCATAGGATAAGGAGGAAGAGGTACCATACCTTATATTCTCCACAGATTGATTCCAGAGGTAAAAAAAGAGTGCAGTTAATATTCTCCAAAAGGTGGTTCCTGAAGTACAGAGTTGATAGTAATGCAGGGCCTGGATACCAGATCAGGCTCAAGACCAGTGCTTTAAAGCACAGCGAACTGAATAAATAAATAAACCATCACCACTATAATGACAACAAAAAACAGACAACAACAACAAAACACATGACCTTTAACAGGCTCTCAGATTTGATAAGTAGCTAAAGAGAGAATGTGGCACAGTTCACATAAGACAGGATAAACACAGAACAATATTAAGAGCAAACTGGTCAATATCATGAACAAGAGCTCCTGGTCAAATATGATAATTGTAAATTCCCTCTAAAGTGCTCTGGTCAAATCGATTGTTATCTTAATTCTTTGAGTCACATGTTGGGCACCAAAAAGGACTGTGGCAACAACTCTCTCACTCTTCCTCCTCAAAGGGAGGGCAGAGAGATAGTATGATGGCAAAGAAAAGTGCTCACAGGTTGAGGATAAGTTAAAGGGAAAAGAAAGAGGAAAACACCAACAGAAACAAACAAGCAAAGGCTGCACAGAAGAAAAGAGAGAAAACAATTATTCTCTACTTCCCATCAATGAGCGATGTTCAGCCATGTCTTTGTAAGCAGAGCCTCAATATGCAGAGCAGTGTTGTGGAAGTATCATGTTTTCATAACAAGAGTTACCCATCTTCCATCTCCTTTTCCAGATTTTATTGCTGAGTATGACATCATATGGTATGGAATATCCCTTTGGTCAGTTTAAGTCAGCTGCCCTGGTGATGTCCCCATCCCACCTCTTGCCCAGCCCCAGCCTTCTGGCTCTGGGGGCTGGAGGGAATCTTGATGCTGTACCAGTATTGCTCAGCAATAAACAAAGCATTGGTGTGACACTTCTAGCTACAAGTGCAGAGCACAGCACTGTACAGGCAGCTGGGCCTGTTTGGCCTAGATAAGAGGACATCAATATCCTAATATATCAGTATCTTAAGGGAGGGTGTCAAGATGATGGGGCCAGACTCTTATTCAGCAGCTCCCAGTGATAGGAAGAGAACCAAGAGGCACAAACTGAAACACAAAGTTCCATCTGAATATGAGGAAAAAATTCTTTACTGTGCTGGTGACAGAGCACTGGAACAGGTTGGCAGAGAGATTGTGGAGTTTCTTTCTGTAGAGATATTCAAAACCCACCTGTATGTGACCCTGCACAGCATATTCTAGGCAACCGTGCTTTAACAAGGGAGTTGGACTGGATGGTCTCCAGAGGTTCCTTCCAACCTCCTCTATCCTGTGTTTTTGTGAGGGTGTTTGGGGTCCTGGAGGTCCCAGGCCTGGGGCTCTGGCCATGCCACTGTTGCCCCATGCCACTTCCAGCAGGAGAGGAGGAGAGGGGAGCTTGGTGATAAGCCCAGGGACTGGGCTGGGGCCACAAGGCAGGGCAGCGACATGTGTGGGGGTGAGCACACAGGGCAGGCTGGGAATGGGATACCCCTTGGCCATAGGGTGTCTTGGAGGGTTTGCGGGGACCCTGAGTGCTGGGGAATTGGGGCAGCTCTTGGCTGTCCCCTCCTGCTGCAGGTGGGGGCACCCACAGCTGTAGTTTTTCTCCAACATCCAGGGGCTGGTGGCCTTCGTGTCCTTCCCTTGCAATGGGGTTTGCTCTGCACCCACTGGTAGGGAGCACTGGGGGCTGTGACCAGTCTTTGGGGGGCACAGTGCTCCATGTGCCTTGAGGGGTGACTGTCCACCAGATCCTTCCATCTCTCTTGCTCCTATGTGGCCTGCTTGTGCCCCACTGGCCTGGCCCCACTTTGTCACCTCTGTTAATGCAGGTGTGTTGGGGACAGAGCAGGGAGCAGGGGGTCTCAGCACGGGGGCGGGCATCAGATGAGGGATTCCCGGGGATCCTGCCTGGACATGGCACCTTTCCTGCAAGGGGGGACCAGCGTGAGCTGTGCTTGCTATCCAAGGGGACTCTTTCCCTTTGGCTGGAGCCCTCACCTGTACTTCCACCACCAAGCAGCACCAATGGCAATGGCAACAGCAAGGACCAGCACCACGATAACAATGATGACAGCGGGAGTCACAATGTGGTTTTCTGGTACGGGGAGAGAGTGGACGGCAGACGTGAGCACATGGAAGCACCAGAGAGGAAGCCACCCCCACGCCGCCCCGTCCCTAGCACCTACCCCAGGGGATGAGGAGGCTGCGGGTGCCCAGGCTGCGGTGGCGAATGCGGCAGGCGTAGCTGTGCCCATCATGGGGGGCCACGGTCAGGCCGCTGTAGACCTGGTAGGTGAAGTCGGCGTTGGGCAGGACAGCACTGGTGTTCAGGGCTGGGCCCGGTGGCACCTCATGGCCGTCCCGCAGCCAGGCCACGCTGATGGGCCGTGGGTAGAAGCCGGTGATGCGGCAAACCAGCAGGAGCTGGGCTGGGCCAGCTTTGCGGGCAAAGACAGTGGCAGTGGGCAGCTCTGTAGGGTGAGAGTGAGGGCCAAGGGGAGCCCAGCAAGGGCACCACTTGGCCCCAGCATGGGGGGTGCATTGGTGTGGCCGTGCTGGGGCCACAGGGTTCTCACCTTGTCTTTCCAGGTCTGCCTTCCCATACCTGCACAGGGCGCGGACGTGGCTCGGGCAGGTTTTGTAAAGGAGGTGCTCCACCATTTCTGTGACAGCCATCATCTCATTGAGGGAATGGCCCACCAGCTTGGCCAGCAGGGTCGACTGCTGGACAGCCCAGTACCTTCTCCTGGCCTCATACTCTACCAGGTCTCTGCCGCCCTCCCCAATTTTGGCGAAGGCGCGGCTCGTCCCATTGGGGTGAAGCTCACAGCCTGTATGGACCTGGAACACCACAGGGTCTGCAAGGAGCAGAGGTAGCAGAAGGGGGCTGTGAGCATGGGGACAGGGGTGGCCCAAGGTGGGGGCAGCTGGGAAGGTGTGGGCAGGGCCACCATTGGCAGTGGGGTTGTGCTTCCAGGACCCTGCGCACCCTATGAGTTGTCAGGGTAGATCAAACATAAGGGCTGGGCGTTTGAGCACCACTGTGCCCCCCAGAGTGCTACCCCAAGTTTCTACTTCCATGTTGCCCCCAAACGTTCCGTCCATGTTTCTCCTTCCCTCATCAGTGCTGTGCAGGTCCTGCAGCCCTGCCAGGTTTGACAGCAGCTCCCCAGTATGCAGGGCATTTCAGCACACTGCCTCCACACCCACCAAGTAGCTGGAGCCTCCTTTGCCCTTTGGAGGCTGTCACCCCCTGCCAAGACCCTGCCAACCCTGCCCTGGTGGGAAGGGGTGCTGCGTCTGCAGCTCTCCCCATACTCACATTCCGCCTGCACCTGAATGGCCATCTCGTGCATGAATCGGATCACATTGCGCATGGCAAGCTTGAAGGAGGACATAAGCTTCACCAGGTCACCCTCAGCCATGGCCTGGTGGACCCAGGGGTAGCAGATGCGGAGGTTCCAGGTGTCCGGGTCCAGCATGTAGACGAACATGTCTGTCAGCACAGCCACCCCGGCCACCTTGGTGGAGTTGGCACTGGGGAGGAGGAAGGTCTGGAGTAGCTGGAAAAGCTTTGATTCTGCTGGGAGAGGAGATGGGGCTTCAAGAGAAGGGGGGGGAGGGGAAATGAAGGATGTACCGTGCCCCACACCACAGTGACCCCCATGCCCAAGGGACCCCTCTGGTCCCACCTGGTTCCCTGCTTTCATTGGAGGGTGTCCTGGTGCTGTGGCAAAACGCTCCAGGTGACAGCAGCACCCAAAGCAACTTCTCACCGGGGCAGCTCCCCCGCAAACAGGCAACTGCTGGAAGGGGCCCACAGTACCACAGGGGGCCCAGACCCTCCCCTGGTGCCTGCAGAACAATGCCTTCAGGGGCACCCTGGCACCCTAAGCCTGCCTGGAGAGCCCCCAGCCCCATGGCTGCTCGGGCACCTAAGTCCCTACACCAGTGCTGGGCAGGACAGTGAGCCCTGACCTGGAGGCACCTCTGGGTGCTGTGGGGTGGGGGGCAACCCCTTAGTGCTGCAGACTGTCCTCCCCATGTAGGGGAAGGTCTTAGCCATGCCCCCCTTGCCAGGACTACCAGTGGAGTCCGGTAGCGGAGGGACAGGTGGGTGGGGGTCTCCCAGAGCTCCCACTTACCTTCTGTTTCTGCCCATGTCCTGTGGAAGAGAAGCAGGAGGAGGAAGAGGAGGCAATGCAGCCGCATGGTGGTTGGGGTGAGGCTGAAGCAGTCCGGGTGGCAGGAGGAGGAAGCATCTATGGGGTCCTAGCAGCAGCGCTCCACCAATGGGGCTGGGGTAGGGGTTTTAGGGAGGGCCTGGGCTGGAGGTCAGGAAGTACAGGATGGAGCGGAGCTGAAATGCCTCCATTTTGGGTTCCCCCTGCTGCATCTGTACCCCCAGTGGAGGGGGACAGTCCTGTGCCACCTGCTTCACCCTGGGAATGGAGCTGCCCGGCGAGGGGGCGATGAGCAACCACAGCCTCACAAACCCACACACCCCAACCGGTGGCAGAGGGTCCCCACTCGGGTCAGGGCACCCATGCCAAAAGTGGGGTGCTGCAGCACCTGTTGGGTGCTGGGCATGGGGACAACGCAGTGAGAAGGGACAGCCCCACCCCCAGCCCATCTCCCCCACTGCTCATTCCCAGGCACGTTCCCCCAGCTTGCAGTTTCTCTTCCCCTTTCCCGGGCCCCCATGCTGGGGGCAAAAGCAGAACTGAAACACAGGCAAGGAGAAGCTTGTCCCGCTCTGGCTGAGGGTGGGTGGTACCAGTGCTGTCACCCCCCAAAGCCCCTTGGTGCCCTGGGGGAACCGCCTGAATCCCTAAGGGACTGCTGGGCTCCTCTGAACAGCTCTAGTGTGGTACCAGTGCCCCCGGGAAGCTCGTCCTGCAGGCAGGGCACCCCATCACCCTCCAGGCACAACTGGGGCTGGTAGTCCCTGCTTGAATGTCCCCTGCTCTGCTGCTGGCACAGGGACAGCCCATCCAGGGCTGCTACGGGCTGAGCCCTGGCACCCTGTGACACTGAGTCAGGCCCGGGATGGGGGGATGCTGCGGTGGCCCTGTGGGCTCGGATGTGGCTCCAAAGCTCCCACTTCCTCCAGGGCTCACTCACTGCACTGTTCCACAGGGGATGGCTGTTCCTGCAGTGTCCCCATCCCTCCTGACAGGGCCACCAGTGCCTGTCAGGGAGGAGAGAGAGCAGCTGCTGGGATGCCAAAGGGCGGCCGTGGTGCCGCTAGCGAGGGAGGGAACGGGGGGACGGTGGTCCCTGCAGTCCCCTCAGGTGATGGCTGATCTTCAAAACTGCCCTTCAAGCGGCCACTGGCCCCTCAGTCTCCTTGGGGCCTCAGACCCTCAGCTCAGGTGACCAGCAGTCCCCAAAGGACTTGGTGACCATTCCTCTTTGCATTGCCCTCCGCTGAGCGCTGCTGCCCACAATCCCCTCAGTGCTTAGCTCAGGGGATCGGGGACCCTTGGCACAAGGCCAAGCTTTGCCTCCCTCATTGTCTTGGGGTGCAAGTGCAGCCCTAGGAGAACCCACCTAGTCCCCTAGACCTGGCAGCCCTGGGTATCCCAGCCCAGCTCTTGACAGAGGGCACCTTAGGGCCCACCCCAAAACCGCAACGCCAGCTCCATTGGCTGTCAGGGCACTCAGTGCCACCACTGATATCAGAGTCACCCTGGGGAGAAGTAAGCAGCCCACACAGCTCCATCTTCCAACTTCTGTGTTTGCCTGTGGCCTTGCTGTGGATACCATGCAGCCCTGTTGCCTTCTCCTCTTCCCCTTCTTCTTCTTCTTTCCTGGGACGTGGGCAGAGCTGGAGGGTAAGTAGAAGCTCACCCCAATCTGCTCCCCTTCCTCTACTCTCCCCCCTGCTCCACATGTTGTCCTTCACAGGGCCATGGTCAAGCTGGGGGGCCAGAGCTGGGGCTGCTGAAGTGGTGGTGGGGGTGCAGGGGACCCCAAGAAGCTGTCAGGGCCTGACAAAAGTGGCATCACTTTCCCCAGCTCTCTCCCCCCTCTCCAGCAGGCTCTCACATGCTCCAGCTACGCCATTTCGTCACCTTCCAAAATGCCACATCCATGCAAGTGCGGGGGCTTGGCTTCATGGGGGACATCAAAATTGGTTCCCTGGACAGCCTCACTGGGGACATCCATTACTACAAGACCTGGCTGCGTTCAGCCCTGTCCAAAGGTGACTGGGATGTCATCGAGAGCTCCATCAAGTCATACCTGCGGGATTTCAACAGCCTGGTGCAGAAGCTCACCAACCACATCAGAATGTCCTGTACGTGCCCACAGTCCCCCCTCCATTTCCAAGTGACCCCTCGGGCATGAGCCAAGTCTGGTGGGCACCTCCACAGGCCAGGCTTCTGCAGAGCCCTTTCGGATGGGGACGCAACTCAAGCGGACCCCCTAAGGCTCCTGAGGGGACGCAATACTGAACACCCCACATATCCCCTCCACCCTCCACATCCTGTCTCCCCCCAGACCCTTTTGTCTTCCAGACCTCTAAAGGCTGCCAGCTCCAGCCCAACGGGACTACCAGATCTTTCTTTGTCATTGCCTATGAGGGCCAGGACTTGATCCGGTTCCACATGAACAAGGGAACTTGGGATCGGGTGCCAGATAATGAGATGTCAGCAACCGCTGAGCATTTGTTGAACAATGCCACCACCCTCAATGAGCTGATACAAGTGTTCTTCAGTGTCACCTGTTTTGACATTTTGGAAAGGTTCATTGAGTACGGGAGGGCAGATCTGGAGAGACAAGGTAAGACCCTCCTCAACCCTGGCACAGCCACCTGAAAGTCTCCCCTCTGACAACAGGGATAAGCAGTGCCCCTGCTGGGCTCCCCTTAGCCCTCACTCTCACCCCACAGAGCTGCCCACTGCCACCGTCTTTGCCCGCAAAGCTGGCCCAGCCCAGCTCCTGCTGGTTTGCCGCATCACCGGCTTCTACCCACGGCCCATCAGCGTGGCCTGGCTGCGGGACGGCCACGAGGTGCCACCGGGCCCGGCCCTGAACACCAGCGCTGTCCTACCCAACGCCGACTTCACCTACCAGGTCTACAGTGGCCTGACCGTGGCTCCCCGTGATGGGCACAGCTACGCCTGCCGCGTTCGCCACCGCAGCCTGGGCACCCGCAGCCTCCTCGTCCCCTGGGGTAGGTGCCTCTGGGATGGGGCTCCTGAGCTGTCCTGATGGAGCAGAGCAGGAAAGCTGATGGGCTTGTGTTCCTCAGGGCAATCAAATGCTGGGCTGATCGCAGGGCTTGTGGTTGCTCTGCTGGCAGCTGTGGTTGTGATTGGTGCACTTTGGGTGTGGAGATACAGGTAAGGCCCCTTCTGCCCTGCTGTGTACCTGGGAAATCCCTGCTGGGGAGCTCCCCAGAGCCATCCCACCATCCTCTCCTGTTTTAGGAAGCGCCATTAAATGGAAGAATGAGGCCCAGCAGCTTTCTCCTGAGCACAGCAGCCCTGTTTGCTTCAAACCCTCACCTTGGACACAGCCTCCATCTCCCTCTGCTGTGACAAAGCTCCAGGCACCACCAGGAGCAAGATCATTTCAGCAGGGAGCCACAGCTGGAAAAGATGTGGTACTCAAGCCCTGCTGTTATTTGCATAATGAACGAGGATGCAAGTCCTCACCTGTTACACGTAATCACTTTGTGCCTCATGGCACTACCTATGCACCTGCTGAGGCTTCTTCAGGCACACCAGTCCCCTGTAGCAATTTCTTTCAGGTCCAGTATGATAACAGTACTGTCAGCAGGCAGTGCGCTGCACCCCTTCCATTGTCACTTTCTAGATATTCCTCTTAAGAGCTGCTTTTATTAACCATATTGCAGAAATAGCTGTGCTTAATCCGACCTGTTACACACAGGGTAAGTGCACACAAGTTGTGTTTATGGCACCAAGGAGCACTGCACTCTGAGGTGATCTGAGGGAGCTCCAGGCATGGATAAAACGAAAATAAACCACTGATGTTTTTGCTAAAATCATGTGCCTTTTATAAAGGTTTCTGTGGGCTCGGGGAGGGTTTGGCCAGCTTGGACGCAGCACTGCTGAAATTATCAGCACTAACTTCAGGGCTTCAGGCTAGTTAAGAGAAGCAGTAGAAAAAAAGAGCCGAGCATTGCGGGGCCATGGATTCTGCGGCTGGGAGGGGGATCCCAGGCCCTGGGCTAGGCTCCCCGTGGGGCTCGGAGGCTGTAGAATGGGGCACATGGGGCCCTGACCACTGAGAGACCTGGTGGGAAGGGGCACCCGGAGGAAGAGGGGGTACTGTAGCCCCTGTGGGGGGACCACAGGACCCAGCGGGTCCTGAGGGGACTGCGCGGAGCAGTGGGGAGTGGAGGGCAATGCGAAGAGGAACGGTCACTGAGGAGGTCCTGTGGGGACTGCCGGTCACCTGAGGGGACTTCAAGAACCAGCAGGGACTTGACCTGAGGCTTTGAGGCCCTGAGGAGTCTGAGGGGACCGGTGGCCGCTTGAAGGGCAGCTTTGAAGATCAGCCATAACCTGAGGGGACTGCAGAGACCACCGTCCCCCCGTTCCCTCCCTTGCCAGCTGCACCACGGCCGCCCTTTGGCATCCAGCAGCTGCTCTCTTGCCTCCCTGCCTTTCCTGCAGTGTCCCCGTCCCTCCTGACAGGGCCTCCAGTGCCTGGCTGGCAGGCGAGAGAGCAGCTGCTGGGATGCCAAAGCGCAGCCGTGGTGCAGCTGGCGAGGGAGGGAACGGGGGGACGGTGGTCCCTGCAGTCCCCTCAGGTGATGGCTGATCTTCAAAACTGCCCTTCAAGCGGCCACCGGTCCCCTCAGACTCCTTGGGGCCTCAGACCCTCAGCTCAGGTGACCAGCAGTCCCCGCAGGACTTGGTGACCGTTCCTCTTTGCATTGCCCTCCACTGAGCGCTGCTGCCCACAATCCCCTCAGTGCTTTGCTCAGGGGATCGGGGAAACTTGGCACAAGGCCAAGCTTTGCCTCCCTCATTGTCTTGGGGTGCAAGTGCAGCCCTAGGAGAACCCACCCAGGCCCCTAGACCTGGCAGCCCTGGGTGTCCCAGCCCAGCTCTTGACAGAGGGCACCTTAGGGCCCACCCCAAAACCGCAACGCCAGCTCCATTGGCTGTCAGGGCACTCAGTGCCACCACTGATATCAGAGTCACCCTGGGGAGAAGTAAGCAGCCCACACAGCTCCATCTTCCAACTTCTGTGTTTGCCTGTGGCCTTGCTGTGGATACCATGCAGCCCTGTTGCCTTCTCCTCTTCCCCTTCTTCTTCTTCTTTCCTGGGACGTGGGCAGAGCTGGAGGGTAAGTAGAAGCTCACCCCAATCTGCTCCCCTTCTTCTACTCCCCCCCCTGCTCCACATGTCGTCCTTCACAGGGCCAGGGTCAAGCTGGGGGGCCAGAGCTGGGGCTGCTGAAGTGGTAGGGGGGGTGCAGGGGACCCCAAGAAGCTGTCAGGGCCTGACAAAAGTGGCATCACTTTCCCCAGCTCTCTCCCCCCTCTCCAGCAGGCTCTCACATGCTCCAGCTACTCCATTTCGTCACCTTCCAAAATGCCACATCCATGCAAGTGGGGGGCCTTGGCCTCGTGGGGGACATCAAAATTGGTTCGCTGGACAGACGCACCGGGGACATCCATTACCACCAGCCCTGGCTGCGTCCAGCCCTGCCCAAAGGTGACTGGGATGTCATTGAGAGCTCCATCAAGTCATACGTGCGGGATTTCAACAGCCTGGTGCAGAAGCTCACCAACCACATCAGAATGTCCTGTACGTGCCCACAGTCCCCCCTCCATTTCCAAGTGACCCCTTGGGGGCATGAGCTAAGGCTGGTGGGCACCTCCACAAGCCTGGCTTCTGCAGAACCCTTGGGGATGGAGATGCAACTCAAGCGGACCCCCTAAGGCTCCCGAGGGGACGCAATTCTGAACACCCCTCATATCCCCTCCACCCTCCACATCCTGTCTCCCCCCAGACCCTTTCGTGTTCCAGTCATCCATAAGCTGCAAGCTCGAGCCCAACAGGACTACCAGGACATTCCTTGCCATTGCCTATGAGGGCGAGGACTTGCTCCAGTTCCACCTGAAAAAGGGAACTTGGGATCGGGTGCCAGATAATGAGATGTCAGCAACCGCTGAGCATTTGTTGAACAATGCCACCACCCTCAATGAGCTGATACAAGTGCTCCTCAATGTCACCTGTGTTGACATTTTGGAAAGGTTCATTGAGTACGGGAGGGCATCTCTAGAGAGACATGGTAAGACCCTCCTCAACCCTGGCACAGCCACCTGAAAGTCTCCCCTCTGACAACAGGGAGCCAAGCAGTATTCCTGCTAGGCTCCCCTTGGCTCTCACTCTCACCCCACAGAGCTGCCCACTGCCACCGTCTTTGCCCGCAAAGCTGGCCCAGCCCAGCTCCTGCTGGTTTGCCGCATCACCGGCTTCTACCCACGGCCCATCAGCGTGGCCTGGCTGCGGGACGGCCACGAGGTGCCACCGGGCCCGGCCCTGAACACCAGCGCTGTCCTACCCAACGCCGACTTCACCTACCAGGTCTACAGCGGCCTGACCGTGGCCCCCCGTGATGGGCACAGCTACGCCTGCCGCGTTCGCCACCGCAGCCTGGGCACCCGCAGCCTCCTCATCCCCTGGGGTAGGTGCCTCTGGGATGGGGCTCCTGAGCTGTGCTGATGGAGCAGAGCAGGAAAGCTGACGGGCTTGTGTTCCTCAGGGCAATCAAATGCTGGGCTGATCGCAGGGCTTGTGGTTGCTCTGCTGGCAGCTGTGGTTGTCATTGGTGCACTTTGGGTGTGGAGATACAGGTAAGGCCCCTTCTGCCCTGCTGTGTACCTGGGAAATCCCTGCTGGGGAGCTCCCCAGAGCCATCCCACCATCCTCTCCTGTTTTAGGAAGCGCCATTAAATGGAAGAATGAGGCCCAGCAGCTTTCTCCTGAGCACAGCAGCCCTGTTTGCTTCAAACCCTCACCTTGGGCACAAGCCTCCATCTCCCTCTGCTGTGACAAAGCTCCAGGCACCACCAGGAGCAAGATCATCTCAGCAGGGAGCCACAGCTGGGAAAGATGTGGTACTCAAGCCCTGCTGTTATTTGCATAATGGACAAGGATGCAAGTCCTCACCTGTTACACGTAATCACTTTGTGCCTCATGGCACTACCTATGCACCTGCTGAGGCTTCTTCAGGCACACCAGTCCCCTGTAGCAATTTCTTTCAGGTCCAGTATGATAACAGTACTGTCAGCAGGCAGTGCGCTGCGCCACTTCCATTGTCACTTTCTAGATATTCCTCTTAAGAGCTGCTTTTATTAACCATATTGCAGAAATAGCTGTGCTTAATCCGACCTGTTACACACAGGGTAAGTGCACACAAGTTGTGTTTATGGCACTGCACTCTGAGGTGATCTGAGGGAGCTCCAGGCATGGATAAAACAAAAATAAACCACTGATGTTTTTGCTAAGATCACGTGCCTTTTATAAAGGTTTCTGTGGGCTCGGGGAGGGTTTGGTCAGCTTGAGCCCAGCACTGCTGAAATTATCAGCACTAACTTCAGGGCTTCAGGCTAGTTAAGAGAAGCAGTAGAAAAAGGGAGTCGAGCTCTGACAGGCATTGCGGGGCCATGGATTCTGCAGCGGGGGGGGGGAGGCTGGGCCCTGGGCTGGGCTCCCTGTGGGGCTGGGAGGCTGAAGCATGGGGCACGCAGGGCCCTCACCACTGAGAGACCTGGTGGGAAGGGGTGCCTGGAGGAAGAGGGGGGACTGTGGCCCCTGTGGGGACCACAGGATCCAGCGGGTCCTGAGGGGACTGCGGGGAGCAGTGGGGAGTGGAGGGCAATGCGAAGAGGAACGGTCACTGAGGAGGTCCTGTGGGGACTGCCGGTCACCTGAGGGGACTTCAAGAACCAGCAGGGACCTGAGCTGAGGCTTTGAGGCCCTGAGGAGACTGAGTGGACCGGTGGCTGCTTGAAGGGCAGCTTTGAAGACCAGCCATTACATGAGGGGACTGCAGAGACCACCGTCCCCCCGCTCCCTCCCTCACCAGCTGCACCACGGCCGCCCTTTGGCATCCCAGCAGCTGCTCTCTCTCCTCCCTGACAGGCATTGGTGGCCCTGTCAGGAGGGACAGGGACACTGCAGGAACGGCCATCCCCTGGGGAACATTGCAGCGAGTGAGCCCTGGAGGAAGCGGGAGCTTTGGGACCACGTCTGAGCCCACAGGGCCACCACAGCATCCCACTTCCCTGGCCTGACTCAGTGTCACAGGGTGCCAGGGCTCAGCCCACAGCAGCCCTGGATGGGCTGTCCCTGTGCCAGCAGCAGAGCAGGGGACATCCAAGCAGGGACTACCAGCCCCAGTTGTGCCTGGAGGGTGATGGGAGCTGTGGGGACCAAGGGTTACCTGAGCCTAGAGCCGGGATCCCCTGCCCTGGGGTTGCTTGGAACCATACCAGGTCCCTGTCCTAACATGTGGGGTCAAGGGGCAGCATGGCCAGGGCCCTTGTGGTGCTGAGGGGTGTGGGGTAGCTTCCAGAGCCTCCCAGTATGGGTGGGTCTCCCCACTCACACCCTCCCGTCACTCACAGGGGCAATGTGTCCTGTCCATGCAGCAGGGCGCTGGGCTCTGCTCCGCTCTGCCGTGTTGGGTGTCACTGGGGAGGAACGAGCGGGATGGGGGGTACTGAGGCATAGAGGCGAGAATTGTGGTGTAGTCCTGCGGGTACCATAGGGCTGGGGTCACTCCATGACCCCCAAGTGTCTCCGGCAGCCACCTGCCCTCAGGCTGTTGGTGAAGTCGAGGAAATTCCTCAGAAAGAGCAGCGGGGCTGGGCCGGAGCAGTCTCTCTCCCACAACATGGGGCTGCACCCCCCTCTCCCCCCAACATACCCAGCTCAACATCTGCCCTACAGCTTCCTATGCATTCCATGCCCCCCCCTACACTGTGCTCACCAGCTCCACACAAGCCCCATTGCCCCCAGCTCTTCACATGCCCATGCGCACCCAGCCCCAAAAGTGTTAATACCCCCTCAGCCTCTCTTTCTCCCCCCAGCCCCATATGTGCCCATGCCCTACAACTTCCCTCGTGTCCTCCAGCCCCACACAAGCCCCATGCGTCCTCCCAAGCCCCATGTGCCCCATGCCAGCTCCTAGCCCCATCTTAGCCCCCCTGCCCTCCCCACATCCTATACTCACCAGCCCTGCACGTGAACCCCAGCACCTCACATGTCCTATCCCCCCCCTTACCCCCCCAGCCCCACACGTGACCCCTAGCCCCGCCGGGTTGGGCCCGCCCGGCCGGAGGCGAAGAGCAAAACATGATTTCAAGCCAGCAAACCCGGGCGTCCGGCCCCCCCGGCACTGCCCCACACCCCCAGGCCCTAGGGACCCAGACATCCAGCCTCCCCCCACCCCGCTCTGCCCCACAACTCCAGCCTTGGGGGACGCAGGCATGTGAAGAACCCTGCCCTGCACCTCACACCCCACTGTCCCCCAGGGACCCAGGCGCCCGGGTGTCTCCAGCCCCCACGCAGTGGACCCAAGCCGAGCCTACTCCCCCTGCCCCGTGTCCCGCAGCAACAACAACAACAGCAGTGGGGGGGGGGAACATGGAGGGGGGAGCCCAGGGCCAAGCTGAGTCATGGCCCCACCCGGCCCCGTCTGTGGCGCAGCCCCACAGCATGGTCCCACATCACAGTCCCACAGTCTGCCCCCCCCAGCCCCCCCAGAATAGCCCCATAGCACAGCCCTGCAGCTTGGTCCTACAGCCCCAAGCCTCGGCCCCATAGCAAAGCTCTGCAGTCCCACAGCACTGCAGCACAGCCCCATGGCCCAGCTCTCCCCCCCTCTACCCCTGTCACACTCTTGCAGCCAAGCCCACAGTGTGGCCCCCAGATCATGGTGCCCCCTGCCCATGGCTGGTCCCACAGCACAGCCCCATGGCCTGGCCCCACTGCACCACTGCACTGGGGATGGGACAGGGACAGGCCCAGCAAGCCCCGCTTCGTGTTTGTGCCTCGCTGAGCCAGCACTGCCCTAGGTCCTGGAGCTGTAGGATGGCATTCAGAGCCATGGGGTAGCTGGGGCTGGGGGTACACAGAGGGAGGGGGAATTGCAGTTACTGGGAGCACTGGGAGCCATGGGGCAGGTGGCAACAAGTTACTAGGAGCATCAGGAGCTGTGGGGCAGGCAGTGCAGGAGTTACTGGGGGCACCAGGGCAAGCTGCACTAGGATACTGGGGCCAGCCTGGCTGGCTATGCTGACATAGTGGCAATGCTAGGACCACTGTGGCTGGCTGTGCTGTGTTACTGGGAGCACTGGGAGCTGTTGGGCAGGCAGGGCTGGGGTTTCTGGGTGCACCAGGACAGGCCATGCTAGGATTCTGGGAGCACCGGGGCTGGTTGTCATTACTGGGAACACTGGGGCAGGCAGTGCTGGGTTACTGGGAGCATGGGGAGCCCTGGAGCAGGCTGTGCTGGTTTCCTGGGAGCGCTGGGAGCTGTGGACTCCCCCTCCTTTGGCCCCCCCCCACGCGTTGTGTCACCGCTCTGCTATGGCAGCTGGACCCCACATCTGGCCGCGCCGCCCAGATGTTTGGTTGCTGCGGTGACCGCTGCCCGTAAACACATCCCAGGCCCCCCCCGGGGTCCGCCCGATCCCGCCCTGGTCCCGCTCATCCCAGGGCCGTGGCCAGGCTGGGGGCCCCGCTCGGAGTAGGGGGGGGGTGGTCCTGGTTCCCCCAGCCCATGGAGTAACAGGGAGACGGCGGGGGGCTCAAGGCCCCCTGGTGTCTACCGGACCTCAAGGAGGGGCAGGTGCGGGGGCAGTGCTGGACCCTTCAGTTCTGCTCCAGGTCCATCCTGGTTCTGCCCCACTCCTGTTCGGGTTCTTGCCCCGTTCCTGTCCCGGGTACATCTCAGCTGAACCCGGTGCTGTCCAGTGTCCAGCCTGCTTCTGCCCCGGTCCGGCGGCACCTGCGGTGGGGCCGCGCCGTGAGCTCAGCGCTGGCGGAGCGCCCGGCCTGGGGCTATGAAAGGGACGGAGCCGCCCCGCTCCTCCGGCACTGCTGCACCCGCCGCCCGCCGTGCCTGGGACAAACTGAACCGAACCGAACTGGGTGAGCTGGGCTAAAGCTGGCTGAGCAGAACCGAAGTGGGCCAAGCTGAGCAGAACCGGGCTGAGCTAAACCAGGCTGCGCTGCGCTGCACTGAGCTGGGCTGGGTTGAGCTGAGTGGAGCTGAGCCGAACCAGGCTGAGCAGAACCAGTGGGCCCCAACTGGGTCCAACTGGGCCCAACTGGGCCGGGCCGAGCCCTACTGGGCCAGCCCCACCCCCAGCTCCCAATTGGCTGGGTCCCAACCCCCCTGTGCTGCAGCCACAGCTGCTGCGACTGCCTGAGAGCAGCAGCGGCACCGGGCAGGTATCATGGGACAGGGTCACAGAGCGGCCAGAGGGGCTGGTAGGGTCTGGTGCTGCAGGCATTACTGGTGTTACTGGCATTACTGGTGTTCCTGGAGTAGCTGGAGTTACTGGAGTAATTGGCATTGCTGGTGCTGTTGGCGTTGCTGATGCAGCTGGCGTTGCTGGTGTTACTGGAGTAATTGGCATTGCTGGTGCTGCTGGTGTTGCTGGTGTTACTGGAGTAATTGGCATTGCTGGTGTTGCTGGTATTGCTGGCGTTACTGGACTAATTACATTTGCTGGTGCTGCTGGAGCTACTGGAATCGCTGGAGCTATTGGAATTGCAGGAGTTACTGGAATTATTGGCATCACTGGCGTTGCTGGCACTGCTGGTGTTACTGGAGTTACTAATGCTGTAGGTGTTGCTGGCGTTACTGGAGTTCATGATGTTACTGGTGTTGCTGGGTTGTTGGAGGGTGGGGTCACTGGCATTTGCTGGTGGTTACTGGTGTTATTGGAGTTACTAGGCACTGGAGGAATGAAGCTACTGGAGTCAGTGGAAACTGTGGCAGTACTGGTGGCAGTACTGGTGCACACAGCTCACTCCAAGACCTGGGGCCACCCCACAGCCGCCAGCTCCCAGCTCCTTGAGGCCTCCATGGGGCAATAGGGCCCTCAGGGTCTGGGAGGGCAGGGAGTGACACCACAGCTGTGGGGCAGTGATGGTGTGGGTGGGTGTCGTGGGTCATGGGTGCGATGGAGCAGTGCCATGAATGGGTCATGGGTGCAGTGGTCATTGGTGCTGTGGGTGGCCGCTGTGGGTGGCACAGGTCAGAGCTGTGGGGCAGTGCTGCCGTGGGTGCTATGGATGAGTGCTGTGGTCTGCAGGTGCCACGGGTGGGTGCTGCCATGGGGGTATGTGAGGGGTGGCTGCTATTTCTGTTTCCCTGCACGGGTTCCCCTGGATGCCCCTGGTCTGGGTGGCTGCTTGGGTGCCATGTGTCCCCCGTGGGTGTCCCTCTGCCCTCCATGAGTGTCCTTATGTCCCATGTGTGTCTGCCATGGGTGCTGTGGGCATCCACGTGTCCCTGCAGGTGTCTGTGAGTCCCATGTTTTCCCCACACATCCCCATGGGCATCCGTGGGTCTACCCGGGTGTCCACATTCAACCCCGTGGTCCCCCGTGGGTGCCATCTATCCCCTCCCTGCAGGATCATGAGCCTGGGGCTGCCACTACTGCTGCTGGTGTTGACACTGCAAAGGGTGCAGGGGGGGGTAGGACCCCCCCCTGGACCCCCACCTGGCTCCCCAGAGCTCCCTTGTGGGGCTGCAGCACTGGAGGCAGTGCTGGGGCGCCTGCGGGAGCTGGAAGGAGAAGTGCGGGCGCTGCAGGGGCAGTGCGGGGACAACGGGGGGCCCCAGGCCGGCACCGGTATGGGGATAGGGATAGGGAGGGTGGGGGGATATGGGAGGCATATGGAGGTGTGGGGGGGGGCATGGGAGAGTGTGGGGGACATGAGGGGGGGGAGCACGGGGGATGGGGACATGGGGCATATGTTTGGAGACACTGGGGATATGGGTGGGACGCAGGGGGGAAGCATGGGGGATATGTTTGGGGACTTGGGGGATATGGGGGGGAGCATGGGGGATAGGGACATGAGGGATATGTTTGGGGGCATGGGGAATATGGGAGAACGTGGGGGGGAGCATGTGAGGTATGCAGGGGACAGGGGACATGGAGTATAGGGTGTTACAGGGGAATGTGGAGGAAATTAAGAATGTGGGGGGGTGGATAAGGGGAACGGGGGTGGGATATGAGGGGGTATGAGGGACGGGGGGAGGTTTGGGGGGACATGGGGGGCTTATGAAGGAATATGGGGGATGCAGGGGGTGGAATGAGGGGGGTTACATGGGGCACATGGGGACCAGGAAGACAATGCACATCCCTGCAGGGCGCACGGCAGCACGGGGACTGTGCAGCACCCCTGAGGCAGGGGGCTGCGGGTGCTGGGTGCCGGCTGGGGGAGGGCGGGGGTGGCCTCCCCTGCCCCGAGCCCCGATGCCCCCTCGACTGCAGTGACCAGGGCCGCTGCCGGGCTGGCCGCTGCCACTGCTTCGCCGGCTTCACTGGGCCATCCTGTGCTACACCTGCCTGCCCCCCCGGCCGTGGTGGACCCCACTGCACCCTTGGTACGTCTCCAGGTGTTCCTATATGTCCCCAAGCATCCCCACTGCCCCCCAGCTTCCTCATCCAAACCTCCACCCCCCCCCCCAGCCATGTTGGGTCCTGATAACCCACATCAGTGTATCCCCCAGTATCTCCTGCTGTTCTATAATGCTCACTCTGTGTCCCCATCCCAGTGCTCTTGGTTGTCCCCCACAGAGTGCCCTGGGTTCCTCAGTGCTTCTGGTTTCACTCCCAGCCCCTCCTCAGAGTTCCCCACTGCTTCGGGTGTCCCCATGGCCCTGGGGGTGTCCACTATCCCAGTGTCCCCATGGCTTGGGCACTCTTGTTCCTTGGGCACTCCTTCCACGTCCCTGTGGTTGTCCCCATCCTCTTGGTGCCCTGTCCTGTGGTATCCCCAGGGTGTCCCCACTCCATGGGTGCCCCATCCCCAGGTGTCCTCGTGTTGTTCCCAACCTGTGGTTGCCCCATCCTGGGGTGCCCCAGAGCATCCCTGTGGTGGCACCTCCCAAAAGGGCTGTGTCCCTGCAGAGATCCCCGCAGTGACACCACGCTTGACTGCACGCAACCAGACCTCCTTCCGTGTGAGCTGGCCTCGGCCGAGCATGCCCGTGGATGGCTACCAGGTGGCCCTCATCCCCATGGTAAGCTGGGGACAGGGACAGGGATTGGGATGTGTCCCCAGCAGAGCAGTATCCCCAGTGTGGTAGTGTAGCTCCAACATGTCTTCAATGTGTCCCTTGTCCCCAGGATGAGTTGGTGTCCGTAGCCATCTGCTTCTAGCCCTTCTGGGGACACCTCTGTTGTATCCCCAACATGTCCCCAATGTGCCTGTTGTCTTCACACCAAGCCAAGGGCCAGGTCTCCACTGCTGCTTTGTGGCTCAGGGGATGGGGACATCTCTTCTTTGTGTCCCCTGTGCCCAGGGTGAGCCACAGTGGTGTGACCCATCTGTTGCCTGTCCCCAATACATCTGTTGTCCATAGGATAAGCCAATAGCTGTGGCCACCCTCCTGCTGCCTGGCTTGGGAATGGTGATGTGTCCCCAGCACAGTGTCCCCAGGGTGTCCCCAGCATGCCCCATATCCCCAGAATGAGCTGCAATGATCTGCCTGCAGCTCTGCTTAGGGACTGGGACATGTCCCCACTGTGGTGTCACCAGTGTGTCCCCAGTAGCTCCCCATGAGGTTCCCCAACATGTCCCCCAGCCCCAGGACAAACCATTGTATGCTGCCACCTACCTGGCTCAGGGATAAGGTGTCCTCACCACTGTCTCCACTGCATCCCCACTTCGGTGCCCTCAATATGTCCCCAGTGTGACTCCAAGACATTCCCCAACTCCAGGAGAAGCCATTGTGGCCACCTGCCTGCTGCCTGGCTCAGAAACAGGTCCCACTTTGGTGTCCCCAACGTGTCCTTGACATGTCCTCTCTCCCCAGGATGAACCAGAAGCAATGGCCACCCACGAACTGCCTGGCTCTGCTGTCACCTTCGAGGTGACAGGGCTGGTGCCTGGAAGTGCCTTTGAGCTCTTCATCCAGGCCCAGCGGGACCAGCACCTCGGGATGCCTGGCACCCTGCGCGTCCGCACCTGTACGTGCCACCTGGCCTGGAAGGGCTGGGGACTGGGACAGGCATGGGGACAGTAATGGGGACAGCATGGGCATGGGAATGTCATGGGCACAGGGGTGAGGACAGGGGTTGGGGGTGGGACAGGGGTGGGGAGAGCATGGCCATGGTGGCTGGGACAACATGGAGATGGGAACAACATGGGGGTGAAGACAGGAACAATGCATGGATGGGGACAACATTCAGCACAGGGACAGGAACAGTAGCACAAGGACAGACATGGGGACAGGGATGATGCAGGCACAGTAATGGGGACAGCATGCGCATGGGGATTGGGTGAGGACAGGGATGGTGTGGGGGACAAGCATGGACATGGGGATGGTGCGGGCATCAGGATGGGAATTGTACAGGAGTGGGGACAGGAACGAGGATGTCACAGCCACAGGGATGGGGACAGAGACAGGCATGGGGGTAGGGGTGGGGATGGAGACAGACATGGGACAGGGATGGTGACTGGGATGGGAATGGGTACAGGGGTGGTGCCTGCAGCCTCTGTCTGTCCCCATGTGTCTTTATGTCCCTATGGCTCTGCGGGTCCACGTGCGTCTGTCTGCCCAGAGGAGGTCTGTGTGTCCCTGTGGGTCCATGTGTCCCCCCAGGCCCTGTCCATCTGCGTCTGCCCCAATGGATCCATGTGACCCCAGTATATCCCCACGTGTCCCCATGGGCCCACGTATCCCCACATCTACTGGTGCCTCCCTGTGCGTCCCTCTGTGCCCTGGGTCCAGATGTTTCCAGTCTGCCCCCACGAGTCTGTCTGTCCCAGTCCGTCCCCATGAGTCTGGGGGTTCCCAGTCTCTCTCTGTGGTCCCAGATGTCCACAGTCTGCCCCTTTGTGTCCATGTGTCCTAGTCTGTTCCCATGTCCATCCACCCCTGTGTCCCTCTGTGGGTCCCTGGGTTGTGGCAGATGGGGGCTATTGAGGTCAGGCTGCTGACCCTGATCCCCTTTGCTCTCACAGTGATTGCCCAGCCCCTGCCCACCCACGGGGGGCCCCTGGGGTCCCCTACATTCCTGGCATCTCCAGTGGCCCCAGCATCACCATCAGCCCGAGGGTCTCCAGCATCCCCACGGTCCCCAGTGTCACCAGCATCCCCAGGGTCACCAGGGTCCCTGGGATCCCCGGCATCACCAGTATCACCGGATGCATCCCTGGTCTTACCAGGGTCCTTGGGGTCACCAGCATCCCCAACATCTCCAAGGTCACCGGGATCCCCAGCATCTCCAGGGTCCCCGAGGTCACCAGCATCCCCGAGGTCTCCAGTGTCACCAGTGTCCCCGGCATCACCAGCTTCCCCTGAATCTTCATGGTCACCAGTGTCCCCAAGGTCCCCAGAGGCACCAGCATCCCCAGTATCCCCAAGGTCACCTGCATTTCCACAGTCCCCAACATCACCAAAGTCCCCGGTCTCCCCAGCATCTCCCATGTCCCCAGTGCTCCCAGGTGTTCCATCTCTGCATGACCTGGGGGCTAAGCTCTCATCCTATAACGGGTCATTGCTGCAGCGCCTGGAGAGCCACCTCCGGGCCACGGACTTCCCTCTCCGGGGTAACCAGACAGTACCTGCAGTGGCCCGAGCCATCCTCTCCTACCTGCTTCGCCGCAGCCCAGCCTCGCTGCGCTACCAGTTCCTCCGCCACCTCCACCAAAGTCCCCACCCCAAGCCCCAGCTTATGCCAGGGGCTGCCGGAGAGGCCCTTGTGGACCTGGATGGGCTGCGGGGCCACTCAGAGACTGTGGTGATCCGCTACCGGCCCCTGGGGGAGCCAGAGGGGGCCGAGGGGGAGCTGCGGGTGCCAGGGGACACAGCAGTGGCCCGGGTGCCAGGGCTGGTGCCAGGGGCCATGTACCGGGTGGAGGTGCATGGCGTGGTGCAGGGGCGTGTCTCCAAGTCCTACACATCCCTGGTGACTGCAGGTGGGTGACAGGGACAGGGGTGGGGACAGCATTGCATGGGAGCATCTAATAACCCACACTGCTCTCTTGGTTGCAGGGGTAGGTGGCACCAGTGAGCCCCCGATAGACTGGGAGCATCTGTATGAGATGGAGCTGACTGAGCCTCAAGGTGCCATGGCCAAAGCAGGTACCCCCAAGTGATTCCTGGCAGCACTGGGGAAAACCCAGGTGTTCAGGCTCACTAGCTCTTGGTATCCAAGTTGGGTGTGGTTGGAAGGAAGGAAAAAAGGAAGGACAGATGGAACGATGAATGGATGGACACATAGATAGATGTTTATGTCTTGCACTGTGCCACCACCATTGCAGCCCCGTCAGAGGAGGAACCACCACACCGGCCTCGTTTGGGCGAGCTCACGGCCTCCCACGTGACACCCACCACTGTCCAGCTGGAATGGAATGTCCTTGAAGGCACTTTTGACTCCTTCACGGTGCAGTACAGGGATGCACAAGGCCAGCCACAGGCACTTGCTGTGGACGGTGGGTCCCGCACAGTGACTGTTCCTGGGCTGTTGCCTTCCCGCCGCTACAAGTTCAATCTGTACGGGGTGTGGGGGCGGAAACGTATTGGTCTTATCTCCACTGATGCCATCACAGGTGAGGGCTGCTGCATGCTCCATCCGTGTTCCCTGTGGACCTCCATGTGGGGTCCTTGACCTTGAGAGATATAGGAACAGCCTTTGGTGGTAGGCTTGTGTGCATGCAGGGTCCAAGGGATGGAGAGGTTTGTATGAAAGGATGGATGATTAGATGATTATGTGACTGGCTGATTAGATGGTAGATAAATTGATAATTGGGTGGATAGTGGGTCAGATGGTTGGGATTGAATGGAAAAATTACTGGATGAATGGAAAAATAGGTGGATGGACTGATCAATGGATGGATAGACAAATAGATGGAACCATAGATGGGTGAAGGCATGTGTGTTTGGATGAATAGTCAGATTGCTTAATGAATGACTAGGTGGATGGTTACATGCTTAGTTATTTGTGTTAAAGTATCTGTGAACATATGTGAGGGAGAAGAGGCATGGAAAGACGGTAGATGATTGGACGGAAGGATACAAGGATAGGTGGAAAGACTAATAGATGGATGGATGGACTCAAATACAAATTTGTGGAAGGCTGGCAGGCTGGATTAACTGGCAAAAGATAATTAGATGGATGACATTGGGAAAACAAATGGAAGAATGGGAAGATGGATAGATGGGTGAGCTGAGTGATGGGTGGGTGATTAGATGGATGGATGCACATATGAATTAATAGGTGCATGGATGAGTAGATAGAAGAAAGGGTGCTTGTCCCCTGTGTACCCTGTATTCTGCTGTCCCCATTACAGCCCCAGCACTCCCAAAGGAGGACCTACCATCCCAGCCACGTCTGGGTGAGCTCACAGCCTCCCATGTAACCCCCGACTCCATCCAGCTGGAATGGAGCGTCCCCAAGGGCACCTTTGACTCCTTCGCAGTGCAGTACAGGGATGCACAAGGCCAGCTGCAGGTACTGCCTGTGGATGGTGGTTCCCGCACAGTGACTGTACCAGGGCTGTCACCGTCTCACCGCTACAAGTTCAATCTGTATGGAATGTGGGGGCGGAAACGTGTGGGCCCCATCTCCACTGATGCTGTCACAGGTGAGGGCTGCTGTATGCCATGTCCTTGTCCCTTACACACCGTGGTTTTAGAGAAAAGTGGGAGCAAGGGCGGGGTCCATCCAGGGTCCTTGGCCCATTTAGGAAATTGGTGTATCTTTTGGGTTGTGCCTGGTGACTGGATGAAGGGATGCAGGAATGGAGTGATGGGGGCAAGGAAAGTTGCAGATGCGGGGATACTTCTTTTGGCAGTATCCCTGGTTAAGTGGCAGAAAAGGCAAAAGGCTGGATTTTTGGAAGGATGTTTGGTTGTGAATGTTTTCTGTAAGAGTGGATATATTTCTAGGTGGGTGGGTATGTGGATGGTTGGAGGGATGGACCTAGGTTTGGATGGATAGAGAACTGGAGAAATATCTGATCAAATAATGGAATGAGAAACATTCTGATTAATTGGTGGAAGAAGGGAGTGGTGAGTGTCGTGGTTTAACCCGGCCGGCAGCTAAACACCACGCAGCCGTTCGCTCACCCTCCCCCCTCCCTCTCTGGGACGGGGGAGAGAAATGGAAAGTGAAGCCCGTGAGTTGAGATAAAGACAGTTTAATAAGACAGGAAAATAATAATAACAAAATAATAATAAAATAATAACAATAATAATACAATGGTGATAATAGGAAAGTAATAATAGTATGTACAAACAAGTGATGCACAATGCAATTGCTCACCACTCGCTGGTGAAGGTCCTTGTTGTCTGATTACTGGGGTGAATGGCTGGAGATATGGATGAGTAGAAGTGTGGGTAGATGGCTGGAAAAGTGGTTTGTTTATAGTTGTAAGAATGGGTCAAAGTACAGGTGGCTGGATGTACCTGAGGTAATAGTTGGAAAGCTGCTGAGTTGTGTCTAAGGGTGTATGGAAGGAAGGCTGCATAACTACTGATGGACAATTGCATCGGTGGATGGATGAATGGATGTCTAGGTGGACTGATGGGGTGATATGTATGCCCAGTATTGTGCTGTGTTGCAGATGCAGTCATACCAGAGGAGCAACCACCATCTGAGCCACGCTTGGGTGACCTCACTGCCTCCCACGTCACCCCTGACTCAGTCCAACTGGAATGGAGCATCCCCGAGGCCACCTTTGACTCCTTCGTGGTGCAGTACAGGGATGAGCAAGGTCAGCCACAGCTTCTGCCCGTGGATGGAGATTCCCGCACAGTGATTGTGCCAGGGCTGTCACCATCGCGTCGCTACAAGTTCAACCTGTATGGGATGTGGGGACGGAAACGTGTGGGCCCCATCTCCACTGATGCTGTCACAGGTGAGGGCTGCTGTTTGCTGCACTTGCATCCCCTTGTGAGCCCTGGGTTTGGATCAGTGCAGGAGCTAGGCAAGGTTCTGGAATGAATCTCTTGAGACTTGTAGGAAAACAAAACATCTCTTGGGTGCTGAATACAATGAAGGGATGGAGGTATGGGAACATGCAATGTTGTAGTGATGAATGGATGGACGGACGGACGGACGGACAGACAGACAAATGTGTGTCTAGTTTACTGGCTGAAGAGATGGAGGGACAGATGGTAGGTCTGATGGGTAGTTCAGTGGAGACATGAATGGACAATGACAGATGGATAAACTGATGAATGGATGGACGTTTTGATAAGTTTGTGACTGATTCATGCACTGAATGCTAGCTTGAAAGACTGGGTGTCTGCATGGTTAGATGAGAGGATGGAAGGGTGTATGGCTGGAGGGATGGTGTAACAGTGTGCTAGATGTCTGGTTGGTTGGAGGAGTAGATGAAAGGCTAGATAGTAGTCTTATGAGAGAATTAGGATTTTCCTATGAAGAGAGGCTGAGAGAGCTGAGGCTGCTCAGCCTGAAGAAGAGAAGGATCTGGGGAAACCTTATTGTAGTTTTTCAAAACTTAAAGAGGGCTTATAAAAAGATGGAGAGCAACTTTTTGCTTGAGTAGATAATCATAGGACAAGGGGGAATTATTCTAAACTAAAAGAGGAGAGATTTAGATTAGTGGTTAGGATGAAATTCTTCTCTCAGGGGGTGGTGAGGCTCTAGAACAGGTTGCCCAGAGAGGTTGTGGATACCCCAGTGTTCAAGACCAAGTTAGATGAGGCCCTGAGCAGCCTGATCTACTGGGTGGCATCTGCCCATGGCAGGGAGGTTGGAACTAGATGATTTTGAGGTCCTTTCCAACCCAAGCTGTTCTGTGACTCTGTGATTCTATGAAAGGTTGGAGCTGATGAGCATTTGATGTCCTTTTCAAAGTGGCTGTTTGACAATTTGATGATGATTCAATGATTCACTGATTAATGGAGTAAGAAAAACCTGGATGAACATATGGAGCAGCAGGCAAAGTGCTAGATCATGGACTGTTTGTTTGATGGGTCAAATCATGGTGCTTGTTGACTGGATGATTATCTGGATGAATGTCTGGACAGATGGCTGAATAGAAGGGTGGATGGATGGTTGGAAATGGATTTTTTTTTTTGTGGTTACAAGTGTGGATAAAGGGATGGGTGTGTGGATGTTTAGATGTATTGACAGTTGGGGGAATGTTGAGTGGAGGATAATGGTGTATGAATGGATGTTAAGTCGGTAAACTGGTGGAGAGTTCCATGGAAGGCTGAAAGGAAAACTGGAGGTATGGACAAAAGGAATGGAGCATGTTTATGGCATGCATTATGTCCTGTATGTTGCAGCTGAAGTCAAGCCGAAAAAGAAACCACCATCTGAGCCACGCCTGGGCGAGCTCACAGCCTCCCACATCACCCCCAGTTCTGTCCAGTTGGAATGGAGCATCGCAGAAGGCACCTTTGACTCTTTCACAGTGCAGTACAAGGATGTGCAAGGCCTGCCACAGGTGCTGCCTGTGGATGGTAGTTCCCGTACAGTGACTGTGCCAGGGCTGTCACCATCGCGCCGCTACAAGTTCAACCTATATGGGATGTGGGGGCGGAAACGTGTGGGCCCCATCTCCACTGATGCCATCACAGGTGAGGGTCTGATGCATGTTGTGTTCGTGTCTCCTGTGGGCTGTGTATTTCGAGTGTGGCAGGAGTCTTGTGAGGGCCCGTCATGCGTAAATATGAATTAAGAGTCAGATGGACAAATGACTGGATGGATGGATGTACATTCACATAAACAGCTACATCAAAGGAATGAGAAATGACTGTTTGGTTGAGTTTCCTGGCAGTTAGGTGGCTCTGTTGATGAATGTATGGACAGACAGATGACAGATGGATAGTTAGTTTGGAGCTTACATGGACAGTAGATGAATGAGTAGATAGAGTTCAGAGATGAAGGAATGATTAATTGAATTTATGGGTGTAAGGATGGATTGTTCAGTACACAAAGAGATACAAATATGGAGGAATGAAGTGACAGAGGTAGGGAAGGGAGGATTGACAAATGTTTCTGCCCTGCATTGTGTCCTTTGTGTTGCAGCTACATTCGAACTGGAAAATAAACCATCTGAACCACACCTGGGGGAGCTTACAGCCTCCCACATCACCCCTGACTCCATCCAGCTAGAATGGAGTGTCCCTGAGGGCACCTTTGACTCCTTTGTGGTGCAGTACAAGGATGCACAAGGCCAGCAACAGGTGCTGCCTGTGGATGGAGATTCCCGCACAGTGACCGTGCCAGGGCTGTCACCATCGCGCCGCTACAAGTTCAACCTGTATGGGATGTGGGGGCGGAAACGTGTGGGCCCCATCTCCACTGATGCTGTCACAGGTGAGGGCTCCTGCGTTCTATGTCCATGTCCTTGGATGCCTTGATTTGTGTTCTCAATGGGAGCAGAGGTAAGCTGCTTCCAAAGTCCTTGGCACTTCTGGGAAACAGGTGCATTTCTTCTGTGGTACCTGGGTAGTGGATGGAGGGATGGAATACTAAATTGATAGATAGTTGTATGGATGAATGAAGGGAAGACTAGGTGGATGGATAGATGGATTGAGAAATGTTTATGCCCTGCAATGTGTCCTCCATGTTGCAGCTGCAGTAAAGCCGGAAAAGGAACCACTATCCGAGCCAAGTCTGGGCGACCTCACAACCTCCCACATCACCCCTGACTCAGTCCAGCTAGAATGGAGCATCCCTGAGGGCTCCTTTGACTCCTTTGTGGTGCAGTACAAGGATGCACAGGGGCAGCCACAGGTGCTGCCTGTGGACAGAGATTCCCGCACAGTGACCGTGCCAGGGCTGTCGCCATCCCGCCGCTACAAGTTCAACCTGTATGGGATATGGGGGCGAAAACGTGTGGGCCCTGTCTCCACTGATGCTGTCACAGGTGAGGACAAGTTTTGTCAAGTCCACTCTCCCTGTGTGTTGTGTCTGGCTTAAGTCAGGAAGCTTGCGAGGTCCTGTAGTTTGTTCTTTCTGCTTTGTGGGAAATGGGAGCATGTCTTGATCACTGTCTGGAGAATGGATGAATGGATGAGTGTCAGCCATCTTGGAGAGAAGGAGGGATAGATCAGTAGTCATATGTTTAGATAGATGGCTAGATGTTTGGATGGACAAAAGTCTGCATATTTGTATGCGTTTGGCTTGTTGGATGGCCGATTATCATCTGTGTTGCTTTTTGGATAAAGGAGTGGAGAGAAGAATAAATTAATTTTGAGTTCATTGAACGGATGGAATACTGGATAGAAAAAAGGTCTTGTGCATGTAAAGAGGAATCCAAAATGGGTGGTTGGATGAATGGAAAATAGAATGGTTAGATGGAAAACCATATGAATGGATGCTTGGAAGATAGGATGGAGAAGGGAATGAATACATGGACTGAGAGTCAGATGGACAAATGACTGGATAGATGGATGGATGGACGGACGGACGGACAGATGTTCATGCAAACAGCTATATTAAAGGAAAGAGAAATGACTGGTTGGTTGAAGTTTCTTGGCAGTTGGATAATTCTACTGATGAGTGTATGGACACATGGGTGAATAGAAGAATGGATGGACAGCAGGATGGATGAAGATGCTTCAATGTTTACATGGACAGCTTATGCAGATGATGACTGTATAGATAAAGAGTTCAGAGATATATTATTTGTTTAATTTATGGATGGAAGAATAGATTGTTGAGCAAACCAATGGAAAGGTGGAGGGATGAATGGAGGTGAAAGGGAGCAAGAAAGAAAAGAAGGGAAGAAGGAAGGGGGGGAGAGAGGAAAGAAGGAAGATATGGAAGAACTCAGGGAATAGACTACTTTGTGCCATCTGCTTTGCAGCTGCAGTAGAGCCAGAAAAGGAACCACTATCCGAGCCACGTCTAGGGGAATTCACTGCCTCCCACGTCACCCCTGACTCAGTCCAGCTGGAATGGAGTGTCCCCGAGGGCACCTTTGACTCCTTCATGGTGCAGTACAAGGATGCACAAGGCCAGCCACAGGTTCTGCCTGTGGAAGGAGATTCCCGCACAGTGACCGTGCCAGGGCTGTCGCCATCTCGCCGCTACAAGTTCAACCTATATGGGATGTGGGGACGGAAACGTGTGGGCCCCGTCTCCACTGATGCTGTCACAGGTGAGGGCTCCTGCATTCCATGTCTATGTTTTGGATGCCTTGGTTTACATTCTCAATTGGAGCAGAAGTAGGCTTCTTCCAAAGTCCTTGGTACTTCTGGGAAACAGGTGCATTTCTTGTGTGTTACCTGTGTAGTGGATGTGTGTTACCTGTGTAGTGGATGGAGGGTTGGAATACTAAATTGATAGATAGTTGTATGGATGAGTGAAGGGAAGACTAGGTGGATGGAAGATTGAGAAATGTTTATGCCCTGCAATGTGTCCTCCATGTTGCAGCTGCAGTAGAGCCGGTAAAGGAACCACCATCTGAACCACGCCTGGGTGACCTCACAGCCTCCCATGTCACTCCTGACTCAGTCCAGCTAGAATGGAGTGTCCCTGAGGGCACCTTTGACTCCTTCGTGGTGCAGTACAAGGATGCACAAGGGCAGCCACAGGTGCTGCCTGTGGACGGAGATTCCCGCACAGTGACCGTGCCAGGGCTGTCACCATCTCGCCGCTACAAGTTCAACCTGTATGGGATGTGGGGGCGGAAACGCCTGGGCCCTGTCTCCACTGACACCGTCACAGGTGAAGGCTTCTTTGTGCCATGTCTGTGTCTCCTGCATGCCTTGCTTCTGGAGTTGGGTGGCTTTGGGTTCAGACACGTTCCAGGGTCCTTGTCCCATCAGGGAAATGGTTACATCTCTTGGCCTCTGACTGGGGAATGGAAGGATGGATGAGTGTAGGCAAGTTTGGAGAGATGAAGGGACATAGTGGTAGACAGCTGGATAGTCAGGTGGAGAGATGGCAGAATGAAAGAGATTCTGAATTGCCGGTTAGTTCAATAAAGTGGTGTATAGTTTCATGAATGGGTGGATAGTACGTTGGACAGATGGAATGGAAGATGTTTATGCCCTGCAACGTTCCTTTCCATATTGCAGCTGCAGTCCAGCCAGAAGAGGAACGACCGTCCGAACCAAAGCTGAGGGAACTCATTGCCTCCCACATCACTCCTGACTCAGTCCAGCTGGAATGGAGTGTCCCCGAAGGCACCTTTGACTCCTTCACAGTGCAGTACAAGGATGCACAAGGCCAGCCACAGGTGCTGCCCGTGGATGGAGGTTCCCGCACAGTGACTGTGCCAGGACTGTCACCATCGCGCCGCTACAAGTTCAACCTGTATGGGATGTGGGGGCGGAAACGTGTGGGCCCCATCTCCACTGATGCTGTCACAGGTGAGGGCTCCTGCATTCTGTGTCCATGTTTTGAATGCCTTGGTTTACATTCTCAATTGGAGCAGAAGTAGGCTTCTTCCAAAGTCCTTGGTACTTCTGGGAAACAGGTGCATTTCTTGTGTGTTACCTGGGTGGTGGATGGAGGGTTGGAATAATAAATTGATAGATAGTTGTATGGATGAGTAAAGGGAAGACTAGGTGGCTGTATGGATTGAGAAATGTTTATGCCCTGCAATTTGTCCTCCCTGTTGCAGCTGCAGTAGAGCTGGAAAAAGAACCACCATCAGAACCACGTCTGGGCGACCTCACAGCCTCCCATGTCACTCCTGACTCAGTCCAGCTGGAGTGGAGCGTCCCTGAGGGCACCTTTGACTCCTTCACGGTGCAGTACAAGGATGCACAAGGCCAACCGCAGGTGCTGCCTGTGGATGGTGTTTCCCACATAGTGACTGTGCCAGGGCTGTCACCATCCCGTCGCTACAAGTTCAACCTGTATGGGATGTGGGGGCGGAAACGTGTGGGCCCCATCTCCACGGATGCTGTCACAGGTGAAGGCTTCTGTGTGCCATGTCTGTGTCTCCTGCATGCCTCGGTTCTGGCGTTGGGTGGATTTGGGGTCAGACACCTTCCAGGGTCCTATCCCCATCAGGGAAACAGTTACATCTCTTGGGCTCTTACTCAGGAATGCACAGTTGGATGAGTGTAGGCAAGTTTGGAGAGATGAAGGGACATAGTGGTAGACAGCTGGATAGTCAGGTGGAGAGATGGCAGAATGGAAGAAATGCTGAATTGCTGGTTAATTCAATAAAGTGGTGTATAGTTGCATGAAAGGGTGAATAGAAAGTTGGACAGATGGAATGGAGGATGTTTATGCCCTGCAACGTGCCTTCCATATTACAGCTGCAGTCCAGCCAGAAGAGGAACGACCATCCGAACCAAAGCTGGGGGAACTCATCGCCTCCCACATCACTCCTGACTCAGTCCAGCTAGAATGGAGCGTCCCTGAGGGCACATTTGACTCCTTTGTTGTGCAGTACAAGGATGCACAAGGCCAGCAACAGGTGCTGCCTGTGGATGGAGATTCCCGCACAGTGACCGTGCCAGGGCTGTCACCATCTCACCGCTACAAGTTCAACCTGTATGGGATGTGGGGGCGGAAACGTCTGGGCCCCATCTCCACTGATGCTGTCACAGGTGAGGCTTCCTGTGTTCCATGTCCATGTCACTTTTGTGTTGTGTGTTTGGATTCTGGCAGGAGCCTTGTGGATGCCAGTGGTATGTTCCTTCTGCCCTGTGGGAAATGGGAACATGTCTTGGTTACTGTCTGGGGAAAAGAATGGATGGATAAATGCAGGTACTTTAGAAGAGGTGGAGGGATTTATTTTTAGATATATGTATAAATAGGTGGTTAGCTCAAATGGTTCACAAAAGGGTGGATTTTTGGATGATTCTTTCACTTCTTGGGTGGGGGGTGATTGTAATCTGTTCAGTAGTTTGGATGGAAGAATTGATAGAGGAATAAATGATTGTTGGGATCGTTGGATGTATGTAGTATGGATGGAATGGACAAAAACAGATGGATAAATGCATGGATGGATGTAGTTTTGAACAAACAGCTATGTCAAAGGAAAGAGAAATGACTCGGTTAAGTTTGTTGGCAGTTGGATAATTCTACTGATGAATGTATGGACAGATGAATGAATAGAAGTGATGGACAGAAGGATGAAGAGTTAGTTCAATGTTTATATGAACAGCTGCTGTAGATGATGAATGGGTATACAGGGTTCAGAGATGGCGGAATGATCTGTTTAATTCATGCATGGAAGGATGAATTGTTGAGTAAACAAATTGACAAAAAAATGGAGCGATGAAATGAGGGAGGAAGGGAAGGAAGGACAGACAAATGCTTATGCCCTGCATTTTGCCCTCTGTTTTACAGATGCAGTGCAGGTGGAAAAGGAACCACCATCAGAGCCACACATGGGGGAGCTCACAGCCTCCCACATAACGCCCAACTCAATCCAGCTGGAATGGAGCATCCCCGAGGGCACCTTTGACTCTTTCACACTGCAGTACAGGGATGCTCAAGGCCAGCCACAGGTGCTGCCAGTGGACGGAGGTTCCCGCACAGTGACTGTGTCTGGGTTGACACCATCCCATGGCTACCAATTCAACCTGTATGGGATGTGGGGGCAGAAACCTCTGGGCCCCATCTCCACTGATGCTGTCACAGGTGAGAAATGTTGCATGCCATGTCCATGGTCCTTGCAAAGCTTTGTTTTGGAGCACTTTGGGAGGAGGGACAGGGTCTATCTAGGCTCTTTGGCTCTTCTGGAAAACGGGAATATCTCTTGGCTACTGATTGGAGAATGGGGGGAAGGATGGGTGTAGGGAAGTTTGGAGAGGTGAAGGGATAGACAGTTGTATAGCTGGGTAGAGAGACGAAAGGATGGATGAAATGCTGAATTGATGGTTAAGTCAATAAACTGATGGACAGTTGCATGGATGGGTGCATAGAAAACTGGATAGATGGAAGGGGGGATGTTTGTGTTCTGCGTTGTGTCCTCTCTGTAGCAGCTGCAGTCGAGCCAGAAAAGGAACCACCATCTGAGCCACGCTTGGGTGACCTCGTGGCCTCCCACATCACTCCCAACTCGGTCCAGCTGGAATGGAGCATCCCAGAGGGCACCTTTGACTCCTTTGTGGTGCAGTACAAGGATGAACAAGGGCAGCCACAGGTGCTGCCCGTGGACGGAGATTCCCGCACAGTGACTGTGCCAGGGCTGTCACCATCACACCACTACAAGTTCAACCTGTATGGGATGTGGGAGCAGAAACGCGTGGGGCCTGTTTCCACTGATGCTGTCACAGGTGAGGGCTGATGCATGCCGTGTCTATGTCCCCGGTAGAACTTGAGTTTGGAGTAAGTCGGGAGACTTGCAAGGGTCTTTGCAGGGCTCCTTCTGCCCTGTGGGAATTGGGATCAGGCGAATGGATAAATGGATGAGTGCCAACAAAGTTGTGGAGATGGAGGAATAGATTGTTAAACAGGTGTATAGATAGGTAGCTAGATAGTAGAATGGGCAAAAGTCTGGTTTTCTGCGTGTGTATTTGGCTTGGTGGATGGCTAGTTGATTATCATCTACTTAGCTTTTTGGATGAAAGACCGGAATGGAGGAATAAATGAGTGGTTAGTCATTTGGATGGATGGAGTACTGCATGGATATTATCAAGGTCTTCTGAATGCTAAGAGTAATCTGGAAATGGGTGGATGGATGAGTGGAAGCCAGAATGGTTAGACAGATATATAGATGAATGGATGTTTGGAAGAAGAGAAAGGAAAAAAAATATGCATTTGTATGTACTCCGAATCAGATGGACAAATGGCTGAATGGATAGATGTACATGTACCACAAAGGATAAAGAGATGGCTGGTTGATTGATAGTTGGATGATTCTTCTGATGAATGGATAGACAGATGGATGAATAATGGATGTAAGTGGAGAGAAGGATGGATAATTAGATCAATACTTACATGGACAGCTTCAGTAGACATAAAATGGGTTAACAGTTTAGAGATGGAAGGATGAACTGTTTAATGAATCACAGAATCATCTAGGTTGGAAGAGACCTCCAAGATCACCTAGTGCAACCTCTGACCTAACACTAAGAAGTCCTCCACTAAACCATATCACTAAGTTCTACATCTAAACACATTTTAAAGACCTCCAGGGATGGTGACTCAAGCACTCCCCTGGGCAGCCCATTCCAATGCCTAACAACCCTTTCGGTAAAGAAGTTCTTCCTAACATCCAACCTAAACCTCCCCTGGCGCAACTTTAGCCCATTCCCCCTCGTCCTATCACCAGGCACGTGGGAGAACAGACCAATCCCCACTTTGCTACAGCCTCTTTTAAGGTAACTATAGAGAGTGATAAGGTTGCCTCTGAGCCTCCTCCTCTCCAGGCTAAACAATCCCAGCTCCCTCAGCCACTCCTCCTAAGACTTGTTCTCCAGACCCCTCGCCAGCTTTGTCGCCCTTCTCTGGACTCTCTCAAGCACCTTGATTTCCTTCTTGTAGTGAGGGGCCCAAAACTGAACACAGTACTCGAGGTGCGGCCTCACCAGAGCCGGGTACAGGGGGACGATCACTTCCCTAGCCCTGCTGCTCACACTGTTTCTAATACAAGCCAGGATGCTGTTGGCCTTCTTGGCCACTTGAGCACACTGCTGGCTCATATTCAGCCAACTATCAACCAATACTCCCAGGTCCATCTCTGCCAGGCAGCTTTCTAACTACTCATCTCGCAGCCTGTAGCACTGCTTGGGGTTGTTGTGCCCCAGGTGCAGGACCTGGCGCTTGGCCTTGTTGAACTTCATACAGTTGACCTCAGCCCATTGGTCCAGCCTATCCAGATCCTCCTGCAGAGCCTTCCTAACCTCGAGCAGATCAACACATGCACCTAACTTGGTGTCATCTGCAAACTTACTGAAGGTGCACTCAATCCCCTCATCCAGATCATTGATAAAGATATTAGAGAACTGGCCCTAATACTGAGCCCCAGGGGACTCCACTAGTGACCAGCCTCCAACTGGATTTAACTGGATAGAAGAATGGCTTGTGGTGTACAGAAACTGATGGAGACGGCCAAAAGCAGTGAGGGAGACAGGGATGGAGCACTGTGGAATGTTTATACCCTGAATTGTGTTCTTTTATTGCAGCTGCAGTTGAGCCCGAAAAGCAACCACCATCCAAGCCACGCCTAGTGGAGCTCACTGCCTCCCACATCACCTCTGACTCTGTTCAGTTGGAATGGAGGGTCCCTGAGGGCACCTTTGACTCCTTCATGGTGCAGTACAGGGATGCACAAGGCCATCCACATGCACTGCCTGTGGATGGTGGGTCCAACACAGTGACCGTGTCTGGGTTGTCACCATCCCGCCGCTACAAGTTCAACCTGTATGGGATTTGGGGGCGGAAACGTCTGGGCCCTGTCTCTACTGATGCAATCACTGGTGAGAGGTGCTGCATGCCATTGTGGATTTGAGTTGATCTATGGTTTGGAGGGTATTTGTGAAGATGGGAGGATGGATGGATGGATGGATAGGATGGATGGATGGATGGATGGATGGATGGATGAAATCAAGGGGTAAAGAATGTGAGGTGGAACATAGAAGAAAGGGCAGTTTAATGGAGGGTTGGACTTAGGTTTGGATGGATGGAGAACTGCAAAAGCGTGTTACTGGATTATTGGAATAAGAAATACTTCAATGGAAAGGTAGAGAAAATGAGCAGGGATGCTCAGTATTATACACCCATTGTTTCAGCTGCAGTTGAGCCAGAAGAGTTGATATCTGAGCCACACCTGGGTGAGCTTATGGCCTCCCACATCACTGCTAATTCAGTCCAGCTGGACTGGAGCATCCCTGAGGGCACCTTTGACTCCTTTGTGGTGCAGTACAAGGATGCACAAGACCAGCCACAGGTGCTGCCTGTGGATGGAGATTCCCGCACAGTGACCGTGCCAGGGCTGTCTCCATCCCACCGCTACAAGTTCAACCTGTACGGGATGTGGGAACAGAAACGTGTGGGCCCCGTCTCCACTGATGCTGTCACAGGTGAGAAATGCTGCATGCCATGTCCATGTTCCTTGCAAAGCTTTGTTTTGGAGCACTTTGGGAGCAGGGACAGGATCCATCTAGGCTCTTTGGCTCTTCTGGGAAACAGGAATATCTCTTGGCTACTGACTGGAGAATGGGGGGAAGAATGGGTTTAGGCAAGTTTGGAGAGGTGGAGGGATAGACAGATGTATAGCTGGGTAGAGAGATGAAAGGATGGATGAAATGCTGAATTGATGGTTAAGTCAATAAACTGATGGACAGTTGCATGGATGGGTGCATAGAAAACTGGATGGATGGAAGGGGGGATGTTTGTGTTCTGCGTTGTGTCCTCTCTGTAGCAGCTGCAGTCGAGCCAGAAAAGGAACCACCATCTGAGCCACGCCTGGGTGATCTCGTGGCCTCCCACATCACTGCCAACTCTGTCCAGCTGGAATGGAGCATCCCTGAGGGCACCTTTGACTCCTTCGTGGTGCAGTACAAGGATGCACAAGGCCAGCCACAGGTGCTGCCCGTGGACGGAGATTCCCGCACAGGTCACGGTTCCAGGGCTGTCACCATCGCGCCGCTACAAGTTCAACCTGTATGGGATGTGGGAGCAGAAACGTCTGGGGCCTGTTTCCACTGATGCTGTCACAGGTGAGGGCTGATGCATGCCGTGTCTATGTCCCCTGTAGAACTTGAGTTTGGAGTAAGTCGGGAGACTTGCAAGGGTCTTTGCAGGGCTCCTTCTGCCCTGTGGGAATTGGGATCAGGCGAATGGATAAATGTATGAGTGCCAACAAAGTTGTGGAGATGGAGGAATAGATTGTTAAACAGGTGTATAGATAGGTAGCTAGATAGTAGAATGGGCAAAAGTCTGGTTTTCTGCGTGTGTATTTGGCTTGGTGGATGGCTAGTTGATTATCATCTACTTAGCTTTTTGGATGAAAGAGTGGATGGAGGAATAAATGAGTGATTAGTCATTTGGATGGATGGAATACTGCATGGATTTTAAGGAGCACATGGACAACTTCACTAGACAATAAATGGGTAGATATAGTTCAGAGGTGGAGAAACAATTAGTTGAATTCATTGATATTAGGATGAATTGCTGGGGTCACATCCAGTGGAAAGATGGAGAGATGAAGGAAGGTGAAAAGGGAGGGAGGAATGCAGGGAATAAGGCACAGAAAAAGGAATCAGATAATTTTTATAGCCTGCTTTGTATCCTTTCAGTTGAGCATGAAAAACAACCACCATCTGTACCACGCCTGGGCGAGCTGACAGCCTCCCATGTCACCCCTGACTCAGTCCAGCTGGAATGGAGCATCCCCGAGGGCACCTTTGACTCCTTTGTGGTGCAGTACAAGGATGCACAAGGCCAGCCACAGGTGCTGCCCGTGGATGGTGGGTCTCACACAGTGACTGTGCCAGGACTGTCACCATCGCGTCGCTACAAGTTTAACCTGTATGGGATGTGGGGGCGGAAACGTGTGGGCCCCATCTCCACTGATGCTGTCACAGGTGAGGGCTGCTGCATGTCATGTCCCCTCCACATCTTGATTTTGGAGAAAAGTGGAAGGAGGCAGTGTCCTTCCAGGGTCCTTGGCCCTTTTGGGAAATAAATGCATCTCTTGGGTGATGCATGTTAAATGGATGGAGGGACAGGGACAAGTCATGAATATGGAGATGGCTTTTGGCAGGATCAGCAGGTAAGGCTTGAAGGATTTATTCTTGTAATTATGTTAGGTTGTGGATGTTTATAAGAGGGAGTATACATGTATATTGCTTGAAATGTGGGCAGGTGGGTGAGTGGATGGATGGATGGACGGACAGATGGATGGATAGGATCTTAGGGGTGTTGAAGGGGAGGTGAAACATGGAAGAAAGGGCAATTGAATGGAGGGATGGATATAGGTTTGGATAAATAGAGAACTGGAAAAATGGATAATTGAATTATTGAAGTAAGAAACACTTCCATGAATAGATGGAGTAAGGGATCAATCAACAAACAGCTAAATCAAAGGCTAGATCTGTTGCTGGTTGCTTGAATGGCTGCTGACTGTTCATGATGTCCAAATGATTATCTGGATATCTAACTGGAGAGATGGATGAAAGGAAGAGTGAATAGATGAGTGGTTACAAGGATAAATGGAAAGACAGGTGGATGAATGTTACTGAGTTAATAATTGTGGAGATTCTGAGTAGAATGTAAGGGTGTATAGATGGAAGGTATTGTGAATAAATGGATACACATCTGCATCAATTGATGGTTGGATGGAGCTATGGATGGATGGACAGACAAACAGCCCAGAGGATCTTTATACCTGCATTGTGCCTTCCATGTTGCAGCAGCAGTTGTGCTAGATAAGGAACCACCATCTGAGCCACGCCTGGGTGACCTCACAGCCTCCCACGTCACCCCTGACTCAGTCCAGCTGGAATGGAGCGTCCCTGAAGGCACCTTTGACTCCTTCACAGTGCAGTACAAGGATGCCCAAGGCCAGCCACAGGTGCTGCCTGTGGACAGAGATTCCCGCACAGTAACCGTGCCAGGGCTGTCACCATCTCACCGCTACAAGTTCAACCTGTATGGGATGTGGGGGCGGAAACGTCTGGGCCCTGTCTCCACTGCCGCTGTCACAGGTGAGGGCTGGTGCATGTAGTGTTCTCATCCCTTTCATACCTTGGTTTTGGAACAGGGTGAGAGTGGGGGCATTTCCTCCCAGTTCCTTGGCCCTTCTGGGTGATGGCAACATCACTTGGCCTCTGACTGGGGAATAGACGAATGAGTGAGTACAGGCAAGTTTGGAGAGATTAAGGGATAAACTGGTAGACAGGTGGATAGACAGATGTCTACACAGAGTGCTCTCTTCTCAAGGAACCACATGGAGAAGAGAAGAGCCAGTGGCATCAAGAAGCATTGGGATAGGTTGCATCTTGATACAAAACAGAATTTTTTTACAGTAAGAAAAATCAGTCATTGGACTAGCTGCCCAGAGACATGGTAGAATCCCTGTTACAGGAGGTATTCAAGATACAACTCAAAAGTGTACTAAATAATACCATCTAGGCTCCCATTTCCCAGGAAAGTTTGGAGCTGATGAGCATTTGGTATCCTTTCCAAAGTGGCTGTTTCATGATTTGATGAATCGAAGATTCGATGATTCAGTAATTAATGGTGTAAGAAACACCAGAATGAAAAGGTGGAAACAGTGAGCGAAGAGCTAAGTCAAGGTCTAGGTCACTGTATGTTTACATGTTTGCTGAAAGTGCTTAATGTCTGGATGATTATCTGGATGAATTACTGAACAGACTGCCAAGTAGAAGGATGGATGGATGTCTTCAAAGTGTTGTTTGTTTTCTGGTTACGAGCATGGGTGGATAGAAGGTTGATATGTGGTTGAGTTGACAGTTGGGGTGATGCTGAATTGAGGGTAAGGGTGTATGGAAGGAACTTCTGTCAATAAACTGATGCATAGTTGCATGGATGGTTGAAGAGAAGGTTTGATGGATGGGTGGATGGGTGGGTGGATGTATGGATGGACAGACAGATGGACTGAGGCATATTTATGCCCTGCATAAACCTTGCAGCTGCACTTGAGACCAAAAAGGAACCAGCATCCAAGCCACAGCTGGGGGAACTCACTGCATCCCACGTCACCCCTGACTCAGTCCAGCTAGAATGGAGCGTCCCTGAGGGCACCTTTGATTCCTTTGTGGTGCAGTACAAGGATGCACAAGGCCAGCCACAGGTGCTGCCTGTGGATGGAGATTCCCGCACAGTGACCGTGCCAGGGCTGTCACCATCTCGCCGCTACAAGTTCAACCTGTATGGGATGTGGGGGCGGAAACGCCTGGGCCCTGTCTCCACTGACACCGTCACAGGTGAAGGCTTCCGTGTGGCATGTCTGTGTCTCCTGCATGCCTTGGTTCTGGAGTTGGGTGGCTTTGGGTTCAGACACGTTCCAGGGTCCTTGTCCCATCAGGGAAACGGTTACATCTCTTGGCCTCCGACTGGGGAATGGAAGGATGGATGAGTGTAGGCAAGTTTGGAGAGATGAAGGGACATAGTGGTAGACAGCTGGATAGTCAGGTGGAGAGATGGCAGAATGAAAGAAATGCTGAATTGCTGGTTAGTTCAAAAAAGTGATGTATAGTTGCATGAAAGGGTGAATAGAAAGTTGGATGGATGGAATGGAGGATGTTTATGCCCTGCATTGTGCCCTCCACATTGCAGCTGCAGTCCAGCCAGAAGAAGAACGACCATCCGAACCAAAGCTGGGGGAACTCATCGCCTCCCACGTCACCCCTGACTCTGTCCAACTGGAATGGAGCATCCCCGAGGGCACCTTTGACTCCTTTGTGGTGCAGTACAAGGATGCACAAGGCCAGCCACAGATGCTGCCCGTGGATGGAGATTCCCGCACAGTGACCGTGCCAGGGCTGTCACCATCTCACCGCTACAAGTTCAACCTGTATGGGATGTGGGGGCGGAAACGTGTGGGCCCCATCTCCACTGATGCTGTCACAGGTGAGGGTTTCTGTGTGCCATGTCCGTGTTTTTTGCAGTCTTTGGTTTTGAAAAAAGGTGGGGGCAAGGAAAGGGTCATTGCAGGGTCCTAGGCCCTTCTGGGAAACAGACGTATATGTCTTGGATTGTTGTTCTGGTTTAGCCCTGACAGGCAGCTGAGTGCATTGCAGCCATTAGCTCACTCTCCCCAGGTGTGAATCTGAAAGGTAAAAAGAACTCATGGTTTGAGAGAAAGACAGTTTACTAGGTAAAGCAAAAGCCACATGCACACGCAAAGGAAAACAAAGAATTCATTTGCTGACTCCCATTGGCAGGCAGGTGTTCAGCCAGTTCCAGGAAAGCAAAAGAAAAAGGCTTATGGCTGAGATAAGGATAATTTAATTAAAGGGAAAAGACAGAGGGAAAAAAAATGAGCAAAGGCTGCATAGAAGCAAAGAGGGGAAAAAATGAAAAAAAAAATCTCTACTTCCCATCAACAAGTGATGTTCAGCCACATCCTGGGAAGCAAGACTTCAATATGCACATCGCTTGTTTGGGAGGACAGTCATCTTCATAGTGGCCACTAGAGTCACCCCCTCTCCTTCCCCTTTCCCACCTTTTATTGCTGAGTATGACATCATATGGTATGGAATATCCCTTTGGTCATTTTACATCAGTTGCCCTGGCAATGTCCCTTTCCCACTTCTTACCTACCCCCAGCCTACTGGCTTTGGGGGTTTGGAGGGAGTCTTCATGCTGTGTCAACACTGCTCAACAATAGACAAAACATTGGTGTGATACCAATGCTGTTCTAGCTACAGGTGCAGAGCACAGCACTATATGGGCTGCTGTAGGGAAAATGAATTTGATCCTATCCCAGTAGGAAGGTGGGGTGAGCAAGGAGCTAAATGGAAGTCTAGATCACTAGCTTGATGGTTGGATGGTTGGTGAATGTCCTTGATGTCACAATGATTATCTGGATAAATGGCTGGAGAAGATGGATAAATAGAACAGAGAAGGATGATAGGAAGTGTGGCTTCTTTATGGTTGCAAGGGTGGATGGAAGGACAAAAGGGTGAATGTAACTAAGTTGATACTTGGGGAAATGCTGAGTAGAATGTAAGCGTGTATGGATGGAAGGCTTTTTCAATAAATGGATGAAGAGTTTCATTGACTGATTGGATGGATGGATGACAGAGGTATGGACAGATGGACTGGGGGGTATTTATACCCTGCATTGAGCACTAACTATCTCTTGCAGCTGCAGTTGAAACAGAAAAGGAACCACCATCCGAGCCACAGCTGGGGGAACTTACAGCCTCCCACGTCACCCCTGACTCCATCCAGCTAGAATGGAGTGTCCCCGAGGGCACCTTTGACTCCTTCATGGTGCAGTACAAGGATGCCCAAGACCAGCCACAGGTGCTGCCCGTGGATGGAGATTCCCGCACAGTGACCGTGCCAGGGCTTTCACCATCCCGCCGCTACGAGTTCAACCTGTATGGGATGTGGGGGCGGAAACGTGTGGGCCCCATCTCCACTGATGCCATCACAGGTGTGTCCTGATGGGTGACAAGTCTGTGTATGCTATGGGCCATGTGTTTGGAGTATGACAGTAGCCTTGCAAGGGCCTGTGCTGGGTTTCTTCTGCCCTGTGGAAAATGGGAACACATCTTTGGATAGATGAATGGATGGACGAACGAACAGACGGAAGGACGGATGGACTGGGGGATGTTCATACCCTGAATTCTGCCCTCTGTGTTGCAGCTGCAGTGGAGTCGGAAGAGGAACTGCCATCAGAGCCACGACTGGGCGAGCTCACTGTGTCCCATGTCACCCCTGACTCCATCCAGCTGGAATGGAGCGTCCCCGAGGGCACCTTTGACTCCTTCGTGGTGCAGTACATGGATACACAAGGCCAGCCACAGGTTCTTCCTGTGGATGGTGGTTCCCACACAGTGACTGTGCCAGGGCTGTCACCATCCCACCCTTACAAGTTCAACCTGTATGGGATGTGGGGGCAGAAACGTCTGGGCCCCATCTCCATTGATGCTGTCACAGGTGAGGGCTGCTGCATGTCATATACGTGTCCTTTGGTGGGCTGTGAGTTTGGACTGTATCAGGAGCCTTCCGAGAGCCTGTCCTGGTCACTTGGGTCTTAACAAAAATGGGGAAAATTTTGGTGCTGACTGGGAAATGTATGAAGGCTGGGAGCATGCAAGATTGGCAGGAGTAGAGGATGATGGATGGATGGGTGGAGGGATGGATGGATGGACGGATGGACAGAAAAACGGACAGACAACTGTTTGCAGAGAGGACAGATAGATGGCTAGACGAATGTTTGTTTGGTTGTTGAACAGATGGATAGTTGTACGGGGGGATGTTTATGCCCTGCATTGTGCTCTCCATATTGCAGCCCCACCTCCAGCAGAGGAGGAACCACCATCCCAGCCCCGTCTTGGCGAGCTCACAGGCCTCCCACGTCACACCAGACTCCATCCAGCTGGAATGGAGCGTCCCCGAGGGCACCTTTGACTCCTTCACGGTGCAGTACAAGGATGCACAAGGCCAGCCACAGGTGCTGCCTGTGGATGGAGATTCCCGCACAGTGACCGTGCCAGGGCTGTCGCCATCGCGCCGCTACAAGTTCAACCTGTATGGGATGTGGGGGCGGAAACGTGTGGGCCCCATCTCCACTGATGCTGTGACAGGTGAGAGTGACTGTGGGCCCTTTTCTTATCACCTTTTAGCATTGAGTGGATGTAGCATGTGTTTGGAAGAGCCCACGCTGAGTCACTTGGGCATTGTTGGAAGTGGGAACATCACCTGAGTTCTAAAAAGAGTGTGGATGGAGGAGTGGAAGCGTGCAAGTTTGAAGGGAGAAATGCATAGATGGAAGTTGGTTGCTTGTATGACTGGCAATTTGGGGGACTTTTTGGATGGATGGATCATTGGATGGTTGGCTGGATCATTGCCTCGTGAGCAATGGGAACAAGTTTTTGTGCTGACTGGCTGAGGGATGGTTGAAGGCAAGAGCAGAGAGTCGAATGGATAGAAGTGGATTGTGGAAGACGGAGGGATGGATGTTTACTTTTGTTTGTTTGGATGGATGGAAGGAAGGATGGATGGAAGGAAGGATGGATGGATGGATGGATTTTGGTTGAAACGATGGATGGGTGGTTGTCTGTCTGTCTGTCTGTATGGATGGGTGGAGAGAGGGAGGGTGGGTGAGATGGACTGACAGATGTTTATGTAACACCTTGTGTCCTGTCTGTTGCAGCTGCAGTCAAAACGGAGGAGGAACCACCATCCCAGCCACGCCTGGGCGAGCTCACGGTCTCCCACATCACTCCCAGCTCTGTTCAGCTGGAGTGGAGTGTCCCCGAGGGCACCTTTGACTCTTTCACACTGCAGTACAGGGATGTGCAAGGCCAGCCACATGCGCTACGTGTGGATGGAGATTCCCGCACAGTGACTGTGCCTGGGCTGTTGCCATCTCACCGCTACAAGTTCAACTTGTATGGGATGTGGGGGCGGAAACGTCTGGGCCCTATCTCCACTGATGCTGTCACAGGTATGTTCCGGTGCATGCCACTTATCCATCCCTTGCATGCCTTGGTTTTAGAGCAGGACAGAAGTGGGGACCACATCCATCCAGGGTCTTTAGCCCTTCTGGGAAATGGGTGCATCTCTTTGGTGGTTCCTGGTGAATGGTTGGATGGATAGTAGGACGGGGGGAAGGAAAGCCATCAATATGGAGATGGTGTTTATTGGCAGGATTAAAAATTAAGTGGCAGGACGTTTGGTAGTATGGATTTTTGGAAAGACGTTTTGTTGTGGGTGTCCGTCTGTCTGTACCTAAGAGTGCATCAATGGCTTTGTGGGTGAAAAGCTGGACAGATGGATGAAATAAAGGGGTGATAAATTGGAAATGGAATCAGGACAAAGGGCAATTGGATGGACGGACGGATGGATGGATAGCTGGATAAGTGGATCATTGGATTAAGGAGTATGAAACACTTCAAAGTGGGGGAGGATAGGGGTGAGCAAAGTTTTAAATGAAAGTCTAGATCACTGGATTTGGTTAGATGGTTTGTGAAGGTCCCCGGTGAGGGGATGATTATCTGGATGAATGGCTGGACAGACAGATGACTGTGGTAGCTTGCTAAGCTCATTTGCATTCCTGAAAAGAGCAAGGACATAAGATATGATGACAAAAGGCTCAGGGGTTGAAATAAGGAGCAGTTTAATTAAAGGAAATTAAAAAATAAATAAGCAAATGTCACATGGAAGCCAAAGTTTAAAACAATTATTCTCTACTTCATATTAGCAAGTGATATTTGGCCACGTTTTGGGAAGCAGGGCCTCAGTCTGCATGGCAGATGTTTGGGAGGACATCCCTCTTCATAACAAGATCCTCCCCTTTTCATTCCCCTTTCCCAGCTTTTATTCCTGAGTGTGACATCATGTGGTATGGAATATCCCTTTGGCCATTTTAGGTCAGCTGCCCTGGCAATTTCCCCTCTGCACCTTTTGCACACTCCAGCCTACCGGCTTTGACTGGGGTTGGAGAGAGTCATGATGCTGTGCCAGCACTGCTCAACAAAAGACATAAAATTGGTGTAAAATCACTGCTGTTCTACCTGCAAGTGCAGAGCACAGCACTACATGTCCTACTCTGGGAAAGATGAACTCACTCGATCACAACTAGACGCAGTATAATGAGCACAAAGGTGTACGGATGGGTGGATGGATGGATGGAAGGAAGGAAGGGAGTTTGGGTATGCCAACCGATAGAGAGATAAATAGGTGGATGGATGAACAAGGGGATGTTTCTGCCCTGCATTGTGTCCTCTCTTTTGCAGCACTAGTCAAGTCAGAAGTAGAACCACCATCCCAGCCATACCTGGGTGAACTCACAGCTTCCCATGTCACCCGTGACTCCGTCCAGCTGGAATGGAGTGTCCCCGAGGGGAAATTTGACTCCTTCAAAGTGCAGTACAAGGATGAACAAGACCAGCTGCAGGTGCTGCCTGTGGATGGAGATTCCCGCACAGTGACCGTGCCAGGGCTGTCACCATCTCACCACTACAAGTTCAACCTGTATGGGATGTGGGGGCAGAAACGTCTGGGCCCCATTTCCACTGACACTGTCACAGGTGAGAGCAGCTGCATGCTTTTTCTGTGTCCCTTGCAAGGCTGGGGGTTTGGATCAGGGCAGGAACCAGGACAGGATCTGTCCTGAGCCCCTTGGGCCTTCTGGAAAATGGGAACATCTCCTGGTTACTGAACAGGATGGAGGGTTGGAGGGATGGGAATATGCAATGGTGGGTGGGTGGGAGGAAGGAAGGAAGGAAGAAAGGAAGGAAGGAAGGAACAGACTGGGGGATATTTATAGATGGCATTGTGCCCTCTGTGTTGCAGCTGCGGATGAACTAGAAAAGGAACCAGCATCCGAGCCACGCCTGGGAGACCTCACAGCCTCTCACATCACCCCTGACTCCGTCCAGCTGGAATGGAGTGTCCCCGAGGGCACCTTTGATTCCTTTGTGGTGCAGTACAGGGACACACAAGACCAACTGCAGGTGCTGCCTGTGGATGGTGGATCCCATACAGTGACTGTGCCCGGGCTGTCTCCATCCCAACGCTACACATTCATCGTATACGGGATGTGGGGGCAGAAACGTCTGGGCCCCATCTCCATTGATGCTGTCACAGGTGAGGGCTGCTGCATGCCATGGACGTGTCCTTTGGTGGGCTGTGAGTTTGGACTGTGTCAGGAACCTTCCAAGGGCCTGTCCTGGTCACTTGGGTCTTAACGAAAATGGGGAACTTTTTGGTGCTGACTGGGGAATGTATGAAGGCTGGGAGCATGCAAGATTGACAGGAGTAGAGGATGATGGATGGGTGGGTGGATGGATGGATGGATGGATGGATGAATGGATGGGTGGGTGGAGGGACGGATGGACAGACAACTGTTTGCAGAGAGGACAGAGAGACGGTTAGATGAATGTTTGTTTGGTTGTTGAACAGATGGATAGTTGTATGGGGGGATGTTTATGCCCTGCATTGTGCTCTCCATATTGCAGCCCCACCTCCAGCAGAGGAGGAACCACCATCCCAGCCCCGTCTTGGCGAGCTCACTGCCTCCCACATCACCCCTGACTCCGTCCAGCTGGAATGGAGCGTCCCCGAGGGCACCTTTGACTCCTTCACGGTGCAGTACAAGGATGCACAAGGCCAGCCACAGGTGCTGCCTGTGGATGGTGCGTCTCGCACAGTGACTGTGCCAGGGCTGTCACCATCGCGCCGCTACAAGTTCAACCTGTATGGGATGTGGGGGCGGAAACGTGTGGGCCCCATCTCCACTGATGCTGTCACAGGTGAGAGTGGCTGTGGGCCCTTTTCTTGTCACATTTCAGCACTGAGTGGATGTGGCAGGGAAAGGCCAAATGGGATGGGTGCGTGCCAGTTTGGAGAGAGGAGCGGATGGATAAAGTTGGTTGCTTGTATGACTGTCTGGCAGCTTGGGGGGCTCTATGGATGGGTGTATTGTTAGGTGTTTAGCTGGATCATGGCTTTGCAAGCAATAGGAACAAGTTTTTGTGCTCATTGGGTGACTGATTGAGGGATGATTTCAGGCAAGAGCAGAGAGATTTGGAGAGCTAGAGGTTGACGTGTGGAAGATGGAGGGACGGATGTTTACTTGTTTGGACGGTTGGGTGTATGGATGGATGTAGAATGATTGGATGGCTCTTTAATTATTTGGTTGAATACTTGATTGAATGGATGGATGGATGGACAGATGGATGGACAGATGGACAAGCTGTTGAATGGTTGGGTCGGACTGTGGCTCCTTATGGGATGGATGGTGTGATGAACCCATTTTTTTGTGGAAGGATTGACTGAAGCATGTACAGGCAGATAGCTGGTTGGATTTGTGTTTTGCTGGTAGAATAAATGAATTGGAGCCATGGAGGCAAAGTTCAGTGGAAGGGTGGTTTCAGGAAATGATGGATGGTAAAAGGTGCATGAAAAGATGGATGGCTGAGGGGTAAATGAAGAGAGGGAAGGAGGGAAGCAAGGAGGTAGGGAGAGAGGGATGGAAGGAAGGATGGATGGAAGAGTCCCTGGATGCTCCCAGAGACACTCTGTGTGTGGGGTACTGTGGATGGGAGTCACTGGGATACTACAAGGGGTCTTTGGGGTGGAGACCATGGGGGTGTCTTTGGGGTCAGTGGGAGCTAAGGTGGTGAGAGGGTGCTGTGGTGACCCTTGGGGGAGTCCAAAAGGGGTTTGTGGGGAGAGTCAGTGGGAAGGTCTACGGGGGGCTGGGGGGTTGGTGTGGGCCTCAGTGATCACCATCTCTTGTGCAGGTGCCCCAGGGACCCTGTGGGTGGGGTCCCTGTGGCCCCGCAGTGCTCGCCTGCACTGGGCGCCCCCCCAAGTCCCTCCTGATGGCTACATCCTTGTCTACGGCCCCCCTGGTGGCCCCCTGCAGGTAATTTCCCCAAACACCCCAAAACCTCCCAGCCCCGTGTGACACTCCAGTAATTCTTGTGAGATTCCAGTATCCACTGGAGACCCAAATAATCTCATGGGGGACCCTTATACCACCCTGGGGAACACAAGAGCGCCCCCCACACACACCAGACACACCAGTAACACCCTAGGAACCCTACTGGTACCTCCCCAGTGTATCTCTGTTCACTCCAGTATTCCTTGTGGTCCCCAATACTCCTTTACAGCACTCCAGTACACCTTCGAGGCCCACCCTATGCTCCCTGGATACCTAAAAGACCCCCCATGCAGCCCCTATAATGCCTCTAGGGACCCTAGAAGCCCCCTGCATTCCCCAGTAACCTTTCCCCACACAAACAGACGCTGCAGCTGCCCCCTGAGGCAACATCGAAGGAGCTGTGGGGCCTGGAGCCCATGGGCCACTACTGGGTGCAGTTGCAGAGCCAGGGGCTGGAGCCGGCCCCCGTGCCCCTCGAGGCCACCTTCGACACCCGTGAGTTGGGCATGTGGGTCCCTTGAGGGTGGGGTGTTGGGGCCAGGGGGATCCCCAGGTACCTGGATGCCTTACAGGTGGACGCATTTGGGTCCCTTGACCCCCTGGGTGGAGGGTTCTGGAGGTATCCAGATACCTGGATGTTTTGGCTGTGGGGTGGGAGGGGAACACCTTGAGCCTGAGTCCCTAGGTAGGGGGGCACCCAGATTCCTGGTTTCTTGGGTGGGGAGTGGGCACCTAGGTGCCTGAGCCCCTTGGCTGGTGGGTGGCTGGGTGGGAGGCACTCAGGTGCCTGGGTCCCTTGGGTGGGGACACCTGGTCCCCACATTTGCACCCTGTCCCCAGCGCCCCTACTCCACCCGTACCCCCGGGACTGCGTTGAGGAGCAGCTAAACGGACCAAGGCCTTCACGCGAAGCCCTCATCTTCCTCGGAGGGGACCGACAGCGGCCCCTGCGTGTCTTCTGCGACATGGAGACCGATGGCGGTGGCTGGCTGGTGCGGGCAGGGGGGCAGTAGGGGGCACTGAGGGAGTCAGGGGACGTTCTGTGGGAAGCAATAGCAGGAGGTACCTCTAGGGAGGTAATGAGGCCAGTGGGTTCCCTGACAAATTTGGAGAGGTAACGGGAGGAGGGGCAACTGGGGTCACTGGGGGAGCATTGGGGGTGTCTGGTGGGTTCTATGGAGGATATTGTGCAGGGGTCTGGGGGGCAATAGGTATGGCCCTGGGGTTGCGATTGTGGGCATTTGGGGTATCTAGGGATGTTCTGTGGGATGCAGTAGGGGGGGAGGGAGTAAGCAAGGGGGGGGGGGGCGGGCTGGCAAACCTGGAGCATAATGGGAAGGGCCCATGGAGCAACTGGGGTCACTATAGGGAATTGGGGGGTCTGGGAGGTTCAGTGAGGGGCATTGAGGGGCCTGGGAGACAATGGGGGGCAGTGAGGGGGATTCTATGAGGGGTAGTGGGGGTATCTGTGGTCCCAGGAGGTCCAAGAAGTACACTGAAGGGCATTTAGGGGTCTGAGGGCGTTCTCTGGGGGGCAGTAGAGATGTTTGGGGGACAAGGGGTGTCCTGACAGATCTGAAGGGGTAACTGGAGGCAGAGGGGGTGTTCTCTAGATGGTCTTTAGAGGGCAATGGGTGGGGCTGTGGGGTGCACTATGTGTATGGGGACTGAGGTCAATGGGGGTCCCTGGGGGTGCCCTTGGGGGACAGTTGGGGGTCACTGAGGGGTGTTATTGTGGTCTTCTTGATGTTTCTATGGGGGGCAGGGGGAGAACTGGGGAGGGATAATGGTTCTGTGGCAGATCTGGGGGTGCAATGGGGAGTCCTGGGGAGCAACAAGGGTCCGAGGGAGCCTAGATAGTCTCAGGGTGCACTGGGGAAGACCATGAGGGGCAATGGAAGGAGCTGGGGGTTCAGGGGGAGGTAATGGGAGGTGGGGGCGGGCAGGGGGGTTTCCTTTGACTCTCCACTCCCAGGTGTTCCAGCGACGCATGAATGGGGCCACTGATTTCTGGCGGGGATGGGAAGAGTACACCCACGGCTTTGGCAACGTCTCCCAGGAGTTCTGGCTTGGTGAGGACCCCTGCATCTGGGGGGGGACCCAGGGTTCTGGCGGGGGGACAAAGGCACCCAAGGGGACCCCAGGGGGACAACCAGGTGGCCCCAGGTGGGTCTCCAGGGGAGGGACCCAGGTGTCTGGGTGTCCCTGGGTGGGCTGCAGTGGCTGAAGACCCCAAGGTGTCTGGGTGCAGGGAACGAGGCGCTGCACGCGTTGACGGCGGCTGGCCCCACGGAGCTGCGGGTGGACCTACGGACGCCGCTGGACGCCGCCTTTGCCCACTACCGCGACTTCGCTGTTGCTGGCCCCGAGGAGCACTACCGCCTCCACCTTGGCGCCTACAGCGGCACCGCCGGTGCGAGGGGTTCCTGGCCCGTGAAGGGGCCGAGGGTATTTGGGGGAGGGTATTGGGGGGTCCCATGGGGCATTTGGAGGGCCCTAGGGGAGGGCTGTTGGCCCAGGGGGAGGGTTCTGGGGAGCCCTGTGGGAATCTCGGGGGTGTCTTGGCCATGGGGGTTCCCTAAAGCAGGTCTTAGAGGAGTCCTTTAGCCCATGGGTGTCCTTAGGGGAAATCTTGGGGGGGGGGAGAGGGTGGGGTCTCTGAATAGTTATGGCTTATGGGGGGTGTGGGGTATGGTGGTTTGGGGGAAGCTGCCCTTTTCCCATATAGCAGCAGCACTTGTGGGGAGGTCTTGAGCATCCACAGGCCATAGAGGATTCCTGGGAGGGTGTTGTCTGGGGGCTGTTGAAGGTCTCTTGACCCATGGGAGGGTACCTAGAGGAGGCCTTGGTAGGGGGAGGTCCTTTTGCCAATGAGAGGCAGTCCTTGGAGTGGTTTTGGGAGTCCATGACTCATGGGTGAGGGGGCTTTGGGGGCCTATTACAGATCACCAGCCCATGGGGTAGTCCTGGGGAGCCCCTAAGAGGTCTTGAGAGTCTTTGGTCCATATGGTGCTCCCTGATATGGAACGCAGAGGTCCCTGGGGGGCTGTGACCTGTCCTGGAGGGGAGTGGGGGGGTGTCTTAGGGAACATCTTGTGGTTCTCTGACCTATTGAGGGTGTTCTGGAGAAGCTCTCTTTCTGGGAGTGCACTAGAATCTCCAGAGTGCTAATGTGAGTCCTGCAGGGGACGCAATGTCCTACCACGCTGGCAGCCCCTTCTCAACGCGGGACCGTGACCCCCGGCGCCGCCCCCGGCCCTGCGCCGTCGCCTACACAGGGGGCCTGGTGGTACCGCAACTGCCACTACGCCAACCTCAATGGGCGCTATGGTACCCCCTACGACCATCAGGCACGTTGGGGGGATGTAGGGGTGATGGGGAGGGGGTATCGGGGCCATAAAGGGGGGCTATGGGCACTACAGAAACAGCAAAAGAGGACTTGATGGGGTCTATAGGGGCCTTGGGGGGGCTACAGGAGACATAGGAGGTAAATATGGAGGTCAATACAGACCATACAGAGATTTATAGGGGCCATGAGGCAGGCTATGAAGGCCACAAGGCAGCCTGCAATGGGATTAAAATCACCCCAGGAGGTTTGACAGGGGCCATGGGGTGGGGGAGCCTATATTGGCACTGTGGGACACAAGATCCATATGGCACTGCTCACAGCAGGCAGGTACCTATGGGGACCTAAAGGGACTGGGGAGTGGCAGCAGGGGATTTCGCATCTATAGGGACTGGTGCCCTATGGGGAACAATGGGGGCCAGGACCTCTTTGGGGGGCTATGAGGGCCGTATGGTCATGCACCCCTCTGAGGTCCTACAGGCCTTCTACAGAGTGCAAGACACCATACAGGACCCCTCCTGCCCCAGCTCCAGATCTCCCCTATGTGGGCATGGGGCTTTATAGGAGGGATAGGGCCTGGAGCAGGGGAGTGGGTTCTTCAGGGCTTCAGTATGGTGCCCACAGGCCCTATACGGGTCTGTAGGGCCCCTGTAGTATGCCGACAAGTCCTGACAAGGCCCTATCTCGCTCTCCCCAGGGCATCAACTGGTTTCCCTGGAAAGGTTTCGAGTTCTCCATCCCCTTCACGGAGATGAAGCTGCGGCCACAGCATGACTGAGAGCACCCAGAGAGGAGGCAGGGCTGCCAGGGGCAGTGGTGATGAAGCCTTTATGGGGTCAATAAAAGCTGCGAGCAACCAGCAAGCAAGCCCAGGCTTCCATGTGTCCCCAGGCATCGGGGCTCAGGGGGTGGGGGGCTGACAGGGCACAAGGCGCACGCAGAATGGGGGGCAGCGCAGGACGGTGCCAGCTGTCACCCCCAGCTTGGGCAGGGCACCAGGCACCGGTGGCTCCAGGCGGAAATGATGAAGGATGTGGCCCAGGAAAACAAAGAGCTCAGCTCGTGCCAATGCCTCACCCAGGCAGGATCGGGCCCCGCAGCCGAAAGGTACCAGCGCTCGCCAGGGTGCCCCTGGCTCCAGGAACCGCTCTGGAGGGGGAAAATGAGTGGGGAGGGAACCCACCATAAGGGCCAAGGACACAGATGTCCAGGCTGGTGATCATCCCAACAGCATCAGATACCCTGGCAAGCAGGGAGGGGACCCAAGCATCTGGAGCAGTGACCCAGGTGTCCAAAATGGGCCCAAATGTCCAGGGAACTCCAGGGTCCAACACGTACCTGGCAGGAATTCATCAGGGCGATGCCAGGTCTCAGGGTCGTGGTGGGCAGCGAAGAGGTTGGGGATGACGATGGAGCCAGCTGGCACAGGGACACCCCCAACACTAGAACAGGACAAGGTGCTGCTGGGATGGACTGGGACAGACTGGAGTCTGCAGAGTCCCAGTAGTATCTACTGCCACCTACTGGGACCATCGGGCTTTACTGAGCCCTACTGGAGCTCTCCTGGTCTACATTGCAGCCTACTGGGCTCTACCAGGTGCTTCTGGGTTTTATGATGCCTTTTGGGCTCTGCTAACCCATACTGGTCTATACTAGTCAATACTGGTCTGTACAGACCCATACTGGTCCATACTGGTTTCTACTGGCTGTACCTGGTGTGGCGGCGTGTGCAGTGGGGCAGGGCCAGGGGTGCAGGTGGCCGCAGGCGCAAAGTCTCGGTGATGGTGGCGCGGAGCAGGGGCAGGCGTCCCATGTCCCCCACCTGGGGGGTGCCTGTGGGGCCCAGCTCCTGATGCAGCTCTGCACGCACCCACTCCTGCACCTGGGGGGGGCACACATATCATGCACGGCTGTCCCTCATGCATGTGACATGGATGCGATGCATGTGGCACCTTGGGACAGTGCAGGGGTGGAGGTGATGGCCACGAGAGGGGGTCATCAGGGACACCCAGGACGTGGAACCCTCCCCAGGACCTGACCAGGGACATGGACATGACGTGGACGTGGCATGCATGAAGCACCTCAGGGCGGTGCAGAGGGATGGCGGTGGTTATGGTGTGGGGGACACGAGGGATGCCCAGGACACGGGTGGGCACACCCTGGGGATGCGAGACCCGCCTGGGGATATGGACGTGAGTGTGACACGTGTGGCACTTCAGGGTGGTGCAAGGGGACAGTGATGGCCACGGGGAGGAGGACACGGGATTTGCAGGACACTGGACACAGACGTGAGTATGCAAGACCCCCCCACCCAGGACCTGCATGGGGACACGGACACAGATGTGACATGGAGGTGGCACCTCAGGGCGATGCAGCAGGAAGGCCACGGCCCAGGCCAGGGCGGCCGCTGTCGTCTCAGTGCCACCGATGAAGAGGTCGACCAGGGCCATGTGCAGCCGATCGGGGCCTAGCGGCCCCCCCCGGACACTGGGGTCCTCCCCCAGCAGCGCCCCCAGCACTGTGTCCTCAGGGGGCGAGGCACAGGCCTGCAAGGGGACACGTGTCACCTCCCTGAGTCCCCTCACCGGGTTCCTCCTGCCCCGGTCCCGTGTCCCCATCCCACCTTGTGACGCTGGATCTGGGTCTCCACGAAGGCGTCACGGGACTCCACCAGGCTAAGCAGCCGCCGCAGCCCTGGGTTGGGCAGCACCTGGGACCGTATGGAGCCCATAGGCACCCCAGGGGCCACGAAGAGCCCCCAGGACCCTACTAGAGCCCCCCCGCTTTGAGCCACAGTGGCTATATAACCCCTTCCAGCTGCATGTAGGCCCTATAGGACCCACCCCAGGTCCCACAGTCCCTACAGACTCTCTCAACCCTGTGTAGAACCCCTTAACATCTCCCCCAAGGTCTTATAGACCATTTAACCCCCTCCCCAGCCCCATACAGACCCCCCCCTCAACCCCATATATAACTCCCATCTCCACTATAGACCCTGTACCCTCCCACACCCCCAGCACCTCCCCAGATCCTATACTATCCTCCCCAAGGCCATATAACCACCTCAGAGCCCTACATAGGCCCCTCCACACCTTCATATATACCCTACAACCCCTCCAGGGCAATATAGTTTCCTCCCCAATATTGTCTCCCACATCTGGACCCTATAAGCAGTCCCCAAATCCCATCCAGACCCTACAACATCCCCTCCCATGCCCTTCCTCAGTCCCACGCAGGCCTCCCCCAGGCCCCCGTAGATGCCATAAACCTCATCCCCAGAGCCATACGGGCCCTGTAGGGCCTGGCCCCACGGTGAGGCTCACCCGCAGCAGTGGCAGCAGGTCGAGCACCCGGACGCTGGCCCTGCCCCACACCTCCAGCAGCTCCATGACGCAGCGGGTGAAGGCCCGGACTTCAGCCTCGGGGGGCATCTGTGGGGGCCCAGGTGCCTTGGGTCACCCCCAGTAGACCCCTGGGTCTCCTCCAAGGACACCCAAGTCCCCCAGGTGGCACCTGGACATGTCGTTTCCCCACCCCAAGTGACACCTGGGTCCCCTCGAGTGGCACCCAGACACCTGGGTGGACCCAAACCCAGAGAGCCCCCACCCAAAGGTGCCCACCCCAAATGCCTTAGGGCCACCTGGATTCCCCCAAAGGGACACCCGGGTCCCTACCAGGTCCCCAAAGACGAGGAGGCAGATGGTGCTGCAGGTATGGAAGGCGAACGCCTCGAAGACGTCGACGGGCGCCCCCCCATAAGAACGCAGGTCCTGGGGGGGGAAAAAGGGGGTCACCACTGGGGGGCTGGGGAGTGCCTGGGGGGACATGGGGCTTCCCAGGGGGGTTGTTGGGGTGACCTAAGGAGATTTTGGGGTCACCAGGGATATACCGCTAGCCCTAGGGGGTATTGGGATACCCAAGGGTGGTAGAGGGGAGGGGACCCCATAGGGGTATTGGGGTGAACTGGGGTAATATAGGGGGACCTAAGGGGTTTCGGGGAGCCCCAAATGGGTAAGGAGGGGTGTCCCAGGAAGTAATGGGGTGTGCTAGTGGATATAAGGGGCCCAAGAGAGAAGAGGGGATTACGGGAGGATTTGAGGTCCCACAGTCAGGTATTGGGGCATCTGTAGGGGCTACTAAAGGGGTCTGGGTGATAAAGGGGAGTACTGGGACATACCAGGGAGGTACTGGGGAGCATAAATGGAGCATTGGGGTGCCCCAGGGAGATTCAGGGATCCCAGAAAGGATATTAGGGACACCTACATGACAAAGTGGTGTCCCAAGAGACAATGGGGCTCCCTGGGGGGGCGGTGCAAGGAATACCCCCCTGTTGGGGTATAGGGCTGCCCTAAAAGGATAATGAAGGTCCCATAAAAGCTATTGGGTGGCCCCCAAGGGATTACTGGTATACCACAGGGACTCCCTGATCAGCTATGAGGTGCTGGGGCTGATTTTTTGGGGGCACCCTGGTGCGATTTGGGGGTCCCGGGTTGGTTTGGAGTTCTGGAAGGGGATGGGGGGGTTGTCCCCAGGTTGGGGGTGCCTTTTTTTATTTTTTTGGGTGGGGGAGGGGTCCCAGGTTTGGGGTACTCACCTGGCAAAGCGCCTTCGCCTGCTGCGCCAAGAGGGGCTCGAGTCGCCCCTGGGCCCGGGCCAGCGCCCCCCGCGTTGCCCCCCGCTGCTGCTGCCACCCCGGGCACACGTCCCCCAGCGCCAGGTCCTGGCCCCCCCGTGACACCAGCCCCCCTGCACCACACCTACGTCACCACCAGCACCCTCCTCCTTCCCCCCCAGCACCCATGAGGACTGCCCCAGTCCTCCCCCCCCCCCTCAAAAAACCCTCGGGACCCCCAGGGACCCCCCCCACCCACCAGACACCCATAGGACCCCCCCAGCACCCACCAAACACTGACAGAGACCCCTCCCCAGACACCCTTGTGAGGAACCCACAGCCCCCCCCACACCCCTCAGGACACCCCCAATACCATAAGGTGCCCCCCCCACAGGCCCCCCCAATATCCAGGGAACTTTGGGGTGCCCGACACAACCCCCCCCAGCCCTTATAACACCCCCAGCCCCATAAGCTCCCAATAACCCACCTGTACCCACATAATTTGGGGAGGGGGTGGTCCCAGTGCACCCCCCCAGCCCATGTGGGACCCCCCCCCCCCATACCCAGGTAACTTGGGGGGCGCCCAGCGAAGTCCCCCCAGCGGCGAGCGAGAGCCTCCCGGATGGTCCCCACCGAGCTCAGCACCAGCACATCTTGGGGGTAAGGAGAGGGGGGGAAAAAAAAAATGGGGGGGGTCTGGAGTGATGTGACCCCCTTGGGGGGGGGGGGGTGGGGGGGGGAAGGGAAGTCCCAAGATATGGGGGCTTGGTGGTCCCAGCCCTCCCAATGGGGTCAGGGACCCCCAAATTGGGGGGGGAATGGGTGCGGGGATAGAAGGGGGGGGAGGATTGTCCCAGGAACAAATTGGGGGGGGGGCAAATCAATGGGTTGAGGGGAGCAAGGAGAGATTTGGGGGGGGGAGGGGATCCCTTGCAACCCCCTTCCCACCAACTCTTATTGGGCCAACACTGGGGTGCAGGGAGGGGGGGCGCAGCCAAAATTTGGGGGTCCCAGGAGGTGGAGGCTGGGGGGGGGGGGCAGTTTTAGGGTCTCAAGGCGGGTTGGGGGGAGGGTTTTTGGGGGGGGATAGTGGGGTGCCCCCCCTTCCACTCACCGTGGCCCCCCAGGCGCACGCGCAAAGCAGGCCCGTGGCGGCGGGCGAGGGCGAGGAGGTGCTGTGCCCCCCGGGGGTGCAGGAGGTGCAGGGCCCCCCCACGGGGGGACTCCTCCCGCGCCCCCCCAAAAAGGAGCAGCAGCAGCAGCAGCAGCAGGAGCAGGAGCAGCAGCAGCGTGGCCGCCATCGCCCCTCAATGCTGGGGACTGAGAGGGTGGGGGGGGGGGGGGGGGGGGGCACAAAAAGCTCCGCCTCCCCCCTTAGTATTTGGGGAGTGAGGGGGGGGGGCAGATCCTTTTTGCACACTCCCCCCCTGTTGGATCTCCCTGCCCCCCAAAAAATACAACTTTGGGCTGCTCCCCCCCCCAGAAAAAACCCTTCCCATGATGGGGGTGCTGTCGTGGATGCCCCCCCACCCCCCCCAAATCGGGTGCCCCCCCCATCACCCCCCGCCCCCCCCCACTAGGTGCCCTTGAGCAGGACCCAGCCACCCATTTAAGACGGGGGGGGGGAAGCGGGTTATGAAAAAAGGGGGATTGTTCCTTTATTAAAGAGGGAGGGGGGGGTCTATGGGGTGGGGGGGTGGGGGGAGACACACACTCAGATCCCCCCCCCATCCAGCCCCCGCAGGCGCCGGGCCAGCTGCAGGTCCTTGGGGTACAGGGTGACCCGGCGGGCGTGCAGCGAGCACAGGTAGGCGTCCTCCAGCAGGCGCACCAAGAAAGCCTCCGCCGCCTTTTTTTTTTGGGGGGGGGGGCATCAGGGGGTGCCCCCCCCAATATCCCCATCCCACCCCGGATATCCCCTTCCACCTTCAATACACCCCCTGCCTTCAAGAGTTGTCCTCCCTCTCCCCCCAGGGGCACAAATCCCCCCCCCCCATGTTCAATGAACCCCAGAAACCACCCCCCCCCCCCCCAAAAAAAAACACAAAAGCATGGGAAAGGAGCAAATTTAGGGTGGTTACAGCCCCCCCCCAGACCCTAATGGGTGCCTGACACCCCCCTCAGCAGCAGGACCCCCCCCAAACCCATCAGGCACCCCCACATCACCCCCCCCCAAAGTGAAAGACACCCCCAAAATGGCCCAGAGGTGCCCCCCCCCAGCACCCAAAGTTGAAGGGCCCCCCCCCTTGCCCCCCCACCTCTTGTAGGGCCAGCAGTGCCATGGCTTGCCATTGGTAGTCCACCCCCCGCGTGAAGAGCAGGCAGATCTCCCGCACCTGGGGACAGGGGGACAGCAGGGGGGGGGGCATGGGGACACGGGGGGGGGCACGGGGACACCGCGAGGGGGGCCCCGGGACACCCCAGGGATGGGGATATTGCCCTGGGGGTGTCACCACGTAGGGACATGGGGACAGGGATATTTTTTTTTGGGGGGGGGGGGACATGGGACAGTGACAAATGAGGTGCCATGGATGGGGGGGGGGGGGTGACAAGGACGCAGGGGTGGGACAAGGACGTGGGGGGGGGCTCCTGTCTCAGACAAGGCCACCGCGTCACTTGGGGGGGGGCAGGGGATGTGACAAGGACATTTGGGGGGGGGGACACAAGGACGTGGGGGGGGGGCACAGGGGGGACTCAGAGGGTCCGGAGGAGGGGCGGAGGTGCTGAGGGGCTGGGAGGGGCTGGTTTGGGGGGACCTGGGAGGGGGTCACGGGGGGAGGGTTTGAGGGGGGGTCGAGGTCCCAGTTTGGGGGTGTCGGGGGGGGGATCCCAACAGGGGGGGGCTGGGAGGGAGGGGTTTGGGGGTCCCGGGGGGGTCCCAGGGAAGATTTGGGTGTCCCTGGGGAGGTTTGGGGGTGTCAGGGTGGTCCTGGGGGGGGTTGGGGGTCCCAGGGGTGGTTCAGGTGTCTCGGGGGGGTTCCGAGGAAGGTTTGGGGGTGTCAGGTAGGCTTGGGGGTCCCGGGAGATTTCTCAGGGGTCGTTCTGGGATCCCAGGGGGGTGTCTCGAGGGGGGGTGTCCTGGGGGTGGTTAGGGGTACCGGGGGGGGTCCTGGGGAAGATTTGGGGGTGCCAGTGGGGTGGTGTTGGGGGTCCCGAAGTGGTCCCGGGGGTGCTTTGAGGGTGCGGGGGGATTCCGGGGGGGGTTGGGGGTCCCAGGGGCGTCTCAGGAGGTCCCGGGGGTGGTTTGGGGGTCCCGGGGGGGTGCCGGGGATAGTTCGGGGGTGTTGGGGAGGGGTCCCGAGGAATATTTGGGGGTGTCAGGGGGGACTGGGGGGTCCCGGGAGACTTTTTGGGGGTCGTTTGGGGATGCCGGGGGGGGTCTCCCTGGGCTGGTTTGGGAGACCGGGGGGGTTCCCGAGGGGGGGGGGGTCGGGGATTCGGGGGAGTTGTCCCGGGGGGGGGCTCAGGGGTCCCGGGGGGGGTTCCCGGGGGGATTCGGGGGTTCCGGGGGGGGGGGTTTGGGCTTCACGGGGGTGGTTCGGGGATCCCGGGGGGGGGTTCCCGGGGGGGTGGTTCGGGGATCCCGGGGGGGTTGTCCCGGTATGGGGGGGGGGGGGTGTCCGGATGGGGGGGGGTCTCTCACCACACGGCAGAAGGGCTGGCGGCGCAGCAGCAGGTTGGTGGTGCTCTGATACTTGCGGATCTCCCTCAACGCCAGCTGGCCCGGCCGGTACCGCCGCCGCCCTGCGAGAGGAGACGAAAACCGGGGGTGGGGGGGGGGGTCACAACGAAGCGGGGGGGGGGGGGTCATCGGTGACACCGTGGGGGGGGGGGGGGTCGCACTCACGACGCGGGGGCGAAGGCGCCCGCGGCCGCCTCGGGGAGGGCCGGGGGGAGACCGGGGGGGGGCCGCGGCGCCGGGGGCTGCGGTCCTTGGGGCGCGGCATAACCGGGGGGGGGCGTGGTGACGTCACGCTCGGGACCCGCCGCCGCCGCCGCCGCCGCCGCCGCCGCCGCGTTCAAAGCTCCCGCCGCGAAGCGGGGACGTCACATCCGGCGGGGCAGAGCCGCTCTGTGTCCGCCGGAGGACTCGTCTCGATGGTATCTCGGAGGACCGCGGCTCATTTGCATAAATTTGCATCCCCCCCCGCAATGGCGCTGCTCCATTGGCTGGGGGCTCAAGGGGCCGGGACAGCTCTGGGGGCCCCGGTTGTGGCCCCACGTACTCCCACTGGATCCCAGTTGCTCCCAGTTGGCCCCAGTATGATCCCCACTACGCCCCCACTATGCCCCAGTATGGTCCCAAATGCTCCCAGTTGGCCCCAAAATGGTCCCAGCTGGCACCAATTACCCTCCCAGTTGAACCCAGCGTCACATCAGGTGGCACCCTTTTTGATCCCAGTAGGACACAGTGTGGTCCCAGGCGGCCCAAGCTGGCTCCAGTGTGATCCCCGTAGATCCCAGATGCCCCCACCAAGGATCCACCTGCCTGCAAAATGGTTCCAGGTGGCCCCAGCATGGTCCCAAACGCTCCCACTTGGCCCCCCAATATGGTCCCAGTTGCTCCCAGCTGTCCCCAGCACGTCCTAGTGGTTCCCCATTGTTCGCACTGTGGTCCCAGTTGCTCCCTATTCACCCCACAGTGCTCTCAGTTGCCTCCAGTAAGTCCCAGTTGCTCCCAACTTGCCCCACCATGGTCCCAGCTACCCACAATATGGACCCAGATATGCCCAGCTTGACCCCAGCATGGTCCCAGTTGCTCCAACTTCACTCCCAGTCAATCCCAGATGACTTAACTGTCATCCCAGTTGACCCCAGCGTGATCTCAGTTACCCTCAGCGTGGTCTAAGAAGTTCCCAGTTGCTCCCAGTGTGATTCTAGCCCACCCCAGCATGGTCCAGTTGCCCCTTTGTGGTATTTAAATGCAAAATATGGTGGGTGAACAATCGGCATACGTGTCAGGCTCAAAGGATTAGAGTAAATGAAGTCACATTAGGCTTGCATCCAGTCACTAGTGGGGATCTCCAGGGCTCCGTTTTAGGGCCAGTTCTCTCGTCCCGCTCTGCTCGGCCTGCTGCGGCCTTGCCTAGAGCACTACGTGCAGCTGTGGGCACCGCAGCAGACGAAGGGTGTGAAACTGTGCGAGAGCCTCCAAGGGAGGGCTACGAGGACGGCAAAGGCTCTGCAGGGCAAGGCGTGTGAGGAGCGGCTGAAAGCGCTTGGCTTGTTGAGCCCAGAGCAGAGGAGATGCACCAAGGAGATGGCCTGCTGCAAGACGCCTTCCCAGGCAGCAAAGCCTCAGAACAGAAAGCACCCAGGAAATGTCACTGCCAGACTCCATCTTCCTGTACAAAACTTTATTTGACACAGTCCTGCTGCTGCTGCATCTTGCATAGATATGCTCCAGAGGAGGGAACAAAGAGCCCCCACAGGCTGCTCATGCTCAGCACCAGGCACAGAGCAAAGATCAACCCCAAACTAGGAGGCAGAGGTGGCCTGCAATGGCCAGCAGCACACGGTGACCACATCCCTTGCCCTGGGGTCTGCAAGCAGAGGGGAGAGGAGCATGGAGAGCTGCTGCAGCCCCTGTGCTGCCCGCTGGGGCTCAGAGGCAGGGTGAGACCCGTGCGTGCCAGCAGGGCTTGTGCCCCAGCACAGGAGCCACATGCAGGGCAGAGCCCAGGGGCTGCAAGGGGCCTGGCCCCTGCTTGCAGCATCCCAGCCCTCCTCCAGCAGCAGGGAGGAACACAGGGCAGCCCCTGGCCCCAATGCCCCTCATTCCTGTGATGCTCCTGCAGCATCAAGGAGAGGTGATGCAGGAGTGTCTGGAGAAGGGCAGGAGCCCCCCAGGGCTGGGGACAGTGTCTGGGGGGTGCTGTCCCTGAGGCACAGCTTAGTTCCTTGAGTCCACAACAGGAACCAGGGGCGGATGCTTTCCCCACTGAAGGAGGCTGCTGTGAAAGTGAAGATCTTGACCCCATTCTCAGCGTTGATAAAAGACACCTGCTGCTGGGTACAGTTCAGACAGACCCAAATCCTTGTGGGAACATGGGACAGGGACAAGGGAGTGGGAGGAGATGTGAGAGACTTGAGCTGCCCCTCATAGTACTGCATAGCCCAGACCCCTTCTTCAGGGATTATTTTATACCACCCCTTCCTCTTCACAGATGCCCTGGCCACCCCTACAGCCCACCGTGCACTCTTTCCTGCCTTTTCCTTGACTTCTACCTCCACCTCCCAGAAGTGCGTCCCGTCTTTGAACTCCTCAAGGCTCAGCACACAGCACCAAGAGTCAAATCTCTCTGGTGTGTCAGGCACCTGCTGCCATTCACTTTCCCATCTCACACTGCTGTTGTTCTGAGACACAACAAGGTGGGGATGAGCCGTGTCCGGATCCAGGGTCACCTTCACTGCAGGGACAGAAGGAGCCAGGCCATCAGGGCGCAGAGCTCAGCCCTGGGCAGGCTTTCCCCAGCTCGGGGCCAGGAGCTGCCCCACGGGGCAAGAGATGGGGCACCTCTTGGCTCCTGAACATGGCCCAGCAAGGGCAGGAGAAGCACCTCAGAGGGCAACCCAGTGCACACCTACCTCGATTTTGAGGCAGCAGACACCTTCTCCATGCTGGAAGGAGAGGGGAGAGCTGGTCACAGCCCATGGCTGGTGCCCAGTGGGTGTGGGCAGGGTGAGGGGCCAGCCCTGGGCTGCTCTGTCCCAGCTGCCCACCCTCCCCTGCACATCGCCTTGGTGTTGCCCTTGGGCCTGAGCACCGGGAGACTTACCCAGTTCTGCAGCTTGTTTCTCTACAAATTAAAGAGAAAAGGAAAATATGAGCATAAGGCACAGTTTATGATTCCATACCTCTCACTATGATGCTTTTTTTTTTTTTTTTCTGTTTGGAGAGTGAGACTCACCCAGCTCTGCAGCTTGTTTGCCTAAAAAGGAAATAGAAAAGCAATGCATTGATGAGAGGAGTCAGTTTCTCAACGACTGCTACAAACCAAAGACTCCGAATTCCTTCAGCACACAAGCCCCCAGAGCACACCCAGACCAGGCCCTCCCGCAGGGACACCACTTCCCCAGGGGCTGGGGGCAGGGACTGCAAGGACTCACCCAGCTCTCGCCTCTGTGCCGCTGAAAAGCAAAGGCGGAGGAAGAGGTGGTGAGCAGAGCAGCTTGGTTGCTGGGTGGGAACATGTGCAGGGGGGCTGCGCCTTGCCACCAGCCCCACGCTGCAGCCATGCTCCCTGGCCTCCCAGCCAAGGCCCCTTGCTCCAGACCCAGGGGGGTCCCTGCAGAACACCTCCCCTGCGCTCCATCCCTGCTGCTGCCAGCTTACCTTGCTTTCGAAAGAGATAAACACCGAGGCCAATGGACACAGCCGATAGCACGAGGACCAGAGCCAGAGCCACCATCCAGGGCTGGGCGTTGTGGAAGAAGGGAGCTGAGAAAAGGCACCAGGAAAAGGGTTACATTTCCATGCCCGCAGGTGGAAGAGCAAGACCCAGACTTCTCCTGGGTCGGGACAAGTGCAGGGGCCAGGAACACCTCACCCTGGCTGTGCCATTTGTACCTGAGATGTGCAGGGAAAATTTCCACTCCTGCTGGAGGCGGCTGTTCCTGACCACGCAGGACAAGGGCCCCTCCACGCTCCCGGTCACGATGACGGCGCCTTCGATTTCAAAGAGCCCCTCCTGGTCCTGGGAATGTGTCTGGGAGACCGAGGGCAGGTGCTGCCCATGAGCATCCCTCCACAGCAGCTGCGGCAGCGGGTACCAGCCGGCCGATCCACACAGCACCCGGACGCCTCCGGCCTCGTAGCCCCCCAGGGAGAGGTGGGGGTCAGCGCCTGTAGCTGGGGGAAGATCTCATGTCTGGTGCTTGACTTGGGGAGGGATTCAGTTCCAAGGCTAAACCCCATCTGTCCCCATGCCCGACACAGCCCAGCGCAGCCATGTTCCCAGGGGCTCAGGGCCTGGGCACTACATGCACTGACCCTCACCCCAGACCATCCTGGGCAATGGCAGAAACAGAGAGCAGGGCTGCACAAAGCCAGTGGCCCCAAATCACCCTGTAAACCCAGGTGCCGAGCTTCAGCACCTCCAGGCAACATCTTTGCGCCAGACACAGCAAAGCCTAGCCACGGCCGCAGAGGCTAGGGACTGGATATTCCATGCACCCACCCTCATCCAAAAGCAGCCTGACATGTGCTGGACCCAGAGAGCAGGGCTGCACAGTGACAGTGACCCCACATCTGCTCCCATGCCAGACACAGCCCAGCCCAGCCATGTCCCCACAGGCTCAGGAGCTGGGCACTACATTCACCCACACTCTTCCCCCAGACCATCCTGGGCAACGGCAGAAACAGAGAGCAGGGCTGCACAATGCCAGTGTCCCCAAATCTCCCTGTGAACCCAGGTGCTGAGCTTCAGCACCTCCAGGCAGCGTCTCTGCACCAAGCTGTGCTGGTTCAAGAAGCCCCGAGACTTCCTGACAACATGTCAGGTCTCCCCCAGCACAGAAAGCAAAAGTAACGCAGATGCCCGGCTGCTCAGAGGACTCTGCAGTTCTCCCTGTGTGCTGTTTGGTTCCATTGCTGACACAGCTGAAGGTGCTGCTCAGCAGCCTGTGCCCAGTGCCCTCACAATTCTATGATTATTGTCTTCAAGGACACCAGTGAAAACTGACAAAAATATCCAGGGAGCTCTCTCCCTAGATAGTACCTCCACATCTATAGGTATGCTCCATGCTGTGAAACAGCTGAAACATTCAAAGGACACGTAAACTCTGCCCTGGATCCATCACCCCAACCACTAACCTGACACCTCCAGATCCACCATTGCTTCATCATAAGCATCAGCATTTTTCACAGTGCAGAAGTACTGGCCATCATCAGAGGGTCTCAGTCCTGTGATTCGCAAGTCCAGGCTTCCAGCAGAGAGACCATCTCTGACCAACTCTGTCCTCCCGACATATGCCCCCATCTGCTCCCCGTACAGGTCCTCTCCATTGCGGTAGTGGTGCACTGTCTCAGAGATATGGTCCCGCATCCACCTGACGTCCAAGCTGCGAGCATCGCGTTGAGGGGACAAGTGGCAGGGCAGCACGACATCCTGCCCCACGGTGGCAGTGAGAGGCTGGCCTGGTCCCACCACTCTGAGCTGGGCTGGGCAATGGAGAAGGGCACAGAGAGGAGGTAAGATATTGCCATTGTAAATTTAGGGTTAGTGAGTGACAAAGGGTGAGCTGTGTGTGAGCTGGTGCATGCTGCGTCCCCCGCAGCATGTTCCATGTTCCCCATGGGAAAACACCCAGGAAAACAGGAGAGGGAGAGGGAGGACGTGCAGGAAAATGAGGTGTGCTGAGAGTAGGAGCCCTCTCTGCAGCATTTAGGTAGGTTAAGAAGAGCCAGAAAGGTCAGGCAAGGAAGCCCCCGTATTGTGTGAAAGAACCAAGGGGAAAGTGAAACTCAGTGGGGGACAAGCTCTGGGCTCGGGTCCCCCCTTTCCCACAGCCACTCCCCTGTCCCACGGCAGCACGTCTGCAAGGCCCAGAGCGGAGAGCCCCCAGCAGCCCCTCAGGATCCTACCTGAGCCCAGCCGGAGGAGGAGCAGAGTGACGAGGGAAGTCAGGAGGTCCCTGGCATGGCCAGTGAGGCTGGGGTGGCTGCAGCCCCAGGGGAGCCCCATCTCAGAGATAGGTCCCCCAGGGGGCAAGCAGCCTCCCAGGGTTTCTTCTCCCAGGGAGCCCCACCAGGAGGGAAGTCCCTCACGGCTCCCAGCAGAGCTGCAGGAAGTACACGCCTCTGCCCAACTTTCTCAACTTTTGCCCATTTCCTGGCTGCAATAACCTTCCCGGGGCAGCTCTGCCCCTAGGGCAATGTCTGGGGAGCTCTGCAGGTCTGGCACCACCATCCCATTGCAGCTGGGTGCCCAGTCCAGGGCCTTCACCCATCACGAGGGGCTTGTCCCCAGGAGGGGCCTCTCCAAACCTCCAGGGAAACCCAGTGTCTGAGCTCATTCATCTCCACCCATCCAAGGAGGAATCAAACATAAGGAACGGGACAATTTGGAGAGGTATCAGTGAAGAGATGAGAAGGATCGGAGGCTGCAGGGAATGGGGCACAGCTGGGTGCTGAGCCCAGAGCTGTCACTCTTTGCCCAGGGTGCTGAAGGCAAAGTGCCAGCCCCACTCCTGGTTGCAGTAAAGCAGCCATGGCAGAAGGTTGGCTGCAGGGCAAGCTTCTTCTAGAGCTTAGGTAGATGAGGAAAGTTCCTGTTTGCTGGAGGCGAGGTCAGGCAGTATGGAAGGACTACAGAGGTACTGTTTGCCTTTGTAGGGAGAAAAGTCATACGGCCAAAGCTCAATTTGAGGTAAAGCTGGACAGTACTGTGCGGGGCAATAAAATGGATTATTATTTTTTTAAACTATCTTAACAGCTAAAGTAGGATGAGACAAAACATTGGTCTGTTACTTGATGGGGATGGTCCAACAGGGTCATCGACTTCACAGAGATGTTTAATGCTTTCTTTGCCTTCAACACTGATGATGGGCTGTGGGACTCCAGTTGCCCTGAGGTGGAGGACAGTGACTTCCTAGAGCTTGCACAGAGCGTTGCATAGGAAAATGGCATGGGGAAGTTGCGTGGAGCTTTGCATGGGAGCATTGCACAGGAGCATTGCACGGGAACATTGCACAACATTGCGTGGGGACATTGCACAGAGCAGGAAAAAGGGGCTTACCCACCACTGACCCCATCCCCATCCCTGCTCCAGCGCAGCCCCAAGTCCGCATCATCCCCGTGGAAACAGGGAACGCCCGTGTGCCCGTGCGCCTCAGCTGCTACATCTGGGGCTTCTACCCCCCCGAGGTGACCGTCATCTGGCTGCACAACGGGGACATCGTGGAGCCTGATGACTACAACCCCATCTCGGCCATCCCCAACGGCGACTGGACCTACCAGACGCAGGTGTCCCTGCTGGTGGCCCCGGTGGCAGGCGACACCTACACGTGCTCAGTGCAGCACATCAGCCTGCAGGAGCCTCTCGTGGAGGACTGGAGTGAGTGGAGAGGCGCAGGACTGCACCCGGAGGCCGGCGGCCTTGGCTCCTTGCTGCCACTCACTTGGCCGTGTCCCCATAGGTCTCGGACTGATGCCGGAGGTGACGATACTGGTGGCGGTGGCCACTGTGCTGATGGTGCTGGGACTTGGCTTCTTTCTCGCCGGCGTCTACTGCTTCAGGGCCAGGCCTCCTGCCCCGGGTGAGTTCCAGGGAGAGCTGGGGCCGTGGTTAAGGGTGATGAGGACTCTGCTCACTCCTCTTCTCCCCCCCGCAGGTTACACTCCCCTCCCTGGAGACAACTACCCCGCAGGTAACGGTGTCCCCATCCCCGTCCCCATCGGCGAGGGGCAAATCACCCCATCTCTCACCCTGTGTGTTCCCCCCTTCCCCAGGCAGCATCTGAGGACCCCCAGACGGACACCTCACGGCACTGGCGGCTCCCAGTTGACCACATCTCAGACCTGGTGCTGTGGTGCTGACGATAAAGATGCTCCACAAGCCCCACTGGTGTCTCTGCAGTGTTCTGGGCACGGGGCAGAGGCTCATGCACTCCTACAGAGTCTCACCAAGAGGAGTAAGAGGGTGGGGGCCATGCCATGGGACCGCAAAGGGCCAAGCGTGCCCTGGGGTGCTTCAGGCAGGGCACTGCTGGCCGGCCGAGGGAAGGGATCGTCCTGCTCTGCTCGGCCTGCTGCGGCCTCGCCTTGAGCACTGCGTGCAGCTGTGGGCACCGCAGCAGACGAAGGGCGTGAAACTGTGCGAGAGCCTCCAAGGGAGGGCTACGAGGACGGTGAAGGCTCTGCAGGGCAAGGCGTGTGAGGAGACGGTCTGCTGCAAGACGCCTTCCCAGGCAGCAAAGCCTCAGGACACAAAGCACCCAAGAAATGCCACTGCCAGACTCCATCTTCCTGTGCAAAACTTTATTTGCCACAGTCCTGCTGCTGCATCTTGCATAGATGTGCTCCAGAGGAGGGAACAAAGAGCCCCCACAGGCTGATCATGCTCAGCACCAGGCACAGAGCAAGGATCAACCCTGAACTAGGAGGCAAAGGTGGCCTGCAGTGGCCAGCAGCACACAGCGACCACATCCCTTGCCCTGGGGTCTGCAAGCAGAGGGGAGAGGAGCGTGGAGAGCTGCTGCATCCCCTGTGCTGCCCGCTGGGGCTCAGAGGCAGGGTGAGAGCCGTGGGTGCCAGCAGGGCTTGTGCCCCAGCACAGGAGCCGCGTGCAGGGCAGAGCCCAGGGGCTGCAAGGGGCCTGGCCCCTGCTTGCAGCATCCCAGCCCTCCTCCAGCAGCAGGGAGGAATGCAGAGCAGTCCCTGGCCCCACTGCCCCTCATTCCTGTGCTGCTCCTGCAGGACCAAGGAGAGGTGATGCAGGAGTGTCTGGAGAAGGGCAGGAGCCCCCCAGGGCTGGGGACAGGGTCTGGGGGGTGCTGTCCCTGAGGCATAGCTGGACGCTGCCTGGCACCAGCCAGAACCAGGGGCGGATGCTCTCCCCATTGAAGGAGGCTGCTGTGAAAGTGAAGATCTCAACCCCATTGTCACCGTTGATGAAAGACACCTGCTGCTGGGTACAGTCCAGACAGACCCAGATCCTCGTGGGGATAGGGGACAGGGACAAGGGGGTGGGAGGAGATGTGAGAGATGTGAGGTGCCCCTCATAGTATTGCACAGCCCAGATCCCTTCTTTAGGGCTCATGTCGATCCACCCTTTTCTCTTCACCGATGCCCTAGCCACCCCCACAGCCCAGCAAGAATACTCTCCCCTCTCCCCCTCCCCCTCCACCAACCAGCAGTGCCTCCCCTCTCTGAACTCTTCACGGCCCAGCAAGCAGGAGCGATTGTCAAATCTCTCTGGTGTGTCAGGCACCTGCGGCTGTTGCTTTTCCTGTCTCACACTCTTGTTGTCCTGAGACACAACAAGGTCAGGATGAGCTGTGTCCGGATCCAGGGTCACCTTCACTGCAGGGACAGAAGGAGCCAGGCCATCAGGGGCAGAGCTCAGCCCTGGGCAGGCTTTCCCCAGCTCGGGGCCAGGAGCTTCCCCACGGGGCAGGAGATGGGGCACCTCTTGGCTCCTGAACATGCCCCAGCAAGCGCAGGAGGAGAACCTCAGAGGGCAACCCAATGCACACCTACCTGTATAGTGAGGCAGCAGAAACTTTCTCCATGCTGGAAGAAGAGGGGAGAGCTGGTCAAAGCCCACAGGTGGTGCTCATAGCTCTCACTTTGCCACTGTTTGTTTTGTTTTGTTTTGTTTTTCTGTTTGGAGAGTGAGACTTACCCAGCTCTGCAGCTTGTTCATCTACAAACAAAATAGAAAAGCAATGAATCGATGAGAGGAGTCAGTTTCTCATCAATGGCTGCTACAAATCAAAGACCCCCCAATTCCTTCATTTGGGGTGGGGGTGGGGAAGAGAAACTCACCCAGTCTTGCATCTGTTTCCTCTGGAAAAGAAAAGCATAAGGAATGCATGATCAGAGGGAAAAAACTTCTCACCCACTGTCTATGCAGAAAATTCTTTCAGGTTAGGGATGGACCCTCACCTATCTCTGCAGCTTGTTTCACTGGAAAAGAAAAAAGAAAAAGGAAAAGTAAAAGTAAAGGAAAAGAAAAAAAGACAAAAACAATGTGTGGTCAGAGAGCAGTATGCCTGTGGGAAGACACCAAATGCCTTCTCTTTGGGGAAGGAGACTTACCCAGCTTTGCATCCTTTTTCGCTGCTATAAAAAGTAAAAGAAATGAATGGTCAGAGTGGAGAGACTTTCACGCCATTGCTGCTTCCATGGGTAGACCCCAAATTATTTTGCTCTTTTGCATGGGCACAGACCACCCTGCTCCCAGACTTGTAGTGACCAGACTAACAAAGACGGAGGCCCAGCTTTTTGCAAGACTTGTAGCAGTAAGGACAGACACTTGTGCAGCTCTCTGCACCGTGCCACCAAAACACAAAGGGAAGTGAATGGGGACGGGTGGAGGACGTCCCTGTCCCAGAAGCGTCAGTGCAGAGCGGGGCAGCCTCACAGCTTGCTCCCCGTCCCCACCTTGATCCCTGTTCCTTTCAGCCATCCCGGCCGTGTCCCGTGCCCAGGGCAGCCCCAGCCCCAGCACTCCCCACTCCCACCCCAGGCTCCAGCTGCTCCTGCAGCACCCCCGAGCCACCAGCACACAAGCCCCCAGAGCCCACCCAGACCAGGCCCTCCCACACAGACACCACTTCCCCAGGGGCTGGGGGCAGGGACTGCAAGGACTCTCCCAGCTCTCGGCTCTGTGCTGCTGAAAAGCAAAGGCAGAGGAACAGGTGGTGAGCAGAGCAGCTTGGTTGCTGGGTGGGAACATGTGCAGGGTGGCTGCGCCTTGCCACCAGCCCCACGCTGCAGCCATGCTCCCTGGCCTCCCAGCCAAGGCCCCTTGCCTTCTCCCTCGCCTTCGTTGCCCGAGGCAGAGGCCGAAGACAATCCTAAGGCCTTTGGCATCCCCAGGAGAACATTCCCTTCCTCCTCCTACGCACCTCCCTGGGCCAGGGCTCAGCCCCGCTCCACACCCAGGGGGGTCCCTGCAGAACACCTCCCTCCGCTCCATCCCTGTGCTGCCAGCTTACCTTGCTTTCGAAAGAGATAAACACCGAGGCCAATGAAACAGCCAAAAGCACGAGGACCAGAGCCAGAGCCACCATCCAGGGCTGGGCGTTGTGGAAGAAGGGAGCTGAGAAAAGGCACCAGGAAAAGGGCTGTATTTACATTGCCATAGGTGGAAAAGCAAGACCCAGACTTCTCCTGGGTCAGGACAAGTGCAGGGGCCAGGAACACCTCACCCTGGCTGTGCTATTTGTACCTGAGATGTGCAGGGACAATTCCCTCTCCTGCTGGATGTGGCTGTTCCTGACCACGCAGGACAAGGGCCCCTCCACGCTCCCAGTCACGATGACGGCGCCTTCGATTTCAAAGAGCCCCTCCTGGTCCTGGGAATGTGTCTGGGAGACCGAGGGCAGGTGCTGCCCGCGAGCATCCCTCCACAGCAGCTGCGGCAGCGGGTACCAGCCGGCCGATCCACACAGCACTCGGACGCCTCCGGCCTCGTAGCCCCCCAGGGAGAGGTGGGGGTCAGCGCCTGTGGCTGGGAGAAGATCTCGTGTCTGGGGCTTGACTTGGGGAGGGATTCAGTTCCAAGGCAAAGACCTCATCTGCTCCCATGCCAGGCACAGCCGAGGACAACCACTGCCCCAGGGGCTCTCTGACTGGATGCTCTCTGACCATGCACTCACCCTCACCACAAAACCACCCCTGGTACTGCTGGACCCAGAGAGCAGGGCTGCACAATGCCAGTGGCCCCAAATCACCCTGTAAACCCAGGTGCCAAGTTCCAGGACTTTCAGGCAGCGTCTCTGCACAAAGCCATCCTGGTTCACGAAGCCTCGAGACTTCCTGACAACGTCTCAGGTCTCTCCCAGCACAGAAAGCAAAAGTAAAACAGACGTCTGGCTGCTCAGAGGACTCTGCGATTCTCCCTGTGTGCTGTTTGGTCCCATTGCTGACACAGCTGAAGGGGCTGCTCAGCAGCCTGTGCCCAGTGCCCTCACAATATTATGATTATTGTCTTCAAGAACACCTGTGAAAACTGACAAAAATATCCAGGGAGCTGTCTCCCCAAATATTACCTCCACATCCATGGGCATGCTCCATGCTGTGAAACAGCTGGAACATTCAAAGGACACGTAAACTCTGCCCTGGAAGCATCACCCCAGCCACTAACCTGACACCTTCAGCTCCACAATGGCTTCCTCATAAGCATCAGCATCTTCCACAGTGCAGACGTACAGGCCATCATCAGAGGGTCTCAGTCCTGTGATTCGCAAGTCCAGTCTTCCAGCAGAGAGACCGTCTCTGGCCAACTCTGTTCTCCCAGAATATGCCTCCATTTGATCCCTGTACAGGTCCTCTCCACTGCGGTAGTGGTGCACTGTCTCAGAGATATGGTCCCGGATCCACCTAACATCCAAGCTGCGAGCATCGCGTTGAGGGGACAAGTGGCAGGGCAGCACTACATCCTGCCCCACGGTGGCAGTGACAGGGTGGCCTGGTCCCTCCACTCTGAGCTGGGCTGGACAATGAAGAAGGGCACAGAGAGGCGGTGAAATTTTGCCATCGTAAATTTAGGGTTAGTGAGTGACAAAGGGTTAGCTGTGCGTGAGTTGGTGCGTGCTAGGTCCCCCATGTCCCACTGGAGACTAGCAGAGAAATAGGAAAGGGAGAGGGATGACATGCAGGAGAAGGAGGTGTGCTGGGAGTGGAAGCCCTCTCTGCAGCATTCAGGCAGGTGAAGGAGACACAGAGAGGGCAGCCAAGGCAGCACCCATATTGTGTGAAAGAACACAAGTGAAAGTGAAACCCAGCTGGGGCCAAGCTGTGGGCTTGCGTCCCCCCTGCCCCACAGCAGCAAGTCTGCATGCACAAGTGGGAGAGCCCCCAGCAGCCCCGCAGGATCCTACCTGAGCCCAGCCGGAGGAGGAGCAGAGTGAGGAGGGAAGTCAGGAGGCCCCTGGCATGGCCGGTGAGGCTGGGGTGGCCGCAGCCCCAGGGGAGCCCCATCTCAGAGAGAGGTCCCCAGGGGGGCAGACAGCCCCCCAGGGGTTCTCCTCCCAGGGAGCCCCACCAGGAGGGAGATCACTTACAACACCCAGCAGAGCTGCAGAAAGCACAGGGCTGCGCCCAACTTTCTCAACCTTTGCCCAGTTCCTGGCTGCAATAACCCTCCTGGTACAGCTCTGCCCCTGGGGCAATGTCTGGGGAGCTCTGCAGGGCTGGCACCACCATCCCATTGCAGCTGGGTGCCCAGTCCAGGGCTTTCAGCCAGCATGAGAGGCTTCTCCCCAGGAGGGGCCTCTCCAGACCTCCAGGGAAACCCACTCTCTGAGCTCGTTCATCTCCACCTGTCTATAGAGGAATGAAATTGTGAGCAATGGGACAACGTGTAGAGATGGCAGAGCAGAGCTGAGCAGAATCGGAGGCTACAGGGAATGGGGCATGGCTGGGTGCCGAGCCCAGAGTTGCCACCTTTGCCCAGGGTGCTGAAGGCAAAGTGCCAGCCCCATTCCCGGCTCTGTTAAAGCAGCCATGGCAGAAGGTTGGCTCAGATGGGCAGGGACCTTCTTCTAGAGCTTAGGTGAATAAGGAAAGTTTCTGTCTGCTGGAAGAGATTTTAGGCATTATGGAAGGACTACAGAGGTGCTGTTTGCCTTTGTAGAGAGAAAATTCATATGGCCAAAGCTCAGTTTGAGTTGAAGCTGGACAGTACTGTGCGGGGCAATAAAATGGATTATTAATTTTTTAAACTATCTTAACAGCTAAAGTAGGATGAGAGAAAACATTGGTCTGTTCCTTGACAGGGATGCTCAAACTAAGGTCATCGACTTCACAGAGATGTTTAATGCTTTCTTTGCATTCAACACTGATGATGGGCTGTGGGATCCCAGGTGCCCTGAGCTGGAGGACAACGACTGCAGGAATACTAACGTCCCAACAAACCCCGAATTTGTGTTGGATTTGGTGCTCCAGATAGATGCATTCAGGACTATAGGGCCTGATGGGATTCATCCCAGCGTACTAAGAGAACTGGATAAGGTCATCATGTGTGGCAAGGCGTGTGAGGAGCGGCTGAAGGCGCTTGGCTTGTTGAGCCCAGAGCAGAGGAGACGCAGGGGAGGCCTCGTGGCGGCCCACAGCTTCCTGATGAGGGGAGCGGAGGGGCTCTGCTCTCTGGGGACAGCTACAGGGCTTGAGGGAACAGCATGGAGCTGCCACTGGGTGGGGTCAGGTGGGCTGTTTGGAAAAGGTTCTTCACCAAGAGGGTGGTCGGGCACAGGAACAGGTTCCCCAGGCACGTGGCCATGGCCCCAAGCCTGCTGCAGCTCAAGGAGCATTTGGAGAGGGCTCTCAGGCACAGGGTCTGATTTTTGGGTGGTTCGTGTGGGGCCAGGAGATGGACTGGATGGTCCTGTTGGGTTTCCTCCAACTGGGGCTTTTCTTTGATTCTGTGATCTAGGGCTGAAGGCTGAGAGCACCTTGGAGGACTTCCAGGAGGACTTCCAGGAGCCGGTGATGCTTCCTGTGGGCACAACCAGAGCCTGTGTGATGGGAGGCTGTAAGCTCTTTGGGTGGCTCCAGGGCAGGGCCATGACCCAACTGGGACAAGTGGGTTCGTGGCACCAGCTGGGGAACTGGGGGCAGCTGGAGCTTTGGTTCCTCCTGGCTCTGACTCCCAGGACCACCACCAAGGAGACGGTCTGCTGCAAGATGCCTTCCTAGGCAGCAAGGCCTCAGGACACAAAGCACCCAGGAAATGCCACTGCCAGACTCCATCTTCTTGTACAAAACTTTATTTGCCACAGTCCTGCTGCTGCTGGGCCTTGATGTGCTCCAGAGGAGGGAACAAAGAGCCCCCACAGGCTGCTCATGCTCAGCACCAGGCACAGAGCAAAGATCAACCCTGAACTAGGAGGCAAAGGTGGCCTGCAATGGCCAGCAGCACACGGTGACCACATCCCTTGCCCTGGGGTCTGCAAGCAGTGCAAGCAGAGGGGAGAGGAGCATGGAGAGCTGCTGCAGCCCCTGTGCTGCCCGCTGGGGCTCAGAGGCAGGGTGAGACCCGTGGGTGCCAGCAGGGCTTGTGCCTCAGCACAGGAGTCACGGGCAGGGCAGAGCCCAGGGGCTGCAAGGGGCCTGGTCCCTGCTTGCAGCATCCCAGCCCTCCTCCAGCAGCAGGGAGGAGTGTGGGGCAGCCCCTGTCCCCACTGCCCCTCATTCCTGTGCGGCTCCTGCAGGATCAAGGAGAGGTGATGCAGGAGTGTCTGGAGAAGAGCAGGAGCCCCCCAGGGCTGGGGACGGGGTCTGGGGGTTGCTGTCCCTGAGGAACAGCTGTAGACTGTTTGACACCAGCCAGAACCAGGGGCGGATGCTCTCCCCATTGAAGGAGGCTGCTGTGAAAGTGAAGATCTCGACCCCGTTGTCAGCATTGATAAAAGACACCTGCTGCTGGGTACAGTCCAGACAGACCCAGATCCTGGTGGGGATAGGGGACAGGGACAAGCGGGTGTTAGGCCATGTGAGAGACATGAGCTGCCTCTCATAGTACCTCACAGCCCAGATCCCTTCTTTGGGGCTGGCGTCGATCCACCCTTTTCTCTCCACAGAAGCCCTGGCCACCCCCACAGCCCACCAAGAATCCTTTATCTGCTCCCCCTCCACCTCCACCAACCAGCAGTGCCTCCCCTCTCTGAACCCTTCACGGCCCAGCACGCAGCACCAAGAGTCAAATCTCTCCGGTATGTCAGGAACCTGCTGCAGTTCACTTTCCCGTCTCACACTGCTGTTGTCCTGAGACACAACAAGCTGGGGATGAGCCGTGTCCGGATCCAGGGTCACCTTCACTGCAGGGACAGAAGGAGCCAGGCCATCAGGGGCAGAGCTCAGCCCTGGGCAGGCTTTCCCCAGCTCGGGGCCAGGAGCTGCCCCACGGGGAGGAGATGGGGCACCTGAACATGCCCCACCAGGGGCAGGAGGAGCACCGCAGAGGGCAACCCAATGCACACCTACCTCTATTTTGAGGCAGCAGACACCTTCTCCATGCTGGAAGGAGAGGGGAGAGCTGGTCACAGTCCATGGCTGGTGCCCAGTGGGTGTGGGCAGGGTGAGGGGCCAGCCCTGGGCTGCTCTGTCCCAGCTGCCCACCCTCCCCTGCACATCACCTTGGTGTTGCCCTTGGGCCTGAGCACCGGGAGACTTACCCAGTTCTGCAGCTTGTTTCTCTACAAATTAAAGAGAAAGCAAAATATGAGCATAAGGCACAGTTTAGGATTCCATACCTCTCACTATGATGCTTTTTTTTTTTTTTTTTTTCTGTTTGGAGAGTGAGACTCACCCAGCTCTGCAGCTTGTTTGTCTAAAAAGGAAATAGAAAAGCAATGCATTGATGAGAGGAGTCAGTTTCTCAACAATGACTGCTACAAACCAAAGACTCCGAATTCCTTCAGTTGTGGGGGTGAAGAAAGACTCACCCAGTCTTGCAGCTTGTTCCTCTGGAAAAGAAAAGCATAAGGAATGCATGATCAGAGGGAAAAAATTTCTCATCCATTGTCTACACTGCAAATTCTTCCAGTTCAGAGATGGCCACTCACCTATCTCTTCAGCCTGTTCCACTGGAAAAGAAAAAGAAAGACAAAAGCAATATGTGGTCAGAGAGCAGTATGCCTGTGGGAAGACACCAAATGCCTTCTCTTTGGGGAAGGAGACTTACCCAGCTTTGCATCCTTTTTCGCTGCTATAAAAAGCAAAAGGAATGAAAGGTCAGAGTGGAGAGACTTTCACCCCATTCCTGCTGCCATGGCTAGACCCCAAATTTTTTTGCTCTCATGTATGGGCACAGACCACCTTGCTCCCAGACTTGTAGCAACCGGACTAAGAAGGACTGAGGCCCAGCATTTTGCAAGACTTGTAGCAGTAAGGACAGACACTTGTACAGCTCTCGGCACCGTGCTACCACAAGCCCCCAGAGCACACCCAGACCAGGCCCTCCCGCAGGGACACCACTTCCCCAGGGGCTGGGGGCAGGGACTGCAAGGACTCACCCAGATCTCGTATCCGTGCCGCTGAAAAGCAAAGGCGGAGGAACAGGTGGTGAGCAGAGCAGCTTGGTTGCTGGGTGGGAACATGTGCAGGGTGGCTGCGCCTTGCCACCAGCCCCACGCTGCAGCCATGCTCCCTGGCCTCCCACCCAAGGCCCCTTTCCAGACCCAGGGGGGTCCCTGCAGAACACCTCCCTCTGCTCCATCCCTGTGCTGCCAGCTTACCTTGCTTTCGAAAGAGATAAACACCGAGGCCAATGGACACAGCCAAAAGCACGAGGACCAGAGCCAGAGCCACTTTCCAGGGCTGTGCGTTGTGGAAGAATGGAGCTGAGAAAAGGCACCAAGAAAAGGGTTGTATTTACATGCCTGGGATTAGAAAAGCAAGACCCAGACTTCTCCTGGGTCGGGACAAGTGCAGGGGCCAGGAACACCTCACCCTGGCTGTGCCATTTGTACCTGCAATGTGAAGGGAAAATTCCCTCTCCTGCTGGAGGCGGCTGTTCCTGACCACGCAGGACAAGGGCCCCTCCACGCTCCCGGTCACGATGACGGTGCCTTTGATTTCAAAGAGCCCCTCCTGGTCCTGGGAATGTGTCTGGGAGACCGAGGGCAGGTGCTGCCCGCGAGCATCCCTCCACAGCAGCTGCGGCAGCGGGTACCAGCCGGCCGATCGACACAGCACCCGGACGCCTCCGGCCTCGTAGCCCCCCAGGGAGAGGTGGGGGTCAGCGCCTGTGGCTGGGGGAAGAGTGCGTGGCTGGGGCTTGACTTGGGGAGAGATTCATTTCAAGGCAAAGACCCCATCTGCTCCCATGCCAGACACAGCCCAGCCCAGCCATGTCCCCACAGGCTCAGGAGCTGGGCACTACATTCACCCACTCTTCCCCCAGACCATCCTGGGCAACGGCAGAAACAGAGAGCAGGGCTGCACAATGACAGTGGCCCCACATCACCCTGTGAACCCAGGTGCTGAGCTTCAGCACCTCCAGGCAGCGTCTCTGCACCAAGCTGTGCTGGTTCAAGAAGCCCCGAGACTTCCTGACAACGTCTCAGGTCTCTCCCAGCACAGAAAGCAAAAGTAAAGCAGACGTCCGGCTGCTCAGAGGACTCTGCAGTTCCCCTGTGTGCTGTTTGGTTCCATTGCTGACACAGCTGAAGGTGCTGCTCAGCAGCCCGTGCCCAGTGCCCTCACAATTCTATGATTTTTGTCTTCAAGGACACCAGTGAAAACTGACAAAAGTATCCAGGGAGCTGTCTCCCCAAATATTACCTCCACATCCATGGACATGCCTCACGTTGTGAAACAGCTGAAACATTCAAAGGACACGTAAACTCTGCCCTGGCAGCATCACCCCAGCCACTAACCTGACACCTCCAGCTCCACAATGGCTTCGGCATAAGCATGAGCATCTCCCACAGTGCAGAAGTACTGGCCATCATCTGAGGGTCTCAGCCCCGTGATTCGCAAGTCCAGGCTTCCATTAGAGAGACCATCTCTGACCAACTCTGTCCTCCCGACATATGCCTCCATCTGCTCCCCATACAGGTCCTCTCCATTGCGGTAGTGGTGCACTGTCTCAGAGATACTGTCCCGGATCCACCTGACCTCCAAGGTGCGAGCATCGCGTTGAGGGGACAAGTGGCAGGGCAGCACGACATCCTGCCCCACGGTGGCAGTGAGAGGCTGGCCTGGTCCCACCACTCTGAGCTGGGCTGGGCAATGGAGAAGGGCACAGAGAGGAGGTGAGATTTTGCCATTGTAAATTTAGGGTTAGTGAGTGACAAAGGGCGAGCTGTGCGTGAGTTGGTGCGTGCTGCGTCCCCCGCAGCATGTTCCATGTTCCCCATGGGAAAACACCCGGGAAAACAGGAGAGGGAGAGGGAGGACATGCAGGAAAATGAGGTGTGCTGAGAGTGGGAGCCCTCTCTGCAGCATTTAGGTAGGTTAAGAAGAGACAGAAAGGTCAGGCAAGGAAGCCCCCTTATTGTGTGAAAGAACCAAGGGGAAAGTGAAACTCAGCGGGGGACAAGCTGTGGGCTCGGGTCCCCCCTTTCCCACAGCCACTCCCCTGCCCCACAGCAGCACGTCTGCCAGGCCCAGGGGGGAGAGCCCCCAGCAGCCCCGCAGGATCCTACCTGAGCCCAGCCGGAGGAGGAGCAGAGTGACGAGGGAAGTCAGGAGGTCCCTGGCATGGCCAGTGAGGCTGGGGTGGCCGCAGCCCCAGGGGAGCCCCATCTGAGAGAGAGGTCCCCCAGGGGGCAAGCAGCCTCCCAAGGCTTCTTCTCCCAGGGAGCCCCACCGGAAGGGAGGTCCCTCACGGCACCCAGCAGAGCTGCAGAAAGCACAAGGCTCCGCCCAACTTTCTCAACTTTTGCCCAGTTCCTGGCTGCAATAACCTTCCTGGGGCAGCTCTGCCCCTAGGGGAATGTCTGGGGAGCTCTGCAGGGCTGGCACCACCATCCCATTGCAGCTGGGTGCCCAGTCCAGGGCCTTCACGCATCACGAGGGGCTTGTCCCCAGGAGGGGCCTCTCCAAACCTCCAGGGAAACCCAGTGTCTGAGCTCATTCATCTCCACCTATCCAAGGAGGAATCAAACATAAGGAACGGGACAATTTGGAGAGGTATCAGTGAAGAGATGAAAAGGATCGGAGGCTGCAGGGAATGGGGCACAGCTGGGTGCCGAGCCCAGAGCTGTCACTCTTTGCCCAGGGTGCTGAAGGCAAAGTGCCAGCCCCACTCCCGGCTCCAGTAAAGCAGCCATGGCAGAAGGTTGGCTCAGATGGGCGGGGACCTTCTTCTAGAGCTTAGGTGAATAAAGAAAGTTTCTGTCTGCTGGAAGAGATTTCAGGCATTATGGAAGGACTGCAGAGGTACTGTTTGCCTTTGTAGGGAGAAAAGTCATATGGCCAAAGCTCAGTTTGAGTTGAAGCTGGACAGTACTGTGAGGGGCAATAAAATGCATTATTAATTTTTTAAACTATCTTAACAGCTAAAGTAGGATGAGACAAAACATTGGTCTGCTTCTTGACAGGGATGCTCAAACTAAGGTCATTGACTTCACAGAGATGTTTAATGCTTTCTTTGCATTCAACACTGATGATGGGCTGTGGGATCCCAGGTGCCCTGAGCTGGAGGACAACGACTGCAGGAATACTAACGTCCCAACAAACCCCGAATTTGTGTTGGATTTGGTGCTCCAGATAGATGCATTCAAGACTATAGGGCATGATGAGATTCATCCCAGAGTACTAAGAGAACTGGCTGAGGTCATCATGTGTGGCAAGGCGTGTAAGGAGCGGCTGAAGGCGCTTGGCTTGTTGAGCCCAGAGCAGAGGAGAGGCAGGGGAGGCCTCATGGCAGTCCACAGCTTCCTGATGAGGGGAGCGGAGGGGCTCTGCTCTCTGGGGACAGCTACAGGGCTTGAGGGAACAGCATGGAGCTGCCACTGGGTGGAGTCAGGTGGGCTGTTTGGAAAAGGTTCTTCACCAAGAGGGTGGTCGGGCACAGGAACAGGTTCCCCAGGCACGTGGCCATGGCCCCAAGCCTGCTGCAGCTCAAGGAGTGTTTGGAGAGGGCTCTCAGGCACAGGGTCTGATTTTTGGGTGGTTCGTGTGGGGCCAGGAGATGGACTGGATGGTCCTGTTGGGTTTCCTCCAACTGGGGCTTTTCTTTGATTCTGTGATCTAGGGCTGAATGCTGAGAGCACCTTGGAGGACTTCCAGGAGGACTTCCAGGAGCCGGTGATGCCTCCTGTGGGCACAGCCTCTGCAGAGCCTGTGTGATGGAGGCTGGAAGCTCTTTGGGTGGCTCCAGGGCTGGGCAATGAACCCAGGTGGAACAAGGGGGTCCCAGGCACCAGCTGGGAAACTGTGGGCAGCTGGAGCTTTGGTTCCTCCTGGACTGACTCCCAGGACCAACACCAAGGAGACGGTCTGCTGCAAGATGTCTTCCCAGGCATCAAAGCCTCATGAAAGAAAGTACCCAGGAAATGCCACTGCCAGACTCCATCTTCCTGTACAAAACTTTATTTGCCACAGTCCTGTTGCTGCATCTTTCATCGATGTGCTCCAGAGGAGGGAACACAGAGCCCCCACAGACTGCTCATGCTCAGCACCAGGCACAGAGCAAAGATCAACCCCAAATTAGGAGGCAAAGGCGGCCTGCAGTGGCCGGCAGCACACAGTGACCACATCCCTTGCCCTGGGGTCTGCAAGCAGTGCAAGCAGAGGGGAGAGGAGCGTGGAGAGCTGCTGCAGCCCCTGTGCTGCCCGCTGGGGCTCAGAGGCAGGGTGAGACCCGTGGGTGCCAGCAGGGCTTGTGCCCCAGCACAGGAGCCGCGTGCAGGGCAGAGCCCAGGGGCTGCAAGGGGCCTGGCCCCTGCTTGCAGCATCCCAGCCCTCCTCCAGCAGCAGGGAGGAACACGGGGCAGCCCCTGGCCCCACTGCCCCTCATTCCTGGTGCTGCTCCTGCAGGACCAAGGAGAGGTGATGCAGGAGTGTCTGGAGAAGGGCAGGAGCCCCCCAGGGCTGGGGACGGGTCTGGGGGGTGCTGTCCCTGAGGCATATCTGGACTCTGCCTGGTCCACCAGCCAGGAACCAGGGGCGGATTCTCTCCCCATTGAAGGAGGCTGCTGTGAAAGTGAAGATCTCTACCCCATTGTCAGCCGTTGATGAAAGACACCTGCTGCTGGGTACAGTCAGACAGACCCAGATCCTCGTGGGGATAGGGACAGGGACAAGGGGTGGGAGGAGATGTGAGAGATGTGAGGTGCCCCTCATAGTATGCACAGCCCAGATCCCCTTCTTTAGGGCTCATGTCGATCCACCCCTTTTCTCTTCACAGATGCCCTAGCCACCCCCACAGCCCAGCAAGCATCCTTCTCCTCCTTCCTCCACCTCCCCCTCCACCAACCAGCAGTGCCTCCCCTCTCTGAACTCCTTCACGGCCCAGCACGCAGAGCAAGAGCTCAATCTCTCGGTATGTCAGGCACCTGCTGCATTCACTTTCCCGTCTCACACTGCTGTTGTCCTGAGACACAACAAGCTGGGGATGAGCCGTGTCCGGATCCAGGGTCACCTTCACTGCAGGGACAGAAGGAGCCAGGCCATCAGGGGCAGAGCTCAGCCCTGGGCAGGCTTTCCCCAGCTCGGGGCCAGGAGCTGCCCCATGGGGCAGGAGATGGGGCACCTGAACATGCCCCACCAGGGCAGGAGGAGCACCGCAGAGGGTAACCCAATGCACACCTACCTCTGTTTTGAGGCAGCAGACACTTTCTCCATGCTGGAAGGAGAGGGGAGAGCTGGTCACAGTCCATGGCTCGGTGCCAGTGGGTGTGGGCAGGGTGAGGGGCCAGCCTGGACTGCTCTGTCCAGCTGCCCACCCTCCCCTGCACATCACCTTGGTGTTGTCCTTGAGCCTGAAGCACCGGGAGACTTACCCAGTTCTGCAGATTGTTCTTCTACAAACAAAACAGAAAAGCATGCATTGATGAGAGGAGTCAGCTTCTCATCAATGGCTGCTACAATCAAAGACCCCCCAATTCCTTCAGTTGCGGGGGGGGGGGGGAAGAGAGACTCACCCAGTCTTGCATCTTTTTCCTCTGGAAAAGAAAAAGCATAAGGAATGCATGATCAGAGGGAAAAACTTCTCATCCCAGTCAATACCACAAATTATCCCATTCAGGGATGGACACTCACCTATCTCTGCAGCCTGTTCCACTGGAAAAGAAAAAGAAAGACAAAAGCAATGTATGGTCAGAGGGAGTATGCCTGTGGGAAGACACCAAATGCCTTCCCTTTGGGGAAGGAGACTTACCAAGCTTGCATCCTTTTTCGCTGCTATAAAAGTAAAAGAAATGAATGGTCAGAGTGGAGAGACTTTCACGCCATTGCTGCTTCCATGGGTAGACCCCAAATTATTTTGCTCTTTTGCATGGGCACAGACCACCCTGCTCCCAGACTTGTAGTGACCAGACTAACAAAGACGGAGGCCCAGCTTTTTGCAAGACTTGTAGCAGTAAGGACAGACACTTGTGCAGCTCTCTGCACCGTGCCACCAAAACACAAAGGGAAATGAATGGGGACGGGTGGAGGACGTCCCTGTCCCAGAAGCGTCAGTGCAGAGCGGGGCAGCCTCACAGCTTGCTCCCCGTCCCCACCTTGATCCCTGTTCCTTTCAGCCATCCCGGCCGTTGTCCCGTGCCCAGGGCAGCCCCAGCCCCAGCACTCCCCAGTCCCACCCCAGGCTCCAGCTGCTCCTGCAGCACCCCCGAGCCACCAGCACACAAGCCCCCAGAGCCCACCCAGCCCAGGCCCTCCCACACAGACACCACTTCCCCAGGGGCTGGGGGCAGGGACTGCAAGGACTCTCCCAGCTCTCGGCTCTGTGCTGCTGAAAAGCAAAGGCAGAGGAACAGGTGGTGAGCAGAGCAGCTTGGTTGCTGGGTGGGAAACATGTGCAGGGGGGCTGTGCCTTGCCACCAGCCCCCACGCTGCAGCCATGCTCCCTGGCCTCCCACCCAAGGCCCCTTGCCTTCTCCCTCGCCTTCGTTGCCCGAGGCAGAGGCCCAAGACAATCCTAAGGCCTTTGGCATCCCCAGGAGAACATTCCCTTCCTCCTCCTACGCACCTCCCTGGGCCAGGGCTCAGCCCCGCTGCACACCCAGGGGGGTTCCTGCAGAACACCTCCCTCCGCTCCATCCCTGTGCTGCCAGCTTACCTTGCTTTCGAAAGAGATAAACACCGAGGCCAATGGACACCACAAAAAGCACGAGGACCAGAGCCAGAGCCACCTTCCAGGGCTGGGCGTTGTGGAAGAAGGGAGCTGAGAAAAGGCACCAGGAAAAGGGCTGTGTTTACATTGCCATAGGTGGAAGAGCAAGACCCAGACTTCTCCTGGGTCGGGACAAGTGCAGGGGCCAGGAACACCTCACCCTGGCTGTGCTATTTGTACCTGAGATGTGCAGGGACAATTCCCTCTCCTGCTGGAGGCGGCTGTTCCTGACCACGCAGGACAAGGGCCCCTCCACGCTCCCAGTCACTATGACGGCGCCTTCGATTTCAAAGAGCCCCTCCTGGTCCTGGGAAGTGTCTGGGAGGACTGAGGGCAGGTGCTGCCCGCGAGCATTCCCTCCACAGCAGCTGCGGGCAGCGGGTACCAGCCGGCCGATCCACACAGCACCCGGACGCCTCCGGCCTCGTAGCCCCCCAGGGAGAGGTGGGGGTCAGCGCCTGTGGCTGGGGGAAGAGCGTGTGGCTGGGGCTTGACTTGGGGAGGGATTCAGTTCCAAAGCAAAGACCCCATCTGTCCCCATGCCCGACACAGCCCAGCGCAGCCATGTTCCCAGGGGCTCAGGGCCTGGGCACTACATGCACTGACCCTCACCCCAGACCATCCTGGGCAATGGCAGAAACAGAGAGCAGGGCTGCACAAAGCCAGTGGCCCCAAATCACCCTGTAAACCCAGGTGCCGAGCTTCAGCACCTCCAGGCAACATCTTTGCGCCAGACACAGCAAAGCCTAGCCACGGCCGCAGAGGCTAGGGACCGGACATTCCATGCACCCACCCTCATCCAAAAGCAGCCTGACATGTGCTGGACCCAGAGAGCAGGGCTGCACAATGACAGTGGCCCCACATCACCCAGAAAGCCCAGGTGAAAAGCTCCAGCACCTCCACGCATTGTCTTGGCACCAAGCCATGCTAGGTCTAGAAGCCCCAAGACTTCCTGACAACGTCTCAGGTCTCCCCCAGCACAGAAAGCAAAAGTAAAGCAGACATCCGGCTGCTCAGAGGACTCTGCGATTCTCCCTGTGTGCTGTTTGATCCCATTACTAACACAGTTAAAGTGCTGCTCAGCAGCCTGTACCCAGTGCCCTCCGAATATTATGATTAGCGTCTTCAAGGACACTAGTGAAAACTGACAAAAGTATCCAGGAAGCTCTCTCCCCAAATATTACCTCCACATCTATGGGCATGCTCCATGCTGTGAAACAGCTGGAACATTCAAAGGACATGTAAACTCTGCCCTTGTAGCACCACCCCAGCCACTAACCTGACACCTCCAGCTCCACAATGGCTTCAGCATAAGCATGACCATCTACCACAGTGCAGACGTACTGGCCATCATCAGAGGGTCTCAGCCCCATGATTCGCAAGTCCAGGCTTCCAGTAGAGAGACCATCTCTGACCAACTCTGTCCTCCCGGCATATGCCCCCATCTGCTCCCCGTACAGGTCCTCTCCATTGCAGTAGTGGTGCACTGTCTCAGAGATACTGTCCCGGATCCACCTGACCTCCAAGCTGCGAGCATCCTGGCGAGGGGACAAGTGGCAGGGCAGCACAACATCCTTCCCCACGGTGGCAGTGACAGGGTGGCCTGGTCCCTCCACTCTGAGCTGGGCTGGACAATGGAGAAGGGCACAGAGAAGCGGTGAGATTTTGCCATCGTAAATTTAGGGTTAGTGAGTGACAAAGGGTGAGCTGTGCGTGAGTTGGTGCGTGCTAGGTCCCCCATGTCCCATTGGAGACTAGCAGAGAAATAGGAAAGGGAGAGGGATGACATGCAGGAGAAGGAGGTGTGCTGGGAGTGGAAGCCCTCTCTGCAGCATTCAGGCAGGTGAAGGAGACACAGAGAGGGCAGCCAAGGCAGCACCCATATTGTGTGAAAGAACACAAGTGAAAGTGAAACCCAGCTGGGGCCAAGCTGTGGGCTTGCGTCCCCCCTGCCCCACAGCAGCAAGTCTGCATGCACAAGTGGGAGAGCCCCCAGCAGCCCCGCAAGATCCTACCTGAGCCCAGGCGGAGGAGGAGCAGAGTGAGGAGGGAAGTCAGGAGGCCCCTGGCATGGCCGGTGAGGCTGGGGTGGCCGCAGCCCCAGGGGAGCCCCATCTCAGAGAGAGGTCCCCAGGGGGGCAGACAGCCCCCCAGGGGTTCTCCTCCCAGGGAGCCCCACCAGGAGGGAGATCACTTACGGCACCCAGCAGAGGCTCCGCCCAACTTTCTCAACTTTTGCCCATTTCCTGGTTGCAATAACCTTCCTGGGGCAGCTCTGCCCCTAGGGGAATGTCTGGGGAGCTCTGCAGGGCTGGCACCACCATCCCATTGCAGCTGGGTGCCCAGTCCAGGGCCTTCACGCATCACGAGGGGCTTGTCCCCAGGAGGGGCCTCTCCAATCCTCCAGGGAAACCCAGTGTCTGAGCTCATTCATCTCCACCCATTCAAGGAGGAATCAAACATAAGGAACGGGACAATTTGGAGAGGTATCAGTGAAGAGATGAAAAGGATTGGAGGCTGCAGGGAATGGGGCACAGCTGGGTGCTGAGCCCAGAGCTGTCACTCTTTGCCCAGGGTGCTGAAGGCAAAGTGCCAGCTCCACTCCCGGCTCTGTTAAAGCAGCCATGGCAGAAGGTTGGCTCAGATGGGCGGGGACCTTCTTCTAGAGCTTAGGTGAATAAAGAAAGTTTCTGTCTGCTGGAAGAGATTTCAGGCATTATGGAAGGACTGCAGAGGTACTGTTTGCCTTTGTAGGGAGAAAAGTCATACTGGCCAAAGCTCAGTTTGAGTTGAAGCTGGACAGTACTGTGCGGGGCAATAAAATGGCATTATTAATTTTTTAAACTATCTTAACAGCTAAAGTAGGATGAGAGAAAACATTGGTCTGCTTCCTTGACAGGGATGCTCAAACTAAGGTCATTGACTTCACAGAGATGTTTAATGCTTTCTTTGCATTCAACACTGATGATGGGCTGTGGGATCCCAGGTGCCCTGAGCTGGAGGACAACGACTGCAGGAATACTAACGTCCCAACAAACCCCGAATTTGTGTTGGATTTGGTGCTCCAGATAGATGCATTCAAGACTATAGGGCATGATGAGATTCATCCCAGAGTACTAAGAGAACTGGCTGAAGGTCATCATGTGTGGCAAGGCGTGTGAGGAGCGGCTGAAGGCGCTTGGCTTGTTGAGCCCAGAGCAGAGGAGAGGCAGGGGAGGCCTCAGTGGCAGTCCACAGCTTCCTGATGAGGGGAGCGGAGGGGCTCTGCTCTCTGGGGACAGCGACAGGGCTTGAGGGAACAGCATGGAGCTGCCACTGGGTGGGGTCAGGTGGGCTGTTTGGAAAGGTTCTTCACCAAGAGGGTGGTCAGGCACAGGAACAGGTTCCCCAGGCACGTGGCCATGGCCCCAAGCCTGCTGCAGCTCAAGGAGCATTTGGAGAGGGCTCTCAGGCACAGGGTCTGATTTTTGGGTGGTTCGTGTGGGGCCAGGAGATGGACTGGATGGTCCTGTTGGGTTTCCTCCAACTGGGGCTTTTCTTTGATTCTGTGATCTAGGGCTGAATGCTGAGAGCACCTTGGAGGACTTCCAGGAGGACTTCCAGGAGCCGGTGATGCCTTCCTGTGGGCACAGCCTCTGCAGAGCCTGTGTGATGGAGGCTGTAAGCTCTTTGGGTGGCTCCAGGGCTGGGCAATGAACCCAAGGTGGACAAGTGGGTGTCCAGGCACCAGCTGGGGAACTGTGGGCAGCTGGAGCTTTGGTTCCTCCTGGATCTGACTCCCAGGACCAACACCAAGGAGACGGTCTGCTGCAAGACGCCTTCCCAGGCAGCAAGGCCTCAGGACACAAAGCACCCAGGAAATGCCACTGCCAGACTCCATCTTCCTGTACAAAACTTTATTTGACACAGTCCTGCTGCTGCTGGGCCTTGATGTGCTCCAGAGGAGGGAACAAAGAGCCCCCACAGGCTGCTCACGCTCAGCACCAGGCACAGAGCAAAGATCAACCCCAACCTAGGAGGCAAAGGCGGCCTGCAGTGGCCAGCAGCACACGGTGACCACATCCCTTGCCCTGGGTTCTGCAAGCAGTGCAAGCAGAGGGGAGAGGAGGGTGGAGAGCTGCTGCAGCCCCTGTGCTGCCCGCTGGGGCTCAGAGGCAGGGTGAGACCCGTGGGTGCCAGCAGGGCTTGTGCCCCAGCACAGGAGCCCTGTGCAGGGCAGAGCCCAGGGGCTGCAAGGGGCCTGGCCCCTGCTTGCAGCATCCCAGCCCTCTTCCAGCAGCAGGGAGGAATGCGGGGCAGCCCCTGGCCCCACTGCCCCTCATTCCTGTGCTGCTCCTGCAGGACCAAGGAGAGGTGATGCAGGAGTGTCTGGAGAAGGGCAGGAGCCCCCCAGGGCTGGGGACGGGGTCTTGGGGGTGCTGTCCCTCAGGCACATCTGAATTCCCTGAGTCCACAACAGGAACCAGGGGCGGATTCTCTCCCCATTGAAGGAGGCTGCTGTGAAAGTGAAGATCTTGACCCCATTGTCAGCATTGATAAAAGACACCTGCTGCTGGGTACAGTTCAGACAGACCCAGATCCTCGTGGGGACAGGGAACAGGGACAAGGGGATGCGAGGAGATGTGAGAGACTCGAACTGCCCTTGTTGATACTGTACAGCCCAGACCCCTTCTTCAGGGAATAGGTCAAACAACCCCTTCCTCTTCACAGATGCCCTGGCCACCCCCACAGCCCACCGTGCACTCTTTCCTGCCTTTTCCTCAACTTCTACCTCCACCTCCCAGAAGTACCTCCCCTCTCTGAAATCCTCACGGCCCAGCACGCAGCACCAAGAGTCAAATCTCTCTGGTGTGTCAGGCACCTGCTGCCATTCCCTTTCCCATTTCACACTGCTGTTGTCCTGAGACACAACAAGCATGGGATGAGCCGTGTCCGGATCCAGGGTCACCTTCACTGCAGGGACAGAAGGAGCCAGGCCATCAGGGGCAGAGCTCAGCCCTGGGCAGGCTTTCCCCAGCTGGGGGCCAGGAGCTGCCCCATGGGGCAGGAGATGGGGCACCTCTTGGCTCCTGAACATGCCCCAGCAAGGGCAGGAGGAGCACCTCAGCGGGTAACCCAGTGCACACCTACCTCTATTTTCAGGCAGCAGACACCTTCTCCATGCTGGAAGGAGAGGGGAGAGCTGGTCACAGCCCATGGCTCGTGCCCAGTGGGTGTGGGCAGGGTGAGGGGCCAGCCCTGGGCTGCTCTGTCCCAGCTGCCCACCCTCCCCTACACATCGCCTTGGTGTTGTCCTTGATCCCAAGCACAGGAACACTCACCCAGCTCTTCAGATTGTTCTTCTACAAACAAAACAGAAAAGCAATGCATTGATGAGAGGAGTCAGCTTCTCATCAATGGCTGCTACAAATCAAAGACCCCCCAATTCCTTCAGTTGCGGGGGGGGGGGGGGAAGAGAGACTCACCCAGTCTTGCATCTTTTTCCTCTGGAAAAGAAAAGCATAAGGAATGCATGATCAGAGGGAAAAAACTTCTCATCCCATGTCAATACCACAAATTATCCCAGTTCAGGGATGGACACTCACCTATCTCTGCAGCCTGTTCCACTGGAAAAGAAAAAGAAAGACAAAAGCAATGTATGGTCAGAGGGGAGTATGCCTGTGGGAAGACACCAAATGCCTTCCCTTTGGGGAAGGAGACTTACCAAGCTTTGCATCCTTTTTCGCTGCTATAGAAAAGCAAAATAAATGAAAGGTCAGAGTGGAGAGACTTTCAATCCAATGCTGCTTCCATGGCTAGATGGTTAGATCTCAAATTTTTTTGCTCTCATGCATGTGCACAGACCACCTTGCTCCAAGACTTCTAGTGACCAGACTAACAAAGACGGAGGCCAACTTTTTGCAAGACTTGTAGCAGTAAGGACAGACACTTGTGCAGCTCACTGCACCGTGCCACCAAAACACAAGAGGAAGTGAATGGGGATGGGTGGAGGACATCCTTGTCCCAGAAGCGTCAGTGCAGAGCGGGGCAGCCCTTCAGATTGCTCCACATTGCCAACCTTGATCCCCGTTCCTTTCAGCCATCCCGGCCATGTCCCGTGCCCAGGGCAGCCCCAGCCCCAGCACTCCCCATTCCCACCCCAGGCTCCAGCTGCTCCTCCAGCACCCCCGAGCCACCAGCACACAAGCCCCCAGAGCCCACCCAGACCAGGCCCAGTCCCTCCTGCAGGGACACCACTTCCCCAGGGGCTGGGGGCAGGGACTGCAAGGACTCTCCCAGCTCCTGACTCTGTGTTGCTGAAACACAAAGGCGGAGGAACAGGTGGTGAGCAGAGCAGCTTGGGTGCTGGGTGGGAACATGTGCATGGGGGCTGCACCTTGCCACCAGCCCCACGCTGCAGCCATGCTCCCTGGCCTCCCACCCAAGAGGAACCTAAGGCCTTTGGCATCCCCAGGAGAACATTCCCTTCCTCCTCCTGCGCACCTCCCTGGGCCAGGACTCAGCCCCGCTCCACACCCACACAGGTCCCTGCAGAACACCTCCCTCTGCTCCATCCCTGTGCTGCCAGCTTACCTTGCTTTCGAAAGAGATAAACACCGAGGCCAATGGACACAGCCAAAAGCACGAGGACCAGAGCCAGAGCCACCATCCAGGGCTGGGCGTTGTGGAAGAAAGGAGCTGAGAAAAGGCACCAGGAAAAGGGCTGTATTTACATGCCTGGGATTAGAAAAACAAGACCCAGACTTCTCCTGGGTCGGGACAAGTGCAGGGGCCAGGAACACCTCACCCTGGCTGTGCCATTTGTACCTGCGATGTGCAGGGATGATTCCCGCTCCTGCTGGAGGCGGCTGCTCCTGACCACGCAGGACAAGGGCCCCTCCACGCTCCCGGTCACAATGACGGCGCCTTCGATTTCAAAGAACCCCTCCTGGTCCTGGGAATGTGTCTGGGAGACTGAGGGCAAGTGCTGCCCGCGAGCATCCCTCCACAGCAGCTGCGGCTTCGGGTACCATCCGGCCGATCGACACAGCACCCGGACGCCTCCGGCCTCGTAGCCCCCCAGGGAGAGGTGGGGGTCAGCGCCTGTGGCTGGGGGAAGGATCATGGCTGGTACTTGACTTGGGGAGGGATTCAGTTCAAGGCAAAGACCCCATCTGCTCCCATGCCAGACACAGCTCAGCCTAGCCATGGCTGCAGGGCCTCAGGGACTGGGCACTCTATGCACCCACTGTCACCCCAAACCACCCTGGGTGGTACTGGACCCAGAAAGTAGGGCTGCACAATGCCAGTGGCTCCAATTCACCCAGAAAACCCAGGTGCTGAGCTTCAGTGCCTTCTGGCAGCATCTCTGCACCAAGTCGTACTGATTCAAGAAGCCCTGAGACTACCAGACTATTTCTTAGCTCTCCTCCATGATAAAAAGCAAAACCAAGCAGAGGTCCAGCTCCTCAGAGGTCTCTTCCCTGCTCCAGGTGTTGTTTTTGGGGCCATCATTGCTGAGGCTGAAGGTGCTGCTCAGCAGCCTGTGCCCAGTGCCCTCACAACATCATGGGGATTGAGTTCAAGGAGACCACAGAAACCCATCAAAACCAACTCATCCTTGCAGCTCTGTCCCAAAACACCTGCAGCACAATAGGTATGCTCCTTGCTGGACAAGTGCTCACAAACTGAGGAGGTGAAGCCCCATCAGAATCAGCTCTTTGACAGGCTTCATCGATGGCCATGAGGATGGGACAGGGTCCTGGGTGGGGCATACAGATGCAGGGACACCCGGACCATGCCCTGGGAGCATCACCCCAACCACTAACCTGACACCTCCAGCTCCACAATGGCTTCAGCATAACTGTCAGCATTTTTCACATTGCAGACGTACAGGCCATCATCAGAGGGTCTCAGCCCCGTGATTCGCAAGTCCAGGCTTCCAGCAGAGAGACCATCTCTGACCAGCTCTGTCCTCCCGGCATATGTCCCCATCTGCTCCCCATAAAGGTCCTCTCCATTGCGGTAGTGGTGCACTGTCTCAGAAGAACTCATCCCGCATCCACCTGACGTCCAAGCTGCGAGCATCGCGTTGAGGGGACAAGTGGCAGGGCAGCACGACATCCTGCCCCACGGTGGCAGTGAAGAGGTGTCCTGGTCCCTCCACTCTGAGCTGGGCTGGGCAATGGAGAAAGGCACAGAGAGGTGGTGAGATTTTGCCATTGTAAATGTAGGGTCAGTGAGTGACAAAGGGTGAACTGTGTGTGAGTTGGTGCGTGCTGCGTCCCCCGTGTGCCATGGGAAACCACCCGGGAAAACAGGAGAGGGAGAGGGAGGATGTGCAGGTGAAGGAGGTGTGCTGGGAGTGGGAGCCCTCTCTGCAGCATTTGGGCAGGTGAAGAAGAGCCAGAAAGGGCAGGCAAGGCAGCGCCCATATTGTGTGAAAGAACCAAAGGGAAAGTGAAACCCAGCAGGGTCCGAGCTGTGGGCTCGGGTCCCCCCTTTCCAACAGCCACTCCCGTGCCCCATAGCAGCAAGTCTGCCAGGCCCAGGGGGGAGAGCCCCCAGCAGCCCCGCAGGATCCTACCTGAGCCCAGGCTGGAGGAGGAAGCAGAGTGATGAGGGAAGTCAGGAGGCCCCTGACATGGCCGGTGAGGCTGGGGTGGCCGCAGCCCCAGGGGAGCCCCATCTGAGAGAGAGGTCCCCAGGGGGGCAAGCAGCCCCCCAGGGGTCCTTCTCCAAGGGAGCTCCAACAAGATAGATGTCCCTCACGGCACCCAGCAGAGCTGCAGGAAGCACAAGGCTACGCCCAACTTTCCCAACCTTTGCCCAGTTCCTGGCTGCAATAACCCTCCTGGAGCAACTCTGCCCCTGGATCTGTGGGAAGAAGTCTCTGAGGTGCTCTGCAGGGCTGCAGACCTCCAGGAAAAAACACTGTCTAAACTCATTCATCTCCACCCATGTTAAAAGGAATCAGTTAGCAATGGGACAATGTGTAGACATGGCAGAGCAGACCTGAGCAGGATTGGAGGCTGCAGGGAATGGGGCATGGCTGGGTGCCAAGCCCAGAGTTGCCACCTTTGCCCAGGGTGCTGAAGGCAAAGTGCCAGCCCCACTCCCGGCTCCAGTAAAGCAGCCATGGCAGAAGGTTGGCTCAGATGGGCAGGGACCTTCTTCTAGAGCTTAGGTGGATAAGGAAAGTTTCTGTCTGCTGGTAGAGAGGTCAGGCATTATGGAAGGACTACAGAGGTACTGTTTGCCTTTGTAGGGAGAAAATTCATACGGCCAAAGCTCAATTTGAATTGAAGCTGGACAGTACTGTGAGGGGCAATAAAATGGATTATTATTTTTTTAAACTATCTTAACAGCTAAAGTAGGATTTGAGAAAACATTGGTCTGTTCCTTGACAGGGATGCTCAAACTAAGGTCATTGACTTCACGGAGATGTTTAAAGCCTTTGCCTTTAAGACTGATGCTGGGCTGTGGGATCCCAAGTGCCCTGAGCTGGAGGACAATGACTGCAGGAATACTAAAGTCCCAACAACCACGAATTTGTGTGGGATTTGGTGCTCCAGATAGATGCATACAAGACTATAGGGCCTGATGGGATTCATACCAGAGTACTAAGAGAACTGGCTGAGGTCATCATGTGTGGTGGTTTTACTTAGGTGGGCAGCTGAGCTCCACCACAACTGCTCTCTCACTCCCCCTCCTCAAAGGGAAAGGGGGAGAAAATGCGATGAAAAGGGCTCAAGGATTGAAATAAGGACCAGGAGATCGCACAATAATTATCATCATGGGCAAAACAGACTCACCATAGAGAGATTAAATAAATTTATTACCCATTACTAACAAGCTGGAAAAGTGAGAAGCAAAGAAAACAAACCAGAAATACCTTCCCCTCACCCACCCTCTTCCACCTCCTCCCCCTGAGCAGCGCAGGGGAATGGGACAATGAGGTTTACAGTCAGTCTATACCACTTTGTCTCTGCTGCTCCTTCACAATCTCTCTCTTCCCTCTCTTCCCAAGCTTGTCAGTGTGCAACAACCCTCTCGGCAAAGAACCTTTTCCTGATGTCTAGCCTGAATCCCCCCTTTCTCAGCTTGACACCATACCCATGGATCCTACCACCGGTCACTAAAGAGAAGAGATTGGTGCCTGTGCCTTCACTCACCCTTGTGAGGAAGCTGTAGACCACGATGAGGCCTCCCCTCAGCCTCCTCTTTTCCAGGCTGAACAGGCCAAGTGACCTCAGCTGCTCATCATATATCTTCCCCTCTAGGCCCTTCACCATCTTTGTGGGGCCAACGACAGGGCCCAAGGGAATGGCATGGAGCTGCTGCAGGGGAGGCTCAGGCTGGCTGTTCGGAAAAGGCTCGTCACCAACAGAGTGGTCGGGAACAGGAACAGTTTCCCCAGGGATGTGGCCACAACCCTGAGCCTGCTGCAGCTCAAGGTTTAGGGCCTGATTTTTGGGTGGTCTTGTGTAGAGCCAGGAGATGGATTTGATGATTATGGTGGGTCCCTTCCAACTCAGGATATTCTATGATTCTATGACCCCAGCATGGATTCAGTTACTCCCAGTTAATCCCAACTCTGTCCCCTACATGGTCCCAGATGCTCCTGGCTGCCACCAGCAAATCCCAGTTGCTCCCAGTGGTCCCCAGTGCAGTCGTAGTTGCTCCCAGCATGAACTGAGTTGCTCCCATTTGGCTATAGCATTGAGCTAGTTGCCCCCAGTTTGGTCCCAGATGCTCTCTGTTTGTGCCATCGTGGTCCCAGCATGCCCGGTATGCCAGCATCAGGTTCCATTCGCTTACAGTTTGCCCCACCATGGTCTCATTTACTCCCAGTTTATAGCCAATTGATCCTAATTGTCCCAGTGGCTCCCAGCTGCCCCCTGCAGATACAAGTTGCTCTCCGTTGACCCACATGTGGGTTTATTTGACCCAACACAGTTCCAGTAAACAACATCCACATCCTTTCCCTCATCCACTAAATGGGATAATTGACCCCAGCATGGGCCCAGATTCCCTCAGTGTGCTGCCTGAAGCTCACAGTGTCCCCAACATGGTCCTACAAGCTCCCATGTCCCCCAACATGGTCCCCATTGCTCCCAGTTGGCCCTAGAAGTTCCTAGTTTCTCCCAGTTGGCCTCAGCATGGTTCCAGTTAATCTCAGCACAGTCTCAGTTGACACTAGTTTATTTCTAGTTGACCCCAATTGATCCAGATAGGGCCCCAGTTGCACCCAGTGCAGTCTGAGTTGTTCCCAGTGTGGTCCCAGTTGCCCCCAGTAAATCCCAGTTGTTCCCAGTTGGCCCCAGCATGGGTGTCCTCCAGCGGGACCACGTGTCCCCGGCTCACAGCTGGCAGCCCAGCTGGCCAAGGCGGTTGCGGAAGTCCTGCAGCTGGGCACAGCGTCTCCGCAGCCGTGTGGCCCCACAGCGGGCAGGGGATGGCACCTCTTCCACCCATGACTGGGGGCTCAGTAAGTACTGGGGGCTAGGGACAAGGACACGGGGTCAGGAACAGGAAGGCAATGGGACATGGGGACATTGGGGATACACTGGTACATGGGGTCATGGAGACAGGGGGGACAAGAGAGCTTGGGGTCATGAGGCATGGGGGCATGGAGGACATGGGAACATGGAGACAAGGGGGACACAGAGGCATGGGGACACAGGGACATACAAGGACTTGGGGGGACATAGGGTGGGCAAAAAGATATGAGAGGACGTGGGGGACAGGAAGGCATGGGGACACTGAGGCATGAGGACGCGGGGGACATAGGGGTACACAGGGGCACGAGTACACAGCAGCACACAAAACTACAGGGAGATGTGGGTACGCGGGGTGGGCAAAGGGACATATGGGGGCCATGAGGGGACACAGGGTCATAGGTCTATGGGGATACAAGGGGACTCAGCCCCCTTCTCACCGTCCTTGGGGGTCCCGTGTTCCCCCATCCAACCCCATCACCAGGTAGGTGTTGTGGGAGCGCAGGCGCAGGGTGCAGCTCTCCCTCACCAGTATCCGCCGCCGTTCCCCAGGGGCCACCGCTGTATCCTGCCCTGCACCAGTATGCACCAGTACTCTGCAGTGCAGCACACAGCCTGCTCTGCCCGGCTTTTCCCAGTATGGCCCAGTGTACTCTCAGGTTCTTCCAGTACAGCTGAGAGTTCTCACTGTACAGCCCAGTGCCACCCTAATATTGCCCAGTACATCCCAGTGACCCCCAGCATGGCCCAGCCACACCCAGTTACAGCCCTTGACCACCCCAGCATGGCCCAGTCTAACCCAGTACCCTCAATCATGACTCAAGATTTCTCCACGCTGTGCTTGTGGACATCCAGTGCCTCCCATTATACCCCAGTCTACCCATTTTCCCACAATATGGCCCAGCCCCCAACACCATGCAGCCTAGGGCCATCCCAGTTTGGCCCACTATAACCCAATACCCCGCAGTCTCACCCCCCAGTCTCTCCCTGTCCTCCCAGTATACCCACCCAACCTCTACCACACTTAGTTCTCCCAGTTTCAACCCTCAGTCTCTCCCAGTTTCAACCCTCATTCCTTCCCAGTGCTCCCAGTCCCTCCCAGTCTCCCCAAAAAGCACCTCCTAGTTCCCCCCAATCTCACCCTCTGTCCCTCCCAGTACCTCCCAGTCTGCGCAATCTCACCCATCAGCAGAACCTCCTGGATTTCTGTCTCGAACCCCACAAAAGCTCCAACCTCATTTTGGGTCAGCACCTGAACCACCATTGCTGGGGAAGGGGCAGACCATGAGGGTCGTGGGGGTCACGGGAGTCGTGGAGACCACAGGGGTTATGGGGTCCAGGGAGTGTCCCCATAAAGGGTGCAGCCCAACAGGGTTATAGGTGCCAAGCGTTACAGGGGCGCAATAGAAGCTTGGGCATCAGGGGGGACAACTGGGGTTCAGGGTGGAAACTGGGGTTCAAGGAGGGATTTTGGGGGGTTACAGTGGAGTTCAGGGTGCAGCTGGTTAGGGGTGCAGACAGTTTGGGGGTGTAGGTAGTTTTGGGGTTCACCATAGTCAACGCGAGGGCTGTAGCAGGCAAAGTCAAGGCGATCGTCGGCCGTCAGCTCCTCCGTCCCCCTTTGGGCCCGGGGACACCCACCTTGGGGGATACAGCTAGGTGAAACCCTGGAGCCCCCAGCATCCATCCCCCTCATATACCAGGGTTCCTCCAAAATCAACACGACTCCCTCACATCAACAGGACACCCCCCAAATCCTAGCTCTCCTCCCATAGCACCACGATACCTGCTTTCAAGTTCTCTCCGTGTCCTCCACGTCCCCGTGTTCCTCCATTTCCCAGGACCCCACGTCCCCCCATTGCCCTGGTGTCTCCTGAACCCCACCGTTACCCCCCCCAAACCCCAGCTGCTCCCTTGAACCCCACAGAAGTGTGTGGAGGGGGAACCCAGTGTGGGGGTCCCCAGGACTGTGTGGTGATGAGGTCCAGGATATGGGGGGGTCCCTTGGGTGGGGGGTCCCCCGGGTCTTGGGGACATGGGGCCCACCTTGTGCACATTCGCAGACTTTCGGGGAGCAGAGGGTGGCCACAGCGCTGCTCCTGCGGGGGGCGCTGTAGAAGACGGTGCAGCGCCGAGCTGGGTGGGGCAGAAGGCGGGGTCTGAACAGACACGTCCCCTCCCTGGGCTCCACCCACGGAGGCCCTGCCCACCTGGCTCGTAGTAGTCATAGATGACTGCCATGGCGGGCTGCAGCTGCCCCACAGCCACATCCTGTGTTGCCCCGAAGCTGAGACACTGGCGCTGGGGGGGGACCTGGAGACACGGGGAATACAGAGAGGAATCGCGATATGGGGGGACATGGGGAAACAAGGGGCCAGGTAGGGACATGGGGATCCACGGGGATATTGGGGATATAGGGTAGCATAGGGAACGTGGGGATGTAGGGGGACATGGGGACACTGTCCCTCTCCCATTCCCATTTCCCCACTGCCCCCAGTCCCTCCCAGCCACCCCCCCATTGTCCCCCAGAGCTCTCCAACCTCCTGTGTCCCCCACCTCATCCAGGTACAGCACCAGCCGGGCCCCGTCGAGCTCGTAGTGGCTTATCCAGCGATCAACCACGTCCCGCAGCTAGGGGGAAGACACTGGCACCCCAGCACCCCAACACACCCCCACCCCAATGCCCCCACATCCCAACCCCTGAGCACTCCCATGGCCCAACATCCCCCACATTGCATGCCCAATGACCTGACTCTCCCCAAATCCCAATAACCCACCACCAGCCTTACAGCCTCGAACCTCAACACCATGTCCCCAAACCCCAAAATCCAAATTACAACACCCCAAGTCCCAACTCTCCCCAAACCCTCAAGTCCCAACAGACCCAAATCCCAACGCCTCCAAATCCCAACTCTCCCCAAACCCCAACAAACCACCCCCCACCATCCTTACACCCCCAAACCTCAACATCCCCAAATCCCAACACCCCCAGGCCCCAACTCTCCCCAAATCCCCACCACCCATCACCCTTACACCCCTCTATAGCTCCCCACCCCAACACCCCCCCCAATTCCCATTTCCCGCTACCGCCCCCCACCGTGTCCCCCGCAACCTCCAAGGGGACCCAAGTTCCCCCCACCTTGTCCAGGTCAGGCCGGTGGGGCCGGAAGCCGCTGAGCAGGGAGACCTCGACCACAGCCATTCCTGCCAGCCCTGCACCTGGGCCCCGCCTACATCCAAGCCCCACCCATCAGGGGTGGGGCCACGAGGCAGAACAGGAAATCCCACCCCAGTAGACCACCAAAACCCAGTGAAACAGGAAGTCACACCCTTGTGCATGGGCCAAGCAGGAAGTCCCACCCACTCCACTCATAGGCCAGGACTACCAGGAAGTACTGCCCCCTACTGGTGGGCCCACAGAAACATGGAAATAGAAAGTCCCTCCCATAACTGTGACCAAAATGAGAAGCTCCCTATGATGCCCCTGATTTCAGGCAGCCACAGGAAGTCCAGCCATCACAGTTACTGCCAAGCAGGAAGTCCTGCCATCAATTTCCTGCAGCAACAGGAAGTCGATCCCTTACAGACCTAGTCTACAGGAAGTCGTGCCCCAACTTCCTGCAGCCACAGGAAGTCCAAATCTCTCAGATCTGGCCTAGCAGGAAGTGTTGCCCCCAACTTCCTGCAGCCACAGGAAGTCCAACCCTCTCAGCCCAGGCCTAGCAGGAAGTCTTGCCCCCAACTTCCTGCAGCCACAGGAAGTCCAACTCTCACAGACCCAGCCCAGCAGGAAGTCCCGCCATTAGGAAGCGGAAGCCTTGGCCTGACGGTGGAAGAGGAAGTCCTGCCCACAAACCCTGCTGACACAGGAAGTCCCCCTGCCCCAGGGACAGGAAGTCCCGCCTCTCACCAGAAGCAGACCAGGAAGGCGACCTCGCGGCCTGGGTCACGCACATCCCGCCGCTGCCTCTGCCGGGCATCCCACAAGGCCATGGGACTCAGGGGGGCGGCAGCCTCTGCAAGCCCCGCCCCTCCTGCAGGCCCCACCCCTTCTGGAGGCTCCGCCCTCCCCTCAAGCTCCTCCTCCTCCTCATAGTCCTCGTAGTCCTCTTCATCTGCAGGAGGCAGCTACTTGAAAGGCCAGGTCTTGCAGGGAGGGGGAGGGGCTAGTGGGGGTGTGTCCTCAGTGGGTGGGGCCAGTGTGGGATGTGGCCTCACCTTGATAGATGATGGGGCCGGTGATGGACACCTCTAGGCCCAGCCCCTGGCAGGTGGCATTGGGGGGCGACATCAGGCGGAACTGCCGCAGGACCTGGGGACAGCGGTGAGGGAGGTGGTGTCCAAGAGCAGACCAGTCACCGGAGGTGGTGTCCAGGCCCAGCCACTCACCGTGAGGGTCCCCTCGCCATGTCCCTCCACCTTCACTGTCACCGGGCTGCCCAAGGGCACCTGGGGGACATGGGGATGTGGAGGAATATGGGATCAAAGCAAGGAACAGGGGACGCCAACATCCCATGTCTACTTGTGTCCCCCCCTCCACGTCCTACCATGTTCCCCAAATCTGATCCCCATATGTCCCTCATGTCTGCATGTCTCCCCATTGTATTGCATGTCCCCATGTGTCCCCCCCATGTCCCCATGTCTTCCCATGTCCTTCATGACCCCATATGTCCCCCAAACCAGGTCCTCATATGTTCCTCATGTCCGCACGTCTCCCCATGTCTTCCATGTCCCCATATGTCCCCCCATATTCCCAGTGTTCCATGTCCTCCCTGCCCTGTCCCCATATACGTTCCTCCATCACACGCACCCGAAGCTCCTGCTCCAGTGGCTCCAGGCCAGGCTCCAGTGTCACTTGGGTGCCCCCAGGACCTCCTCGGATCCCCCCCGGCCAGGACAGCCCCAGGTTGAGCCCAGATCTGGCCCCACGTCCCCATTGTAGCCACATCTGGGCCAGTGCCTCCAGCGCCACCAACGTGTCCTGCGGGTCCAGGAGTCCAGGTGGGCTAGGGACCTCAGTGTCTGGGCACTGTCCACCTAAAGCACACCGGTGTCCCAGGGCACCCAGATGTCCAGGACACCCAGATATTTGCATCACCCCCACCTCAGGGGACCTAGTCTTACAAGTGACACAGTTATCCATGAGATCCTCTACCCCTGGGGACCCAAATGTCATCCCCCCCCATCCCAGGTGACCCAGGCATCCTGGGTTTCCAGGACACTCAAGTATCTGGGTCACCCTCACCCCAGAGCACCCAGGTGTCCTGGTCACATCCAGCCCGGGGCACTCAGGTGTCCCAGGGGACCCAGACACTCGAGATACCTCCACCTCAGGGGACCCCAGTGTCCCAGTGCCCCCAGCGCCCAGGCACCTGGGTGGAATGGAAGCCACCACCGTAGTTGCTTTGCTCACGGAGCCACTGGGCCGCCCGGCTGGCTCCAGCAACATCACGGCTCTGCAGCAGCGCTAGGAGCCCGTAGGCCGTTGCCTCCACGGTGGCTGCAGGACCCCCGGCCGGCCAGAACTGTGCCCGACCTCCTGCCAAGGGACAGTGCCCATGGGCAGGGTCATCAGTGCCTCAGGGCACCCAAAACCACTACCCCATGGGGAGAAGGAACCCCGGAGCGACCAACCAATGTATAGGATCCACCAACCCATGGGGACCCAGGTGTCCAGGTGCCACCAACCCATGGGGACCCAAGAGTGTAGGATCCAGCAACCCAAGGGGACCCAGGCATCCAGGTGCCACCAACTCGCGGGAAGAAAGTTGTTCTGAAGCCACGAACCTCTAGGGACTCAGGTATTGGGGTGACCCCATGGGGACCCTGCCGTGTGCTCACCGTGGGCCTTTCGGGCCAGGCGACGCAAGCGCTCCACAGCAGGTTGTGGCCCTGGGGGGCTGGTGTCCACCAGTGCCAGTGCGTAGGCTGTGATGGCTGTCCCAAAGGTCCCCAGCGTCTCCACGTGGCCTCGCAGGAAGGTGGATGCCTGGGACAGTGCCTTGTCCTGCGGCACCAGGACATGGGATGTGAGGACACTGGGACATGGGGGGACATGGGAACATGGGGGGACGTGGAGGACACTGGGGACACATAGGGTATGGGGGGACACTGAGGGACGTGGGGACATATGGGGAACATGGAGATATGTGGGTGCATGAGGACACGGGGGACACTTGGGGGACATTGGGGCATGAAGGACATGGCGGATATGGCAGGGGTGTGAGGACAGGCGATGGCACCCAGGACTGGGACTTGGGGACATGGGAGAGTGGGAACACCATGCAAGGACAGACAGGGGGACACCACAGGGGACACATGAGGGATGCACGAAGACGCCCATAGGACCAGAAGGGGACACAGGGGCATTGAGGACACAGGGAGGGGACATGGGGACATTGAGGACACAAGGAGGGGACATGGGGACATGGGGAGTGGATGGGAACACACCAGAAGTTGCTGCTCGGGGCTGTCCGGGGGCAGGAGCACGCGAGTGCTGTGCAGGGCCACCACCACGAAGGCCGTCAGGGACACAGTGGCCTCCGGGCCTGGGTCTCCAACACCGCCCTGGGGACACAGGAACAGCCAGGTGGGGGTGACACAGGGTCTCATGGGGGGTTGCAGTGGGAGGGTGCATAGGGACGTTGTATGGGGACATGGCGTGGGGAGTTTGCTTGGGGATTGCAGAGGGACACTGCATAAAGACGCTGCATGAGGACATTGCATGGGGGGGACATTGCACAGGGACACTGCACGGGGACATTGGATGGGGACATGGCATGGGGACACTGCATGAAGACATGGCATGGGGCAGTGACACAGGAACCCTGCACAGTGCCTTGCACGGGCTCTTTGCACAGGCACATTGCAAGGGGACATCGCGCAGGACCCTCACGTGGGGACATCACAGAGGAGCGTTGTCCCAGCAGGAAGACGTCACCCAGGGACGTGGCATGGGGACATGAGACAGCCGGCGGCCACCCACCTGCATCTCGCGGTGTATCACGGGTTCGTGCTCCACGAAGGCACCGTCCGGCCGCTGCTGTCCCAGCAGCCACCGCAGGGACGCGCTGGGGCCATCGGCATCCACCGGCAGGTAGGGACGGGACAAGGCCATCACGCGCAGCACCAGTGCCGTCAGCCTGCACCAGAACAGCTGCCACCGTGTCCCCATGTCCCCCTCCAACATGTCCCCAAGTCCCCGCGTCCCTCCTCACCAGGTGCTGCTACCCCGGTGTAGCCAGGCCCCGTAGGAGCCGTCGCTCTTGCGGAAGCTCTGCACCCGCTCGAAGCCTGTGGGGACATGGGGGACATTAGGGACATGGAAGTCACCACTTCCACCCCCCCTTGTAGGGCACTGCACCCTCCCAGAGCATTGCACACCCCATAAGGCATTACACCCACCCCACAGCATTGCACACCTAATTACATACCCTATAGAGCATTGCACACCCCGTAGAGCATTGCAGCCCCCCTCACAGAGCATTGCAACCCCCTCAAAGGGCACTGTACCTTCTCGGTGCTCCCACGCCCCACTCACCCTGTTGTAGGGTGCTGAGGCCACGTTCGCGGTGCCCAGCAGGCAGCTGCGCCCACCCCTCACTCTCGTCCAGGTAGCGCAGAGTGGCAGCAGCAGGGGCCAGCACCATCAGCGACTGCTCCCCGCAGCCCCGGGGGGCCCGCAGCAGCGTCCCCTTCACCCCCAGAGCCCCCTGCAGTGCCCAGCCCGGCACCCGGCCTGTGCAGGGCAGGGGACACGGTGACAAGCATGGGGACGTGCACGGGGGACATGGGGACGTGCATGGGGACGTGCACAGGGACATGGCGATGTGCATGTGGGCATGGGGGAATGAAGGGACACAGACACCCGTGGGACATGCACAGGGACACACACAGGGGCATGGGGACACACATGGGGGCATGGTCACACACATGAATATGGGGACACACAGGGGCAAGGACAGAGATACGATCAGTGCTGGACACCAAATGTCCCCACCACCCTATCCCCATGTCCCGCTGTCCTCACATACCCCTGTCTTCACATCTTCCTATCCCTGTGTTCCCCATGTCCCCTTGGCCCTCCTGTCCCCACCACCACGTACTGCCTGTCCCTCCCCTGTGGCCCCACCATGTTCCCAATGCCCACCCCCAAGTCTCCCTCCCCCATCCCCACTACTTGTCCCCTGTCCCCATGTCCCCACCATGTCTCTACCCCCACATCCCCAACAGCCATACCCCCATGTCCCCACCATCCCCACATCCCCATGTTCCCACCTCCATGTCTGTATGGTCCCCATGTCCCCACCCTATGTCCCCACCCCCATGTCCCCACTTGTCCCCATGTCCCCACCACCAGATGCCCACCACATCCCCACCACCATGTCCCCACCATGTTCCCAACACCCAGCGCCACGTCCCCACCATAACTCCATCCCTGTACCCCCGTCCCCATGTCCCCAGCACCCATCCCAATGTCCCTGCACACCGGTAACGCGGATGCTCATGCTGAAATCCCCATCGGGGACAATCTCGGCTGGGACGTCCCCTGGCAGCTCCAGGGTCCTGCCCTGCTTGTCTGTAGGGACAATGCATCAGGGGGTCCACAACCCTGTGTGTCCCCCCAGTCACCTGGGTCCCCAGGCCGGACCCTTGGGTCCTCAGACTGACTGTTGGTGTCCAGGACGTAGCTGGTCTCCTCCAGGTGCAGCTCACCCTCGGGCTACGAGAACAGGCATCAGTAGGGACCCTGTGTCCCCAGGCACCAAAGGGACCCCAGTGTCCAGGGTCACCAGTGACCCTATGTCCCCAAGCACCAAGGGAACTCCAGTGCCCAGGGCCACCAAGGACCTGGTGTCCATGAGCCTCAAGGGACCCCAGAGCCCAAGGCCACCAAGAACCCTGTGTCTCCAAGCCCCAAGGGGACCCCAGTACCCAGGGTCACCAAGGACCTGGTGTCCCCCAGCCCCGAGGGAACCCCAGTGTCCAGGGGACACAGGAGGAGATGCCGGTGACCAGGAAGGGATCCAGGTGACAAGAGGGGCCACACCTCCAATTCTCACCTCGACGTGGAGGATGTGGGTGACACGGTCACTCAGCCCCCAGGGCCCGCGGGCGGTGATAGTGATGGGGACGTCCCCAGGGCGCAAGGCCACCAAGGTGAGGGGCACAGCAATAGCCCCCCCAGGAGGCAATTCTAGGTCCTGGGGGGCTCCATCCAACGCCGCACATATGCCCTCAGCCACTGACAGCGTCACTGTCACCTGCATCACCATAACTGTCACCCACGCTGCCACCAGACGGGTAGGAGCTAAGGGTGGTTATGGGGCAGCATATGTCTAAGGGTCAAAAGGGTACAAAAGGATGCACGGGGCACAAGGGGTATCTGTGTGTCACAGGGGTTATCTATAGGGCAGAAGGGATATCTGTAGGGCAGGGGGTGTCCAGGGAGCACAGAGGGATATCTATGGGGCAGAGGGGTGATCTTTGGGGTATCTGTTGGAAGGAAAGGGGTGTCTACGGTACAGTGGGTATGTATGGGGTTAGAAGGTTGTCTATGGGGAAGCAGGGTTATCTATGGTACAAGGGGTACCTCTAGGGTAGAAGGAGTTTCTGTGGGGCAGAGGGTGCCTATGGGGTGTCCGGAGGGTTTGGGGAGCTCACGTTGATGCTGCGGGGCAGCCTGCTGTGGATGAGGGGCTGGAGCTGCAGCTGCTCACGGGGTCGGGCGCTGGGGGGCAGCCGCAGGGCCACGCGCACGTCCTGTGTCACCGTCACCCGCTGGGGCACAGCCACGCACAGCCCTGCAAGCACCCCATCACCACGGGGCAGGGACACACACGTGGACACAGGGGATATGGGGGGCATGGAGACATGGGGGAGATGGAGACAGCATAGGGACATGGGGGTGATATAGGGGGACATGGGTAACATGGGGGGACATGGGAGACATGGGGACACCGTAGAGACATGGGGACACCATGGGGAACAAGGGATGGTTGCATGACATGGGGTGGGCATGTCACTGTGGAGCGACCGGGGCAGCAGGAAAGGGTGACATGGGGATACCATGGGGGGTGGGGACATGGACGGGACAAGTCACCACGGGGGAAGCAACCACATGGGGCCACCAAGGCAGGTGGTGACACTCACCCACGCCGGGAATGATGGCAACAGCCTGAATCTCCCAGGTGGTGATGGAGTCTGGGAGCAGCACCGAGATCCTGGGGACACAGAGATGTGGGACACAGGGACACGGGGACACAGGGACATGGGGCTGAGGGGACATGGGGTGACCCTGCAGTCGCACCGAACGGAGCCATCGACAGGGACCCTGCGCCACAGCCAGCTCTCGGGGAAGAAGCTCCGGGTCGGCACCTCCTCGTCGTCCAGCAGCTGCTGCTCCAGCGCCGCCTCCAGCACTGCAGGACCCAGGGAAACCCATGTCCTCAAGCACTGCCACCTGCAGGGTCCCTGCATCCAGGACGTCCCCACATCCTGCCACCCATGGGGACCCCAAATCTGGGATGTCCCCATGCACCACCACCCGTGCTCACCTCGTGCCAACCCCCCGGCCTGTCCCCGCCGGCGCAAGTCACGGGCCAGGGCACAGCAGTGCAGGAAGGCGTCACGACACCCCCCGGCCGTTGTCACCCGCTGTCCCCGCTGGTCACACGTCGCCCGCACTGGCAGCGCCGTCGCCCCGTCCCGGCAGCAGCGCCATGTCGCTGGGTCACCCCGCCACTGCCCCGCTGTGGGAACGTGTTTGGTGCAGGGGACACAGGGACACAAGGGGACATGGGGACAGGTCAGGGTGACACCACAGGGACACATGGGGATGGGGGTCATAACCTTTGGGACACATGGGCAATGCCACATGTAGTGGGGACATCTGTGACACCACGGGGACACATGGGGGTGCATGGGGACATGTGGGTAACACCATGAATATGACTGAGGGAGACACACGGAGACACAAGTGACACCTCAGGGATGTGTGGGGATGTGAGTGATGCCACAGAGACACATGGGGACACAGGTGACACCATGGCCATGGCATGTGGGGACAAGGATGGGGATGGGGACAAGGATGGGGATGGGGACCTGGGAACAGGGATGGGGCCAAGACCACTGCTGAAAGCCACCACTGAGGGGGACAGGGCGAGGGGCTGGGACTGGAGGGCAACGGGGGGACACAGGGACACAGTGACACAGGGACAAGGTGACATTGAACACTCACCCTTCTCCTCCAGCAGCTGCAGCAGCTCCAGCGAGCGCCGCTGGCGGGGAGGAGACGGGGGACAGCCAGGACCTAGGGAGGGGGACATCCAGTGCCACCATATCCTCATGCCCCCCAGGTCCCCATGACTTCTTATGTCCCCACATCTCCCCTATCCCCATGTCCCAATGTCACCACGTCCCCCCCCCCATATAGCCCTGTGTCCCCCATGTCCTCATGTCACAATGTCCCCACGTCCTCCCGTATCTCCATGTCCTCCGTGTCATGTCCCTCCCCCGTTCCATGCCCCTATAACCCCATGTCCCCCATGATGCCTTTGTCCCATTGTCCCCATTTGCCCCCCATCCCCCATATCCTCATGTGCTTCCAATGTCCCCCAATGTCCCCCATATCCTCCCATGTCCCTCATGTACTCCACATTGTCCCATGTCCTTCGTGCCCCCCATGCCCCTCCATGTACCCCCAAACCCATCCATGTCCCATGTCCCCCTATGTCCCCCACACCCTCCCATGTCCCCCATGTCCTCATCCCTACTCACCTGGCCCCAGGGGAGGGGTAGCTCCCCCCATCCCCAGCACAAGTCCCGCAGCCCTGAAGATCCCAGCAACATTGGCCCCCCCCCCAGGGTTGCACCCCAAATCGCTGCTGCCCAAAACTGCCTTCACCTGGAAGACATGGGAGGAATCACCCCATGTCCCCAGTGTGTCCCCAACATATTCCCAGGGCCCCATTTCCACAAGGCGTCACCAAAGAGTCCTAGGGGTTTAGGGGATCCTAGGAGGGTCCATGGGATTTAGAGGGGACTGAGGAGTTTTGAGGGTCCCTGGGACTTGGGGTTCTGGGTTTTGGGGAGCATGGGGATTTGGGGCATCACCATCAGGTTTGGGGGGTGGTGGGCTTTGGCGTCACTGAGGGTTTGGGTTGCCAGGTTTGGAGGTTTTAGGGAGCTGGGTTTGGGGTTCCCAGGGTTTAGGGATTTGGAAGTCCTGGGTTTGGGGGGTTTAAGGGTGTGAGGTTTTGGGGTATTGGATTTCAAGGTGCATGGTTTGGGGGTTTGGGGGAGATCTGAGTTTGGTATCCTCACAGCTTTGGGATTTTAGGGTGCCAGTGTTTTTGGCAGGTGCTTGGTTTTGGGGACCCTGGGTTGGGGGGGGCTGTTTTTTTTAAGTATTGGGGTGCTGGGATTCAGGTTTTAGGACAGCGAGTTTTGGGGTCCCCAGGGCTGGAGGGCTGTGAGGTTTGGGGGTGTCAGGTTTAGGGACGAGGGTATAGGGGGTTGGGGGTCACCAGGACTTGGGGCTTTGGGGTGCTGGGTTTGCAGGGGGAGGCGGGTCCCCAGGTTTTGGGGGTGCAAGGTGCGGGATTTGGGGTGTCACCTTGGTGGGGCCAAGGCGGTGCCGCGGCTCCAGCGCCAGCACGGCCGTGTCGATGGCCCCCAGGGCCACAGTGGTCGGGGTCCCCGTGGTCACCGTTACCGTCAGGGAGGCTTGGGGACGCAGGTCGGGCCCTGGTGGGGGCACCACTACCCGTACCTGCCACAGCCCCACCACTCCACTGTGAACCAGTATGGGCATTGGCAGCTCCCAGTGCTCCCAGTGCCCCCCTCCAACTCCCAGTGTGTGCCCATTGCCCCGGTGCTCTTAGTGCACTGCAGCTGTTATCAGTGCTCCCAGTGCTCCCAGCTGTTCCCAGTAGCCCCAGTGCTCCCACTGCCCCAGCAGCTCCTGATCTCCCCTGCTGCCCCTCCTGTGCTCCCAGTATGTCCCCAGTGCCCCCAGCAGCTCCTAGTCCCTCCCCCTAGTACATTCCAGTGCTCCCAGAAGCTCCTAGCCCCCTCCCCCCAGTACATCCCAGCACCCCTAGCAGCTCTGAGTCCCCCCCCACTCCCAGTACATCCCAGTGCCCCCAGTAGCACCTGGTTGTCACAGGAATCCACCACGGGTGCCACCCAGCTGGCTGCCACCAGCTGCCCCCCAGCCTGGAAGAAGGCGACAACGCGGAGCCGCGGGACCATGGCGGGTGTCACTGGCAGCGTCACCTCCGTCACCGTCCCCCGCTGCACCGCCAGGGCTGCCACCAGCCGCCCCCGTGCCACTGCCTGCGTGGGGACATGGGGACAGGGGGAGAAGGGACAGGGGGTGGTCAGCGGGGAGCCCCCCAGGGGTAATGCAAGGGGCACCCGTGCAACATGTGGCATGCAGCATATGGCATGCAGATGTTGCACATGCAGCATGCAGTGCGTGATATGCACATGCAGGATGGTGTGTGCAACATGCACTCACAACACACTGCAACACACACACGTGCAACACAGATGCATGCTTGACAGCACGCGCACACAACATGCAATGCACAGCATGCACGTGGGACATGCAACATGCATGCAACACCATGTGCAACGTGCAGCATGCAACCCACAACATGCACTCATGGCAGCATGCAGTCATAACATGCACTGCACGCCATGCACATATGACAACATGCACGCATAACATGCAATGCATGCCATTCACACGGGATCTGCACATGGGACGTGCACCACGCATGTGACACAGTGTTCATCGTGCACCATGCAACCCAACGCATGACATGCATGCGTGACACACGTGCATGCACCCTGCAACACGCACATGCAGTACATGCCATGCACCCACACCCACTCATGGCTCCGGGGGCTTGCGGAGGTCCCTGGGGAAGTCCCAGGGGGTCCCCATAGAGTGAGGGGGTGGATGCCAAGGGGTTGTGTGGATGTGGGGCTCACCAGCACGTGGAAGAGGCGGGGGGCCGGAGGGGGGCCCAGGTCACGCAGTTGCAGCCTCAGCACCTCCCCAGGTTGCAGGGGTCCCCCAGGCCCCCCCAGCAGCAGGAAGCGCCCCGAAACTGCTTCCACTGGGGCCACCGTCATCTGCGCCTGGGCTGGGGGGCCATCTGCCTGCCCTGCTTCAACCTGGGAGGGGGACCCAGAGCACTCATGGCAGCAGGTCCCCTTCCTTCTCCTGCAGTCCTCCCACAGCACCCCATGCTCCCAGTGTCCCCCCGTGTCCCTGTGGCCTCCGTGTCCCCCTGTCCCCTTATCCCTATATTCTCATGTCCCCATGTCCCTGTGTCCCCCCATGCCCTCATACATCCATGCTCCTATGTCCCTATACCCCTATTTATCCATATCCCCATGTCCCAATGTCCCCCCATTTCTGCATGTCTCCCCATATCCCCATGTCCCCCCATGTCCCCCCATGTCCCCTTGTCCCCGTGTCCCCACTCACACTGAGGTCGAGGGCCGTGGCTCCGCTGGGGACGTTGATGGGGATGATGATGGCACCGGTGGTGTCAGCCCGAAACTCGATGGGGGGTGGGGAGGTGGCCCCTGTCACCCCCACTGTCACCCGCACCCCAATGCCAGGGGCCGGCTCCCCCCCAGCATGCAGCACCCGGCCCTGTGGGGAGTAGTGCTCACACCAGGATGTGCACAAAGCCTTGCTCAAGTGTGCATAACTGTGCATCCCCTTGCACGAGCATGCATGAGTGTTCCCCAGGCCTTGCACGGCCTCGCACAAGCATGCACAAGAATGCACCACCACCCAGAAGGGCTTGCATGGCCATGCACAATCCTGCACAAGAATGCACCACCAACCTACGGGGGCTTGCAGAGCTGTGCACAAGTACGCACCAGCTCCCACAAGCACGCACTGCTAAGCACAAGAGCTCGCATGGCTTTGCACAAGCATGTGCGAGGGCTCGCACATTTCCCACGAGCTCACCAGGAGGGTGAAGGGGGCCCCCGGCACGAAGAACCGGGGTGTCTCAGCCAGATCCAGGGCCCAGGGCGAGGCCACCAGGGCCACCGTCGCCTCCTGCTCCACCAGCTCCCCGCCTGCACCCGGTGTCACTGGGGTCAGCCTAGGGGGGACTCGAACCCATGGCCCCGCAGGGAACACAGGCCCCTTGTGGCCCACCCCAGCCACGCCCCCACCACCCTGGCCACACCCCCACAGTTTCATAGCCACGCCCCCTGCCCACACAAAGCCCCACCTCCTCCCTAGCCCCGCCCCTAACCATGCCCCTACCTTGTGCCTCCACCACCGCGACTGCCAGGCGCAGGCGCGCCCCCTGCAGGTCAGGCAGTGCCACGCCAAGGGCGCGGGCCATGGCCAGCAGGGACACATCCAGGGAGGCGTGGCCTTCGGTCACCTAGCAACAGTGGGCGGGGCCAGGAGCGGTGGGCGGGGCCGGCAGCGAGGGGCGGGGCCAGGGAATGAATGGGGAATTGAGGTGCGCCCACGTTTAGGGGGTCCCAAGGATGGGAGGGGTGAGGGGGATTTGGGGTCTTCCCCCCGGGGTCCCGGGGTGATGCTCACCCGGCTCTGCTGCTCCAGTCCCCGTAGGAATTGTCCCCCTCGGCCCCCGGCGTTGAGGAGCCCCACACGCAGCTGCGCGTGGCCCCCCACGGGCGCCCCATCAGGGAACCTGGGGTTCCGCAGAGGTCAGTGGGGCCAGGGGGTCCCCAAAGGTTAATAGGGTCGGGGGAGGGGTTGGGGAGGATTGCAAAGGTCATCCAGGGTCAGGGGGTGGTTAGGGTTAGGGGAGGCCCAAAAGGGCAGGGGAGGCAGCTAGGGAGGATCAGGAGGGATGTGGGGTCCCCTGGAGGGTTTGGGGGGCTGAGGAAGCCCAAAAGAGGTCCTTGGGGTGGGTTGTTCATTGGAAGGGGTTGGGGTCCTGGGAGGGTTTGAGAGAGATGGGGAGGGCTGGAGGGGGTCCAGAAGGGCTTTGGGCGGGTCCTGGGGGAGCTTTGAGTGGTCGTGGGGGCTGTTGGGAGTCACAGAGGGGATTTGGGGGGAGCAGGTGGGGGGGATTAGGGATATCATAGGGGATACCATGAGGATGGGGGTCATAGGGGAGTTGGGGATTTGGGGGAGGGGGGTTGGGAGGCCCATGGGTATCTTTAAGGGGGTTTTGAGGGGGTCTCGGTGGGGTTGTGTTCATACTGGACGTGGAGGTGGACGCGCAGCGGGGCCAGCTCAGGCTTGCTCAGCACCACGAAGCGTGGTTCAGGGCGGATCCGCACCTCGAAGCCGGGCAGGGCTGGGGGTAGCAGTGGGGTTTTGGGGGGATGCAGACATTAGGGGCAGCCCTGAGCTGGCACCGGTCCCCAGCCAGGGGTCCATTCCCTTCCCCCAAACCCCCACTCACCGTACTTGCGCACCTCAAAGGCAGCTGAGCCATTGGTGTCCGGGCTGGCCGCCAGCTGGGCCCGCACATGCCACGTCCCTGGCCTGGGGGACGTGGGGGCACCTGTAGCCCCTATGGTCCCCTATAGCCCCCCCCCCCCCACCATAGCCCCCTATAGCTCCTTTAGCCCCCTATAGCCCTTATGGTCCCCAATAGACCCCATAGCCCCCCTATAACCTCTATGGTTCCCAATGGCCCCAATATCACCCCTATAGTCTCCAATAGCCCCTTTATGGCCCCTATGGCCTCAGTGGTCCCCTATAAGCCCTTTATGGCCCCTATAGTACACCAATAGCCCCATAGTTCCCACACCCCTCCAGCTCGCCTGCAGCCCCCTTTAGCTCTGCCTGTAGCCTCCCATATTCCCCTCTAAACCCCATGGCTCCTAGTTCCCTACAGCCTCCATAACCCCCAGCCACCTATAGCCTTTCTACATACCCCATAGCCCCTAACCCCTTGTAGCCCCATGACACCCCACTGTGCACAACTAAGCCTCACCAGTACCCCCAAAATACAGCCCCCATAACACTCCACAAACCTCTACAGCCCTCCCCAGCCCCCTATAGCCCCACAGCCCCATATCCCCCCATACCACCCCACATCCCACTACCATCCCATGTCCCCCTACTGCCCCATAACCCCCCCAGCCCCATATTCCCCCCGACTCCACTCACAGGGCAATGTCAGGCAGCACCAACTGGTCGCTCAGAACCGTGTCCAGGGGCACCCGCTGTCCCTCCCGCACTCGTGCCCCCAGAGGGTTCTGGGGAGAACAGAGTGAGTATAGGGCCCACACTCAGCCCCAAAAACCCAGCTCTCTAGGGTCACATGAATCCTCTAGGGCTGTCCCACAGCCCCAGCCTTATAGGGCCACCCCAGCCTCATAGGGTTGCTCCATAACCATAACCCATATAGGGCTACCCTAGCACAACAGCCCCAGCTCTCTAGGCTGTCCCAGCCCCATAGGGCCACCCCACAGCGACAGTCCCATAGGGCCCATACCGTGATGGTGACCAGGATGGGTTCGGGGTTTGGCTGCAGCTCAGGATCCATGGAGAAGACACGGAAGCGCACTGGGGACATAGGGCCATATGGGAACATGCAGGGTTTATGGGGTTGTAGGAAGCTCTATGGGCTGCAGGGTAATATATAGGGGTGCAGGAAGATCTTTGGGGGTGCAGAACAATATGTAGGGACATGTGGAGCTATAAAAGGTACAGGGGGTTGTAGAAGAATATAGGAATATAGAATATAGGAAGCTCAGGGAGGGGTATGTGGTGCAAGAAGGGATATATAGACATGCAGAGAGCTGTATGGGGGATGAATGAGGGCATCTGGGGATATTTGGGTGGATTGGGGGTGTATGGGATGGAAATGGATTTGGGATGAATTGGAGGGGTTGGGAGGTTTTGAGCTGATTTGGGTGGATCGGGAAGATTAGGGGTGGATCGAGGGGATAAGGGCTGATTGAAGGGGAAATTGGGTGGATTTGGGATAGATTTGGGGGGTTGGGAGCATTCTGAACAGCTGGAAAGCTGGATTCTGAAATTTGGAAAGGATTTGGGAGATTTTTTTTGGCTTTGGCTGCATGGGGGACATAGGGATGGATGGGGGAGGGGTGTGGGTAGATCTGGGATGGATGTGGAGTGTAGGGGCTCACCTGTCTGGCGGGGGGCGTAGAGGGGTTTGTCAGTCTGGATGATGAGGTGGCCTCGGGACCCCCCCAGGGCCACCCGCACCAGCCGGGTGCCAGGGGGGGGCAACTGGGCACTCCGGGCCTCCAGGAGCAACACCCGGCCCCTGGCCGCCCGCAGCACCCCACAGCGCTCAGCCTGCGCCGGGGTGACCTGCAGAGGACATGGGGACATTGGGGAGACATGGAGGGATGCAGGGAACATGGGGACAGGGAGAGAATGGGGACATGGCAGGGGGGATATGGAGGGATATGGGGGGACATAAAAGATAGGGAGGACCGTGGGGGACATTGGGGACACAGGAGACATAGGGGAGCATGGGGGCGACATGGGGACATAGAGGCAAATGGAGAATGTCCCAGAGCCCTTGTGCTCCACAAGGATGTCCCCCAGTGTCCCCCCCAGTGCCCATGTCCCTGTACCTCAATGTGCAGGAGCTGGTTGAAGTCATTGTGAGATGTAAGGGAGAAGGCGGTCGGGGGTGCACAGGGCCCTGCCCCACGGCTGCCTTCAGGCCACGCTGTCACTGTCCCAGTCACTGGCCCCGCAGCTGCTACCAGCAGTCCCAGGGGTGTCCCGAGAGCCGCACGCCGAGGGGCCACCAGCACGAGCCTGGGGGAGCCATTGCCTGACCCATGGCTGTCACCAGCCCCAGAGCTGCTTCTTAACTTCCCCTGTCCCACGGGTATCCCACAGTCCCTCACAGACCCCATAAGCACCCTGATGCCACATAGGGGTCCATAACCCCTCCCAGATCCCATTGGAACCCCATACAGCCCCAGACCTGTAAACCCCCCCCCCCCCCAGTCACACAGGTGCACAGTAATCCCTCCCCCCCCCCATTCCCACAGGGCTCCATAGCACCCCAACCCCTTAGCTGCCCCATTGTTGCGACCAGTCTCACAGCCTCCCCAGCCCCATAGCTGCCCCATAGCCTCTCACAGACCTTGTAGGGCCTTCATAGTCCCCACCAGCCCCGCAGATGCTCCATGGTCACCCCCAACCCCATAGCCCACCCTCCCAGTCCCATAGGTGCCTCATAGCCCCATACTCAGGGTCCTGGGCCTTGCCCCCCATCAGTGGCAGGAAGAAGAGGAGGAGGAGGAGGCCAAAGGCCCTGCAAGACCCCATGGCGCTGATGTTGTGAGGCTGCCAGGGCCAGGGACACAAGGACACTGGAGTGAGGGTCAATCATTAACTGGGGTGGGCGGGTGTCTAGGTTCGCCCACAGGCCCCAAGGGCATCGACCCTGATCAAGGATCCACGTGGATGAGGGGAAACAGCAGGGGAGGGTGCTGTGGGGAAATGGGATATGAGGGTCTACGGGGCAGTGGGGGGGAAGAGGGGGACTATTGGGCTGTGGAGGGTATGGGACCCTAAGAGGCAGGGGGAAAACGAGAAACCTATGGGCATGGGGGAAATGGGTGTCACATGGGGTCTCTGAGGTGCAATGGGGAGAAGCTCATGTTCTAGACCATCTAAAGAAACTAAAGGTGCACAAGGCCATGGGTCCTGATGAGGTGCATCTGTGGGTCTTGAAGAAACTGTTGAATATATCTGCTAAGCCACTGTCCATTATAATTGAGAAGCTGTGGCAGTCCAATGAAATTTCCACTGACTGGAAGACAGGAAACATAACCCCCATTTTTAAAAAGGAAAAAAAAGGAAGACCCAGGGAACTACAGGCCAGTCAGTCTCACCTTTGTGCCCAGCCAAACAGTGGAGCAGATTCTCCTGGAAATTAGCCAAGGCTGATGGAGGTCACAGAGGTGATTGGTGACCTGGATGGACACAAGTCTCACGTGCAAGCGAGTGGCACCAGGCACGCTGTATTTCCACTCCTGGTGGTCCATCAGTGGTAGGATTTGTTTACTAAAATGCACTCCTGATTGACAGGACACCCACCATTGCAATCACAAATAAAATAGCTTCACAGAAGAACCTGTCTGAAGAAAATTATTTGACATCTTTCTCACAGAAATGGCCCCCAGCTGGGTCCTGCTTGATGCTAGCTGCCCCCGCTCCTGGGGACAATTACTAATTAACTGTTTTTGTTAACTCTTTTTTATGTGAAAGGACGTAAAATGTGCACTTTGACGAAGTGATCCAGGCCAAGATGATCCAGACCTTACAGATATCAAAGGGAAGACTCATCAAGGAATGATTTAATCAGAACAACCATTTTGTAAGGTAAAACCCAACATACTCCCCTGAATGTGGAACTTGTTAAAAACATTTGGCTGAAAAACAAAGATAAGAGTATCATAATGGGAACTGTCTGTAAATTAACCCAGGGGGGTGCGGGGTCCTTTTTTTTCTTTTTGTGTGGGGGGCATCCCCATTCCCCACCCCATGCTGACCGCAGCACTTCTGCGTCACGCAACCCTTGGGACCACATCTCTCCTCAGGATGGCAACCGGTGACATCAGGCGAGCTTCCAGCTGCCATTGGGGGACAAAGTTTCCATGGTGCCCACAGGACGGGGCAATGGGAGTGGGGCTGCTGCTGCTGGGGGTCCTGGTTTGAGCCCAGCAGCATGGGCTGCATGGGGCTGGGATGTTCAGGGGCTCCTGCTTCCCCTCCTGACGGGCCTAATTTCCCCCAGAGCCACAGCCCAAATTGATCCCCATTGTGGTGGAGATGGCTGTCACCACCACGTCTGTCATCGCTGCCCTGGCTGGATTTGCTGTCTGGAAGAGCAAGCAGGCAGGTGAGGTAGAGGGGTGTGGGAAGAAGGCAGGGGCTGGAGGGGCTGTATGAGGAGCTGGGGCACCTTTGGGAGGCCCCCAACCTGGCTGTGACATGTGGCTGGTGCTGATGCTACAACGTGGCATCAGGTGAATGATGGAGGCAGCGATGTCCCCAGCCTCTGCCCATCACTAGGGCAGTCTTGGGGCTCTTGGTTTTTCTTGGTGCTCCCAGCATAGCAGTGCTGCGTTCTGCTTGTGGTGCTGCTGCCCTTCTATGACAGCTCCTGGGCTGGGGCTCACGGCCACTTCTCTCTTGCAGGCAATGACGGGGGATCCAACAGCTCAAATGCAGGCACAGAATGAGGTTGTGGGTTCAGGCAGGAGCCCCAGGGAGGTTTTGGGGTCCCAGCTTGTCATGTCCCCTTGTGGTACCTGCAATCAGGGTGTTGCTGTGCCCAACTGATCCATGGCTTCCCTGGGAAAACTCTCAGAGTAGTAGGTTTGGGACAGGGACATGGCCCCATATGACACTGCCTCTTTTTGTTCCTGCACGGGGCAACCCCAGTGTCTAACCACTCTGCTTCAGCCCATGAGGGACCAGAAGGCCCCCTGTGTACTCTGCACTGCATCTGGATGTGGCCCTGTTCCCTCAACCTCTCGCATCTCCTATCTGCTACCACAAGAGCAATGCCACAGCATAATTGCATCTGCAAGGCCTTCAAACAAAATAAACAGCCCAATGATTTGCTGATTCACCACAAACTGTGCCTCATGACTGACCTGGACAGGCGGGTAGGAGCGGCTGGGCAAGGTGCTCGTGTCCCAGCCCGGTTGTCTGATTGCACCTGGTTGTCTTGATTGTCTCATTACACACTGGGCAACGCGTCCCAACTTTCTATCGCACAGCACCGTTTCAGACACATCCTGGGTGCCCCACTGCTGCACGGATGGCCCTGGGGTCCCCGTGCATTGCTGAAGCCCACAGCAAGGCCGGGAAAACTGTGGAGGGGAGAGGCGAAGGGCGGGAGGGTAGGGGGTGGGCAGGGTTTCCGTGTACCCAGCACTCACCTGTGCCGCCTAAACACCTGCAGTGCTTTCGCTTTCCACTTTCACTCCTTGGAACCTGCCGGGACAAAGCAGGGCCATGGGGCTGCTGTGGTCGGGGGGCATCCGCCTGCTGCTGCTGCTCCTGCTGCTGCTGCTGCTGCTGGGGGTCCTGGGCGGGGCGGCAAGAGGTCAGTGCATGCGGGCACCGGGCCCCCCGGGCCTCTTCTTCCCCTCCCAGGCCACCTGGGCTCGGCCTCCCCTCCGGGCTGCCCCTCAGCCGCCCCTGTTCCCACAGAGCCCCACTCCCTGCGCTATTTCCACACCATGGTTTCGGACCCGGGCCCGGGGTTGCCACAGTTTGTGGCCGTGGGGTCCGTGGACTGGGAGGTCTTTGTGTACTACGACAGCGAGACCCGGAGAAAGGTGCCCTGGGTGGACTGGATTGTGGCCCATATGGATCAGCAGTACTGGGACAGGGAGACGGAGACCTCATGGGGGAGTGAGCAGATTTTCCACGTGGGCCTGGACACACTGCGGGAGCGCTACAACCAGAGCAGGGGTGAGAGCAGGCTGGGCCACAGCTCTGCAGGTTGTGGGAGCAGGTGCTGTGGCAGGGGTGGGGGGGTCCCCAGCCCCACTGAGGGGGCCCTGCCCACATGCTACTGCCCCAGCCCTGGCCATGTTGTTTAGTCCCTGCTGGTGTTGCTGTCACGGGGCTCTCAGCCACCCTGTCCTAGCACCACAATGCTCCTGGTGCCTTGTCCCACACCCAGAGGAGTGCTTCGAGACCCAACCCAGCCTCTTGCCACCCCCACACTACTCAGAAACCCCTGTCCCGGAGCTGGGGAGCTCCAGGTCACCCCCCTCCCAGCCCTTCCACATCCCCACAGCAGTCACAACATCCAGAGCCAGAGGGGCGCCTGCCCCCATTGTCCCAGCCCCTTGTTTTCCCATCGTGCTTTTGGCTCCCAGCACAAATCCTGAGGGATTTCTCCCACCCCATCTGAGCTCACAGCATTGACAAAACCGTAGAAAGCTCTTCCTGCCACAATGTACTGTGGTGTTGGGCCCCTACCCCGTCTTTCAGATTCAAAGAACGGAGGCTGGTTAAGAAGACAGGATGGATGAAGAGTTAGGGAAGAAAGCAAGGCAGGCACTCTGGCTTCGAGAACTGACCCAGTAACTGTGCACAGACCAAGGTAAGAAATAGGAAGCATTGCCTTGGGGGTCAGGCAAGACTTTTGTGTGAAGTGAGTGTGGAGCCCTGATCCATGGTCCCACAGGTCCACAAGGGGCACAGCCGGAGATGGCTGAAGCAAGAGTAGAAGTGAGAAAGGAAGAGTCTCAGGGAAATCTGGAGTATGGAGCTCCCTTACACAGTAAAGAGCTCAGCAGTACACCGGGGAATCTGGTTAACCCGTTAGTTAAGCCGGAAGCCCAGACCCCGCACTGCCCACAGTGCTTTCACTTTCGCTTCTGGCAACGTGCGGGACCGCGATCTACCCGGCGCCCGGTGACGTCATAAGAATTCCTGTTAGTCATTGGTAGAAGCGCGTCGGAGCCACCAATCGCGTCGCGGTATGGTGCCGGAGATTCCGGATGGCTTCGAGCTCCGGCGGCAGCTCGGGGCCCAGCGGAGCCATGGGACCGGGACGGGCGGGGGCCCTGGGCCTCGGCCTGTGGCTGCTGCTGGGGGTCCTGGGCGGAGCAGCGAGCGGTGAGTGGGAGTGGGGCCGGGCCCTCCCGGCACCGGGACCCCCCGGGCCTCCCCTCTCCTCCCCTTCCCCTCTCGGCCCCCTCCGGGCTCGGCCTCCCCTCGGGGCTGCCCCTCTCAGCCGCCCCTGTTCCCGCAGAGCCCCACTCCCTGCGCTATTTCGACACCGGGGTGTCGGACCCGAGCCCGGGGGTGCCGCAGTTCGTGACCGTGGGGTACGTGGATGGGGAGGTCTTCGTGCGCTATGACAGCGAGACCAGGAGGATGGCGCCCCGGGTGGACTGGATTGCGGCCAATACGGATCAGCAGTACTGGGACAGGGAGACTGAGAACTTACAGAGGAGTGAGCAGGTTTTCCACGTAGGCCTGGACACGCTGCGGGAGCGCTACAACCAGAGCAGGGGTGAGAGCGGGCTGGGCCACAGCTCTGCAGGCTGTGGGAGCGGGTGCTGTGGGAGGGGTGGGGGGGTCCCCAGCCCCACTGAGGCCTGGCCCTTCCCCCATGCTACTGCCCCAGCCCTGGCCGTGCTGTTCGGTCCCTGTGTGGTGTTGCTGTCATGGGGCTCCCAGCTGCCGTGTCCCAGCCCCACGATGCTGCTGGTGCCTTGTCCCACACCCAGAGGGGTGCTTCCAGACATAACCCAGCCCCTTGCCACCCCTATGCTGCTCAGAATCCCCTATCCCAGAGCTAGGGGGCTCCAGGCCAACCCCTCCCAGCCCTTCCACATCCCCACAGCAGTCAGGACCCCCAGAGCAAGAGGGTCTCCTGCCCTCCATTGTCCCAGCCCCTTGCTTTTCCCATGGTGCTTCAGGCCTCTACCCCAAACCCTGAGGGATTCCCCCCACCCCATCTCAGCTCCTGGTCACCTCACAGCATTGACAACCCTGTACAAGGCCCTCGCTTCCTGAAAGTACTGTGGTGCTGGGCCCCAGCCCAGTCTTTCAGGGATGCAGCACTCTGGGACAGGGCAGTGTGTGGCACCCTGCATGCGCTGCCAGTGGGGTCTGCACCTCATTAAAGGGCCAGGACTGTGGCTAGCCCCTCACCCCCTGTCCCTCATTGTGTTTCAGGGTCTCACACGTTGCAGCGCATGTATGGCTGTGACCTCCTTGAGGATGGTAGTATTAGGGGGTTTCACCAGATTGGCTATGAAGGAAATGACTTCCTTGCCTTTGACAAAGACACGCTGACGTACACTGCAGCGGACGCTGCAGCACTAATCACCAAGAGGAAGTGGGAGCAGGAAGGGACTGATGCTGAGCGCAACAAGTACTACCTGGAGAACACCTGCATTGAGTGGCTGAGGAAATACATGAGCTTTGGGAAGGACGTGCTGGAGAGGAGAGGTGAGGCTGAGGGGGGATGCAGCACCAGGCTGTAAGCAGGAGCAGGGCCAGTGCAGGGAGCTCAGCCTGGCCCTTGCTGCCACCCCCTTCCCCAGAACGCCCCGAGGTTCGAGTGTCCGGGATGGAGGCCGAAAAGATCCTGACCTTGTCCTGCCGTGCTCACGGCTTCTACCCGCGACCCATCTCCATCAGCTGGCTGAAGGATGGCGTGGTCCAGGAGCAGGAGACCCAGAGGGGGAGCACCGTGCCCAACAGTGACGGCACCTACCATGCCTGGGCCACCATCGATGTCCTGCCGGGGAACAGGGACAAGTACCAGTGCCGTGTGGAGCATGCCAGCCTGCCCCAGCCCGGCCTCTTCTCATGGGGTGAGCCCAGCAGCATGGGATGTGCGGGAATGGAATGTTCAGGGGCTCCCCCTTCTCCTGCTGATGACCCTAATTTTCCCCAGAGCCACAGTCCAACCTGATCCCCATCGTGGTGGGGGTGGCTGTCGCTGTCGTGGCTGTCATCGCTGCCCTGGCTGGATTTGCTGTCTGGAAGAGCAAGCAGGGTAACGTGCCTGGGCAGGTGAGGCAGAGGGGTGGTGGAGGAAGGCAGGGTCTGGAGGGGCTGTATGAGGAGCTGGGGCACCTTTGGGAGGCCCCCAGTCTGGCTGTGACATGTGGCTGGTGCTGATGCTTTGTTCTGTCTGCAGGGAAGAAGGAGAAGGGCTACAATGTGGCACCAGGTGAGTGACAATGGCAGCATTGTCCCGAGCGTCTGCCCAACACTGGGGCAGTCCTGGGGCTCTGGTTTTTCTTGGGGCTCCCAGCATAGCAGTGCTCTGTTCCACTTATGGTGCTGCTGCCCTTCCTGTGCCTGCTGCTGGGCTGGGGCTCACAACCACTCCGCTCTTGCAGGCAGTGACGGGGGATCCAGCTACTTGTGCACAGGTATAGAATGAGGCTGTGGGTTAAGGCAGGAGCCCCAGGGAGGTTTTGAGGTCCCCGCTTGTCATGTCCTTTGTGGACTTTGTGTAGGCACAGTGAGCCTACACGTCAGTACATGAGGGGCCTCTTCTGTCTGAGTGAATTTGTTTGCCAGGACTTGTCACGGAGAAAGAGAATCACAGAGGGGCTGGGGTTGGATGGGAGCCACAAGGATCACTGGGTCCAAATCCTGGGTCCTCAAAGGAAAACGCAAAAAATCAGACCCTGTGTCTGAGAGTGTTAGCCAACTGCTTGAACTCTGGTAGGCATGATGCTGTGACTGGTGCCCTGTGGAGCGTGTTCCAGTGCCTGACCACCCCGTCAGTGAAGAACCTTTTTGTGATATCAATCCTGAACCATCCCGGTTGCAGCTTCAAGCCATCTCCTCAGGTCCTAATCGCTGGTAGCTGTGAGAATGAAAGTTGTCTCTTTGCAGTAGAAACTTCCACTAACCTTGCATATTCAAAAGTGATTGTGCATGCTTAACAGTGGGGGGTATGGTTGTCGTGGTAATGGTTGGTCAAGTAAAACTGTACCTACCTGGTATAGTAATAAGTGTCGAGTAGTTTGTGAACCTGTAGCACTCAGCCAATGAGGAAACAGGGGAGGAATCAAGTGTCAGCTAATAGGGAATATAAGGTTATGATGTACTTGCAGCACGTCCGCCATTGCAATCACAAAAATGCTGCTTCAATGTCCTGGTTTCAGTTAGAACAGAATTAATTTTCTTCCTAGTAGCTGGTGGAATGCTGTGTTTTGGCTTAGGATGAGAAGAGTGCTGATAACACCCCAATGCTTTAATTGTTGCAGAGCAGTGCTTACACCAAGCCAAGGACATCTCAGCCTTTTGCTCTGTCCTGCCAACGGGCAGGCTGGGGGTGCAGTAAGAGCTGGGAGGGGACAGACCCAGGACAGGTGACCCAAACTAGCCAAAGGGGTATTCCATACCATCTGACGTCATGCTAAACAATATATAGGGGTGGCTAGCTGGGGGGAGGGGGCCGGACTGCTCGGGGTTAGGCTGGGCATCGGTCAGCGAGTGGTGAGCAATTGCATTGTGCATCACTTGTTTGTACATATGATTATTACTTTCCTATTATCACCATTGTATTATTATTATTATTATTGTTATTATTATTTTTGTTATTATTATTTTCCTGTCTTATTAAACTGTCTTTATCTCAACTCACGGGCTTCACTTTCCATTTCTCTCCCCAGTCCCAGAGAGGGAGAGGGGAGGGTGAGCGAACGGCTGCGTGGTGTTTAGCTGCCGGCCGGGTTAAACCACGACATTCAATGAGATCCTAGCCTGAGCCTGTGTTATTGACTGCAGATTGTTTCTCACAAATTCGGGGCTCATCCGGGATCTAATCGCCTTCTAGGTAGCCCCATTACCAGTGCAGCTGGAAGGCATGCCCCGCTGCTTTCAGCCTGTGCCTTAGTGACGGTGGTTCTGCAGAGAGCTGACAAAGAATGGAGGCTGCTTGAGAAGACAGGATGGATGAAGAGTTAGGGAAGAAAGCAAGGCAGGCAGTCTGGCTTCGAGAACTGACCCAGTAACTGTGCACCGACCAAGGTAAGAAATAGGAAGCATTGCCTTGGCAGTCTGCTGGCCCTGCCCATGGCTCGTCGACCACTTTGGAGGAGCTGCCAGCCCTGGGTCTGTCTCTGTGCTCTCCTGGGGCTTCCCCAGCTCAGGAAACCCCCTCTAGGCTGCGGTGAATCAAGGAACATCTGCTGTATTGGGACTGGATGAAGGGAGAGAAATAATAGGGGAGAAAGCTACTACTGCGGGAACATGGGGCTGGTTTTTACAGACTGTGGATACCAGGACTGGGCGAACTGACTACACCTGTAACTGAGGGCAGCAAGGATGAGGAAATAGAACCCATCTCCTGGGAAGTGGAAAGGGAAAAGGCATTCAAAGCTATTACAGATGCCTTAACATCTGCCCCTGCACTGGGGCTCCCAGATTACTCAAAGCCTTTTGATTTATTTGCCCAGGGGCTGGGTCCAGCACGCGCTCTGAAGGCCTCTCCACCCTTGATGGAATCCACAGATCCTCCCAGTTCGGTGTCATTATCAACAACTTGATTGACAACTGTATTGACCCGTTTATGAATACCACATCTCAAGTGGACAATGCAATAGATTGCTGGCATTGTTAAAAAAACAAACAAAACTACTGCATACTGAATTCTAGTGCTTAGTAAAACCAATCCATGAAACATTTTGATATCAACCCAAGTCATCCTACTTATTCCCTGAAGCTCTAAATTATCAGCCACAGCCTGTCAAAGCAAGCTCATGTAGCTGTCCAATCGAAAGTTTGGATTCCTTACCCAGTGTGCAATGAGCCTATCCTCACACTAGGTGGAGATATTGTTTATTTCAGAATTGTGCAAGTACCAGGTGGTTTCTTGCTAAGCTGGCACACCTAAGGATTTCCCGTGCCACACTTTAGACCATCTCTTATCACTACATGTAGATGTTAGCACAGACCTCTAATTTCTAATTGGTTACATAATGAGCATACTGCTGGTTTGCAAAATCATTCTAGGCATCCTCAGAGGGGAAGGGGCTCTTGTTGGGCTGCGGTCTCTCAGCCTAAGGGCATGAATTTTACTATTCTAATGAGGATAGTCCTCATTAGTATTAGAAACTCATACCTTTGTTTGTCAGCCAAGTATTTCTAAAAAGTTGATTGGTAGCACATTCAGTAGTATACGTATGTGGATGTTTCCTTACCAAATGGCCTTTCTGATCAAGTAGTTTTTTTTATGAATCATCCTTTAGATATCCTCAAGGCCTGGATCATCTTGCCCTTGCCTTGAAGCACAGATTTTACAGCTTTTACCACAACACAAAGTTAACAATACAAACTTAAATTGTTACTGGCATCAATACCCCATCACATCAACACTGGCCCCATAGTGCATTACAATGCACCAGCAATTCAGTATGGGTGGGAATAACAAGCAGTTGTAATTACAGCTGATATTACAATCACACCCCAGTGGGGCTGCTTTTGTAATGTCACAGCATAGGAGCTTGTCTTGACACTGACCTGAAAAAAACTCATCGGCCTGTGACAAGGAATCAGCAATTACCATCAAAGGTGCTTTTAATGGTTTGAAGTCCTGGAATCTTACATGGAAGGTCAGCAATAAAAATTGCCAAAGATGCTCGAATTTTACTGTTCTTTACTTTACACGCTATTCTACCTGCTCCAACCTACATCAGTTGGTTGCTGGACACCACAGGCTGGGCTGGGTTGTGGTGAGTTAAGGGATGGCAGGAGCCTGGCTACCTCCTCCAGCTGCTGCAGACCAGAACCTTTCTGCCTGGTCACTGGAACCAGTACAGAGCAGGACAGGCAGGAACACCCAGTGCCATCCTGCCTAGAATTTGGAGCCCAGCCGGGTGCCCAGAGACCTGGCAGTTATGCTCAGGCTGAGGTAAGCAGCTGCCACTTTCTGAGAGTCAGCCAGCAGCCAAACTAAGCACAGGTCCCACAGACAGACACATGGACAGACACACACATGCACACAGACACACAGAGACTTGACCCCAGCAGCCAGCGCCAGGATCATGGGCTGTGACTCGCCACCCCACTCCAGCTGCTGGCACTGAGCCCTGCACTGGCCTCACTCACTCTCACCCCAGTCCCTAAACTGAAGAAAATGTTTAATGAGAAGTTACAAGAAGACAGGATAGATTGGTGTTTGGCACAGCGCTCAGCCAGAGAAGCACTGATGGGTCCTATTTCGCACACAGGTGGCCCCTTTCCTTCCTTTTCTGCCTCTGTATATCTTTGTTCCTTCTGCTCCCCTGCCCTGCACATCCCCCACCAGTCCCACACCACTCCCAGTCCAAGGTGCTCCTGGTTCACATCTTATCAATTGCAAAGTCCAGGCTGATCTTCCTGGAAGCTGCGCCTCTGCTCTCTTGCTTGCCAATATGGAGTATGACAAGGACGTTCCTTTCTTGTCACCGTGCCCATGTTGGTTCTGTCAGGTCTGTGTCCAGCTAGAGGTTGGTTTCTGCTTGCTTTTCCCCTTTTCCATTGGTTTCCAATGCATGAGGTCTCCAAATAACCTTGCTGGAAGAAACACTCTCGCTCTCCCATGCCCCCACCAATCAGTGTGAGTGACCAGCTTTGGTTCTCACCACTGCTGCCCAGTCAGGCTTCTGTCCCCTTCAGGTCTAACTTATGGCTTACTCTTTTTCTTATTATCCCTCATCCCAGTGAAGGAGGTCCTTGGCCAGATTCCCCTAGGGAGCACACACTCTCCTTCCACATGCCCTTACAGCCTGCCTGGGCTGCACAGCAAGCAGTATCTTGGGCTGCAGCAGGAGCCGTGTTGGAGCAGGCCAAGGGAGGTGATCCTTCACCTCTGCTCAGTGCTGGTGAGGCCACCCCTGGGGCACTGGGCCCAGTGCTGGGCTCCCCAGCACAAGAGAGACCTGGAGAGAGTTCAGCGAGGGTCATGAAGGCGACGAGGGTGCTGGAGCACAGGGGGCTCCATCTGAGCACCAGGAAATTCTCATGGTGTGGGCAACCACATGCTGGCACAGGTTGGTGGGTCTGCATTCTTGGGCGTATTCAAAAGCCTCATGGGCATGGCCACGGACAACTGGCTTTGAGTGGCCCTGTCCTGCCTAGTCTGCGGGTGGAGGACAGGCGGGGGTGATGGAGATGGCCCCCAGTGGGGTCCTGCCCAATGCCAGCTGCCCCCGCTCCTGGGGACAGCCCTGATGGGGACACGTCCTGGGTGCCCCATCGCTGAGTGGGTGGCCCCTGCTGTCCCCGAGCACCGCTGCAGCCCACGGCAGGGCCGAGAAACGTGGGGGCTTAGGGGGGAGGGCGAAGAGACCGGGTGTGGCCGGGATTTCCCTGTCCCCAGCTCCCTTCCCCCCCCCCCCCCCCGCGCCGCTCTCAGCGCTTTCGCTTTCGCTTCTGGCAACCTGCGGGACCGCGATCTACCCGGCGCCCGGTGACGTCACGAGAACACCGGTTACTCATTGGTAGACGCGCGGGGGAGCCGCCAATCGCGTCGCGGGGCGGAGGTGGAGACGCGGGATGCCTTCGAGCTCCGGAGGCAGCTCGGGGCCCAGCGGAGCCATGGGGCCGGGACGGGCGGGGGCCCTGGGCCTCGTCCTGGGGCTGCTGCTGGGGGTCCTGGGCGGAGCAGCGAGCGGTGAGTGGGAGTGGGGCCGGGCCCTCCCAGCACCGGGACCCCCCGGGCCTCCCCTCTCCTCCCCTTCCCCTCTCGGCCCCCTCCGGGCTCGGCCTCCCCTTGGGGCTGCCCCTCTCAGCCTCCCCTGTTCCCACAGAGCCCCACTCCCTGCGCTATTTCTACACCGCGGTGTCAGACCCAAGCCCGGGGTTGCCGCAGTTTGTGGCCGTGGGGTCCGTGGACGGGGAGGTCTTTGTGTACTATGACAGCGAGACCAGGTGGATGGAGCCCCGGGTGGACTGGATTGCAGCCAACGTGGATCAGCAGTACTGGGACGAGCAGACCAACATCGCACAGAGTGCTCAGCAGATTTTCCACGTGGACCTGGACACGCTGCGGGAGCGCTACAACCAGAGCAGGGGTGAGAGTGGGCCGAGACACAGATTTGCAGGCTGTGGGAGTGGGTGCTGTCGGAGGGGTGGGGGGGTCCCCAGCCCCACTGAGGCCTGGCCCTGCCCCCACGCTACTGCCCCAGCCCTGGCCGTGCTGTTCGGTCCCTGTGTGGTGTTGCTGTCATGGGGCTCCCAGCCACCCTGTCCCAGCCCCACGATGCTCCTGGTGCCTTGTCCCACACCCAGAGGGGTGCTTCCAGACCCAACCCAGCCCCTTGCCACCCCCACGCTGCTCAGAACCCCCTGTCCCAGAGCTGGGGAGCTCCAGGCCACCCCATCCCAGCCCTTCCACATCCCCACAGCAGTCAGGACCCCAGAGCAGAGGGACTCCCGCCCCCTGTTGTCCCAGCCCCTTGCTTTTCCCATGGTGCTTCAGGCCCTCCACACCAAAACCGGAGTGATTCCCCCCACCCCATCTCAGCTCCTGGTCACCTCACAGCATTGACAACTCCGTACAAGGCCCTTGCTGCCCCAAAGTACTGTGGTGCTGGGCCCCAGCCCAGTCTTTCAGGGATGCAGCACTCTGGGACAGGGCAGTGTGTGGCACCTGCATGCGCTGCCAGTGGGGTCTGCAGCTCATTAAAGGGCCAGGACTGTGTCTGCCCCTCACCCCCTGTCCCTCATTGTCTTTCAGGGTCTCACACAGTGCAGCGCATGTATGGCTGTGACCTCCTCGAGGATGGTAGTATTAGGGGGTTTGATCAGTATGGCTACGAAGGAAGAGACTTCATTGCCTTGGACAAAGACACGCTGACGTTCACTGCAGCAGATGCTGCGGCACAAATCACCAAGAGGAAGTGGGAGGAGGAAGGGACTTATGCTGAGAGGACGAAGTACTACCTGGAGAACACCTGCATTGAGTGGCTGAGGAAATACGTGAGCTATGGGAAGGACGTGCTGGAGAGGAGAGGTGAGAGTGAGGGGGGATGCAGCACCAGGCTGTAAGCAGGAGCAGGGCCAGTGCAGGGAGCTCAGCCTGGCCCTTGCTGCCACCCCCTCCCCAGAGCGCCCTGAGGTCCGAGTGTCGGGGATGGAGGCCGACAAGATCCTGACCTTGTCCTGCCGTGCTCACGGCTTCTACCCGCGACCCATCTCCATCAGCTGGCTGAAGGATGGCATGGTCCAGGAGCAGGAGACCCAGAGGGGGAGCACCGTGCCTAACAGTGACGGCACTTACCATATCTGGGCCACTATTGATGTCCTGCCGGGGGACAGGGACAAGTACCAGTGCCGTGTGGAGCATGCCAGCCTGCCCCAGCCCGGCCTCTTCTCGTGGGGTGAGTCCAGAAGCATGGGATGCGTGGGACTGTGATGTTCAGAGGCTCCCCCTTCTCCTGCTAATGGCCCTAATTTTCCCCAGAGCCACAGTCCAACCTGATCCCCATTGTGGCGGGGGTGGCTGTCGCTGTCGTGGCTGTCATCGCTGCCCTGGCTGGATTTGCTGTCTGGAAGAGCAAGCAGGGTAACGTGCCTGGGCGGGTGAGGCAGAGGGGTATGGGAGGAAGGCAGGGACTGGAGGTGCTCTGTGAGGAGCTGGGGCACCTTTGGGA